ATTTAAAAACAGTCACATGCACAGTTGAAACTGGTGCTAGAAAGAGAACTGCAGCTTTTAATGGACGCTGCATTTGGTACAAAATGGTTTGTTCAGACAATTAAAGTTTGAAAAATGATTTAAAGCATTTCTAAATTTTGGCTAAAGGTGATTTTGGATCATTTCTGATAACACATTGACGCAACACTGTTCATTGGTTGAAAACACGGATGTAGGGACATTTTAGGAAATCTTTTATGACATGTTTCTCTTCCAAATAGCTAAATTAGAAACAATTAGGACAGTCATGTCTTTAATATAACTGTTGGAAGTTTATTTGAGACATGATTGGTGCAAGTACGACAACACACATAAAACAATGGTCTTTTCTCCACATGAACGTGAAACAAAGGTGAAGTATTAAAGTTTGAAACTAATTTACATTTTTAAGGAATCCAAACTGGCTTTTAAAAAAAAAAAAAAGGGAAAAACATTAATTGCACGTGCACGAGTTTTTTTTTTTTTAAGTAACAAGAGCTCATTAAAAATATAGGGGACACAGTCTGTGAGAAGCCCGAGTACAGACCACGTGGTAAACACTAAAGTTTGAAATGGATCCTTTTAAGAAAAAATCTCTCAAAGCTCTGCATGTTCTGCAGGCTCTGAAAGTTGCAACAATAGAAATAGCTCATGAGACAATTGTAATTGGACATGGAAAAATATAACAAAGTTAAAATTACAGGCCTCTGTGTTGTCTATATGTTTGTGTGTGTTATATGTTTGTGTATGTTATATGTTTGTTGGCGTCATGTCAAGTACACTACGTTGACCTTAACAAACTCTGGACCAATATACTAACGTGGGGAGTCGGCCTGTGTTGTTGTGAGTGTGTTGTGAGTGTGGAGTGAACGAGGAGTGCTGAACGGAATCATGGAATAACAAAAGTTTTCTGTAATGTTTTAATGTGATCATGGAATAATTATTTTTTGTCAACAGCATACGGTGTAAGTACTAGAGATTCAAAGATAACAAGCTTTATTGAACAGGTGTAAAAGTGAGAGTACTCTGGGATGAGTACTCTGAGAAAAGTACTCTGCGGAAAGTACTCTGAGATGAAATACCTTGCTGAAGGTACTGGGAGTCCCTCCCTCTGCTGTTTGTCCTGACAGTGATTCGGTCCAACCGCAGTGAGCGGTCATTGGGAGGAGGACAACTTTGGTTTGTAACTCACATTTAGGGGAGTGTAAAATTAGAAACATACATTTTGTTAAGTCTGTATTTGGCTACAGCCTCTGCCCTGATGTCACACACCGTCTGTCAATGCAGTTATGTTTTACCCAATTGGAAAAAGATTGACAGGCTGCACCATGCCAGGGAAGTGGGCATTTCGTGTGTTCTAATGTTTCTTTTTCAGATGAAAGATAAACTGCACCTGCTTCAGGGATGACAGTAGTATGGATCATAAGGAAATGAGCCTCTACTTTGGCACCAAAGCCCACAATATGAATTGAGGACGATCCGGGAGAAACAACTGGAGATGATTGGAACAGTAATCTACACACACACAGATGCATGTTTTATACTTGGCCCATGACCAACAGAGGGGAGTATTGTATTGTCATAGGTGGTCATGGTCCTTAACCTTCTAAATCATTAGAAAGAAGTGTAAAACATATATTTACAAGACCAAATAAATAATGGAAAGGGCAGCCTAAAAAGCAAAATGGGAGAATTATTAAGTAATTTTCGGAGTTGCCAAAATAAAATAAAATTCTTTATTTGTCCCATAGGGGGTCATTCTAAAATTTAGTGTTGTGCAAATTCAAAAGGAGAAATAATAGCGCTTATAACATCAAACAGATCTACTCTTTAAGATAATAGATCATATAATAATAATAATAATAGAATAGAATGAAATAGTCTGGAGCTATAATGTCATTGGATTCGAGGAGTTATAGGTTGAAAAGTCGCTAAGAAGAGGTGTCAGAATAAACAATAGTAATAATAGTTAGACTAGTGAATAATCATCCATCCATCCATCCAACCATTTTCTTCCCCTTAATCCATTTCTGGGTCGGGGGGGGGGGGCAGTCAGAGCTGCACCCAGCACACAGAGCACCAGCCCCTCACTGATCCTCCTGCAGGTGGTGAGTCCACCGGAGTGAATAATCAAAATAGTTCTATTGTGGAAATAAGTATCAATAAGTTCAAATTGTTCTAATAACTAAAGTAAAAAGGAATCAAATGGAGTAGATTTTAGATGTTTCTGTTTTCCACATCTGTAGGATCTAGTGCAGAGGTGTTTATAGAGAGTAGTATTAAAATGCAGACATAGAACGACAGGCTTTAACACAATTTTAAATCTAAAAATAGCTCAAATATAACATTGCTCTTGACGCAGCCTCTGAGCTGCTCCATTGGAGAACAGGTTAAATGTTATTGTTTATTACAAACAGCTGATGTATTTACACATATTAAGTTTGGGACAACTCTTTAAACAGTTATAAGCAGCGGACAGAAGCCATGAATGTGCTTTTGTTTATTAAATAATTAAATGCATAGCCTTATAATCGTAGAGAACGTTTTAAAATAGTTAAAATCCCTTTCAGGCAACTTGATTTAGATTTATGTCTTTAATATTGGAGAACGACTGTGTTGTTTTTGGAATTGTCTGAAATACAATACATAGAATAGTGATTGGCAGAACAAGAACCAGCCAATGAAAAATCGTCTATTGCCAATGCAATTGTTACAATCAGAACTCACAAATTGGGAATATGCTTTGGCTCAAGCTACAACCAAGATTTGGAGTCACAATAGAGTATAAAATAGGTAGATGCTTTCAAAAATAGAGATTATTTTTAGACAGGGCTAATATCAAGCGGTAAAAGGACCATTTCCTTCATAATATGTCCAAAAGTATTTACTTCAAAAGTAGATAAAGTTCATACTTGTCAAATTCACTTGTTTCAAACATAGGTGAATGTTGACAATGCAAAAAATTAATGAGATAGATTAATGAGATAGATTAGAACCAACACAGATTCAAAAACATTTGAAAGCATTTTAATGTATTTGGGTATAGCACAAAAGTAGATCTTTAGGTATTTTTGAGAATTTTAAGAGCTGTCGATTTGTCAGCAACAGATTAGAGAATCAAAATACCGTTGTATAGGGACTAACCCCAGAGAAACCTGCTAAAATAGATTAGCTCCTGTAAGGATAATACCAATTTGATTAACGATGTACATTTATCCCAAACGGTCTGAGAGGAGGAAGGGACAGCACTTCCTGGTTCAACAAAATGTATTTGGAAAAATGAGCAAAGCCCCACGAAATGGCCCAGAGCCACTGATAATGAAAGCAAACCACAGTATAGATAGATTTATTAGATAAAAACATATGTTTAAGAATAGGGCTCAATAAAAGCAAAGATGCAAACATATTTGTAAATGGATTAGAATAGTTTAAACTATAGTGAATAGATTCAGTGCATACATTATAGACGAGGTTGATAAAGACTCAGAATGACACAGCCGTAGTCATCAAATAGTATTGAAGGAATGGTTAAAAAATGTGGTTTGTTGTGTGTTGTTTGTTTTCCCTGTATTAACTCTTCACAGATAACGAGACAGAACCAAGGACCAAGGCGATGATGGAAGAGCTCCCCAGTCCCGTCACCCAGAAGGGATATTGAAAGATTGTGACCTAAATTGGTTTAATATAGGTCAACAGAGGGGAACTGTTGTATATTTTAATATTTGACCATTTGGACATCATAGCCAAAGAAGACCTCTGTGCACTCAGGAAAAACCCCAAGGACACAAGAGAGTACGGGAATCATAAAGGAGGACCAACTTACAAAGCCAGACAATTATTGACTCCCAGAATAAACACATGTGTGGCAATTTTGACCTATGGATCCGCCCGCAGCCCCCCGCAGCAGCTGCGTTTGTCTAAGCCCCACGTTAGGCGCCGCACGGGTGGGGGCATTGTTTGCTTAAGCAGAGACCAGACCAGAGACCAGACCAGAGACCAGACCTGTGACGTCATCGGACCCTGGGCCCAAGACCTGCCTGATACGACACGCCCCCTGCTCCCTGAACATCGACTGATAATGCTCTGGCTTGGGAGGACACAGAAGGATCAGCTGAGGGCCAGAGAAAGGGACATATTAGTTTTAGGAGCATTTTTTTTGTTGAATATTCTGTATCTGATTGTAAAGATAATTAAATGCAGATGTTAAACATTGGAGATCTCTTGTCTCGCTCTTGCATCGACTTTGGACACGTCAGTCAAAGGGAATTATTGACTTCACACTTCAAACTAGTTTTATGTTGTGTTGCCATCTGCAGAAAGTTCAGAAAATTGGGTTGAAATAGTGAGAAGTAAAACTAAAACATTTTTGTAAAGTAGAGACACCAGGAACAATAATGTTCACACACTGGACTCTGAGGTTTGTGTGATGATATTCAGTGTTTTCTACTTTCAAATGATACGACAACAACTCTACCCCTGATCAGAAGTCTCCATCCCCCACTTCCCAGTAGCGTGTTTCTCTTTAAAATCTCTGAAAGCTTGGGGTCTTTTGTGGTGGATGTGGATGAGGTTCTACAGCTGCTCAATGATGTTCTAGTTTAACAATAAACATGTATCACTTTGTAAACTGCTGAGTGGTTTCTTGTCGATGCAGAATGGTTCAAGGACTTTTATGGACCAATGGCTCTGTGTTTGTTTTTATTTCCTGGGTTTGAACTGTTTGATTCTCTGATCTGTTGTTCGCGAATCAACAACATTTTAAAGTCGTTAGAGGCGACTGCTGTTGTGATGTAGGGCTATAAACAAATACATTGAATTGAATTGTTTGCTTCACACAATCACTGACGATGAGTGTCATTCTTCATCATCTCCAAAATATGAACAACCCAATGACATTTCTGCATAAACCTTCAAGCACGACTGTACCTAAGTAAAAATACTTAGTTACTTCCTGTCCCACAGAGCTGCTGGCGCACACTCACCTCGAGGCCGGCGTCGGTGATGGTGGACCTCTTGAGGCTCAGCGAGCGCACTCCCTTCTTGGACAGGGGGTAGTTGTCTATGAACTCACAAATGTCCAGGTCCGACACGCCCACCAGGCAGAAGGCCTGGAAGCCCCTCAGGGCAAAGGCCTGCAGGCTCACAAACTCCTTATCCCCGTTGGGCAGCAGCACGTAGAGCTCCTTGGCGTGCAGGATGGGGGTCACCCCGTCCCAGAACTTGGGCTGGTACAGCACTTTGCGCCACGTCTTACACACCTGCGCCAGAACACACTTCTCTGCACTGGTGAAGTACCACAGCAGGCGGTTCAGCAGCTTCTCGTCCAGCACCAGCTGGCGCTCCAGCAGCATAGGCTTGGGCAGGGTGAGAGGGGTGAGGGGGGAGAGGGGGGAGAGAGGGGAGAGGGAGCCCAGGGGGGTCAGGGCCCGCAGGCTGCCCTTCAGCCCCACAGGCATGCCCGAGTCCAGCTCGTTGGTCAGGAGGGAGCTGCTGGTGTCCAGGTGGTGGTGGTGATGGTAGTGCAGGGAGGTGGAGGGGGGGGGCAGGATGGAGGGCACAGACGAGGACTGGCACAGGCGGTTCTTGGCAGCGGGGGTGCCCTTGGTGATGCTGGCGCTGCCCAGGCCATTGGGCTGGCTGGGGGGTAACTTCACCAGACCATTGCGAGTCACGCAGGTCGACTTGAGCTCGCTGGGACTGGACATGTTCAACACGAGACCTGTGGACACAGGGAGACAAGAGAGAACATGAGACGAGGACGGGACAGGCCCATGTGAGAGCCACAGAGCAGGTAACGAGGACGGGACAGGCCCATGTGAGAGCTACAGAGCAGGTAACGAGGAGGACGGGACAGGCCCATGTGAGAGCCACAGAGCAGGTAACGAGGACGGGACAGGCCCATGTGAGAGCCACAGAGCAGGTAACGAGGACGGGACAGGCCCATGTGAGAGCCACAGAGCAGGTAACGAGGAGGACGGGACAGGCCCATGTGAGAGCCACAGAGCAGGTAACGAGGAGGACGGGACAGGCCCATGTGAGAGCCACAGAGCAGGTAACGAGGAGGACGGGACAGGCCCATGTGAGAGCCACAGAGCAGGTAACGAGGAGGACGGGACAGGCCCATGTGAGAGCCACAGAGCAGGTAACGAGGACGGGACAGGCCCATGTGAGAGCCACAGAGCAGGTAACGAGGACGGGACAGGCCTATGTGAGAGCCACAGAGCAGGTAACGAGGAGGACGGGACAGGCCCATGTGAGAGCCACAGAGCAGGTAACGAGGAGGACGGGACAGGCCCATGTGAGAGCCACAGAGCAGGTAACGAGGAGGACGGGACAGGCCCATGTGAGAGCCACAGAGCAGGTAACGAGGAGGACGGGACAGGCCCATGTGAGAGCCACAGAGCAGGTAACGAGGACGGGACAGGCCCATGTGAGAGCCACAGAGCAGGTAACGAGGACGGGACAGGCCCATGTGAGAGCCACAGAGCAGGTAACGAGGACGGGACAGGCCCATGTGAGAGCCACAGAGCAGGTAAGGAGGACGGGACAGGCCCATGTGAGAGCCACAGAGCAGGTAACGAGGACGGGACAGGCCCATGTGAGAGCCACAGAGCAGGTAACGAGGAGGACGGGACAGGCCCATGTGAGAGCCACAGAGCAGGTAACGAGGACGGGACAGGCCCATGTGAGAGCCACAGAGCAGGTAACGAGGACGGGACAGGCCCATTTGAGAGCCACAGAGCAGGTAACGAGGACGGGACAGGCCCATGTGAGAGCCACAGAGCAGGTAACGAGGAGGACGGGACAGGCCCATGTGAGAGCCACAGAGCAGGTAACGAGGAGGACGGGACAGGCCCATGTGAGAGCCACAGAGCAGGTAACGAGGAGGACGGGACAGGCCCATGTGAGAGCCACAGAGCAGGTAACGAGGACGGGACAGGCCCATGTGAGAGCTACAGAGCAGGTAACGAGGACGGGACAGGCCCATGTGAGAGCCACAGAGCAGGTAACGAGGACGGGACAGGCCCATGTGAGAGCTACAGAGCAGGTAACGAGGACGGGACAGGCCTATGTGAGAGCTACAGAGCAGGTAACGAGGACGGGACAGGCCTATGTGAGAGCTACAGAGCAGGTAACGAGGATGGGACAGGCCCATGTGAGAGCCACAGAGCAGGTAACGAGGAAAAACTGAGCTTAAAATTAACCACAAATTATGTTTTTTTATTGTTGCATATCCTGTGTTCTATGATCTGAGTTTGCGAGTCGACAACTTTGTAACGTCCTCCAAGATCATTTCTGTTGAATTGAATTGAATTGCTCAGAGTGTGAGGAAGAGGCAAAAAAGAATGAATCTCAATCAGAGGACGACTTCATTCACCAAAGGAACAAGCTTAAAAAGTCTTTGAAACACAGTAAATTTCTCTCATAAAAAACGTGGAAATTATGATATTGCACTTAAAATACGACTAAACAATGGTTTCTCACATTAGCACTTTTCAGACAGAAAAGTGAAAAAGAGAAGACCACCCTCACATTGGTTTGTTTTGTTTTGTTTTTGCTAATGTATTCCAATGTGGTTTTCTTACTGCAAATGGCAAATAAACGGAATCTGAATGTTCCCAAAATTCCCAAAAGCCTCTTTCTGTTGTATAAAAAACTTATTTATGAAGGTACAGTGAGGTAAACGTCCTCTTCTTGTGCAACATAGAACCACATGTGTGACTCTCACTTCACCGAGTCCCTTTGTCGCATTCCCTCATGCTGCTAACACGAACAGATGTAAACACACAATGTATCGCAGTGTTTTTCAACCAGTGGGACGTGGTAACTTTGGAAATCATCCAATATTGCCTAGTTGGTCAAGATACTGTGAAAAGTAGGAGAAAGAGAAGATTAGAAAGACTTTTTTTGCCCTTGCTTGATTTTCTACATACACTTTGATGAGAAGGACTTGTTAGAACCTGTAGAACACTGCTCTACAATAAACAGGATTTTAGACTTGCTAGGGTTTTGTGTAATTTTAAGTGTATAGAAAAGCAGTTCAAATTTTAGGAAAGAACCGCCGTCCACTTTTTGAACAAAACTCTCTGGGCTTATTTGACGAGAATGATTGACAATTGGGAGGACCAATAGTCTTGATGATCCACCCGGAAGTAGAAAATCCTCCTATATGCCTCATCATCATGCTAAAGTTGGAGATTTTAGACTCATTACCTTATTATGTCAAAGGCAGATATTTTATGCTAGAGTTAGAGATGTATTCATTTTTCAGTAAAGAGTTCATGTATCTTATGTTGTCTTCTCCTCATTCCTACTGTCTGTAAACTTGTGATGCAACACTGACATTTCCCCACTGTGGGAAGAATCTTAATCTTATATGAGTAGTGATATTGGAATGTAATTTAAGTTATCATTTTGGTAAATCATATGTGGCTATATGCTGAATGCGCTATTCTGTAATTCACTTCAGCTCCAGCAAAACTCCACGAGGTCTGGGGAGCTCATATGTTAAACACAGCATTCTTTGTTTACGCTAATACAGAGTGTCTTTTGTTGTGTGGGTTCTTCCTTTCCCATCTGCATACGAAGGTGTGTCTTGTTCAACCAAAAGGGGCTTGCCATCTGTGAATCATCAGACTTGTCCTGAGAGAGGCTGGGGTCTGTGCCCTTGCCTCTGTCAAGACATTCTCCTTGTACAATGTAACAAGTAAAAGATTAACTTTGTCTCTTTGTTGTGTGAGATTTCATCAGGTTCAACTGTAGATGAAACAGCTTTATCACTTGGTCCTTCGAGCCGGATCCCAACACTTCTTACAGGAGCTGAGCTTGTCTCAAACATGGACTTCCAGGAGCAACTACAGGGCCTTCTGCATTCGGAACTGCATTGGAACTCCAGGTTTGAGGCAGGACAGCCCTGGGTTGGAGTCGACGGGAGAACTACAGTTTTTTCCTGATGAAATTGCAACAAAGGCAAGTTCTGTACACTCTAAATTATGTCCAAAAGTAATCCAGGAAGTAGCGTGAAGTTCACATGAACACATTCATTTAGGAAAACGCAGAAATTGTGCCTTAGTCTAGGAATTTATTACACTACGAATTATGTCCAGGACTAATTCAAGAGAGTAGTGTGGAGCTCGAATGAACCGTGTTTCATTTAGGAGAATTGAATTACTTCGGACTGAACTTCTACATTACTTCTAAACTGAAATTGGACATTTATAGACATCTAAATAAGCTACATTGAAATTGGATGTTTAAAGACCTTTAAATTACTCAAAATTTGGAATTGGACATTGTAAACACACCTAAAAAAAAAAGTTAAATTGCAAGCATTGTGTAGGGCGGCCATTTTGGGTGGCCATGTGGTCCTTTGTCCTCTGGCCATGTGTTTCTTTGTTTGTCTGTGTCCTTCTTTGTTCTGTGAGTCCTCTTCGTTTTCCTTTGTCAAAGTTTTCTTGGTTTAGAATTACCCTTCACCTTATGTTTTGATTCTGAAATGTCTTAACAAATGTGCTTCTTGTTTTTGAGAAAAATGCCACATCCCTGCCAAAGCTTCAAAGCAACAAAATCCACCTATTTCCATTGTGGGACAGAAATCCCACCCCCACCTCCATCTCCATACAGCCATCGACACCTACGAAACGACCCTCCACACAACCCCGCCCCGCACCGGAAGCTGCTGACAAATAATCACGGGCCGATTTGCAAAGATCAAAGCGCGCAGGCCCACGGAGGTTGCTGGCCGTTTGTTCAAGTTAAATGGACGTGAGAATTGAAGGTGACAACTTGGTACATTTGTGACTTGAAAGTTCAGCTTTGTGTCGTTGTTGGAGAACGGCTTGCTGCTAGTCTTGCGTCGGAAACGCAGACAGAGAAGAGTTTCGAAACAGGAACAGAGTGGACATTTCTGGTCATAACCAAACATGAGGAGGGGTCGAGAGGAAGTGTCAAATGGACTATGGACTGTGAAAATGGACTTTGGGTTTTCGGGCTTTTGGGCGTGTGCGTGGTGTTGAATTTGATAACCAAAGTTAATACATTTAAAGTTAATACATTTCAGAGTTAATACATTGTTCAGTTTTGAGCCATGTTATGTCTCAACAGGGGGAATAGTTTATGGAACAACAATGTGAAATTATACTATGAACATTTTTTTGATATAGGAGGCCGGACCTAGGGTGGCCAGATCTTTGCATTTTTGTCATGGAAAAAATAAGTAGTTCAATTATTTCTACAATTAAATAATCAATTCTGGGTTAAAGCTCATTTATTATTGAAGATTGAGACCGTGAAGACCGTGTTCAGACCTAGTTTAGTCCTGATCCAGACCCAGAAAATCTCCATTTGGACCTGCTTATTTAACATGCTGGGAATTACGGCCAAGAATATTCCTACTTTGTTTCTCTGCAATTGGGCATTATATAACCGTTACCTGGCAACCATGTAGTAAACTGGTCCAAAGCTCCGCTGTCCACTATTGTGGACAGCGACGGCCTCATTCACACTGAGCAAAAACCATAGAGTTAAAGCCAAAGGGCCACCGGGGCGACACAGGCTGGTGTGTCAGGACCGCTGTGTGACCCAGGCTTTTTGCCGAGGCGTGCTCAGTGAGAATACTTAAACCAAATATGTGGAAATTGAGAAAAATATAATCCAATGCGTTGTACAGGCCGTAGCTTACATGAGGGTCAGATGAAGGTTTCTACACACGCATAATGACAGTGTAAGGCAGTGTAAAGGGGTGTCCAAACTTTTTGATTGGAGAGCTACTTTTAACAGAAATGGCAGAGAGCAATAGTCTTTTTATCAGTCATAATACAATTGTAGTCTATATAATAACTAAAGCCAAACATGGCTTTAGTTATTAAACACACATACATAATATCCATCCATCCATTTGCTTCCCCTTAATCCATTCCTGGGTCACCAGCCCCTCACTGATCCTCCTGCAGGTGGTGAGTCCACAGGAGCCTTGATTATTCAGCAGGGGCTTCAGGCAAAGTGGGGTTAAATGTCTTGCCCAAGGACACAACGACAGCAGACATCAGTGGGAGTCGTGAAGTAGGTTGTAAGGTGGGCTTGAACCCACGACCTTCAGGCCAATGCTCTACCAACTGAGCCACTGTCGCCCCTACAAAATATACCATCTTTAATTTTATCTTTACTCTTTTTAATGCACTATGGCTATTTATGATTTTAATCCCATGTGTGATTTTATTTTTTATGTTCTGAATTGTATCGTTTCTTTCTCGTTTTGTTTTTTTTATGTTTATGAAGATTCTAATATTTCATGATTTATGGCTGATGTGATGTGGGTTGTGAGCTGCTTTGTGTTGCCTTGTGAAGGAAAGGAGCTCTACAAATATAAGTTGATTGATTGATTGATTAAACCGTACAGTATCATTGATGAAAAGATCAAATAGACATGAAAGAATAATCATTCAGGATCAAGTGTTAAAGGAGCAATATGTAAAAATCTGGCCAAAAATGGTACTGCAACCTCTCCCTGATTCAGGTTGCCAGATATGCAGACGAATCCAGCTGGGACAGTAATAACTGAATTAAGAGTTTTGTCAACAACAAATCTATAACCAACACCTTTTTCACAAAGATAGAAATCCTGGTTTTATTTCTTGTTTTGTTGTTAATGATTTGAGAATCATAACGAGACCTTTTTTAGTTCTGCGGCCACGTGGTACTTTACCAGTGAGATTAGCTCCACGCGGTGAGTTCTGGCAACCCAGACCACGGAAATGAAAACAAAAACAAGATTTAGGGGCTGTAAATCCAATTTCGAAATTCAATAATCTTTGAACTACTGTTATCAATGAAAGAGGTTTTCGTAAAGAGCATGTTTTTTTTAAGCCTTTTGAAAGATCAGGGCCCTTTAATGATGACTTCACATGCAAATCTCACATATTGCTACGTAACCATAACCCTCTTGAATCTTTTGGGCAGCTACCTGAAAGGGGGTGGCGAGCTACTGGTAGCTCCCGAGCCACAAGTTGGAGACCCCTGCTGTGTGGAGCTTCATGCACCACTCTTTCTAACATGTACAGATGTAAACACACGACTATATATTTTTAGCACTTGAATAAACCGTCATTTGTACTTGATTCCTTATCATACTAACGTTAAAGATCTTATTTTATTGTTATTATTCATTATCTTGTGTTGTGTGCTCCTCATTCCTACTGTTCTGTACCTGCTGCAACACTGACATTTCCCCACTGTGGGACCAATAAAGGATCTCTTCATCTTCATCTATAAAACTGTCCCTTCAGAATATGATAAATGATGATAAAGTTGACTTAGACTTCCTTTGAAAGCTGAAAGTTAGTTTTGACCCTTTTATTTTGACATTTTTCAGTCTTCCCAAAGGTGAGACGCCCGAGCCCGGGGTCTCCAAGATGTCTGCCCTGTGCTCATTGGCTCGCGCTCGCACCATGGACGTCCCAAACACTAGTGGAAGTGACGTGTTCCGGTCAGCTCTGGTTCTCCTGGTGTTGTGCAGGTGGTTCTACTTCTGCAGGACAAGTGAGCGTTCTGACCAAACAGAGCGCAGCAAAGAGAGACTAGAGAGAGACCAGAGAGAGACCAGAAAGAGATCAGAGAGAGGGACCAGAGAGACAGACCAGAGAGACAGACCAGAGAGGGACCAGAGAGAGCACCCGGAGAGAGAGCAGAGAGAGAGACCAGAGAGAGAATAGAGAGAGCGACCAGACAGATAGACCAAGGAGACATACTAGGAAGATAGAACAGGGAGAGTGACCAGAGAGACAGACCAGAGAGAGTGACCAGCGAGCAAGAGTGGATTTAAGCTGCAGTACCGTGGGTGGCCTCTAGTGCAGACAAGTTTAGGCAGCAATACCATGTCCAGATAACATCCATTCAGGCCCGTCGGAAGGGCTGTGCGACCTGTGCCGTCGCACAGGGCCTCGCACCACACAGGGGCCTCGCAATCTTCCTTCCTTTTATTTTATTTTATAAATACACTAGTTCAAGGGTCCCCAAAGGGCAGACTGCACTCCAAATTTGGAACCCTAAACCCCTTTCTCTGGACCTCTTTGATTTCGTTTGATCAACAGAACATTTTTACAAGTAAAGTCAAATTTTCACCAAAAGCGATTTGTAAACAGGCAGGCGCGCGGGCAGCTATGTATGCAGCGGGTCCTCCGAAAAAACTGTCAGATAACTTTAGCAGTGTCTGAGTGAGATACAAAGAAAGTAACGGGAATGATCGCAGTGTAGGAGAGATGGATACTCGCGGAGGAGGAGCAGCGAGACAGGTGTGAGCAGAGGAGCAGACCCCTTTGTGTGAGCAGAGGAGGAGGAGGAGGAGCAGCGGTGTGACAGGTGTGTGAGCGCTGCTATTGCCAATGTTTAGTCCGAATATCCACATCAAAAACATATTTTTAAAAGCATTAGCAAACACACTGTATGTCTAGCTTTAGCTAGCTGGAGTGTTTTTGTTGTGGTCAGAGTGTGTGGAGGGAGGAGGTGAAGAGTATTTTGTTGTTGTCAGTGTGGAGGAGGAGGAGCGTATGTTGTCAGAGTGTGTGGAGGCATGGCAAAAACGTTATTTGATGAGAAAAAAATAATATTGACTCCGCCTCATAGCCATTTTGGCGCATTTTGCCAAAATCTAACTATTAGAAGAAAAAGACTCCTTTTGGTTCAATCTTTTGAGTTGCTCTACCATTTTGCCACAGGACGAAAGAGACATGTCAGCTAAAAAGACCGCGACCAATATTGCACGTAGAGTGTGTGTGCGTGTGTACGTGCGCGCGCCAAACGCTGCATAGGAGCGAAGACACTGGGTTACACGCATGCTGATCTCGTCAAGCACCGCGCGAGGTGGTGCTGAATTCATGTCAAAGATTATAACAGGAAAAACTTTCCTCAGATCTGGGAAAAAAGTGTCAGGGCAGGGCCTCGCGTTTCGAGTTCGCACAGGGCCTCGCACCCCCCTTGGGACGGGCCTGCATCCATTCCAACACCTGTTGTCCCAGGTCGCCACCGAATTTAAAAAACTGGAAGTATAATATTTGATCAATTCTGGATTTAATCTGCTGCAATATTTTTCCCCATCAGCCACAAGCCCGTGCCCCGCCCCTTCATGTTATCTGCCTGTTCAAAAAAAAGGATTTTATTAATTTTCCACTTCAATATTGGGTGTTCGGTCTTATCTCGGACTCAATTTGTCCTTTTTTATACTCCTGTTTCAAAGATAAAAAGTTAGATACCCCAGCTTTGTTGTTGTTGCCCTGGTACTATTTAGAAAATCTACAGGTGCTGAGGTTTAGGGCTAAACACAATAAGAGGTTTCATTCTGCTTTTGTATATATTAGGCCTCCGAAAAACACCTTTGTATTATCCTTGGGTCAAATTGACTCGTCACAGTGATTAAAAAATACCCTAAATACTGAATAACCCTAAAATGGTCTAAAAGGGTCTGATCATGTGCCAGGTTTGGACTCGCCGGTAGCACAAGGGGTACGTGAAAATAATTCAACAGCACTCGTAATTCCTCTTTAAGCTGTTTGTATCAAAAATAACACATATTGTCCCAACAGAAAGAGTTTTGTGAAAGTCGAATGTTGTGAACAAATCAGACCCAAGATCTTATAAAACATGTTATCTATTAGCACGCTGTAAGCTGCACGGAGATGATTGGCTGAGTGAGGGGGGTCCTCTTTATAGTCACCTTTCTGTCTGAAAAAGCTGATCTAAAGACGTGACAAGGAAAACTACAGAACCAAACTGTTTTGAGAGCGAGGAAGTTACATGGATCGTATCAAACAGTTCCATAGTTTTGGGTAAAAGTTTAAGAGTTTAAAAGAAAGCATTAACTTTTCTGAAGACAGAAACAATCAACATAAAACATCTTTTAATTGTTCATGAATCATACGAAAGATTCTGATGCTAATCTCCTTTAATCATATACATGTACACATCGGACATGATGGTCACCTGATGGTGTTAGGGTCTGATTATCCAATCACTGAGTGGAATGAGCCTTACATTTGGGGTTGCAGTTTAACTGGAGAAAGTTTAGCCACTAAACCACAGCCTGCAGCACAAGAGCACAACAGCATCATGAGCTCTGTCTGCAGGGAACTGGGACACCAGCTGTGTTTAACTCTACACACGTGTATGGAACTACAGGAGAAGGGTCCAGGACCAGGACCCAGACCCGGGGGAGGAAGCTAGGTACTATCGGATCAGAGAGAGCCCAAAGACAGAGAGGAGCATCTCACTCAGATTTTGTCAAAATGCACACAGAAGTCCAGGACCAGGAGAGAGTATGGCTACAACAACTTTATGTCAAAATTAGCAACATTAGGAGCAGGGCCAAGAGGAGGTCTAGGCAACAGGATCAGAGAGCCCTGGTCCAGGAGGAACAGGAGGGGCAGATGAGGGTACCAATAAGAGCAGCCTCTGACCACACCGGCCTCACGTGATGCTCATTCACACCGATGTTCCCACATGTGATGATGCTGAGCTCTGTGCACACATCAGGTGGGATAGAGGCCTATCTCCATCTCTGACAGCCCCAAACACACCAGGCTCACTAGTCCCAGCCCAGACCAAGCCCAGATCCCAGCAAATCAGTGCAGTCCCATGCCAGACCCTCTGCTCCGTCCCATCGGCCCATCCCAGTGGAGCAGCCCCGGCCTTGTCGGCTCAAGACAGCGGTCCAGGCCGGAGCAGCGCGGGACTGGTACACGGATGGAAATCAAAGCGGTTACGTCAGCGGTACCGCTGGCGTCATGTTTTTGTTAATGGACGTGAGGCCGATGCAGTGATCCACAGGCCGCGCGCAACGCGCACAAAGAGCCCCACCGCCATCAGCCTCACTGCGGCTCAGCCTCTGCTCTCTGTCCTCTGGCTCTCCTCTGCCCTCAGCCCTGTACTCCTCTGCTCCTCTGCTCCTGCCTCTGTGACAGCCTCTTACCTTCACATAGACTCTCTCTGTCGCTTTAATCCATGACCGCGGAGCTGTGCGCGCTGCGGCGGAGCGGAGGAGGCTGTGATGCCGTCCTGACTCCTGCCCATAGACCCGAGCCGAGCCGAGCGGGTACAACAGAGACACACGCGTGCGGTCCACAGGCTGCTGTGTTTGTTTTGGGTCAGTCCTTCCACAACACACAGCCCTCTGTCTCGTAATTTCTGTTCAGTACGCTCCAACGCACGCACACGCGCAGCGCAGGCTTCGTGTCATTTAAAGAGATAGCAGCTGGAGCAGCGCCTGCGTCCTGCTTATGTAACAAACACTGTGCACTGCAGACGCACTATACAGGGACCAGGGGCCAGCCCAGGGGCCACCGAGGGCCCGCCCATCGGCCCCTGGACTTGAACCATTTGTCCCACTTGGAGATGAGAGCGCTCTGACTGTCATCATGAGCAGCTTGTCCACATAGTGGACTTTGTCCATCCTGGCAGACACGTGCGTCTCATAGGGCGCTGTGTGAAGGTTTTAAGAAGAGAGAGGAATAGGCCTGATAAAAACAAGTGTTGATCACGCAGAGCCTCATGCACCTGCTGCACATGGCTCTGTGCAGCCTCGTGTTAAAGCAGCAGTCATGTGCACACATCTGTTGAACTGTGTGCGTCGCATCACTATGGCTCTGACCAGGTTGTAATTAGGAATGCAGAAAGCTGCTAATTGCCCGTTATGGGCAGCACCTGAAACAGGAAGTGACATCACATGTGTTCCGCCCCGCCCCCTCCCTCTGTCTTTCTTCTCTCAATCTGAGCCTTTGTTCGAGTCCAGAGAGGCAGGCACTGAAGAGCCATCTATTTATAGCCTATACCCCCCCACATGCTCACGCTCACGCACACATAAACAGACACACGCACGCACACACATCCATTCATCGCACACACACAGCTCTTATTACATAAAGTCATGTGCCGCGCACACATATGCCCGATGCATTATGCAGGTGGCTCTGGGGGAAGTCTCCGTTCGGGGCGAGGGGGAGCTGGGGGGTCTGTCCTCTGTCCTACAAGTGTCCAATTGTTGAAGAGGACATAAGACGCACACAGATCGTGTGCATGCTGTTGCTGTTCCTGATGATGATGATGGCGATGGCAGAGGAGGATCCTCGCTTCAGAGATGACTCAGCCTCCATGTTGCCATGGAAACTGCCTCTCTGCATCCGTCTCCTAGTAACAGCGTCGCCGGGGAAAGGAAGTGCACGGGTCCTTGTTTGTGTGTGGAGCAATTATGCAGATGTCAAACGCAAAATGTTGCACAGTGATGTTAACATTTCAATTTCCAATTGGCTCATTTGCATAATTACTCAATACAACACTAAATGTAACAAAACAGAACGGGAGATTTAGTGTGAGCAGCTTGGACATCGGAGACCTCACATTGATTTTGGTTTCTGGGTGAAATGTGAGAATCTTATGGAGATAGAGTTTTGTCACATGTTGAAAGAGCAGAGAGAGAAATACTCAAGATGATGCCATGAGTCTGATAAACTTTCCTATAGATGATACCATTTGATATTCCTGAAGCATAATAATAATGCATTGGTTTTATAAAGCTCTTTTTTGGACACTCAAAAACACCTGTCATGTGTCTTGCACTTCATACATGGTGGTGGTAAACTACAACTGTAGCTGCAGCTGCCCTGTGGGACAAAGAAGCGAGGCAACCAGTCTGTGCCATCGGCCCCTCAGATCACCATCATTCACACACACCAGACTCATTCTAGGCAATGTGGGTTAAGTGTCTATCAAAAGTATTTGGTTCTTTTATAACAGACAATAGTAGATAAGATAAGAGATCTTTTATTCGTCCTACATTGGTGACATTTCAGTGTTGCAGCGCACAGACAGGACAGTGGTAAGAGACACAGGGAGCACACAAAATATACAATATAAGTGCTGCTATGTTTCTAAGTAGGTTAGCGATGTTATAACCTTGTATGGTATAGGAACCAAACACTTTTAATTCTACTAATAAGTCAAGATGAATCCTCCTATGGAAAATACATCTCTTCTCATTGCCAAACTATACTATAAAATTAATAAAGTAAAAGTAGACCACAACTGTCTTCATCTTATCAGAAAACATAACCTTTGGCGTACTTGTAAAAAAGACCACTGTGAGTCCCTTTGACTGAGTGAGGGTCGTTCTCTCTTTTTCACTTTTCTGTCTGAAAAAACTGATTCAAAGATGCAAAAAACTAATGAAAACTAAAATGGATTTAATTACTTGTTTTGAAAAATAAGTGCCCCAGCTTTAAAGGGGACATACCGTGCAAACCTGGCTTTACACATTTGTCTACATAGTGTTTTTACCTTGTCATGTCCACACTCACAGTCGTTTTTAGAGTGATTCATAAATGTTTGAGTCATATTTCCTTACACCTGAGGACCCACTGCGCTCCCCTGGCCTCTCCACACTCCCACTCTTTACTACATCGCATCATTTTTTTTCCAAATCTCTTGTGTGGTTTTCCTATAGCACAAGTACACTGTATTTCTGCATGAAAATGAAAATAGTGACTGTAGATTTCTAGCATGAGGTACAATTTGGGTATATTTATTGACATTTCTGGACAGTGTAGGAGATGGTTTTTAGCTCATCAGTAAAAAAAATTAAAGGTTAGTGCATCGGCCTTGGAGTGACGGTTCTGCCGACCTTGTGTAAAGGGGCAGAGAGAAGATCCATCTGGCTGGACAGAGTAGAGTGTAGACAGCAGAGTGGCACAGCAGGTAGGGTTTGATTCCTCTGGACGGGGCCTTTTTGTGTAGAGTTTACATGTTCTCCCCGCGTCTGCACCGTCTTCCTCCAGGTGCTCCAGTTTCTTCTACCACTAAAAATATATACAATAGTGAATGAGTGAATGGATGGTGATGGTCAGAGGCCTCGATGCGCTAGTGTGTTCAGCTTCTGTCGTCACTGTGTGGGGGAATAGAAAATATATTTGTACTCCAAAAACATTGTGAATTGCTTTGGGTGATCTTGGTCTGTGAGATACACCATATGAATAAAATATGGCTTATTTAATAACATTGTTTTGATTGTCATTGAGATTTCAAATGTACTCATCATACTGTATGTGGTGGAGGGCAGCATGTGTTTACCTGGTGAAGATGAAGAAGACTGTCCAGGAGGGGGCGCAGGTGAGTCAGTGTCGAGATCAAGAGAAGACTTCACCAAGTCGCTGTTAGTACAGAAGCAAGAACGATGATTCATCAGAGTCCCAACCGTTCTCAGAAGAAGATAAATGGCAAATCTCTTTAAGAAGCAATATTACAAATGTCGTCTTTATAAAAACTTAGCAGACCATGCAGGAAGAAAACCTGCAAGCAAAATAACTTTAGGATATCATAATATATCGTAAGAGTCTAAAATGTTTGTTATCTAGCCTTGTTTCCACCAGCCCTACTTGCCTCTACCCGACTCTATATGCTTGTGTTTACATTAGACTTTAGCATCATGTGCTAGCAACCTACCCACAACAAACCAGTATCCATGGAAATTCCTTGGTAACCATGGCTTCCAGCAGCACTCTGGCCAATCACTGTCAGTTAGAACAATTTGGTACCAGCTCGGCCGGGATAGAACCATGTCCAAAAATGACAAACAAGTACCTGGTACTAGTTAAACAGGGCTAGTGGAAACGCTCCCAATCAGGGGAGAGTAGAGCTGTGTTTGCCAAGAGAGACTCTACCATAAAGTCCCAGGCATCATCACTGTGGCAGTCAATGAGGGAGATATAAAACAGTTCCTACCATGTGACAAGTTCCAAACGTCAAAGAAAGTTGATATATTCATTTATACTGACAATTGAATTTAGTAAAAAGTTCTAGAGTAGTTTTGTGCATTACTTTGTTGGACGGTGTTGCCTCTAGTTTTCCTAGTTATTTTAAAGGCACATTACTGCTGCTATAAGGTAGTAGCTCTCTGCCATTTCTCGTTGATAAAAGTTTTTCTCGTATCAAAACAGGTGTTGGAGACCTCTGGTGTAAACTATAGCATCTTTTACACATAAATTGACTCCTGGAGAGACATTAGGCGCTTGCAGACGACCTTAATAATGGCTGCGTTTGTGGTTTTTGTTCATTAATTTTAATCAGGCACTGGCTAACAGCTAGCATTGTACTGTGGACCCATTGACGTAAGCTGTGACGCATGGCAAGCCTGGGGGGCCCCAGAAGCCGTGGGGCGCCGCTCCCCTGTTTGAGAGAGAGTGTGTAAAGGTGAAGGGTGAAGTAGGAGAGGGAGTTAGAACAGAGAGCGAGGGAGATTGTGAGAGCTGAGGGAACAAGGAAGTGGGCAGTAGGTGTAAGAAAGTGACAAAGAAATATACTGAGACAACAGACGTCTGAACCTGCATGTATACTGAGACAAAAGAGGTCTGAGTGCATGTATACTGAGACAAGAGAGGTCTGAGTCTGTATGTATACTGAGACAGGAGAGGTCTTGAACCTTTCAACATTTCGCAATATTTCAGGCTTCAAACATAAAGATATAAAATTTTAATTTTTTGTCATGAATCAACAATAAGTGGGACACAATCGTGAAGTGGAACGAAATGCACCTGCTCTTTGATAGTCTCAAGGTTCTGTTTAAAGCGCAGAGAGAACCATGAAGACAAAGGAACACACCAGGCAGGTCCGAGATACTGTTGTGGAGAAGTTTAAAGCCGGATTTGGATACAAAAAGCTTTCCCAAGCTTTAAACATCTCAAGGAGCACTGTGCAAGCAATTATATTGAAATGGAAGGAGTATCAGACCACTGCAAATCTACCAAGACCTGGCCGTCCCTCCAAACTTTCATCTCAAACAAGGAGAAGACTGATCAGAGATGCAGACAAGAGGCCCATGATCACTCTGGATGAACTGCAGATAACTACAGCTGAGGTGGGAGAGTCTGTCCATAGGACAACAATCAGTCGTGCACTGCACAAATCTGGCCTTTATGGAAGAGTGGCAAGAAGAAAGCCATTTCTCAAAGATATCCATAAAAAGTCTTAAAGTTTAAAGTTTGCCACAAGCCACCTGGGAGACACACCAAACATGTGGAAGAAGGTGCTCTGGTCAGATGAAACCATAATCAAACTTTTTGGCCACAATGCAAAACGATATGTTTGGCGTAAAAGCAACACAGCTCATCACCCTGAACACACCATCCCCACTGTCAAACATGGTGGTGGCAGCATCATGCTTTGGGCCTGCTTTTCTTCAGCAGGGACAGGGAAGATGGCTAAAATTGATGGGAAGATGGATGGAGCCAAATACAGGACCATTCTGGAAGAAAACCTGTTGGAGTCTGCAAAAGACCTGAGACTGGGACGGAGATTTATCTTCCAACAGGACAATGATCCAAAACATAAAGCCAAATCTACAATGGAATGGTTCACAAATAGACGTATCCAGGTGTTAGAATGGCCAAGTCAAAGTCCAGACCTGAATCCAATCGAGAATCTGTGGAAAGAGCTGAAGACTGCTGTTCACAAACGCTCTCCATCCAACCTCACTGAGCTCGAGCTGTTTTGCAAAGAAGAATGGGCAAGAATTCCAGTCTCTCAATGTGCAAAACTGATAGAGACATACCCCAAGCGACTTGCAGCTGTAATTGCAGCAAAAGGTGGCGCTACAAAGTATTATAATAATATTGCACGCCCCACTTTTCCGTTTTTTATTTGTTAAAAAAGTTTAAATTATCCAATAAATTTTGTTCCACTTCACGATTGTGTCCCACTTGTTGTTGATTCTTGACAATTTTTTTTTTATATATCTTTATGTTTGAAGCCTGAAATGTGGCAAAATATTGAAAGGTTCAAGGGGGCCGAATACTTTCGCACTGTATACTGAGACAAGAGGTCCATATTCTCTGGCCTTAGAAATGCTTTGAATAAAGAGGGGTTTGAGTGAAGTGTTCCGGGGGGGTAAGGACTGGGGGTACAAAGGGAACGGGCTCAGCAACAGGGTGCTTTTGTTGGGACCACTGTGTGCACACTGAACACAACCAGAGCAGACTGCAGCCAACAACAACAGTGTCACGACAGGCAAAAGTATTTGTGTATCCATGTTTTAGAATGTGTAATTGTTTCTTACTTGTGAATATATGGATAAAAAATGTTTTGTGAAAGACCTCAACAAAGTGGCAGAAAATAGTATGGGTCACAAGCAAGCCCCGGCGATCCAAGATGGCGCCCTATTCAAATGAATGGTTGTGCTCAGTGGCTTTGAGACGGCATGGGGGTTGAGAGATTAGCGGAAGTCGCCTGGAACTCGCAAAGATCTATGGGAAACTCGGCTGTATTTGGGCATCGTCTGGTCCTCCCGGTTCTGTGCAGTGGATGATCTCCCATAATGCGTTGCGTCAAACACGCGTGTGAGGGTATCACACCGGGTCTCACGCACGTGCACAGAGGGGCTCGGCCGCGCTCTGACCAATCAGAGCAGTTCATCAGAGCGGGAGTTAGAGCGAGAGCCAGACGAGCAGAGTTTGTGGCACTAAAGTGTGGATTTAAAGGAAACCGAAGGATTTAAGAAGAAAAAGAGTTCAGGATGACAAGGGACACTAAAATCCCCACAAAATGCAATCTTTATTAAAGCTGTAGGTTCTCTGTCAGCTGAGGTTGCGCTGTTTTAATATGCATTGAGTTCTATGGGGAAAATTTCTGGGTAGCCCACGTGAATTGTCTGGTTCAGTCTGCAGTACCGCGAGAATCCCCCGAGCACATGAGTTATTCAGCTACAAGCTAGTAATACCCTATCCAGTTAATATAATAGATCCATGGTCACAAGACTGATTATTTAAAGTAAAAATCTGGCCAAAAGTGGTACTGCAGCCTCTCCCACTCTCCCTGACTCAGGTTGCCAGATATGCAGAGGAATCCAGCTGGGACCATAACAGCTGAATAGACAAGAGTTTAGTCAACAACAAATCTATAACCAACACCTTTTTCACAAATATAGAAATCTTTGTTGTATTCCTTGTTTTGTCATTAACAATTTGAGAATCATGACAAGACCTTTTTTACTTCTGCGGCCACATGGTACTTTACCAGTGAGATTAGCTCAACGCAGCGAGTTCTGGTGCCCGGATCACAGACTTTCTGATTGGTGAAACGGTGGAGGGCAAGACATCAAAATGAAAACAATAACCAGATTTAGGGGCTGTGAAACTAATTTTTACCATTTCATAACAGGTAAGAGCTAAATCTGTGCGTGTGTGGTTTATATTCAGAGCTGCGATTTGACTGTGACACTAAGTCTATATAGGCACCTTGAGCCTCCCATCTAAATGAATGAGAGGGGGAGGAGCATCTGAGCTAAAGGCTTTTTGAGCAGTATTTAAGACCTACAAATCCAGAGATATCATCTTCTGAAGCGCTGACAGGTCACCGAGGGCCCCACGCATCTGCAGCACAGTGGAGGCGTCACAAGAGGCGCTACAGGAGTCCCGGCCTCCGTTGTGTGCAACTTCTACAAAGGGACTGTAGAGAGCATCCTGACCAGCTCCATCACTGGGTGGCACGGCACCAGCACTGCCTCCTGCCGAAAGAGCCTCCAGCGCATCGTGAGAGCAGCAGAGAAGATCTGTGGAGCCCCTCTCCCCACCATTAAGGACATGTACTCCACCCGCCTCACCCGCAAAGCCGTCAGAATCACACAGGCTCTTCAGTGTAATGCCTTCAGGGAGGAGACTGCAGAATTTACGGAACAGTTCCAGTCGACTTAAAAACAGTTTCATTCACAAGGCCATCAGGAAGCTGAACTCCCTGCCCTCCCTCCCACCCCTCTTCCCCCACCCCCCACTCCACAATCAAGGATGAGAGAAATATAATTTCAAACCATTCACTTGGTTTGACAAATAAACATCTTCAAATCTTCAAATCTTGAGGAGGGGGGGAAAGGTGGTAGACAGAAGTGATTTGCGGCCTGTGATATCAACTGCTTCGTTCAAAATAAATTATTAATTGAAAGAAATATTGCATCATATACATCATGACGTTTTTTTAATTGTAAAACTGTTCAGTGAAAGTAAGCTATTTCTGGGAAGTCCACATATGGATCCAAATCTCCCGATTCTCAAAGGATCTTGCCGCAGATTACTCCAGTGTATCAATATACTTAACGCGGTCAGTGACAGCCAAATTCGTGGCTTTAGATGACATGGGTACAGATGACCCGTGACAAATTATCAGTGACAAATGATATGTGCTTGACTCCCAACATGTCGTTCGCGAAAAGCATCATGGGTAATAAGCACGTGATGGAAAACTTAGTATGGGCACTTGTCAATGAAAGTAAGAAGTTTCATGGAGTTCGATTTATGAAATTTTTTTAACTCATTCCTCCAATATACAAAGCTCGGACCAGTTTTGAAAAAAAATAAAAAATAATGAATGTATTGTTTTACTAACAGTATCCGATTATTTACACCAAAGTCAATTATTGGAAGTGTGAGAAAGCTCCATTGCCACTCTACCAGCATGGAGCGCTAACACCACCGCGGTATAAGCCTAGCTCCGGCGGATGTGGAGGAAGCCCGATTTAATTTAAAGAGTATTTTGGGTACTGGAGGGAGTGCGCAAGTGAGGGCATTAGTGGTTATTCAGCAGAATATAGATATAGTATAGTTAGGTATGTGTGAATTTTGGTTAGTTTTTTTTTTTTATTGTATGTAGTAGTTTTTGTTGTTGTTATATTTTTGTATTTTAATGATTTTTTTTTTTTCTTTTCTTTTCTTTTACAATTCCCTTGGTGGGAGTTAGAGTGTGAGCCTACTGACCCATCCGCGGAACAGAAGGTGGCGGTAATGCGCAAAAATAGGTCGCCAACCGCCGGAAAAACCTAACAAGAAGAAGAAGAAGAAGAAGTGGAGGAAGCCCGTCACTAGCATTAGCATAGCCGTGTATGCTAACACACAACCCCCGCGACACCTCCACTTCACCCGGGCCAGTACAAGCAGCGCCACCGCGGAGAAGCCAGGTCACCGCAGCCGACCACCAGCGCGGGTCATGCGGCTGTCCACAGGGGAATGAGCCGTAAAACCCCCGGGTCTCGGCACAGACTGCAGCAGGCTCCCTGGGATGACTGGCAGCACAGGTCCGTGGAGCTCCATGCACTTAGCTGTTAGCTGCTAGCTCCGTGTGACAGACTAGAATGGGAAAAGCGAAAGTATTCACTGAGATAACTGCGCATTTAAGGCATCGCAATAAGTATGTTTCAGGAAATGTGGTCTTACAGCTGTGTTCCCCTCGTCACAACATTACAACATTATATACTTTGTTAAGTCTAGTTGTTTACCCAAGATATCAACAGTCTGCAAGAAGGATCCCCCACATTTGTTGATTTGATCATTTGAAAATCACCAATAATAAAAACAAGTCATTTGTCACAAAAAATATACACATTTAACAAGTCATCTTTTAGTATTGCCATTTTGTTATTTAATAATTTGGCATAAACTTTACTTATCTGCCTTTTATCCTGCACTATATGTGCATTATATAACTCTGCACTACTATATATATATATTATATTTGGAAGACTGGTATCGAAGCATTTACAACATTTACAGATAGTTAAGTAATACAGCTACTACTTTTTTGTATATTTTGTGTGCTCTTACTACTGTCCTGTCTGCGCGCTGCAACAACGAAATTTCCCCACTGTGGGACGAATAAAGGAACTCTTATCTTAAACTGCTTTTACTCGTTCCACAGTGTAACTAAACATATCATAATCATTAGGACTACAGGTGAATGGCACATACAGAGTCAGTGTTCATTGTACAGTCTGAGAGATGGTATTCATGACATTCACAAACGGTACAAACTTGTAGGTGTGAAACGATTAATCAAATAAATTCCAGTGTTTCCCACACATAGACTAATCTGTGGCGCACCGCCACAGATTAGAGACCGCCCGCCACAAATTGCGTTTCGTATTATTATATATATATTTTTTTTGTTACGCTATTTAAAACATGCATCGTCTAGTGCCGCCGCAGCGGTCAATTTGACAGCGGGGAGGGGGGTTTAAAATGTGGCGGCCCTTCGTAACTCTCACTCAAGCTACGCGTCTCTCCCACATACAGAGACCTACACACACACAGCCCCTCCCCTTCGTGCACACCGCGTGTCTCCGTCTCCATCAGCGATCATCGCTGTAAGCAGCTGTGTCTATTAATTTACCGCGGTAAAGTGGCCCGCATCTTTCAGCTCTATGAACATGCGGCCCGCATCGGGGAAAAGACGGTGCGCGTTTTGTTGAGAACTTACGGTAACAGCGGAACGTCCTTTCGGAGTCACCCATTTTTATCGAACAGAAAGCGCGCTGGGGTCAGGGAGACACGTTTTTGTGATTAAAACCTTATAGAGATGCCACCCGGCACACATAGCACCAGCCCCCTACGATTCCTCCGGCAGATTGTGAGTCCTCAGGAGGATAGCCACTCTATTGTTTACATGTATAAAGTACACAATTTGGTCCGCTAGTGCAATTTTCAAGTATTGTAACTATTTACTGGAATAAGGTGTGCGACTAATTTCACTTGACTCATGACCTTATTATTGCCCTCTGCCACTGTACCAAAGACCAGAAACTTTTACTGTAGAAATATTGAGAAATATTGAGGTAAAGTAGCCATTTTGGTCCAAAATACCTCCAAAATAGTCAAAACATGTCACTTTTGATCTACTGTAACTTTTTACTGTAAAAAGGTGTGCGACTAATTTCACTGGATTCATGACCTCAAGATTGTCCTCTACCACTGTACCACTGTATCCCCCCCCCCGCCCCCCCCCCCGCCGACGACCACCACACATTGCCTTCAAACCTGTGGGAAACACTGTAATTGCATAAATAAATATAATTAAGCGTTGATTTCCATTTTGATGCCTCCATAAATATAACTAACCCTAACTTAAGCATTTCTACCTAACAAGTTTATTTTATCTTGCATATGAATCACTCATTTCCAAAAATATATATTAAATATACAGTTAACAATTGGGTAATAGTTGTTGTTGAAGAATTACTTGCATCTGTACAAACTTGGTCACTTTGGCCTTTGTTTATTGGTGAGTTATAAAGCGAGTAACTTTCCATAGACAATGTCCACATAATATCTATTTTATTATATAGTGTGGAGGACTATAGCCTTGAGTATGGGTCAGGGTTTTGAAGAAGATGCAAGTTTGCTAACAGGTGCATCATGTGTGTTTTCTCTTTAAGACTAAAATTTTCTTTGAATCAGCTCTTAATTCTGTTCATTCTCATTTTGCAAATTGCGAAAAACATCCTTTAACAACATGAATATAAGCCTTGTTTCCACCATCACTACTTGGCCCCACTTGCTGGTTAACAAGGAATTTCCCGGGTACTGATTTGTTGTGGGTAGGTTGCTAGGATACAGTACCAGATACCAAAGCGAAATGGAAACACAACCAGGTCGAGTACAGTAGGGCCAAGTAAGGCTAAGTAGGGCTGGTGGAATGGGGCTTTAGATGGTGGTCTTGCATTTCAAGCTAGGTTAGTTATGTCTGTATAGCTTCTGTCTGCATAAGTTTACTTTTTAATTTAGTTTACTGTAAATGACTAAAGAGCAACAGCCCAAGTTTTTTACTTGGACAGGCATGTACTCTATTGAGGTGGAATAAGTTCAAGTGTATAGAAATATTAGTACAAAAACACTGGTAAAAGAACATTTTGAAACAAAAATCTAAATAATAATATAAAGTAAATCAATACTTTTAATAATACCCAAATGTATTAGCCGAATGTTTCACACTTGCCAATATGACTAAGCAAAAGTGTGGCTAATCATAATTAATGAAATAACTTGCAATCATGGCTAACCACTTTAGACCATAGCATGCTTCAAACCTGTTTTTGTGTGCTGTTGTGAATAACTAATCATATAATAACAATATATAATATAACATATATTTAATTTGTGGAAAGTACAGGTATAAAGTGAGGCATAAGAATACAAAAAAGTTGTCATTAAATTAAACAGTACTTAAATAAAAAATACTTCAGATGCCAGCAAGAAGTAGCAAGTTTCCACCAGCCCTAGTTTCCACACAGCTCTTCTGTACCCAATTGGGCTTTTTCCAACGGCCTGTTTGACCACTAGCAGGTTCTTTTTAGCACCTGCTTGGCCCTGGTTCTATCCAGGCCAGTGAGTGCTGCTGGAAGCCATGGTTACACATCATATCCATGGATACTGGGTTGTTGTGGGTAGGTTGCCAGGATACGGTACCAGATTCTAAAATGCAACGGAAACACAACCAGGTAGAGTAGAACCGAGTAGAGTGGGGCCAAGTAGCGCTGGTGTAAATGGGGCTTTTGGACGTGCTTGCCTCTGCACAAACCTGACTCGTACTCGTCCTGCTGGTGTTTCCACGGACGTGTAGGGTGAAGAACAATATAAGATAGACTTTATTGATCTCACGCTGGAGACATCTGTCACATTTGGCATAAATATAGTATCACTCAGGTTGTGCAGAAGACAGAAAATGTCAAACATGTTGACACGTGAAAGAAGTAAGATATATTATGCACAAAATGTCACTTGTCTTTAGTTTCTTGTCATGCATTGAGGGAACATGTGGAACCGTGTGAGGCCGGTGTCACAGTCTCGTCTGGGTTAGTGACTTTGGGGGGGGGGGGCACCAGCACTACACCCCCACAGCTGAGGAACCCATGCCCGCCGTGCGCGCTTTACTCTGGGTGTGAGACCGCCAGCAGAGACCGTCCTCCAGCGGCCCGCATCTCTCCGGGTGGACACATGGACAGTGGGGCTGAGCTGTCACCGCTACAGCAGAGGCAACACCAGGCCGTGAGCCCCGGGGACAGAGCAGGGGCAGAGCAGCCACCCTCTCCAGTCCAGATCCATGCTCCAGCCTAGCTAACGCGGCTAACACTCTGCTAGCATCGGGCTAACAGCTGCGCGCCACACATCTGGTAATGCCATGCTCGCCGCGCAGCCAGGACCACTTGCACACACCAGTAAACTTATATTTGTGCTTAGAATGAAGTGTCGTGCTGTTGTCAGTGTGTGTCAGTGTGCACGTCTGGCCTTTGCGATGTGTCGTGCCATTGAATTGGACAAGCTTATCTGCAGTCTTCACAGATAGCTTACAGAGTTTATCTTATATCACTTGACAAAAAACTATGCTCGTGTCTGTCGTGTTCTTATGGGATTAACTTGCAGCAGAATGTTTTAACGCAATGAGACGTGTATAGAAACCATGCATTGTAAATTGTTAGTGGGCTTGCATCTCCACAAACCTGACTCGTGTTTGATTTGGGAGGGCCTCCTCTTGGTAGTTTTCTGTGGGAATGTCTGCAGCAGTTTCAGTACACTTGTCTATCAGCACAGAAATAGGCAGCTGACGTTGCACATGTGTATTTAGTCCATGCAGTTGTGCTTTTCTACATTTAGCGTTCCTATCAAAGGGTTTCTGACCAAGCACCAATCACCTCACTGTTGCTGCTTCATCACTGATTAAATGATGACATGTAATGTTTGGGGAAACGCTGTCTGTGAGGGCTGCACGTGTGCAGGGCTGAAATAATTAATCAAATGAACTTTGATCACGATTGCTTTGCCTGGATTAATCAGATGTGAAACTGTTGGCCATGAAATGCACAGAAATATTTCCAACACTTGTTTTTCAGATATTTCTATCTCCATCAGTCTCCAATTATATTTTAGGGTTGTTTGTTTAAAATGAGAAGTTTTCCCCAACAATATAATTAGTATGCCGTTAAGGCTGTAAAAAATCCATTATTGTACATTATTTGATGAATTGGTTAATACTATCATTGTAATAATAGATTAAGATTAAGAGATCCTGTATTTGTCCCACAGTGGGGAAATGTCCGTGTTGCATCACAAGTTATAGAACAGTAGAACAGGGGAGCACACGTTACCTGAACAGTAGCTGTCCTATTTAAAATAAAACAAACTATCTTGAAAATAATAATAGATGTAAAAATGTAACAGTATATACAAGTATAAAGTACTGTGTATTTTAGTAATGGCTGAAATAAATAAAATAAAGCTAAAAATGCTTTTATGAAACAAGTAGCTGTTTTTCCACTCCAATCAGAAATCACAGCCAACTTGTAACAATTGGTCCAACTGTGTTTTAAACTCTTCATCAAACTTCTAGACTTTGTAATAGTTTCTATTAGTACATAATTTTTTTACAATGTTTTTGTCACCAGACTTGATAGTTCGTTGTCCGCTCAGGAGGGAGTAAAGTCCAGAGACCACAGCCCGGCTGCGGTGCACGCTGAAGTGTTGTCTTCCGGTGGATCTGACCCAGCAGTGTCCAGCGATGCCTGCGCTGCTCCAGACACACGGGAAGACGGTCAGTCCACACACTCACCCACATACTTTACCACACACAACCATCTGAGTAATGAATGAAAACTTCTAAATAATGCATACATGTTCTTCAGCATTACGACTAAAAGGTATCTGTTACAATATTTTGTTCAGGCAAATTAATTGATACAGTAAATCAAGTTCTTAATAATAATAATAATAATAATAATCACAATACTTGCCGTATCGCAATATGTTAAGAATCGGTATAATATTGAATTGTGGCCCAAATTCCCACCCTTACTTATGCCCCTTCTTCCATATGTCGATCTGCTCCAATCAGGTCCTGTGTGTTTTTCAGGTGGACATGGCACTAGCTATGTTGGCCATACTACAGTTGATTGGAAGTCGCTGGGGCAAGAGTTGAGGCCCAATGACGTGACAACGGATTCTACTCCCTTCCAGCATGGATCCCGTGCTTTATCTACAAAGGACATGAGGAAATCACAGGGTAGGGCTTTCTGAATCACTGACTCTTGATGTCTGCTGGCTATTGATGGGTTTGGAGGTAATGAGTATGTGCGCCTTTTAATTTGGGTTAAGCCATAAATCAGATGGAGGTATCACTCTCAAAGACACACACTTCTTAATGAACAGATGGTCTGAAATGTCACTCATGCTGCCATTATATAATTGTCATCATCTTGTGTTTATGATGTCAATGGTACTTAGGGTTACGTAGGGTTAACAAGACGGCATGCCACTTATCATGACACAGAGCTGAGGTTAGGCCCGGACTTTAAGGTATATAAGAGGATTTTCCCGAAGTTTCCATCATGTCAGACTTTATAGACTTAGACTATTAGTGGAAGTGATTTTAAATGGATTTCTCCAAATAGAATGTCAAACTTTACCTGTCGACTGAGGCATCAGTGGGATGTCCAATCTGGCCTTTCAGCGCACGGCCATCATGTGAAAGAATCTCTCAAAACGCACATATGGCGGCCTTACGTGACTATCACCAGAATAATTGACAATTTGGAGGACCAACAATCTAAATGAAAAAAATCCTCCTATATACCTATACTATATATTAGGACACAGGATATTATGTAATTAATAGATTTTCCCGCTCAAGTCGTATTGGGCATTATTCAGGTATTTTGGAAAAAATAAATAACCTCTTTGACCTAAACCCATGATTCAGCTCCTTCACGTCAATATTGTAACATAAGCTACATTGAGAATATTGATCCGTCAATATCGTATTGGATAAATATAGGGCTGCATCAACGAATCGATAATATCGATAAAAAACGATTTAATAAAAGCGTTGGCAATGAATTTGGTTATCGATTCGTTGTGTCGCGCAATTAATACGTCACCGAGTGCGCGAGTTGGGCGCATTCTTGTAGTTCTATGGTTGAGCGGACGGACGCACATGCACCACAGAACTACACAACACTGCATGCACACTGCCGTAAAACTCCACAGAAGAAGAGCAGAGTGTGGCAAAGGTGGTCATTTTTAATACAGTCTACGGTGGAGGCAATTATTCGAGCAAGACCGCGTTGAACCAGTGCAGAATAGCGACGCGAAGGAAGCGTGCGAGTGTTGTACCGCACTAACTTTAGACACAGCGTCAGTGGGATCAGTGTTTCTCAGGGTCAGGGCTGTCATTGGGAGGTTCGGAGACAGGTTAGATTTGCGGAGAACAAGCCTGGAAGTCACGTCGGGGCGCCGCGACTCCAGCCTCTGCTAGTCTCCGGTAAAATCTCCGCAAATAGTGCCTCCCGCCATCACCGGGACAGTAACGTGTTGGAGAAGCCTTTGTCTGGTCTTAGACGAGAGAGGGGGCAGGGGAGAGAGATCAGGGTAGACGAGAGAGAGAGCGGGGGAGACGAGAGAGAGAGCAGGGGAGACACATTTTATGAAAATTCTAAAATCCACAATTTCCAACGCCATATGACGTCATAATATGCTAATTAGATGGGTACACTTATTCCCCACATAAAACTTTTGGCCATCCTCAATAATTCTGTAATTTGCAGAAAGTCTTTCTCTCCTATCACTTTTAAGTTACAGCCTTTTGAAATAAGAATGTCAAACGTTTTTGAGTATATGCACTCAACAACGTACAATTACCCTAAAAATGACTTAATTACACAAACGTGTCTTGTCTGTAATTGCTCTTTGGGTTAAACAACAAAACCTGTTTTTGTGCACTTTACTTTATACTGCAGAGCACACATTTGTATGTTTCTTTGTGTTGATCCAAGGCCACGTTTTTAATAACGGGATGGAAACTAAAAATGCTTTTTTTATCCGATTAATCGAAGAAATAATCGACAGATTAATCGATTATTAAAATAATCGTTAGTTGCAGCTCTAGAAAAATATCATCATGAGCTGCATGTGTGATGTTGCCACTGTTGTATTGTCCAGAGCAGAACTATTGGCAAAGCTTGGACGTGATAAACACCGAGCTGTTTTGTTTGGATTGAGAATAGACTTTAAAGCAGCTCTGCTTGTACAAGTCTCTCCATGGTCTCGTATCAAAGTCTGAGACATGTTGATATAGTAGTAGACATATGAACCAACTTGGACTTGGTTTATGTTGCTAAAGGTTCAAATCTAGGTTAAATATAATTCTGGTACCCTTTCTATTGTACTGTGATCTATGATTTTATGGCTTTGTGTGATTGTTTCTATCTTGTCTTGCTGAGAACTTTGAGTTGCCTTGTGTATAAACTGTGCTGTGACACTTGCCTTGGATGTTTGTGTCCTAATAGTTAAATGTGACTGTGATGCAGACAGAGGCATGCCTCACTCGGACGAGGCCCGACTGTCCAACCTGTTGCGCAGAGTGTCCCGTGAGGACGACCGGGACCGAAGGCTGGCGACGCTCAAGCAACTCAAGGACTTCATCAGCCACAGCGAGAGCAAAACGGTGAGTGCCCAGAAGAACACTACACAAGTCTCCAAGTGAAACATTTCCACTCCTAATTTGGCCTCCAGTGGTCTGGTCTTCAAGCTTTCATTTTTGTTTGTGAAGGTTAAGATTTATTGTGCAACATTGACTTGATGTTTTGCACCGTCACCAGTAATCACCCACTTTGTTTTAATATTTCAAATGATCCACAGCTGTTACAGATTTATAACTATAGTGCAGTTCAGTTATTGAAAATGCAGTCCAGGCTGCCATGTGAATAAGTTTCAAAATCATGACAAACCACCACTATGATGGTGGCTTGTGGTTGACAATTACGATATATTTTTCAAGCAAAATTATAATTTAATTGAATGTAAGTATGTTGTATGATTTTCGTTTGTCTTGCAGACATTGGGCAAACAACTGGACAATATCCTCAGCACCTTAAATGACATTTTGAATGAGAGGTAAGAATTGGTAGCCGCTGTTTGAATGAAATGAGGACGTGCTTGTGGTATCAACACTAACCCCAAACCTCTGCAGCAGTAAACTCCTGTGGGAGCTGCGGCAGGACGCGGCCTCCTGCCTGGGCCTGCTCTGCACCGTCCTGAGCTTTGAGGCCGAGCGCATCTTCAAGTGGATCTTTGTCAAGTTCTTGTCCTGCTCCCGGGACGAGGTGCGCCTGCTCTACCTGGTGGCGGCGCAGAGGGCCCTGGAGGCGGCCGGAGAGAGGAAGGCCTTCTCACACGTCATGCAGGTCAGGGCACACTCAGCACTCAGACCTCCTACACTTAAGACTCCAGCTCTAAATTAAATGTAAAAAATAGAGATCTTTTATTTGTCCCATAGTTTGTAAATTGTAATGCAACATTGAAATTTCCCGAGCAGTAGAAATGAGGAGCACACAACACTATGTATAGCACCACTCTATATTAAAGAACTCCAGTGAGAGTTTTGCAATATCAGCACAGTCTGTACAAGAGTTTTATAATATGTATTGGGGGAAACAAATTCAAAATAGTTTTGAAACTGGAATATTGAGCGGAAAGATCAAAATATATTTTTAATGGAAAAGTCTGTCTTCTGTGACTTTAATGAAAATCAATAAAAAATCGAAATCGTCCAAAGCTGGAAGTAAAATCGAGATTTTACTTTTTTGCCATATCGCCCAGCCCTAGTTGACAATGAAAAGCTGAATGCACCTCCTGACTTTATGTCTCACAAAGAGAGCTAAAGTCACTCAGATTGCCCCTGCTTCTGTGCGTTGTAGACCCCATAGCTCCTCTTCTAATGAGGAGGCATGACACATTAAACCAGGGTTGTCAAACGGGTCCTCAAAGATGAATCAGGTTAAAACTGGACTCACCTGAGGAAACGGTGTGGTATGCTCTTGCTCAGGTTGGAACTAAAACCTGCAGCTACACCGGTCTTTTGACACTCCTGCACTAAACGATAGTCTTTTGTGGAAAATGTAAAGGCAAAAGTATCTTAGGTCAACTGCCTTCAAGACTGCATGTCACCATTTTAACTTTGTGAATGAGCCATTTTTTTAGATGTTGATGAATACATTATAGCAGCCTATCCTGATATTTACTTAGGACACTATTCACTTAACCCGTGACCTGGCCAAATGGCAGGAATTTCCTGGGGCATGTTTTTGTGAACAGAGCTTTTTCTTTTTGCTGCTCCTCAGCTGGTGATGAACAACCTACAGTCCATCCTGGAGAGTGTGGACACGCCAGAGCTGCTGTGCCAGAGCGTGCGCTGTATCCTGCAGGTCGCACGCTGTTACCCACATGTCTTCAGCACCAACTTCAGGGTGAGCTCTTGTCCTGTGTGGCTCCTGTATGACACTGCATTGAGTGTCAGTCAATAAGATGTCAACACTAGACAAGAAGAGCTGGACCTTCTGAACACTGGAGATGCTGACTTGTCTGACTATAGAATTCTACTCATGGTGACATGTTTCCATTAATCAGTAAAATGGTGTTACTTATTGGAAGAGGAGACTGTTCTATTCTGGGAGGCACAAACAGACACTATATATTGATGAAGCTGGAAGTGAGGCTTTGCTGGTCCACACCTTGCCTTTGCTACTCTGTCCATCTTACATCTACGTAGCGGTTTGGGTCAGGACAAGGACCTCAGCTCCTGTGTTACTCCTGCTTCTGCTTCCCACGTGCTCTCTGTACTGGCCTGGTTAAAACTGCAGCTGTTTGCTTCACAGGACACGGTGGATATCTTGGTGGGCTGGCACATCGACCACACGCAGAAGCACTCTCTCACACAGCAAGTGTCAAGTAAGGACCTGGCCTTTTTTTACATTTTGACTTCCGTCTTTGTCTAATGTTTGCATGTTTTCCCTGTGTAAGGCTGGCTGCAGAGCCTGGAGCAGTTCTGGGTGGCAGATCTCACCTTCTCCACCACCCTGCTGGGGCAGTTTCTCGAGGACATGGAGGCATATGCAGAGGTGATAAGGACAGTTAAGTTTAGGCAGTTAGTTGGTTAGTATGTTGACTAAAGAGCCTTCCTCTGCTGTGGGCAGGACCTGAATCATGTGGGCACATTGGAGGTGCTAGAAGAAGACATCCCTCCTCCCTCTGTGTCGCTGCCCAAACTGGCTGCTCTTCTGCGGGTCTTCAGCTCTGTGGTGCGCAGCATAGGAGAAAGGTTTAATCCAATCAGAGGGCCTCCCATCACTGAGGTCTATGTGAATGATGTAAGTAACAGAGTTTTACCCACTTCACACATGGTGTAAGTGTGTCACGATGGTGACCGTCCCTATGTGTGTGCACAGGTGTTGAGTCGAGTGCTGTCGTGTGTGAGCACAGCCAAACAGGTGCAGTTCTGTGAGTCTGTTCTGACTGCGGGGAATGAGTGTGTAGGTGTGCTCCTGGCCAGTGTGGAGCCCAGCGGGCCCCTCATGGATGCAGTGCTTGCCTATGGACTGGACCAGCTGAACTGCTGCAGGGCCTGTGGCTCAGACTTCAACCTGACTGTACTCAGCCTGCTCACCCTGGTACATCAGCTACTAAAGAAGAAAGCATGTTCTTTGTTGTGAAGAGGCTCTAATCATATGACTTCACAGATTGTAGAGCAGATCAACACCAAGCTGCCAGCGTCTTACGTGGAGAAACTTCTGGCCCCAGACTCTCTGCTTCTAGAGCTCCGCTTTCACCGAGAGGAGGAGGTATGTCTGCATCAGCTCATTCATACGTTTACCCAGTCGAACATTGCCTCAGAGCATTTGTAAACCGCTCTCTCTCTGCAGGTGATGTCGGCGGTCCATGGGGTGTATCAGGCCCTGCTGAGTCTGAAGAACATTCCTACCCTGGAAGCAGCCTACAAGCTGGTTCTGGGGGAGATAGCGTGTGCTCTGTCCAGCCTCCAGAGCAGCCTGGAGCCCAGTGCACAGGGCAGCGATACTCCACCCCTTACCCTGCAGCACCCAGCCTTCTCTTCCCTCATTCTGTCCCCAGACAAGGCAGAGTTCACGGTCATCTTCAACCTCAGCACCCTCACCACTATCGGCAACACCAAGAACTCCCTGATCGGGGTAAGGAATGGCAGCGCAATGACTATTATTCATTGTGATGGGAAATATTATCATTTGTTTATCCATAGAGCCTTCTATCAAATGTGTTTGTTACTCAGAGGAAATTCCTGCACACTGCTCTGCTTTTCCTTCCTCTCTTCTTCGTGCATGTGACTGTCTGGTTTCGGGCTGCAAGATAATATGTATAAAAGATCTGTAAGGCAACATATGTGAGAAATGACATCTACAGCCCATAGATAAGAGGGAAATGACACATATCTCTAGCCACTAAAATGGATTTGAAATTAAACAAATAGATGTGCATTACCTGTAGGGTGTCAGTTTTAATTTGAGACATTACCTTTTTTAAAGGCACACCGTGTAACTCTTGGCCACTAGGGGCGCTAGACCTGCAACTTTCACGTTTAGCGCCCCTAGTGGCCACAAGCAACTCAGCACTGTCGCAAAAGTCAAACAGTCAGCCGGTGTCTTTTGAGTGTGTATTCAGACAGCATGCACTGGTGTGTGTGTTCAAACTGTAGAGACATGCCTACAGATATTGAGAGACTCTGCTGTGGTCAGCCTCCAGACCGCTGCATTAGTAATCTACCACACATGGACTTCTATATCCTGGATGAGGGAGTTCTGCGTCTAGCTCGTGCTGCGTGGAATGACATCGTTGCGGTCGATGACATCCAGGAACCAGGTGAACAGCAGCGCTCATACAGACATGCAGCTTACAGCACGATCCCTTTCGCGTTTCCTCTTTTTAGCCTCCTCCAAAGGTTTAAAATTTTTCCTTGCCTCAGCCATGACCAGGAGTCGAGCAGGTGAAAAATGAGTAGCAAAAGCCTTAGCTCCATGAGTATATCAGCGCCTGTAGCCGTAAAGCAAGTCTTTCTTCCAAGTCACGTGACCTGGTGGCAGACGGTCCGTCTGCTCGAAAGTTACATGGGCGGTATTTCAAGAGGGCAGCCCCGCTCGGAGCATTGCAAGTGTCAAGCGCTGTATATTGGCCCAAGTATTCATATAAAATAACTCATATGTGTCAACTCTTTAGGTCACAAAGTCCGCGGTGTGCCTTTAAGAAATGAATTGTGAAAGTTACAAAGGTTGACACCTTGTGACAAAACCCTCTGGGTGTCACGGTCGTCTTAAGTCTACAAGATGCGGTACTGTTCAAAACAGCCCGTTGTGTCAGAGTGTGAAACTTCATTCAAACTCCTACCACTAGTTGGCAAACATGTCATACTTGTCTTCTATACAAAATATTTGAGCGACAGCACGTTGAATCACAGTATAAAACATAGCGAAGCAAGTGTGGCTGCTGTGCAGCGTGCGAGTGTAATCCTACGTCAAGCACAATCTTTGGACACTGCGCAGTGTCTGAGATGGAACAGTGTTTCACGGGGTCAGGCGGTCATTGGGAGGGTTAGAGGTATGTTAGTTTACGGAGAACAAGCCTCCGCTACAGTCTCCGCTAATTATGCCTCCATTGGACAGTAACATGATGGGAAGCCCTTGTCTTGTGTTTTGTTAGAGATGGAGAGAGCAAGGGCAGAAATTATTTTCACTTTATTACAAAACATCTAGCATGGTACAATAGAGTTTTGATTGTATACCTGTCAGTAAAAAAATACAAATATTTCATGAAATGTTTTAAATCAACGATTGCCACCGACTGTGTGACGTCATAATATGCAAATTAGATGGGTACACTTAACCCTACATAGACGTTTAGCCATCCTTAATAATACTCTAATTGACAAAGTCTTTCATCACTTTTAAGTTATATCCTTTTTGAAACGTATTTTGCTTAAACTGAAATACATAGAAGAAAAGGTGTGAGAAAAATGTGGTTAGGGTTTGTCCTGGATGAAGTCCTATGTAATAATCATCTCATGTTTAAGTCTGAATTAAAACAAAGGATAGTTTTCAGGAGCTTTATCCATTATATTGATTTCACTTTTCAGGAGCATATAAAATGATGTTAGTTTCCTCCTGCTGTCACTGACTCGGCCAATGCGCTGCTACTCGAGTACACCTACAGACGTTGTAAATCTGTGTCCCCTTTACTTGTGTTGCAGATGTGGGCGCTGTCTCCCACCGTGTTCGCTCTGCTCAGTCAGGACCTGCTGCTGGTGCACACTGAGCTGGCTGTGTTCTACCCTGCAGTTCAGTACGCGGTGCTCTTCACACTCTACTCCCACTGCACCAGGTGAGCCATGTGAGCCTCGTACGCCTCGCACACTCACTGGGGTACAGCTGGAGGATCCCAGTTTGCGGCTAAAGCTCAATCATATAAGACTTGTGTTTTGGGCTTCAAGTGTGTCTGGTATTCATGTGTAAAAGCACCATGTGACTCTCTCTGATATGACTTACTTAGATCATACTTAAACCCCCTTCTCCCAGCACATGTGTAATCCTGTGCCTAAATAAATGGGCCTAAAGAAAATTGTCATGATTTTTCCCAAGTAATAAATATAATAATTTCCAAGAATCTGGCTGCAGGTTTTACTTCCAACAGTTCCAAACTGAGCAGGAGCACAGATGACTCCACCCATTTCCTCAAATCTTCAGGTTAAAACTGGACTCACCTGAGGAAATGGGTGGAGTCATCTGTGCTCCTGCTCATTTTGGAACTGTTGGAAGTAGGGCTGGGCGATATGGCAAAAAGTAAAATCTCGATTTTATTTCATGCTTTGGACGATTTCGATGTTAAATCAATTTTCATTAAAGTTTACCCTTTAAAATATTTCTTTAATCTTTCCGCTCAATAATCAAGTTTCAGAGCCATTTTTATTTTGTTTCCCCCAATACGTATTATAAAAGTCTTGTACAGACTGTGCTGATATTGTAAGTATGATTCATGTGCTGCTGGAACTCTCACAATATCCTTCATTCGAGTTCACGATTTTCATATTTTTCACGAATTAAATTTTTTCAAAAGCTGATTAATTGCCTAAATTCGATTTATTGCCCAGCCCTAGTTGGAAGTAAAACCTGTAGATGCATGTGCAGATGCACATGCACGTGCAGATGCACATGCACATGGCCCTTTCTGGAACCGGTTTGAGACCCCTGGTTTAGATAATACAGTTTGTTTGTATTAGTGATGCGGTCGCTCTATCAGACCGTTGTGGTAAAGAGGGAGCTGAGCCGAAAAGCAAAGCTTTGGATTTACCGGTCAATCTTCGTTCCCTCCCTCACCTATGGTCATGAGCTTTGGGTAATGACCGAAAGAACGAGATCGCAGATACAAGCGGTCGAAATGAGCTTCCTCCGCAGAGTGGCTGGGCGCTCCCTTAGAGATAGGGTGAGGAGCACGGTCACACGGGAGGAGCTCGGAGTAGAGCCGCTGCTTCTCCACGTTGAGAGGAACCAGTTGAGGTGGCTCGGGCATCTGTTCAGGATGCCTCCTGGACGCCTTCCTGGGGAGGTGTTCCGAGGAGGCCCCTGGGAAGACCCAGGACACGCTGGAGGGACTATGTCTCTCAGCTGGCCTGGGAACGCCTTGGGGTCCCCCCGGACGAGCTGGAGGAAGTGTGTGTGGATAGAGAAGTCTGGGCGTCTCTGCTTAGACTGCTGCCCCCGCGACCCGGCAACGGATAAAGCGGAAGAAAATGGATGGATGGATAGTTTGTTTCAACAGAAAGAGTAAATGTTGTAATATATCAGACCACACCACTGTCTTCATCTCATTTGAACATGTATCTTTTGAATAAGAAAGAGCCCTGTGAGTCACTTTTTGACAGTTTGGGTTTTCACATGAAGTAGTTTTTGTCACATCTTTAGATCCTCTCCTCTTCACTGATCTATAGATGTGACAAAAACTACTTCATGTGAAAACTCATGATGAAAGCAAACATTTCAGGGACAGGAACTGGTGACATGGACTTTCTGACACTGTTAAACTTGTATGGTTTGATAATCGTCGGTCAATAAAAGCGAGGAAGTCCTGGAAAAGCCCTGAACTACTTCCTCTTCCCCCGTACACACTTTTGAACTGAGGCCACGTGTTTTCTTCATGTTTGTGTTGTGTTCATGTGTGAGCAGACACGACCACTTCATCTCGTCCAGCCTGTCCTCGTCCTCCCCCTCCCTGTTCGACGGAGCGGTCATCAGCACCGTTACCACAGCGACCAAGAAGCACTTCAGCACCCTGCTCAACCTGCTGGGAGGCCTGCTGGTGAAGGAGCACCTCTACTCCGAGTCCAGGTATCTGTGTTTGACCATACCCACATTGTTATTCAGTATCTGTCATTCAGCTAACTTCAGCTCCGTCAAATGTCAATCACTATGGACATGTCTAACCTCATGTTAACGCTCAGTCTGACTTAAATAAAGTGGCCCTCACGAAAGGCTTTTTTTCAAACTTGTGACACAATGACAAATTCTCAGATGTTATGGTTCAATTTATTTCATACATTTTTGGACATTCAAAAACAATTTCAGGCACTTGAGGGGGGAAAAAATCTAAAAAAGGTCTGAAAAGGGAATGGGCTGAAGCTAAACCATATAGACACCACCCATTTCTTCAGGTGAGTCCAGTTTGATTTGAGGAAATGGGTGGAGTCTGGTCTGCTCCTGCTCTGGTTGGAACTAAAACCTGCAGCCACACCGGACCTTTCTGTTTGACCAGTTTAACCCCTATGTATTAAATGAAAAGTATTGCCTCCAAATTCTATTGTCAAATGACTTTTTCAACTGGTACCTTCAGTTATGATAAACATTATTGATGTCACATTGGAGAAAAGTCAGACTGTGTCCACTAGATGGCGCTGTTTGTTTGTGTATTCCTACTGTTGTGTGTGTGTCCAGGCGGCTGGTGCTGACCTGGGCTCAGGAGGTCTGTGTGGTCATGAGGAAGTGTGACACTTACAGCCCTCTCTTCTCCCTGCCCTCCTTCACTCGCTTCTGCAGAGGGCTCCTGGCAAACGGTACTCCCCCCACACACAGCCTTTTATATGAGATGGACTATGCTAACCTGCTAGCTCAATGAAGCCCAATAGGGAGGAGCTCATGGACGAAGCTTTGCTCCAACTCACTCTTGCTCCTATTGACTTACATGGAAAAGTAAACTCCCCTAGCTCAGTAACCGTTTATGTCACACTCACTATTTAAGATTAAATCTGTGGTTTTGCTGTTTTTGATCTATTAATTATTCTAATTAATTATAGGCTTTGTAATTAATCGAAATTATTAGCTATTTAATTGTATATAAATATTTGATCTGAGAACGATGTTATTCAATTTATTTCATGTTATTCCAGTATAGCCCTAGATCACAACAGTAGTCATCTCCGAGGACTTAACAACCCGTTGAAATCGCCAACAGACAAAAAGAAGGAAAACGCATGGTTTTGGTCCATACATGTTGTAGAATGTTAAAGTGTCCTGGATCATCACCACAGTCCTTCTTGTTAGACTCATCTTCCAATTTCTTTTTAGATTTTTAGTATACCTTTGAATAATGACTGAGTACATAAGCTTAAGAAACAAAATATTGTTTCTTTTGTCCGGCTGCGTTTCTCTTCACCAAGTGTGTGTATATGGGACCCGTGTGTGTACTGCACATGTGGAGAAGTCTTTACTCACTTGAAATGTACCGACTGTGGGACGAATAAAGGATCTCTTATCTACTGTTGTTTGTGTTGCAGCGCTGACTGAAGACCAGAGCCTGTGTCTGCAGACATGTACTGCCCTCCAGGTGATCTCCTCGGCTCTGTCGCCGGAGCTCATGCACAGGTAACTGCACTCGCCTGGATCTGTGGCCTGAGCCGAGCCTGCAGGTCCTTGGTCACTTTTACAGGGCCCATGTCTTGGTTGTAAGTAAAACTAGTTAATGACTCTTTGGAGTTGTGGGGAGCGTGAACATCGGAAGACAGACACAAGATACAAACACAGGAAATGGTAGAAGACAATTAGAATTGTAAATGAATTATCAGATTTGAGACCAATTTTCTAAAGTTTTGTGACAGCCTTAGTTTTTATACAGATTAAAGTTATATCAAAGGGCGTGCGCCACAGCAGATATTATTTTGCAAATTAAAATTGAGACCCGTGAGCACCGAAACCACAATCCCGACTCAATTCCAGCCAGAAGGGGACGAGCCCGAGTCCCCTTCCCCAGTCGCAAGTCTATAAAAAAAAATGGCACAAAGAATTCCGACTCTGCAGTCCACTGCTCTGGAACAGTAATTGCATAGTAAGTAAGTAAGTAAGTAATCTTTATTTATATACCGCCTTTCACAGACCAGAGTCACAAAGCGGTTTTATTTTTTGGGTACTTGTCCTCTCACTCCACACAGAGATGAGAGCGGGGTCGCCGAACAGGAGGCGCATGCCAGAATTATTGGACATGTTTTTAGTGGTAGGGGAAACCGGAGGAAACCTACGCAGACACAGGGAGAACATGCACACTCCACTCAGAAAAGGCCTGGTCCGACCGGGATTCGAACCCAGGACCGTGCCGCCCACAACTTTTGTTTGAAAGGATAGTTTAGAAGGAAAAGTGAAAAAGACAGAGCCTAACCCTAACCAGTGACAATCTAGTCTGAGAGTTTTACCAGCGAGAGATCATGTCTATCAAAATGCCATATCAGGTCCAAAGCATGTGACAATATGTGTGATAATATTACCCTGGAGAAGGCGGTACAACTAAGGTGTGTGTTTGTGTGTTGCAGGTGTGTGGATGTGTGCAGAGTCCAGCTGGTCCACTCTGCGGTGCGCATCAGACAGGCCTACAGCAAACTGCTCAAGACTCTGCCTCTGGACGTGGCTCTCAGGTGAATCCCTGCTCCCTGTGCACACTGTGTCCACCTGGTATTTCCAAGACCAGGGATTGAATGGTTTTCTGATCATCACAAAGCTCTCATAGTTCATCTTATTCTCTGAACGCTGGTGGTGGCAGCATGCGGGTGCATGTGGGAGATTTGACTGTGTCCTCTTGTCCTGCAGTAACCAGAGTCAGTCCAGGCTGAAGGAGCTCTCTCAGGCCATCCGCCGTCACATCAGCCACGGCTCCAGCAGCACCTTCCACCCCCAGGACTTCAGTGACCTCATCAGCTTCATCCTGTACGGAGTGCTGCACCGCGGAGGGTACGCCACTGATGTAACCGTGGAGGTGTTTTCATGTTTGTGGTGGTCGGCTGCCAAGGGTCTGATGCCGACCTCCATCTTTTGGTTTTGCTGATACACAACAAGAATGAGTGTTATTTATTCTGCCAGTAACTACAGAACATTTAGTGCTTTACATAAATTAATAGGGTGAAGAGGTCAAGCTTAAGCGCTACAAAATGTGCTACACTAATATTTTGTCTCTGTATCAGCGTTTAAAAGAATGTTGCTCTTTTCCATTTTAAGAGTTTGGAGAATAAAGCTAGTCCATTTCTTAAAAAAGCGGCTAAATCATCATTACTCTGTATTACTGTATACAAATCAACCAAACATGAATTGTTAAAAACACAAAGTTAACACTATTAGATTTCACTTGGAAGTACAAAGATGAAGACCTCACTAATGATAACTGCTGTGAAGTTTGTGTGAATGTTTCCCTCTGTCAGACTGTACAATAAGTCACTTTACGACGACCTGCACTAGGACTCCACCTTTGCAGTGCCATAGTGGCTTTTTACTTGTACATAACATACCATATATCTTTTGCACATTTCCTGTCTTGCACACCCCGAGTGACCCTATTGAAGCCAGGACATTTCTCCATTGTGATATCACAAAAGTTTTATCTTCTCTCTTTGGTCCCGCAGCAAAGAGCCGTGGCTGGAGCGTCTGTACCAGAGCTGTCAGAGGCTGGAGAGGCGTGACGGTCGCGGGGCCGGGGAGAGCTCGGGGCCCGGCCTGGTCCCTCGCGCTCTGCTGAAGACAGAGGTGGTGCTATGGCAGTGGGCCGTGTGGGAGGCCGCGCAGTTCACAGTTCTTTCCAAGCTGCGCACTCCGCTGGGCCGCGCACAGGACACCTTCCAGACCATAGAAGGTACGGCTTCCATCTCTGCTAAAGCTGAGTTGTTTTTCTTTTGGATATGGGATTGCACTTTTATTCTAAAATACATGCTAGAATACTACAAAAAAACAGAAAATGGTCTATACCACCTGGGTTTTATATTGAATCACCAAAATTAAGTAGGAATCATGATCTAGTGTTGTTACAGTGTGAAACATCTGTAACCGGTATATTAAACACAATGTTGGTACAAAAATAAAACCCCTATTTTTGTTCAAAGAAGGACCTTGTGTGTCATGTTAAATATACTTTTAATAGACTGTAGGTGTAACTGATAACTCAGGGCAGGAAATAAAGTGTCAAAGATATCAAAATATCTAAACAGAAATGCTCTCTAACTTGCGAAATATTTTGGAAGTCAGGAGTCAGTCCGGGCTTCCAAAATGCAGGGATAAGGATGCAGCGCAGGAGCATCGGATGAACACACTCTACAGCATGAGAGGGATTCATGGGGTTCACAGTTAGCCCTCGGAGCAACATGAAACTAGTAAAATGCCAATGGTCACTAGTAAGTAAGTCTCTAGTAGTAGTAGTTCCCTTTTCTTTTACCGCCCGGGGACAGGACTATGCTCGCCTCAAGCCCTGCTTTCATCGAGTACGTTCCTGATCCTGAATGAAGGTAGAGACTTTAGCACAGATTACTGATGTATAATGTTGGAGCTGTTGTGGTGTTTTGCAGGAATGATCCGCAGCCTGGCGGCCCACAGTGTGAACCCGGAGCAGGACGCAGGAGCCTGGTTTGGGGTGGGCACAGATGGAGACTGTCACCACTCCAACCAGCTGCGTCTGGCTCTGCTGCTGCAGTACCTGGAGAATCTGGACAAACTCATGTACAACGCCTACGAGGGCTGTGCCAACGCACTGTCGCCGCCTCCCAAGGTTCGTCTCACAAGGATCCAGCTGTTTCATGTCAAACAATCTTCATACTTTTAATATCTGCTGATGCCCAGTATGAACTAGCCTGGTCGTACCATACCATAGTACAAATTACAGTTGGTACTAAGGTCTAGAGGTGCTCCATTGAGCTCCGTGAACAGGTGGGAGGGGTTAACTCCTTTTGCAGATTGAAATGATTGGATCTGAGTTTACTTACTTAGCCATCTCCTTTACCGCTAACGGAGCCCATGGGGAGTAGCGCCACAATTTATTCTAGCAATTACATTAGCTAAACATTCCTATTGCTCCGGCTTCAATTTCTTGATAGAACCAGACCAGATTACTTTACTATCGCATTTTTTGCCCCTGCCAAACTACGACCTTCCCGTTCGACGCAAACTCTTGACGTCACCCACAACTAACTACAACACCCGCCTTCCGCGCTCGCTGGTAGGTCAGTCGAAATTCAACCGATTGTAATCGCTAACACAGCGACTAGACCCAGACGTTACATGCAGTGAAATGATGATTGAGCCGAGTGTACGGATGGATAAGGCCAGGCTAAGTATGAAGCAACTCATTGGGGTATTTATCAGTTATCCTGCAAGTAACAAACCCAATGACCTTCTAGGTAAATGTCAACCTGTAAATAGTCAGATTATTTTATTTGAATGTATCCAAACAGGAATATCTGCTTTAAGAGCGTTAAGATTGCTTTGTTGGATTAATAGTTGAAATCTCTTTCCCCCAGGCCATCAGGACGTTCTTTTACACAAACAGACAGACGTGTCAGGACTGGCTGACCCGCATCCGCCTGGCTCTCATGAGGGTGGGGCTCCTGTCGGGTCAGCCTGCAGTCACCATCCGCCACGGCTTTGACCTGCTGTACGAAGTGAAGAGCAGCACCCCACAGGTCTGCACACATTCACACACTCAAAGCATTATCCTTGTCCTGTATATAATACGGATGAGAAAAGTCCCAGTTTCTGTGTTCCATTGTGTTTTTTTATGTTTTGAATAGGTCTATCTTGAATGGTGGCTGATCTGTTTCTCTATCTCATGCTGCTTGTCTTTTGTCTTAGGGCCCAGAGCTGGAGGTGGTGCTCATGCTGCTGGTGGATGCTCTGTGTGAGCTGCGTTGCCCCGAGGCCATCCATGGGCTGGTCTCCTGGAGCCTGTCCAACACGGGCCGCAGTCTGGGCTGGCTCTCCTCTGTGGCTCTGCAGGCTGAGGGCCGGTGAGTGCACTCTTTAACCCACAGCGGAGCAAGTCAAATGTTGACATTATCATTGAAAATTAACCATTTCATCATGAGTCACGATGGTTGTCATTTGAGTTTCATAAATGATACATGTTGTTTGTCCGTGTGAGACCTCTTGCATACTTGTGAGAAAGAACCCTGTGACGGTTTGAAAAAAGTGACATAAATACATTTACTCGAGCATGGAACTAGTTAAATGTTTTTGTTCTTTTAACATAATATCCTGCGCAGACTATATTTTTAACGTTAACATGTTGCACACTTCTGTCTTTTTTGCACAATCAGTGATTCTATCTGTGCCAAATGTGACCAGATAGAATCTCAGCCATTTGGTCTCTCCAGCTTTAGTAAAACATGTTTTCAAATTGTTATGCAGGCTTTAGAAAATAAAATAAAGCATGTTAAAGTGTATTTGTGGAAAACCTAAACTCCTAATGACCATTATACTATTATATTTTGTTTCCTTTTTTCTATGGAAGACTATCTGTAAATGATTGTCGTAAATTGTCGTGATTTGTTCACACTTTAAATGAGATATTTTGACTTCAATAATGTCCTGCCCCTGCTGATGTTCACAGTTTTGAGAAAGCTGCTTTGGAGTACCAGGACCAGCTGTCTGCCGTTACCGGAGAGGACTGTTCCATCACTGTGGCTTCTCCGCTGCTGCGAGTGGGTAGCAACAGCAGCAGCCCCAAGCACGGCATCAACGGTAACACAACAATAACACAACAGTAACACACAGTAACGTCATTGCAGTTCAGCTCGAGGACTGCATCATAATTCAGAAAAATACTCCTCAATCTCATTTTTTGTGACCTTTTTGTAGCATTGACATGGACATAATGGCATTGATTTTACTAGACAAACTGCCACGCCTCATGGAAGGTCCTTTTATATCACGGGGGGTCAATGTGTACATCACGATCTACCGGTTTATAGCATTGCATCACGTATCGGACCATAACCCAACAGGAAAAGCCACAGCGCGCCACATGAGCTTCCCCACAGAGCCTGTGCACTAGAGCAGTTTTATTTTAGTTTTGTCCATTCTCAAACGTATTATTTTTTTTCTTTTGAACATACAAGAGTTGCATTTTTACAGTAGGATACAGAGCGTAGTAATGACCAACGCGAGAGACGTTTTTATCCCCCACACATTTAGGCACCGCATCAAGTGAAGTTCTGACGGCGCTAACAGAAAGCGCCCACGAGCGTCTGAATGGTCAAAGTAGACTGTAGTAAACGAGGTGTGATCGTCTCTGACAAGTATGAGCACAAAGCAGTTATAAGTGACGTTTACAACATAAGACAACACACAAACACACACAACAACACAAGTATTTCTTTCCTGCCAAGAAAATGTGAAATTCAGACACCATGGTCCTTACTTGATCTTGAATCAAATCAGATAGCCCTCCCTTATTATTTGATTATATGAGGTGGATCACTGCTCAATGGTTGCCGGAAAAATAGATCTTGGTTTTGTTAAGATAAATAAATGCCTACTTTCTTAAACTATATAGATGGAGGTATCTTATATTTAAATTTGGATGCACCCTGTCCTTGTTAGACCCTCTGCTCTGACACCCATTGTTGTCCCTTTGTCCAGGAGACAGTAAGAAGACGCTGCTGCTGAAGACCTCTGAGGGCTCTCCGGAGGTGCTCACCTTCCTGGCTAACAAGGCGTGTCAGTGCTATGTGGCTCTGAGCGACTGGGACTCTGTGAAGGAGTGGCAAAAGAACATCCACTCCCTCAAACACAGCGCGTCGAACCCCCAGAGCATCAGCCTGAAAGCAGACTTCAACTACCTCCAGGCCCTCAGCCATTTTGAGGCCGGGGAGCTGGAACAATGCAGGGCCCAGCTGGAGCTTCTCCCTGGAGAGGACTGCAGTGCATTGGCTACAGGCAAAGACAAGCTGGGTAAGGATGCACCCCATATGTCAGCCCTTTTATCCAATGAGTATGTGGCAGTCTAAAAGAAGGCACTCTGTTATAAAGCAAAACCCAATTCGAGGCAATACTTAATTTGAAAAGGCTCTGTCCACAACCTCTTAGGCTGCGTATTAGTTATAACAGTGTAGAGAGTTTGCAAATGGAGCAGAGAGCCCGGAGGTGTCCAAACCTTTTATTAAGAGGGCCACATTAGTTCACAGGGCTTGTCCAGGGGCCGACAACCCGCATTGTAGCACTGTTTTGACTGGATTCGGGATGTTCTGAGCTTTATAATTAGCTTTAACCGAGCTGAAGTTCTTTGAATGACAAATGAATGACAAATTTCATCAGCTACATCAGATAAATAGATACTTTATTGATCCGTGTAGGAGAAATTCAAGTGTCCAGCAGCAGAAACACATCTATCCATACTAATAAATAAACGCATAATTTTAAAAGTTACTAACAATAGTAATTAAGTACAACAGCACTTTAGGTCACAGCAGCAGAGGTGGTGTATTAACAGAATTTAGTGAAATGATCCCAAGCAAATGTCAGTATTTAAAAACACAGTGGCTGAGTGGACAATAAAGTCCTGGGTTTGAATCCCGGTTGGAAAAGGGCCTTTCTGAGTGGAGTTTGCATGTTCTCCCTATGTCACCACAAGGCTTCCTCCAGTTTCCCCCTACCACTAGAAAAGCGTAGGTATTAATGTAATTCACCGTAATTCATGAATGTATACCATGTGTATATTGAATGAGCTGAAAATGGCTGAATGACACTTTGAACTTGTGATTATGATGTTAAAAAGTAGTAGTTAGCAGGGCAGAGAGCCACATAAATTCAATAGATTGCCGCATTTGGCCCAGACAGAAGGACAGAAGGGCATTTTGTTTGTCCCTGATATTGGTGTGAATAAAGCTGAAAACACCGGGTTCATGTGATTCTGAACCATATTTACGCTTTTGCAGAATGATGTATGCTTTAGAAATGACCTGTGTGGTGATGGTGTGATGACGGTGTGTTGTCAGACCTGAAGAAGCTGCTGCCCTCCATGAGCCCAGACCCCTCAGAGCTGCACAGAGCCATCGAGGTGCAGGTGCTGCGGAGTGCTGTGAGCGCCATGACCAAAGCAGAGCAGCCCACAGACGCCCTGTCCACGGCCAGTCCAGAGTAAGCACACACTCACCATGGGCACTGTTCTACACATGCTGTCAGGAGCCGAACTCTCCAGCCCCCGTTTAGACCAACAGACTGTTAATGTCACCCACACTGTTTCACTTAACACTGCCATCAAGAGCTGAGAAGAACCAATCGCAAAGCAGTGTCCCCGTTATGAGCGGTGAATAGAAAGTGGGTGTTGAAATAAAGCCACAAGAAGCGAAGCGAGGGCATATTTTCGAGTCTCACGTGACACAAGAATATAGAAATTTAACTTGAATTTGAACGTTTACACAAAACAGAGCAGGAAACAGTTGCAGATCTAGATATAATAGTTTTTTTCAGGATGTAGCTCGATCACAACGTGGATCATTTCAAACATCGTTACATCCCTAGATTCAGGAGCTCATTTAGCATTTCTGCTTCTTTGGTGCCTAACGATAAGAAGGTCCCTTTTGGTCCCATGCTGGGTCAGGCTCGAACACTGGGGGAATGGCTCCAGCCCATCCCAGGCCAGTCCAGGTTAAACGTCTGTGCCTGATCCAAACGTGAACCCCAGACCCATGCTTTATGTTGTATTGTTGTGAGATTCTGTGAGCTGCTGTTCATGTGCTTCTGTGTGTTTCTGCAGCAGTCTGGTGCGCTGTCTGAAGCAGACGGGCCGGATTTGTCTGGGCCCCCTGCGCCTCTCCACCCTCACCCTGTCTGATGCTTTACCCACACTGCCCCTACTGCAGCTGCACTGCACCAGCACTCTGGAGAGCACACTCACCGCCCAGGAGGTAATACCACACCATGTGATGCACCATGTGTTGTTTCTAAGAGAGACTGCATTAAAGTGATTTTCTGGAGTTTGTCAGAAAGAGAGACAGAGAGGTACTTGATTTGAAAATAACGACGCAAGCTCCTCCCCCTTCCTTTCTGATTGGTCTACGCCTATGTTTCCGTAACACTTTTAAATGTTAATCAGACAACACATTATACATATACATTATTAACACACATGCACGGAGGTTTTCAGAATTATTTGTGAACGTTTTAATGAAAAAAATAATGTTTTTATGCACAAAAAAAGCGACCGCGGAAAACCAGGAAGTGTTATTATCATGAATTGCACATTATAGGACACATCTGCAGAGGATCTGATTATGGATATAGGTTCAGTATATAAATGATTATGGATATAGGTTCAGTATATAAATGATTATGGATATAGGTTCAGTATATAAATGGGTAACTCAGCGCAGATGTTCAGAATTCTTCATTAGGCTCTGGAACTACATGAAAACTGGAGGCTTGATTCTGAGGCTCTGTGAAAACAAACAACTTAGCAGCTACGAGCATGAGGCCGATGATTGACAGTAGAGCTGAAACAACTAATCGATTTAATCGATTAAAATCGATTATTAAAATAGTTGTCAACTAATTTAGTCATCGATTAGTTGCTAAATAACTTTTATTTTGCCGTAAGCGGCTCATTTCGTGCATATTTTAACTCTGCGGTGACCAAATGGTGGCAGTAATGAGCCACCGGAGGTTTTACAGCAGGAGAAGTAGCGAATAGCCAATAGCTGGCCTCCTTTTATGTCACATGCTTCGCGCACAGCTTCTCTTCAGCATACAGCAAGATGGCGGAGGCAAGCGGCAGTGGAGCTCGAGAAAGAAAAGGAAAAAAGCAGAAGACAAACCTAATCGAACAAAGTCATCCAAAGTGTGGGAGCACTTTACTTTGAACCTTCTAAAAAGAAGAGTAACTTGTAAACTCTGCGCTACTGACTTGGCCTGGCACGGGAGTACTACGTCTCTGCGTGAGCACCTTAAACCATCTCTCTGCAGTACTGACTGTTTGCAAAAGATGGCGCCACACTCACTGTTTTAGGCATAAAGTTGATCTTTCAACTAATTTGCACAAAGATGTAAAAAAAAACATTTATCCAGTTTATCAACTTAAATAAGCCTTTTCGGGATTTTAAACTACTTCAGAAGCCCTAAGGATTTTCATGGTGAAAACATTGGAAATCTCCTTGTGAAATTTGCTAGAGTATGTAACGGTCAGTGTTTTGTTTTGATGGTCGACATTGAGTTCAACAAAGGATTACAAAGACATAACAAACAGCTCCAGATATGTTTTTGATGTGGATATGAATATGTAAAATGGTTAAAATCTCTAAAAAGTCTATGTTGAATGATGAAGGCCCTTTGTTAACAATTTACTTGGAAAAAAATTGGCTAAACTAAAATATAAGTACATAAACCGATTAATCGATTAGTCGTAAAAATAATCGCCCGATTAATCGATTATCAAAATAATCGTTAGTTGCAGCCCTAATTGACAGCCCTTGGAATCACTCGATTGGTTAATGTGGACGGCATCGTGGATTTTGAGCTATAGCTAAGAGAAGGGAAGGCGGGACTTACCCGTAATATTATAATTCATAAAATGACTTATTTTATATCAACATTTAAGGCCAGGAGATTAATTTAATACAATTATTATCATTTGTAATTCATTTAGAGTTCCAGACTACCACTTTAAGTGTGTATGAAAAGTATACATACAACTTTTGCATTCTGTTATGTTTACAATCATAATGCTATAATATTTTTTGTTTTACTGAAATTTTACACATAATTAACAAAGAACTATTGCTGAATGTTCACTCCTGTTCACTGCTATTCTACTCCCTTCTAGAGTGAGGGCATTCCACATAGTATTAACTCTTAGAGCATAATTACTAAACTCCACGTTAAAGTTTGGGGGGGTTTGCATCATTTTGTTTTCACTTCAGTTGTCTGTTACGTTTTAGTCTTTCAGTAAATGATAAACATTAAAATATTTCAAGTTTGTGGTCATAATAGTTCAACTGTACAGATACTTTTGCCAAAGCGCTGTATGCAGTTGTTCCAATTTGGTGCTAATGCTCTTGTGTCTGTCTGTTTGTGTGCGCGTGTGTGTGTATGTGTGTGTGTCTGTTTGTGTGCATGTGTGTGTGTCTGTTTGTGTGCATGTGTGTGTATGTGTGTGTGTCTGTTTGTGTGCATGTGTGTGTGCGCGTGTGTGTGTGTGTGCGCGTGTGTGTGTATGTGTGTGTGTCTGTCTGTGTGCATGTGTGTGTGCGCGTGTGTGTGTGTGCAGGAGTGTGTCATCCCCCTGTATAGTGAGGCTGTGAGCTCCTGTAAGCAGCAGGATGTCAGACCTTTCCTCCAGGTGCTGCGATACACAACGTTCCAAAAGCAGCTGCTGCAAAAGTTCAACGGTGAGTGTGTTGTGATTTAACAATTTTGTTTCTTCTCTTGTTTTGTTGAAGCTGAAAGATGCTAAACAGATAAACTTGCCTTCCGTGGCTTGTTGGTCAAAGTGTGTTGATTAACTAGTCTCTCCATGAGCACTCACAAACACAGCATTCTCCTTTTGTGCGACAGGTGATGTCACTATCTGGTCTCGGTCTGTGGATCTTTTAGGTTGCCTTGGCGTACTTTTCGTAATTTTTTTTTGTCTAAAACACAGTTCTGGGACATATTGCTCATCCACAAGCGCCACATCACTTTATATATACATATATAGCATAGCCCTGATTTGGAAGTCTTTTACGCTTTTATACATTTGAGATGTCTGAGTCAAACACTTTAACCATACCCCCCCCACATGGTTTTGTCAAAGCGTTTGAAGTTCTAGAAAAAAATTGGGCTTTATTTGTTATTACACAAGTTGACGGCAAAAAAATGGTCAGGGGTTTCTCAACTGATTTAGACTAATTTTGGTGTTCTGAGTCCGAATATCACATGCATTTTGCTCTATCAGGTCAACTTTTTGAGATAGTGTTACGGATTACGTACGTTTACGTTATTATGAATTCTGCTTATCAAATTTGATGGAGTAAATAAAAACTGAATGACTTTGGATACGTTGACTTTTATTTCTTGAGGAAAACGGAAAAAACGTCAAGGGTTTCTCAGCTGATGATCCGCAGAAATGTTTTTTTTACGCAAAATCGATTAAAAAAACTATTTCTGTAGCAAAAAATCCTGACCTGATTGAGCAAAACCAAGGTCATTATTGGACTCAGAGCATCAACATTAGTCTAATTCAGCTGAAAAACCCTGGACTATTTTCAAAAAATATTTTTTGTTACCCAGTGTTATCAATATTCAACACAATGCTTTCTCAGAGTGTTTTATTGCAGATTTTTATGTACCTTTATAATTGCTCGTTTGTTTCTCCTCCAGGCTCCTCCTCCTCAGCTGTAAACGGACACCTGATGCAGCTTCATCTGACCGCAGTCAAATTTGCGCGTAAGAAAGGCAACATTCACCTGGCATATCGTCTGCTGAACAAGTGTGCCGAGCGAGCCCCAGGGGACAGCGCTGAGGAGGAGCTGTACTCCGCCCTCAAGCGCCTGTCTCTGGACGCCTCCCTGCAGGAGACCTGGGGCCCGGAGCTGGAGATCGAGAAGGCCAAGGTCCTGAGGACTGCAGGTCAGACACGGCTCATGAGCCTTTTTGAACCATCAGTGTTCGCTCATAAGTAAAATATTGCCCACTAAACAAGCATTGAGAATGAAAAAATAGGACGCCATGTTGATTTTGACTCTTATTCATCATTGTGAGCTTACTTATTTGGCATTTCAAGTTTTAGAATTTGAAAAATTGTCAAGAGATGTATAGAAAAGGCTCCATCTAGTCATTCTAGTGGGAAATTATAATAATGTATTGGCTTTTTGGCCACTCAACTGCCACATGAAGCATCTTTTTCATTCACTCCATACACTGTGGTGATAAATTACTTCTGTTGCCATAGCTGCCCTCGGGCACACTGGCTGGGGGTAGTCTGAGGAACCAATGCCACATACTATCAGTTACGCAGACACCAAACTTATTCTAAAGTGTCTTGTCTAAGGACACAATGACAGTTTAACACTTTACAGCCGAACCCACCCCACTGTGGCCCCTGGTGTTCTCTGAGGTCTCCCATCACAGCACTAACTAGGTCCTGTCCTACTTAGCTTCAAAGGTCTGGCGGAATGTAGCTTTCACCTGCAGGTGGCGCCACATTTTACATTGAAATTCCATTAATCAAGGTTTTGGATCTCAATCTAACAGTCCAGTCTAATAGAAAGCTTTCTGAATAAGTTTGCAAATCAAAATGAAGACTCAACTTTTGGTGGTATTCCTCCAGGTGAATGGCACAGTGTCCAGTGCTTTATAAACACTGACTTTATTCCACAGGGCAGTCCACTGCAGCCATGGAGATGTTGAGTAAGATGGCTGTTACCTACTGCACCGGGAGGAAGAACGAGAGCGCCTCGTGCAGGTCTGTGCTCACGCTGTGCAAGTGGCTGCTGGCCGACTGGAAGGACATGACGCCTCAGCTCAAACAGGCAAGTCTCCTTTTGTCCCTATATCTCTCCTCTGGAGCCACAGTCGGTTCTTTTAAGAGACATATTATGCAAAATACTTTGTTTTTGACAATCACAGTATTACAAACAGACAGAATACAGTTCAAAGTGCCGACCCTTAAACTGCATTTCCACTGCCGACGCTGCATTATTGCATCTTGGGTGACTTCCGTTAAAATCCAACCCCATTGTCAGTCCTGGTTTAGTCCTGGTTTGGTCCTGGTTTAGCTCTTGTTTTGGCTTCCTGCGGGACTTGTCCCTGTCACCAATTTGTTGCTCTCTGATTGATCTGCACGTGCATCGAGCAAAAAAGAGGAACAATGTTCATCTCCTGCATTCGCTAAATGTGTAGAGTTTGCGTATCCACCGCAGCGCCACAAAAATGCATCTGACAAACGTAGAACGTTCACAAACTATGGACTATGAACACACCTTTTTTATGATGCTTATAGTAGTTTCAGGCTTTTTAAAAAGTCCTCTGGGAAGAAACCAGAACTATACTAAGAATACTTTCCAGCATCTTTCCAGTATAGCTGTAGTGAAATGCGTTCTGTGGTTGTAGGTGGTGAAGAAGTGCAGTGTGCAGAACTCCAACAGTATGAGCAGCCTCAGTCAGAACATCGCGGCTTTGTTGGCAGTGCCTCTGGAGGACCAGGGCACTCTCCACATCAGTGCAGAGACTTCAGGTAAGACCACACCTCTTTGAACCTCAGCCATGTGTGCTCCTCTCATGCTCTGTGTTTGTAGTCAAAGTGGGCGTAGGAGAGGCAGACTATGTGCTGGGCCAGCTCTACCAGCTTTCCACCAGCCTGGCCCCGGAGATGGCAAAGTCCTGGGCAGCCCTGGCCAGCTGGAGCTACCGCTGGGGCAGAAAGGTGGTGGATAATGCCAGGTCAGTTAAGTCGCATTTCATCAACACCTTTCCTTTTAATGATTTAATAATCCTGTTTAACTTTATTAGCCAAGGGGAGGGGCTGCCTCTGCTGCCCACAGAGAAGAAGGAGATTGAGGAGCTCTTGCCTGAAGGCACCAGTGAAGAAGATAAGGGTGTCATCTTCAGCGTCCTGGGACAGGCCATGTGCCGGCCCACAGGCATACAGGTACACCACTGCTCCTACACTAAGTATGTTCTGGTCCTAACATGTGTGTGTCAGGATGAGGACATGGCCCTGCAGCAGGACGATGAGGAGGATGACCTGGTGGATGTGATCTGGAGGCAGCTCACTACAGCCTGCCCCTGGCTGCTGGACATGGGCCAACCCATTGCAGACGGCCTCATCAGGGTGTGGAGGCGTGTGGTGGACCGCATCTTTGGTCTGTACCGGATCTCCTGTCAGGCCTACTTCACCTTCCTCAAGCTCAACGCTGGACAGGTCAGTCTGCTACTGCTTTATGCCACCTTAACTGCATGTGCTCACCCGCTCACCCCCTCCCACTGTGGTGTAGGTGCCCCTGGATGAGAACGACCCTAAACTCATCCTGTCCTGTACCGTGAGTAAGCAGAGCAATGATGACCTGATCGTCATGGCTACTCTGCGCCTCCTGCGGTTGTTGGTCAAGCATGCAGGAGAGCTCCGAGAGGGTCTGGAGGTCGGCCTGGCCTCCACCCCGACAGCCCCCTGGAGAGGTAGGTGCTCCTCAGAGTGCACAAGTCGATGTTGATCCTCTGTGCTCATAATGCCTTTAATCACGTGTCCTCCTCAGCCATCATCCCACAGCTGTTTTCTCGGCTGAACCACCCCGAGGCCTACATCCGCCAGAGCATCTGCAGCCTGTTGTGTCGAGTGGCCCAGGACTCTCCACACCTCGTCCTGTACCCTGCCATCGTGGGCTCGCTGTCCCTGGGAGGGGAGGCTCAGAGCGCAGGTGGGCTTGTAATCAGGACTACTACACAAGTGAGCTTCTGGTGCTATTTGGTTTCATTTTAAAAGTTTATGTTATTGTCACAGGGGAAAAGCTGCCCTCTGCCCTGCCCACCTTCTTGGGCAGCATGCAGAGTGATGGGCTGGGGGAGGAAGAGGAGGAGCAGTCTGACAGCAGCAGAGTAGAGGCGTCTGCGGAGCTGAGCTGCAGTCCAGACCAGGCCATGATGCACGACTGCTACAGCAAGATCGTGGAGAAGCTGTCCCAGGCCAACCCTGTCATGGTGCTGCAGGTACAGCTGAGGGGCATCGATATCTGTCAGAGCTTTTAGGAACACAGTGACAGAGGTATTTTGTAAACTTGTTGGGGTGTGGCGTCCTCAGGTGCAGCAGCTGGTCGGCGAGCTGCGGCGGGTCACTCTGCTCTGGGACGAGCTGTGGCTTGGCGTCCTGCAGCAGCAGAACATGCATGTGATGAGGAGGATCCAACAGCTGGAGGACGAGGTCAAGAGAGTTCAGAGCAACACCACCCTGCGCAGGTCAGAGCACTGTGGGGACTCCTGTGGTTCATTACACATTAGACAGTTCCATGCCTGGAACTCCCTAGATGTCTCCCTAACAGTCACAATCTGTTTAGATAGCTCTTCACTTGCAGGAGCAGTGGCTCTACTCAGAGCTTCACACCTTTTCTCTAAGCCCTCTGTAGAGGAAACTTGCTCTGACCATTTGCAATCTTTTCCCTTCAGCTCCATCTTCACCTACAGCGAGTGCAGTCTCTCGCCCCATCCTTCCACTTCTTGGAGTGGGTCATTAGTTGACAAATGTAATGAATCAAAATGTTTAAAAAACTGTATAATCAATTAAAATCTTCACTTTATTCTTTGAAGAATTTCACATTTTATCATCACTGTATTGCTATAGAACAGACAAACTTCGTCCAGGGGCCGACAACCCAGATTTAAAAACCGTTTGAACTGGATTTGGGCACTTTTGAGCGATTATGTCCATTTTGCATTTGACAGAACTGGAGTTTACTGTGTTAACTAGAGGTGTCTCAACACAGCTTTAAGAGCACCATATGTGGAATTTTATCATACAATCAAAAACAACGGTCTGTCTATACAGATAAGTAAGCAACTGGATTCCAGAGGGTCCGAGCTTTACAATCACGCCTATTTTGGTGGAGCTGAAGTTGGCTGTGTTGGCCTCAGTTTGGACACGGCTGCTATTTAAGATAAACTCTATCCCAGCACTCGGGCCTCGAGCTCCAGTCGTTAAAAGCTGAGTGTGTTAAACGTTTGTGTGTGTGTCTCATGTGAGCGATGTGTGCGACACAGGGATGAGAAGACGGCCATCATGAGGGAGAAGCACTCGGCCCTGATGCGGCCCGTGGTGTTTGCCCTGGAACACGTTTGCAGCATCACGTCTGCTCCGGTGGAGACGCCGCACGAGCAGTGGTTCCAACAAACCTACGGAGACGCCATCAGCACCGCCCTGGAGCGACTACGCAACCCCCACAACCCGGCCAGCCCTGCCAGCAGCTGGGGGCCCTTCAAACAGGTACACACTCACTCACCACAGACACACACGCTTTATTTAAAGGGACTCTGATTGTAAACCACTAACTACGCATGTTTCACAATTACAATTACACTTTTGTTGCCATAATCTTCCTGCTCATGACACATGTAGTTCCTCATGATTACTGATGCAAACCACCTGCTGGAGAAAGGATACAAACTCTGTTACTTATGTCTACTTATTTTTGTACCTGCTTGAATATGAGTGGTGCTATTGTATTTATGTTTAGCTGGTTTTGGCTCACAAAAGATTCACAAAAACAAAACAATAACAATATTATGGACCTTGTCAATGTATTTTTTGAACTTTTGATTTTGAACTTTTGTTCAGAAAAGGTCCAATGGGATTTGTGACAGATTATCTGCAGACACATATGAAAATTGTGGATGCCATTTAAAATGAAAATATGACTTACTGTCTCTTAGTTTAACTGTCATGTCCAGATACAAATGTAAAGGACCAGTAGTGTCCCATGTCCACTGACCTAAAGCGGCATGTCCCTGTGTTTGTGCTGCAGATTATGCTGAACCTGCAGCAGCGCACTCACAAGAGAGCCAGCTACCTGCTGCGCCTGGACGAGATCAGCCCTCGTCTGGCCTCCATGAGCACCACAGAGATGGCGCTCCCAGGAGAGGTTTCTGCCTCCGACACGGTCACCATCCAGAACGTGGGCAACACCATCACCATCCTGCCCACTAAGACCAAGCCCAAGAAACTCTTCTTCCTGGGCTCAGACGGACACAACTACCCCTACCTCTTCAAAGGTCAGTGTTAGGGCTATAACATGACTGGAAACACTGTTTGACCTGTTGTGGTAAAATGTTGTAATGAGAGCTCAGACTTCTCATCTTTGTTTGACCTGTAAGGACCATGTTCTTTCAACCTAGTAAACACTTTATGAAGTTGACCTTATATTAATAAAACAAAAACTTCAGCAGTGAGGTCCAAATGGATAATGAAGAGCAGCTTTGTCCAAATGTTTCTGAAACTGAAAAAACCTTGTCTCTTGGTCCAGGGCTGGAGGACCTGCACTTGGATGAGCGCATCATGCAGTTCTTGTCTATTGTAAACACCATGTTCACAAAGATCAACCAGCAGGAGCAGCCTCGCTTCCACGCTCGCCACTACTCGGTGACTCCTCTGGGCACTCGCTCAGGCCTCATCCAGTGGGTGGACGGCGCCACGCCTCTGTTCGGCCTGTACAAGCGCTGGCAGCAGAGAGAGGCCGCGCTGCAGTCTCAGAAGGTACTATTCACAACTGCGAACACACACACACACACACACACACACACACACACACACACACACACACACACACGTACTTATGGTTCACAAGAATCTTTGTCATTTCACACAATCAACACAGCAATGCTAATACTGTATTCTGTGTAGGGCTGTTAAGGATGTCCTTTCACTATTTGGTTTATTTCACGCTGTTTGACAAACGATTCAAAAAACATCTTTCCCATATTTGTGGCAACATTTCTATTTTTTAAGTTATTGTCTTTTGATTTTATTTTGAGCATGTTTCAATTGCACAACTTTAGAGTTTAACCTGTTTTACTTCCAAGAGGACTTTGTAGATCATCATTATCTGAACTAATGGTGAAATGAGCGTCTGGTCAATTCTCAAGAGTTCTCCTCTTTTAGGGTAAAGTTAAACCTCCTGCTTTTGTCTTCAGGCCCAGGAGAATGCCCAGGCTGCCCCCCAGGCCGCACCGTCTGTGCCCAGGCCCAGTGAGCTGTACTACAGCCACATCGGCCCGGCTCTGAAGGCCGTGGGGCTGAGTACGGAGGTGTCTCGACGGGACTGGCCTCTCAGCGTCATGAAAGATGTGCTCAAAGACCTGATGGAAGCCACTCCCTCCAATCTGCTGGCCAAGGAGCTGTGGTGCTCCTGTACCACGCCCAGCGAGTGGTGGAGGGTCACACAGGTGAGTAGCTTCGCTCAGCAGTGTCAGACCTGCAGGGGGCGCTCTGCGCAGACCAGGGGAAACTACTAGGACATGGCAAAGCTGTATTTTTTTTTTGCTTTGCTTTGGTATATGATGTAGACTTTAGATTATTCCTCACTAATTTACTGCTAATTAAGTGCTAATCAATGGACCCTAAATCACATGCGAAAGTGTCAGTTAGGAGTTAGTTAGATGTTTAATAAGGCCATGTAGAATAAGGACTCAAATGAGCTTATTAAATACCAATTAACCTTGAATAATATACAATTTAGCACTTCTTTAGCTGTTAATTAGTGAGGGCTAAACTTTTTTATCGTAAAGAATATATATTTCTCAACATTTAAACAATTTCGCTATAGTTTAGTATAAAACTATAATACAACTAGTATAAAACATTTAAAGTTTGCGAGTTACACCCGTTGTGGGTTATCTTTAGAACAAAACACGATGCATGAGGGACATTATAGCCCTTTGAATGATCCACTTTCCACCACTAATAAGGAATCCCCGTTTTCAGTCGTACGCCCGGTCCACGGCGGTCATGTCCATGGTGGGATACATTATTGGGCTCGGTGACCGTCACCTGGACAACGTTCTCATCGACATGACGTCCGGGGAGGTGGTGCACATAGATTACAACGTGTGCTTTGAGAAAGGTAGAGCACACATTCAGACTCCAGAACCAAACACTGTCTGTGTCGGACCTAATCCTGTGCATCCTCCTGTCCCAGGGAAGAGTCTCCGCGTTCCCGAGAAGGTCCCGTTCAGGATGACCCACAACATCGAGGCGGCTCTGGGAGTGACGGGGGTCGAGGGCATTTTCCGCCTTTCCTGCGAACAGGCGAGTTAGAGATGTCACTACTTCAAAATGCAGTGTTAGAACTTCTGTGTCAAATGTTCTCAATGAAAGCCCATCTCCACCAGCCCTACTTCACTCTACTCTACTCTACTCTGCTCTACTTGGCTCGACTCGACTCTACTCTACTTGGCTCTGCTCTGCTCTGCTCTGCTCTCCTTTCCTTGACTCTACTCTCCTTGACCCTACCCTACTCTACTTGGTTGCGTTTCCATTACGCTTCAGTATCTGGTACCATATCCTAGCAAACTATCCACAACAAATCAGTATCCGTGGAAATTCCTTGGTAAACATGGTTCCCAGCAGCGCTCTGGCCAATCACTGTCAGTTAGAACACTTTGGTACCAACTTGGCCTGGATAGAACCAGGGTGGGACTGAACCAACAGGACCAGTGGAAACGCTCCCAATCAGAGTAGAGTTGGATTGGTGGAAACGGGGCTATATTGAGCTGAAAGGTGTTCTATTTCATCCCTTCTGACCGCCAGAGGGCGGTGCATAGCACTGAATGTTCCCTTCGCGCATGCGCAGTTCGAGTAATAATACCAATTGAGTCACACCTGTGACCCCCTGGGTGACACACCGGAGGTAATAAAGTCCAGCGTCATCCAGCACTCTGTTCCTTTTTTCTTCTCGCGTGCGGTTCGAATCGTTTTTGCTTGAACCAAACCTCGTCAACGTCTGTCGCTGAAGCCCTCTTCATCGGAGCTGCGGTTCGCCCTCCGTGGGGCGCGACGGTAACGTTGTCCTTCGGGTATTTATTGGTGTTTTCTGTCTATATACGTGTGTATTGTTTGGTGTGAAGGCTGCTGTTGCGCCCGCTCCTCCATCAGTACTTTCTTTTGGTTACCTATTGCTACATGCATTTCGTGGTGTGAAGGCTGCGGTTCGTTGGCCCGCTCCTCCGCCTGTGCGTGTTTGGGTTAGCTTGTGCTAACTGTATTCTGTGGTGTGAGGACTGCGGTTTTTTCGCCCGCTCCTCCATCAGTTCTTATTTGGGTTAGTTTTTGCTACCGGTGTCCTCTGTGGTGTGAAGGCTGCGGTTCGTTGTCCCGCTCCTCCATCAGTTCTTATTTGGCTTAGTTTTTGCTACTGGTGTATTCTGTGGTGTGAAGGCTGCTGTTCGCGCGCCCGCTCCTCCATCAGTTCTTATTTGGTTTAGTTTTTGCTACCGGTGTATTCTGTGGTGTGCAGGCTGCGGTTCGTTGTCCCGCTCCTCCGTCAGTTCTTGTTTGGGTTAGCATTTGCTGCCTGTGTTTATTCTGTGGCCGGTGTATTGTGTGGTGTGAAGGCTGCTGTTCGCGCGCCCTCTCCTCCATCTCTGCTTTGAGTTGGCATTTTACTGCAGGTGCATTGTGTGGTGTGAAGGCTGCTGTTCGCGCGCCCTCTCCTCCATCTCTGCTTTGAGTTGGCATTTTACTGCAGGTGCATTGTGTGGTGTGAAGGCTGCTGTTCGCGCGCCCTCTCCTCCGTCACTACTTATTGAGTTGGCATTTTACTGCCGGTGTGGTGTGAAGGCTGCTGTTCGCGCGCCCTCTCCTCCATCTCTACTTTATTTGAGTTGGCATTTTACTGCAGGTGCATTGTGTGGTGTGAAGGCTGCTGTTCGCGCGCCCGCTCCTCCACCGTGCTATATTGGCTTTTCTGTTGTGAAACTGCAGTACGTTCATTCGGTTCTGACTTTTGACTGCCGTTTGGGATAAATAAAAAATAAATAAAAATAAAATACAAAAATAAAAGAATAAAAAACCCAACATTGTTGTTATGGACGGGTCACATGCGTGTGTGGGCTGTGTGTGGGCACTCGATGTTGATGACGGCCATGACCTGTGTCCGGCGTGCCTCGGCCCCACTCACTTGAGGGAGGCAGTGTCCGATAACCCGTGCATGAACTGCAGCTGCTTGCCTTGGGCTGTTAGGGTGGCGAGGCTGGCTCAGCTGCCTTCGTCTGGCGACGGTGGCAGTTTGCCAGTGGGACCTGCTGTGGCTCCGCCCCCTCGGCGTTCTAAGCGCCGTGCTGAGGCCTGTGCTTCAGGGGAGCGGTCTGATGCCCATGGTCCTTCCAAGCAGGCCAAGCCGGATGCTGTCCTGGTATCGAGGGTGGAGCAGTTATCTGCAGAGTTGGAGGCGATGAAATCCGCGTTTCAGGCACGTTGTGCTGCTGATGCCGTCTCTGGGGCTGGTTCTTGCTCCATGCCATCCCTCCATCCGGAAGAGGATGTGCTTTCTCTGGCGGCATCTGCTTCGTGCTTCCGGGACGAGGATGATGCGCGGTCCCTTTCGGGGGACGATTCTTATTCTTCCGCGCATAGTGTGTCCAGCCGGTCTGGTGACGGCTCAATGCAGGAGGTTCTTCGCAGGGCCTTAGCCCGTCTGCAGGTGGAACTTCCCCAGTCGGGACAGGCTGACCCTGGCAGTGCTTTTTTCAGGCGTAGTGGTTTGTCTCCTGCTTTTGTTGTGCCCCCGTCCGCGGAGTATCTAAAGGAGCTACACGCGTGCTGGAGGGATCCCAGCCGTTTTTCTAAGCTTTCGGCTGAGGGTCGGGCTTTGGCCGCGATGCACGATGCCTCTTCGGCTGGTCTGGATTGCATGCCTGCTGTTGAGCCGGCTGTTGCCTCCCTCATTGTTTCTCCAGAGGAGTCCTTGCGGGAGAATGTGAGGTGCCCTCGGAGCCAGTGTCGTGCGACTGATCACTTGCTAACAAAGGCCTACAATTCTGGTGCTCGAGCTGGCCGTATTGGTAACTCCTTAGCGCATCTGCTGCTTGCCCTGTCTGCCTCCCTCCAAGAGGGTAGTACTGTGGGCACTGATGTTACTGCGTTTAGTGACGCAGCTCTGCATGCGTTTGCCTTGATGACCAGGGAGCTCGGACGGGTCATGTCGGTCCTTGTACAGGCTCGTCGGCAGGTATGGCTGGCTCAGTCTCCCCTGACTGAGGCCTGTCGTAGGACCCTCCGTGACGTGCCTGTCGAGCCGGGTCAGTTGTTTGGGACGGCGGCCCAGGAAGCATTGGACCGGACTGTCCATGCTGGTCAGACTAGACAGCAACTTTCTAGCCTTAGCAGGGTGGTGCGCCCTCCCCGGCAGTTTTTGCGCCCGATGGTGGCCCCCAGTGTTCGGCAGCCTCCTCGGGATTGGTCTGGTGCTCAGCGTTATCCCCAGGTCAGGCCTGCCGGGAATTTTCGTGCCCCACCCGTACATAGGCGCCCGACCCGCCAGCCAAGTGGCGCCGCAGCTGGTCCTGGGCGAGGTCCCCCCAAAGCCCCTAGGGGGCGGGGGGCGCGGAATTGGCGCCTCAGGGCCGGGCGTCGGATATTTTTCCCATCAGCAGCTCGAGTGTTGGGCTGCTCGAGCTCGGGATCCGTGGGTGGTTGCCACATTGACCCACGGATACCGTCTGCAATTCCGACGCCGGCCGCACTTGCCGGGCCGGGTCAAGGTTACTTTGATCTCGGACCCGGCAAAAGCCTTTATCTTGGATCAGGAGCTCTCCGCCCTCCTGACCAAGGGTGCCATCGAGGCGGTAGATCCGCTGCTGCAACCCAGGGGTTATTACTCCCGTTATTTTCTCGTGCCCAAGAAGACGGGGGGTTTTCGACCAATTTTGGATCTGAGGGGTTTGAATCATTTCCTGAAGGTCATTCCGTTTTGCATGCTGACGACTGCGGAAGTCCTTCAGACTGTTGGGGCCGGGGAATGGTTCACGTCCATAGATTTGAGGGACGCGTATTTTCACGTGCCCATTGCGCAGCCCCACCGGCGGTTCCTCCGGTTCGCCTATCGGGGCGTTCACTGGCAGTTCAGGGTTCTTCCCTTTGGCCTCTCTCTCTCTCCGAGGGTTTTCACTCGGTGCGTGAAGGCGGCTCTGGCTCCGCTGCAGGCCAGTGGCATGAAGGTGTTGCCTTATCTGGACGATTGGCTGATCTGCGCCCCGTCCAGGGCACGGTCCTTGGAGGATACGGAGCGCCTTCTGACTCATGTCGCCCGCTTGGGTTTCAGGGTCAATTTCGAGAAGAGCAGCCTGGTGCCTTCGCAGGCCGCTGTTTTTCTTGGCCTGAATCTGAACACGGTGACTATGACGGCGCGTCCTTCAGTGCGCCGCCTGGTCGACATCCACGGTGTGGTGTCCCGTTTCGGTCTTGGCACCCTTGCACAGTTACGTCAGCTTTCTACAGCTGGTGGGGAAGCTGGCCTCGATCTCTCGTGTGGTTCCACTCGGGCTGCTTTCGCTTCGCCCGTTGCAGAGGTGGCTGAACGGGTTTCGTTTGGATGCCGTTCGTCACCGCCACAGACGGTTGCAGGTGACGTGGGCATGTTTTCGTGCTTTGGCTCCATGGAGGGACCGGGGTCTCCTGTCACGTGGGATCCCCTTGGGGGTCGTAGTGTGCCGCAGGGAAGTGGTCACCACCGACGCCAGCCGTACGGGATGGGGTGCTGTGTGGCAGCACAGGTTGGCCCGAGGGGTTTGGTCTCGGGCAGAGCGTTCAGACCACATAAATGTGCTGGAGCTGCGGGCCGTCCACCTTGCTCTCCAGGAGTTTTTGCCTCACCTGCTGGGGAAACATGTCCTCATTCGTTCGGACAACACCTCTGTCGTGTATCACGTCAACCATCAAGGGGGTGTCCGATCGGCTCGGCTCCTCGAGGTGTCTCAGGCGCTGCTGGTTTGGGCTGCGCCTCGCCTGTCTACACTGCGTGCAGCGTATCTGCCAGGGGACTGCAATCGCGTGGCGGACTCCCTGTCTCGCGGGAGGACTGCCCCGGGGGATTGGTGTCTCCATCCCAGTGTGGTCCAGAGGATATGGGGCCTTTTTGGTCAGGCACAGGTGGACCTATTCGCTTCGGTGGCCTCCACTCATTGCCCTCAGTTTTTTTCCCTGGACGGGGCTCCGGGCTCTCTCGGCCAGGATGCCCTGGCGCACAGTTGGCCTCAAGTCCTCCTGTACGCCTTCCCCCCTTTTCCTTTGATCTGGCCCACCCTCCGGAGAGTCCTTCGGGCGGGGCACAGGGTGTTGCTGGTGCTCCGTTTTGGCCTGCACGGCCCTGGTTTCCACTGCTACTCAGACTTTGTTGGGCTCCCCCCTGGCCTCTCCCTCCCAGGCGGGATCTGCTCTCACAGCTGGACGGTCAGGTGTGGCATCCCTGTCCTCACCGCCTCAAGTTATGGGTGTGGCCGTTGGCTGGCCCGAGCTGCGGGCGCTCGATGTCACTGGCCCTGTCAGGCGTACACTCCTGAATGCCAGGGCGGCCTCTACTCGGCGGCTGTATGAGAACAGGTGGAAGTTGTTCTCCCGCTGGTGTTCTTCCCGCGGTCGGGATCCCGTGTCGTGCCCGGTGGCGGTTGTTCTGGAATTCCTTCAGTCTCTCCTGGATGAAGGTCGGGCCCCATCTACTCTGAAGGTATATGTTGCTGCTATTTCATGTTATCATGGCCAGGTTGATAACTGTACTGTGGGGGGCCATAACCTGGTGTCTCTCTTTTTACGCGGAGCTCGTAGGCTGCACCCTCGCGTGCCCACGCGGTCTCCGGTTTGGGTCCTGGCCTTGGTGTTAGAGTCTCTCTGCCGCCCTCCCTATGAGCCATTGGCCCGAACGGACCTCAAGTGGCTCTCCTATAAGACTGCTTTCCTGTTGGCTGTGGTCTCTGCAAAAAGGGTCGGTGAGTTGCATGCACTTTCTGTCAGTCCCTCATGCCTACACTGGGATCCCGAGAAGGCTGGCGTGGTCTTGTGGCCTAATCCCACTTTCCTCCCTAAGGTGCTTTCCCGTGACTATTGTAACCGGCCTTTGAGGTTGGCGCGGTTTGTGTCCCCCCTGGATGGGGGTGAGGACAGACTGCACCTGCTGTGTCCTGTGAGGGCATTGGAGGCCTACGTGGCTGCGACGGCGGGTGTGAGGCGCTCAGACCAGCTCTTTGTTGCTTATGGTGGTGCTAGACTGGGAAGTCCGCTTTCGAAGCAACGCCTTTCCCACTGGGTGGTTGACGTTATCAGTCAGGCGTATGTTTCGGCCGGCCGCGACCCGCCAGCCACGGTGAGGGCCCATTCTACCAGGGGTGTCTCTACCTCCTGGGCCGCTATGCGCGGGGTGCCGTTGGGGACTATTTGTGCTGCTGCGTCTTGGGCTACACCAAGCACGTTCACCAGATTCTACAACATCAATGTGGCCACTCCGGCTCCTCTTGGCGTGGTCCTTCAGGAATCCTCTGGCTCTCCTCCGTGAGGTGTGTGGTCAAGATCCTTCGTGACATAGCTGGTATAAGGTCATTCAGTGCTATGCACCGCCCTCTGGCGGTCAGAAGGGATGAAATAGAACGAGGGTTACGTATGTAACCACGGTTCTATGAATCCCGAATGACCGCCAGAGGCGCTCTGTCACTCAGGGTCCTTGCGTCCGCGAGAAGATTCTGCAGGAACAGAGTGCTGGATGACGCTGGACTTTATTACCTCCGGTGTGTCATCCAAGGGGTCACAGGTGTGACTCATTTGGTATTATTACTCGAACTGCGCATGCGCGAAGGGAACATTCAGTGCTATGCACCGCCCTCTGGCGGTCATTCGGGATTCATAGAACCGTGGTTACATACGTAACCCTCGTTTCTTACCCAACACTGCTGCAGGTGGTCCAGATGATGCGTCGGGGCAGAGAGACCCTCCTGACGCTGCTGGAGGCGTTTGTGTATGACCCCCTGGTGGACTGGACCGCTGGGGGCGAGGTGGGCTTCGCGGGGGCTGTGTACGGAGGAGGGGGCCAGCAGGCGGAGAGCAGACAGAGCAAGAGGGAGATGGAGCGAGACATCACACGCTCACTCTTCTCCTCGCGTGTGGCAGAAATCAAGGTCAGCCGCTAACAACACTCACTGCTGAACGTGGCATGTCCAGCACATCTGTCATTTGAGTAATGTAAATGTATCCCTTTTACGACAACCTCCGAATAAACAAAGAACTATTGTCATTGATGATAAAAGCATCTGTCCATTGTGGAGTTTCAAGTATTGAAATCCAATATCAATCAATGCTAGAACTAGTGTAGAAACTAAACTCTCGTTTGAAATAGTTTTGATACTTAAAAATATTGTGGTAATTTTTTATATAGTCCTGATCCCTGTGTCGTATCGAGTATATGCAATACCCATTTTTATACAATAATGAAACATTTGGACCAGTTGACTTTGATGCTGAAATAAAGATGAATACTATTTAGTATCTAAATAAACTTTAAACCGTGAGTGACAGCAGCATGCTTTCTATTGTAAAAGACACATGAACAAAATGTACTGATGGTGTTGTGTGTTTGCAGGTAAACTGGTTTAAGAACAGAGACGAGATGCTGGCAGTGCTCCCACAGATGGAAGAGAATCTGGACGAGTACATGATGCTCCAGGAGCTGCTGTTTAAGGGGGAGAAGCAGCAGGTTACTCTGCAGGAGGAGCTGAGCTTCCTGGAAGGAGCAGAGGGCCACCCAGACCACCTCATCCTGACTCTGGAGCAGAGGTCAGTTTCTACTGTGGAATAGCACTAACACTAACCCTTACATGGGCTAGCTTTATCCTGACCGCAAGTAACATGTACATGGATAAAGTTACTGCAGGACATCTAGTGTTTTTATGTTTTTAAGTTATGTCATGTTTGTCTCTGTCCAGGTACTCCGAGCACAACCAGCTTCAGTCTCGACAGAGGACGGTGCAGGAGGCCATCCAGTCCAAGCTGTCTGACTTGGAGCACTACATCAGCCAGTACCAGGCAGCCTTCTCCAGCCTAGAGGCCACTCAGCTGGCCAGCCTGCTGCAGGACATTAGCAGCCCCATAGACCTGGGTTTGTTCACAGAGCCACACCTGTAACAGAACAAAGGAGCTATCCCTGTAGAGTGACCTGTGTGTCTGTGTTGTGCAGGTCCTCCCAGCTATGTGCCAGCTACAGCGTTCCTACAGAACGCAGGCCAGGCCCTTGTGATCAGCCAGTGTGAGAGCCTGGAGGCAGAGCTGAGCTCTCTGCTGCAGCAGCGCCGTGGATTTCTGCGTGGCTGTCTGGAGCAGCTGCACAGCTATGCCACTGTGGCCTTGTTGTACCCTCGCATCAGCTTACGGCGCCATCGAGCGTACAAGTGGAAGAGCTGGTTAGAGGAGCTCATGAGAGAGATGACCACAGACGGATGCCAGCAGATCTATCGGCAGTATGTCCAGCTACAATAAGAGACATTATTACAAAGAGATTATTTCTAAACCTCTTTATTTTGGGGTGTTCCCTACAGATACGAGGTGCTGTTTGCGTCCCAGAGCCCTTCACCTTCTTGTCAGTTCCTTTCCAAAATGGAGCTGATGTTACAGCATCAAGTGGCTGAGGCCAATGAGCGGATGCTGCACCAGGCTGAGCGGCTGAAGGCCGAGGGCAGCAGTGCGACTGCATGTGAGGAGCAGCTGCAGGAGATCGAGCGCTGTATGGCAGTCTTCCTCCAGGAGAACGGAGAAGCAGGAGCTCTGAGCCTGTCAGGAATCATCACCTCTGCTCTGTGCACTCTGTGCAGGTACGGCTTTCTCAGCTCTCTGAGAACATGTGATTATAGCCTCTTCTCATCGCTGCATGTGCTTCAGGAGGAACCTCGTGATGGAAGGAGCTGCAGCCAGTGCAGGAGAGCAGCTGCTGGAGCTAACGTCTCGAGACGGGGCCTGGTTTCTGGAGGAGCTGTGTAGTATGATGGGAAATGTGTGTGCTCTTAGCACCTTGCTACAATGCTGCCCCCCACAACCCCATGACCTGGACCTGCCTGCTCCCTCCACCACCAGCCAGACCATGTACCTGGCCAACGCCGTCTACACCTGCCTACAGGTTTGTTCAAGAATCAGACTGGGCTTCACTTTGAGTCAGCCGCCTCCCTGTCTCACACTCACACTCTAATATCTGACATTTAGTTGCAGATGAACCAGTTGAGAAAGGGGAGGCACCAGTCTCCTGGTTGCCATGTTTCATTGTGTTCTGTACACTGAGTCTTTGATGCTCACAGGTTTGTGTGCTTTGTAGGAACTGAACACAAACTTCCGTCAGATCATCTTCCCTGAGGCTCTGCGCTGCATGATCAAAGGAGAGCCCTCTCTGGAGAGCATGCTGACGGAGCTGGACACTCTGGTGGAGCAGTCGTCTGACGGGCTGGGCCTCCAGGAGCTCATAGACAGTCTTCAGGCCTCTGCAGGATTGGAGCATGATGGACACTGTCTGCATATCACCAGGTCAGAGGCTTACACCACCTTAACATTAGATATTCATGAAATACTATCTAACAAACTCTATAGTGGAATAGCACCGCTAACTAGTTAACTTGGCCTCCCTTTATCAGAATACTCGTAAAATGAGTCATTATGGGCCTGATGTGAGTGTTGGTAACACTGGTGTGTGTGTGTGTCCAGGATGCTGCGCGCTCAGTACTCTGAGCTCATCCAACCTCGCAGTGACAGCTCTGCTCAGGGCCCTGCAAAGGCCTCGGCACAGGGCACAGCGGCACAGATGTCTGCTGGGCAGATGCTGCTGGTGGCTTTTGATGGCATGTTCACCCAGCTCGGGACTGCCTTTGGCCAGCTAACAGAGAAGGTATATATGAGCTATCACCACACACACACACACACACACACACACACACACACACACCTGTATTTCATAATCTTTCCTCACATGTCTTTTCGCCACTCATTATTTCAATCAAGAGTGTCAACTTCACCAGACTCTACTCATTTCATCAAGTGACTCCAGTCTGAACCTGAAGACTTGATGCGATGAGACTGGTGTGCACTGATTGGTTTGAATAAACCCATGCAGCCAAATGACCCTTCCTAAAATGCATTGAACCCTAGCTCTAGAAAAGGACATACAAAAGATACTCAAGATCATGTTGAAAGGCCAAAAGTATTTTCTCCTGTTATGTGTCCTGTGGTTCTGTACACATGTTTGACTGTAATCTCCATTGTTGTGCCACGTGTCTGCTCCAGCTCGGCTCTTTGGAGGTGCCACTGGCCTGGAGGAAGCTGGACGTGTTGAAGGAGGCCCGCTCGTCTCAGATGCACTTCTTTGACACCACGTCTCAGAGGCAGCACATGGACGAACTCTTCTTCCTCAAGAGGCTGCAGACCATCAGGGACTTCTTCAAACTCTGCTCCTCCTTCTCCCAAGTGCTCTCCGGTAAGGCTCCTGCTGGGTTCTTCAACTGCCAAGATGTTTGGCTTGTATGAAGAGAAGACCTGTGCTTTTTATATCAATTCAATTAAATTTATTTGCGTATAGCCCTAAATCACAACAGCAGTCGTTATTTGAACACAGTAAATACAATAGTAACAAACACATAGGAGTCATTGGTCCATCAGGAGCTGGATGACCACTGACCAGGGGTGTCACACCGGTCCTCAAAGGGCCACTGTGGATGTAGGTGTTGCTTCCAACCTAAGCAAGAGAACACCAGACTCCAACCATTTCCTGCCCTTTGAGGACCGGTGTGACACCTTTGGTTTAGACCCTTCTGCATCAGCAATAAACTACGTAGAACAAATAAAGAAACAAAAAAAGTGAGAAACCTCAGGGACCTCACATTGAGAGTGGGATCCTCTCCAATGTGCGGACAGGTCATAGATCCAGGATTTAGGCTGTAGAACGACAACTTTTCTTTTCATGTAGAGCTGACCACACTACAAACATATTAAAACATAAGTAATCAGTGCGTTTATCAGCTGAGCAGAGGTTTCCTCGTGCTCCAGAGTGAAATGAATAAGGCCGTCCCTGTGTGCGCAGGTACTTACTCGTCTGAAGACCTGTTCCCCACTAACGGCCCAGGTGCTTTAGGAGCCCCGTCCCTGCACCTGCCCCATGGCTCTGCGGCTGTAGTGAGCGAGGAGCAGATGATCCGACCCATTCGAGCCTTCACCGCGGACTTTGTACGAGAGATGTTGATGGGGCTGCCGAGTCAGGCCATGGGGCTGGCCCTGTCCAGCATGGTCTCTGCTCTGGGCATGGACATCGTCAGCCACGTGGAGGCCAAGGACTTCGGAGCAGAGAGCAAGGTATCACTACTACTACTACTCGCTGTATTCACTGTGTTCACTGTAGGGCTCGAGAATGAATCAAATAGTATTATTCGATTAGTTTGCAAAATGTTTATCAAGGTCAGGAAAACTTTTCTTCCTCTCTCCTTCCCAGAGCCTCTGAACAATTATGGTTGTGATTTCAGCTTCTATACAAATAAAACGTATCATTAAAATGTATTCAAAATCAAACAAAGTTGATTCTTCAAATTAGGTTGATACAATCAGCTTAAATAGGTTTTCTAGACAGTGTTGTTTTTTTACCATACTGCATTTATATTAATATTGTCCCAGTGCCAATATTCATGTTAGTAAAATGTATTATTTTATGATTTATACATACTCAGAGGTTCATCCCTAAATGAGGACTTTAAAATATACATGTTGTGTTTTTGACCATTTTAAGACTGTAACACTGAACCATGTGTCGTGCAGGTGTCTCTGGAGGAGGTGTGCAAGGCTGCAGTGGAGCAGTGCTTAGCCTCTGGCCGTGTCTCTCAGCTGCTGCTGAACAGAGCCACAGTGTTGGCCTCGTCCTTCGACACGGCCTGGAAGAAGATGGACCTCCTCCGCAGACTGGACACAGGTTTGGACATAGCTAAGGCTGGTGTCCAGCGCAGCCAACTCCACACCGCCCTGTTCCAGGTACGGCAGAAGTCTCCTCGTTATGGCTCTCATTCTGGCTCGCATTAGGGCTCGCATTAGGGCTCGCATTAGGGCTGCCAGTGGGTCACCGTTTAGGGATGTTCAGATTATCAAGTTAAAGATGGAACTCGTCTCTTTTGACTTTTTTATCTGCTCAAGGTTTCCATTCAATTAAATGTATTTTCGTATGGCCCTAAATCAAAACAGTAGTTATCTTGAAGAACTTTACAAAGCTGTCGATTCGCCAACACAGATCAGAGAATCAAACCGTTCAATCACAGGACATGCAATGATAAACACCATTGAGCCATTGATCCATAAAGGGCAGATGACAACTGTCCATAAATGTAGTCGAAGGGTTTTTAGTGTTGTAATTTCAGAAGCACAATTAAGCTATGAACTTGTAAAGGTCCTGAACTGAACCTGATCCTCACAAAGAATGATGTTTTTGTGTTTCCAGTGGCAACACGAGGACGTACTGGGCCCCAGCAGTCAGCCCCTGAGTGTGAGCATCCCTCCCCGCTCCATCATCCTCAACAACATGAAGAAGAAGCTGTACAAGCTGAGCCAAGAGGAGAGCGCCATCGCAGCGGTGCAGGTACGACCAGAGACCGTACAGTTCCCTCTGCTCTCTGCACTGTTGCATCATGGGTCACTGTGTTCAGGAGAAGCTAGTGTCTCTGGAGGCCAGTATCGAGCAGCGTCTGAAGTGGGCAGGAGGAGCGAACCCTGCCCTGGCCCCGGTGCTGCAGGACTTTGAGCTGACCATCAGAGAGAGGCGTGGCATGGTGGCCCGGGAGAACCAGCGCACCAACCAGGTACGTTCCGCTTCTTTTTGACCATGTTACAGCATTGTTCCCTCATCAAAAGTCCTGGACAAGGACTAGACCCGGATCAAACCTAGTTCACAACCAGATCAAGAGTAAAAAAACAGTTCTAAGACCAGATGCAGCAATAGACCTGGGCTAAGATTACTCCAGAACAAAACCTAGACAAGTGTATGATAAGAGATCCTATTTTCGTCCCACAGTGGGGAAATTTCAATGTTGCAGCGCACAGACAGGACTATAGTAAGAGCACACAAAAATATACAAAATATGTATCTGTTATGTCTCTTAGCTTGCTCAAAATGCGTCAATATTGATATTTCTCTGCACTATATATATTAGGGCTGTCAAACGATAAAATTTTTTAATCGAGTTAATTACAGCTTAAAAATGTATTAATCGTAATGAATCGCATTTCGAACTATCGGCAAAATGATGCTTGAAAATGAAGTTTGAATGGAAAGATAAATGACAGCATAGTGAACAGATGTACCGTATTTGTTTGTTATAACAATAAATCCACTTAAAATGTTATAAACATTATTAACATTCTGTGTTTCTGTATTAGACACTATTTTTTCAGTTCGACATATTCCGCTTCAGCTAAAGCCTCTTTCTTCTTTTTCTCTGTCTCATAAAGCCTGTGGAAAAACTAGGTACCCCAGCTTTAATTTAGCGTGTGTAGTTTCAAAGCAGGAAGAGACACGGACACTTCCTGGCTCCATAGTTCAGCTTCATAGGTGTATTACGCACAGGTTACACAAAGCACACAACAAACAGAGAATAGTGGGTCTATGGATGGTCTTTCACGTTACTCTGTGGACGCGACGCCACGGAGGGAGGATGCAAACTCCTGTTCAGTTCATAGCAAACAACAGCAAGTGCGCCGCGGTCCCGCACCTGTTCTTTTTTAACTTGAATGCCCAGAGGACCTTCTGCTCTGTTGCCATCTCACACTCATGTGTCCACAGTCTTCTGAGTGTTATTCTTGGATGTATGGGCCTCAAAAGCGTTAATTTTTTTTTAATGCGATTAATTAAAAAAATTCATTAACGTGCGTTAACGCGATAATTTTGTCAGCCCTAATTTATATATAAAGTTACATACATAAAGGGCAGCATAATAAGTAGATAAAGTGATATTCAGTGAACGCTCACCCACGATTACAGTTTTACTTATGTACAGATGAATGACATACAGGCTCAGCAGTTCTTATTCTACAGTCAGACAGCAGCAGGAAGAAAAGACCTGCGGAACCTCTCCTTCACACAGAGAGGGTGAATAAGTCTGTCACTGAAGCTGCTCTTCAGAGCGGACAGTGTCCTGCAGGGGGTGACAGGCCCCTGTAGTGTTGTGTGACGCAGTGATGTGTGTAGTTGGTTGTGATCCTCTCTGACCCTGGTTCTGGTTCTGCAGGTGACCTTCCTCTGCTCCACCATCCTGAACCTGGAGGGTCTGAGGACTCGGACCCCTGAGGCCCTGAGCATGGACTCCACTCTGTTCGAGCTGGTGAAGAGGTGTCAGCAGACCTGCTCCTACGCCGCCCAGTTCAACAGCAGCGTGTCCGCTCTGGAGCTGCAGCTGCTGCACAGGCTGGTCAGCACCTTCTCCCACCTCCTCCCACACGTCACCACCTCCTCCCACACGTCACCACCTCCTCCCACACGTCACCACCTCCTCCCACATGTCACCACCTCCTCCCACACGTCACCACCTCCTCCCACACGTCACCACCTCCTCCCACACGTCACCACCTCCTCCCACACGTCACCACCTCCTCCCACACGTCACCACCTCCTCCCACACGTCACCACCTCCTCCCACATGTCACCACCTCCTCTCATATGTCAGCAGATTTCCCTCATGAAGCCTCTTTAAGTGTCAAAAAAAAAATGTTATATAAGTACTACGTATTATCATCCACATATCAGTACATATTACTGTCCCATGTCATTTATGTGCTCATAGTTTCAATTCAATTTATTTTTGTGTATCCCTAAATCACAACAGTAGTTATCTTGGAGGACTTTACAAAGCTGTTGATTCGCCACACAGATTATAGAATCAAACACGGTACAAACAATCAAAGATCTAAAAGAAAAGCATTGAGCCATTGGTTCATAAGGGGCAGAGACCAATGTTCATAAATGTGGATGAATGTCCTGGATCTTCCCCACTGTCCTTGTTCTTTCTCTAAACTCACTGTTTTGAGAAAGAATTCGTCTATATTTTCCTGTTTGGTGCACATAATTATGCACATGTCTATTATCAACATTTAAGAAACCTTCAGATCTGTTTTGAGTTTGTGTTGGAGACTGCAGGAGCGATGGGTCTCCTTGCAGGTGTCTCAGTCGGACTGTGTGGTTGCAGAGCCCTGTGCTGGAGCTCCCCATCGGCAGCCCGGACTGGCTGAGCTGTGCCCGCAGACGCCTGGAGGAGGAGCTGGCCCTGGAGCAGAGGAAGCAGGAGGAGCAGGAGCGGCAGCTGGAGGCCTGTGGAGAAACTCTGCAGCTGCTGGTGGACTCCATCAAGAGCATCCTGTCCACACACAACAGACAGCTGGCAGACGTCAAGCACCTGCTGCGAGCCATGGCCAAGGTCTCACACTGCGACACACACACCAACACACACAAACACATTCTCCTAACACAGGCGCGACAGTGGCTCAGTTGGTAGGTTTCAAGCCCACCGCAAGTCCTTCTCCACTGATGTCTGCTGCTGTTGTGTCCATGGGCAAGACACTTTACCCACTTTGCCTATAAGTAGCGCAGAAGTAATGTTTGCTGCATGCCTTTATGTTTATGTGTATTCATCAAACTGAAATTTCCCCACTGTGGGACGAATTTAGGACCTTATTCTTCTCATACCAGTTCCAGAAAGGGCAGGTGTGGCTGCAGGTTTTAGTTCCAACCTGAGCCGGGGCAGACTAGACAAGACCCCATTTCCTCAAATCTTAGGTTAAAACTGGACTCACCTGAGGAAATGGGTGGAGTCTGGTGTACTCCTGCTCAGGTTGGAACTAAAACCAATCCTCAAAGGGCCGCTGTGGCTGCAGGTTTGACGCCTCTGTTCTAACAGAATAACCTGTTGCAGTTAGATCAATAGTATTATTTGTTATGAATTTCCCCTTGAGATAAATCATCTCTTTTTCAAAGGGGTCCTTTTCATCCGTTTGCTCTGCCAAATGCTTACAACACAAACACATAGCAATAGACCCTTAACACTAGGAGCGCCCCTAGCGGTCAACTGACCGTCACTCACTTTATTATGCTAATTAGTGTATTCAAAACAAAACGCCAGAAGTTGAAATTTTATGACTTTTTCTAGGTACTTGTTGTTTATATTTTGGTGTGTTTTGGTTTTGGAAAAAGTAAAGAAAACAAGATTTACACGCATTTTAACTTTTCTAAACCACAGCCCTTTCTGCTTCCCCATGGAGATACATGGCGCAGGGGCGCCTGTTGTCATAGTAACCTTTCCCGGGGGTTTTTCGCGCCTTATAAAAATGTATCAATATGTTGTCATTAGACTCTAAAGGGACTTTTTTATTATTATTTGGGAGAGAGAGAGGAGTACAAAATGAATAGAGCTGCAAGTACACGGTATGAAGCGCTGACAGTGCTTCAAGACATTGAAGGAGAACAGTCTGACGGAGGTGAGAGATGTCACATTTTGAGGTAGAAAGTGACAGCGGGGAGAACACCTATAATATTCTAAATCTGAACGTAACCCCAAAGTGCATTCACGGCACGAACAGCAGTGTTGTAACAAGTCCAAAAGCAATAACGCACATGACCCGCGTAATGCCAGCCATACGCAGGTGTCTGTGTGCGCGCTGTTGCTCCATTCTGCCTTTTCATTCATCATCAATTACATTCTCATATTTATACATAGAAGAAGGCAATAAAGCAGAATACAATATCGTAATAAAATAGAACAATTCGATGAACTATCAAGGCAGAGTGCAGATCAGAGTGCTCGTCACCCGCGGACACTGCAGGAGGAGAGCGACTGTGGGGCAGAAGCGGCCCTCATATATCAATAAGGATATAATTCTTATTTCATCCAGATAACACTGTGTGTTATTCTGCACAGCGCGCACTGCAAGGCAATGATTATAATTTTGTTCTGAGCATAAAGAGCACTGCTTGTCTCAAATAAATACAAATATATATATACATATATTTGTCTTTCTAACGTGTCCCGTGTAAAATTGAAGATTTTACATTGACGATGGTAGCCTAGCTGATGATCTTGTGTCAATACGAATAATATTATTATTATCTAGATAATATTTCCCACGGTGATTTCGGCTGGAAAGAGAAAACAGTCTGGAGATGACGTAAGAAGTAGACGCATATAGCAGCGCGAAGACGTTATGGTCCTGTGCTTTTCTAAACTATCATTTATATTGTTTGAATTTACATATTGTTACTGAGTCAAATATAACATATAGTGAGCAACCTTTTAGGTGTTTGCAAAGTTACAAAATAAATCTAGCCTGAAAAGTCTTCGTAATTTTGATGGATCAGTACACGCACAATGTGTCGTCTTAGCCTTTTATTTCGGCTAGAATTACAATTACTTAGCATATTTAGACAAATAATTTACACAGTTTCATTATGATCACGATTCCTTTGCAACATCAAGTTCTGGTTTAGTGAACAATCAATTTGGCAAAAGGCTGTATCAGCGCAAAATACATAGCGGTCAACTGACCGCAGGGGGCGGTGCAAGGTATGTTTAGAGCGCGGCGGTCCTAGTGTTAACAAGACCATATGCACATACAAAAACAAACACAAAGACATTGGTTTCTCCATCAGACCCATCTGAAACCCTTCTCATCTACTCTACAACAACTTTAGATACAGTTAAAAGTTCAAACGTTGAATTAAAGACGTTGTGTTGTGTGTGTGTGTGTGTGTGTTGTGTCTCCTTCAGGACGAAGAGGCCGCTCTCACTGAGGGGGAGGAGGTGGTGTACGAGGGCAGCGTGCGGCACTACCAGATGGAGTACAAGGCGTGGCAGGACAACATGCAGCTGTGCCTGTTCACCGTGGTGCAGGCCAGTGGGCAGCCGCGCAGCCAGGAGCAGGTGGAGCTCCTGGAGGAGGTGCCCGGCACGCTGAAGGAGCTGCTCACCCAGACGCAGAGGTCAGTCAGCACAATTGTGACTCACAACGCTCTCTTTACCCATGAGGCCTCACTTCCAGCTTCAACGATTGAAACAGTCTAACATGTCTAAAAAGCTTCAGAATTTCTCTTTTTTTTTTCTATGCTTTGTGCTTCTCCACAGGCTGCACACACCAATTGGCACCAATACTGTATTTTTTTTTACACAACCTTTGTACATTTTGCCAGGTTTACAGCCATAAACGTGTAGATTTGATTTTTTACTGAATGTTCAGACACAAGTAACCGACCACTGTGAAGTGAAAGTAAAATGATACATGATTCTGTTATTATTTTAAACAGTATTAATACAGCTTAATTCATTCAACAAATTGAATTTAAAACATTCCTAATAACTGCTGAATGTTCACACCTCGCCCTAATGATTAAATGGAGGTCTTTTGTGTGTGATCTCCCCTCGGTATAAAAACAGCTGTTCTTTGAGGGCCTTAGAGCTCTGGAGATAAAGTTGTGTAGAAGATTAAAGCAGAGTTAAGTTATACCATCCATGGAAAGAGTATGGCACCACTGCGAACTTACCAAGACACTGCTGTCCACCTTAACAGATCGAACATGGAGAGCACTGGTCAGAAAGGCTACAAAGTGTCCCCAGCTGCAGAAATCTGTACATGGGACAACTGTCGTCCAGAAGAAAAACATTATTGCCACTCGTAAGAAATCCTGTTTGAAGTTTGCCAGAAGTCGCAGCTGCCATGTGGAAGAAGGTGCTTTGGCCCATACAGTGGGGGGAGCATCATGCTATGGGGCTGCTTTTCTTCAGTGAGGACAGGGAAGTTTGTAAGAATAGTTAGAAAAGTGGATGGAGACAAATACAGGGACATTTTGGAGGAAAATCTGCGAGAGGCGAAGGCAAAGATTCACCTCCCAGCAGGACGAGGACTTTAAACTCAAAGCTAAATCTACAGTGGAATGGTTTAAAACAAAAGATACGCATGAAGGAATATATTAGTCAAAGTCTGGACCTAAATCCAATAGAAAATCTGTGGAAAGGACTAAAGACTGCTGTTTACAAAAACTCCATCTACTTTGACAGAGCTCGAGTTGTTTTGTAAAGAGGAATGAGAAAAACCTTCTTTTTCTAGATTTGCAAATGTTGTAGAGTCAACCCTAAAACACTCGCTGCTGTTACTGCAGCAAAAGAGGGTTTTTTGTTTTCTAAAAAAGAACAGAACCATGTGTCTCTTTGCCTTCTCTTCACTGTCGTCTGTTACTTGTGTGAGAACTTTCAGTAAAAAAAAAAAATCAAAATAAAATCTTTGGTTTTAAATATGACAAAAGTTTCCAACGGTGAAGCTGTATTAATACTTTTGCACAGCTCTGTATAAACTCTGTGTTTTCTGTCTTCACTGAATACTTTGAACATTTGTAACTTTAGTCGAGGTGAGAAACTCTAATCTTTGTTCTTCCTCAGTGTTTACAACGGACTGGTGAGCTTCGCTTCTCCTCTGGTCACGGACAGAGACACGGCCTGCAACAGCCCCGTGCCACAGTCCACCTTCGCCACAGGTACTGCCCCCTCCACCTCTGGGTACTGCCCCTCTCCACCCCTGGGTACTGCCCCTCTCCACCCCTGGGTACTTCCCCCTCCACCTCTGGGTACAGCCCCCTCTCTCCACCTCTGGGTACTGCCCCCCCCCCCCCCCCCCCCCCCTGGGTACTGCCCCCCTCCACCCCTGGGTACTGCCCCTCTCCACCCCTGTGGGTACTGCCTCTCTCCACCCCTGGGTACTGCCCCTCTCCACCCCTGTGGGTACTGCCCTTCTCCACCCCTGGGTACAGCCCCCCCCTCCACCTCTGGGTACTGCCCCCTCTCTCCACCTCTGGGTACTGCCCCCTCTCTCCACCTCTGGGTACTGCCCCCTCTCTCCACCTCTGGGTACTGCCCCCTCTCTCCACCTCTGGGTACTGCCCCCTCTCTCCACCCCTGGGTACTGCCACTCTCCACCCCTGGGTACTGCCCCCCCTCTCCACCCCTGGGTACTGTGGGGAGAGCACTGAATGTTTTTGATCTTTTTAGTGTAAACTTTATAGTGGTCATTTTTTATACTTCTAAATCTTATAGTATTTGCAGTATTGCAGTACTTCAAAGTACTTGTAACGTTTCCATTGATTTTAATATTTTTTTTATTTTTTTTAACTATTTTTAAAAGTTATTTTCATAAATTCTTTCACTTTTCTGATCTTCATAACGGTGTGACTCGTAGCATTACTTTTTGTACTTCTACCTTTTGTAGTATTTCAGTATTTGCAGTACTTTTTACCATCGTTTTTGCCTTTAGTGTCATTAGTACTTTAGTTTATGATACTCAGTCACTCACAAAGGCTTCAGCCGTTTCCAGTTGGCGTTACTGTAATTAGTAAAGCTAATATGGGGCGTGTTTACCTCTGATCTCATTTATTATCTTTGACCATAGCAAATGAAAACAGGAAATGAAAGTCTGTCGGAGGAAATGTGTGGATAAGAATCATGTTTGTTCTTCAGCCGTGCGCTGCAGCCTGGTGAAGACTCAGCCGGACTCCATGTCCCAGAACACACGCAAGACCCTCCCACGGAACATCGCCACGCCCACCGACACCCCGCCCAGTGCTTTAGCGGTGAACAAAGGCCTGAACCCCAGCCCCAAGAGGGCGCTGCGGGACCCCAAAACAGGGAGAGGTAAGGCCCCACGGCGCTCTCTGCTGCCCCCTGCTGTGGGCCGTGCTCTAACCCGGTCTCCTCTGTGTGCAGCGGTGCAGGAGAGGAACTCGTACGCCGTCAGTGTGTGGAAGAGGGTGAAGGCCAAACTGGAGGGCCGCGACATTGACCCAAACCGGAGGATCAGCGTCACAGAGCAGGTCTGACCCATCATGGTTTCTCCTGTGGACCATGGACCATGGACCGTGGACCGTGGACCATGCTCTCACCCCTCTCTATACTCATTTTCACAGAGAAATGGATAAAAAGCACAAATCAAAGCCATTTTACTCAGTGTGTGTATGTGTTTGTGTACTTGGTGTGTGTAGCTGTATGTATACTCCGTGTGTCTAGCTGTATGTATACTCTGTGTGTGTAGCTGTTTGTGTTCTCCGTGTGTGTAGCTGTATGTGTACTCAGTGTGTGTGTGTGTGTGTGTTCCAGGTGGACATGGTGATTAAGGAGGCCACCAGTCTGGACAACCTGTCGCAGCTGTATGAAGGATGGACCGCCTGGGTGTGAGCTAACACTGCTGCTTGTCTTTGGTCCAGCGAAGGCTTGGAGATCCAGCAGACTCCTGTGGGTCTGAGGCCACAGCCGCACGGAGCACAGGGGGAGGAGCTGTGGAGGCACCTGCGCTCCTGGCACCCCTCGCCGGCAGCCACACGACCCGCCACATACAGAGGGCCACACTACGCTCTCTTGGTCTGCGGTCAGCCCGTCTTTCTGGGTGTGGGTGGTAAAGTGCTGTGGGATGGGAACGGGGCACCGGCCTCTGTGCCCGCCCCCCCTACACCCCCACAGCCGCTCTCGTACCCATGAACTGGATCCCGCTGAGCCCCGGCAGCTCTGCTCTGAGCTCGGGCACATGTTCCTCGAGAGGTCCAGGAGAAGGGGAACTCGCTCAGCGGGACTGAATCTACTCCATCTTTGTGAAGTGTGTGAGACTAAAGAGAGGACAGGACTGTACGGAGCAGCCTGAGGCTCCTCTCACACAGAGCCCTCTGAGGCTCTGAGGCTCTGAGGCTCTGAGGGTCTAGAGCCCAGTGCTACTGTCATGTCATGGGCTCGACGCTCGTCTTTTCTCTTGTATCCAGATATATTGCTTTCCTTGTGTAGTCACCCCAGTCCTACTGCCTGCTTTTATTAACCTTTCGTCTAGTTTTACCTTTTTAGTGGGACATAATTTGGTGCTGGTAACATGCGTATCTTATGATTTTAATGGAATTTGTTTGATGGTAAATAAATATGAAAGAAATAAATGTGGTGTCTTGTTTCCTCTGTACGTCTGCAGGATCACCACAAAGCATTCTGGGATTTACAATTAAAACACAAGACAAATATCAATTCTGTTTAGGGCCAGGTTTATATGATTAGTAAAGAAGGAAGGAAGTGATTCTCTGGAGAAACCCTGGGGTTGAGCAAATTAAAGCCGCAAGCGGAATCTTAACGGCCCACGCTGCATCTCCCAAAGGAGGTGGTGCTGACACGTCCTTATTCCGACTCTCATCAAAGATATGTTGTTTACTGTAAAATGATAATGCATGTGATCAGTGAGTGTGGCCTCCATGAGATCAGACGGGAACTTTCATGTCTCTGTAGAAGTGACTGATGTGAGTCTGCTGCTCACTCATTCTGCAGAAAACTGTTACTGCTTCACTGGTTTTGAGTGATTTTGAGCCCTGCTGGTCCAACAGCCGAGGAGGGATGTACATTTGAGATGTTTTTTATTTTCACATTAACACAGAAGGGGGTCGGGTTTTTTTCTTGCCACGGCAACACTGATAAAAGATGCCAAAAAAGAATTATGTGCAAAAAATGTAATATAAAAAAAAAAAATTCACCCTAGAAAACTTTGGCTACTTTCCTTTTTTTATTTATTTTTATTTATGAACTTCCGGCTTGTAACGGGCGTGGCCATAACTGTTTTACATTTACATAACTTTTTTTTTTTACCGGAACTGAATTTTGGTTATTTTGAGTTTTTATGCATGTTCAGAGGGTTAAATTAAGGATCAAAAAGCAGATGAAAAAAGAATCAGAGGAAAGAAAATATTTTTCCAAAAACACTGCAGAATGAGTCTCAGCAACTCGGGCAAAAGTATTTATTTGAATAAAATTAATCTCCGGTAACAGTAAATCCCATAAGTAAAAGTAACTAGTAGAAACTTTGATCTGTACCATGGATAATTGTCAAATGACGTTTTGGGCTGAGAGCTGATTGGCTGAGTGAGGGTGGTCATCTCTTTGAAATGATCCTGTCTGGAAATGTTGATGTAAACGTGACAGGTCTAAAACACATGCAGGTGATGGAAGCGTTTAAGTGCTAATAACTAGAGACATGCATTTAATGAAATATTTGTATTTCTTTAGTTTGAAAGTCGGGAACCCCAGATATAACCGTTTTTCTTTTGTCTATTTCTCAATTTTAATGCTATCTTATTTTGTTAAGCACTTTGTGTATGAATTGTGCTATACAACTAAACTTGCCTTGCCTAATTAGTGTATTGTCAATGATTAATGAGCTTTTAATTGGTATTTATAATGCACCTATCAGTCCATATTCTGGCTTTAATCATTATCAGTCAATCAACGTTTATTTGTAGAGCGCCTTTCCTACACAAGGCAACACAAAGCGCCTCACAACCCACATCATATCCAGCAAATCACAAACATTAAAATCTACATACACATAAAAAACACAAGAAATATTAAAACAGAAAAAAACACAAGTCATTAAAAACATTAAAAACGCACACGGGATTAAAATAATGAGCCACAATGCACTAAAAATAGTAAATATAAAATCCTTTTGTCTAACAACTGACACTTTCCCATGTGGGTTAGTGTCAGGGTTCATTAATTAGCATCTGAATAGCTGTTAATTAGTGTTGGATACTCATTACTTTGACAAGACATTTGCAAATGTTGAGACCAAATTAGTTCCCCAGCCTTGTACTTGAATAAAAACCCATGTGAGCAGTTCCTTTGGGCCTCTGAAGTCCGCAGTGCAGGCTGTGGGTGAATGATTGACCAGTCTCACCTTTGTCTCCCTGCTCTCCTGCTCTGACCACAGTGTCCTCACAACGGCCATGTCCCAGCGCGTGTGTGTGGCAGACTTCGAGGCTCAGGCCCGGACCGTGCTGCCCAAAGCGGTGTACGACTACTACCGCTCTGGGGCCGATGAGCAACGCACTCTGCACGACAATGTGGAGGCCTTCAACAGGTAGGGCCTCAAGGCTACGCACACACACATGGACACACACACACACTCACATGGATACACACACACACACACATGGACACACACACACAGACCCACACATGGACATACATACATTGACACACACACTCACATGGATACACACACACATGGACACATACACACAGACCCACACATGGACACACACACAGAGACACACACACACACATGGACACATACACACAGACCCACACAGAGACACACACATGGATACACACACACACGGACAAACACACAGACCCACACACACACATGGATACACACACATGGACATGACACATACAGAGACTCATATACAGAGACACACACACTCAGACCCACACACGCACATGGACACACACACACACAGACACACACACTCACATGGCCACGACACATACAGAGACACATACACACAGACCCACACATGCACATGGATACACACAAGGACACGCACACACTCAGACCCACACTCAGACCCACACACGGACATGGATACAACACACAGAGACACACACAGACCCATACACGCACATACACATGGAGACACACACACTCGGACCCACACATGCACATGGATTCACACACAGACCCACACACACACACACGCACACGGACCCCGCTGTCATTTATACACAATATCAGTTATATCACTACAGGTTGTGCGTCCACATTTATGGACATTGGTCATCTGCTCCTTATGGTCCAGTACCATGTGTGTGTTTTCTGTTTTATTTCTTGTGTTTGATTCTCTAATCTGTGTTGTCGAATCGACATCTCTGTAAAGTCCTTTGAGATAAATACTGTTGTGATTTAGGGCGATACAAGAATAAATTGAATTGAATACTGTACTGCTGCTACTGCAGTTGGATAAACTAGTGCCATATGAACCAACTCTGAGGAGCACAGGGACTGGCCTCCCACTGACTAGAGAGAGAGACCTGTGAGAGAGACCAAAGAGAGAGACCAGAGAGAGAGACCAAAGAGAGACCAGAGAGAGAGACCAGAGAGAGAGACCAAAGAGAGACCAGAGAGAGAGACCAGAGAGAGAGACCAAAGAGAGACCAGAGAGAGAGACCAGAGTGAGACCAGAGAGGGACCAGAGAGGGAGACCAGAGAGAGAGACCAGAGAGAGAGACCAGAGAGAGACCAGAGAGAGAGACCAGAGAGAGAGACCAGAAAGAGACCAGATAGAGACCAGAGAGAGACCAGAGAGAGACCTGAGAGAGAGACCAGAGAGAGACCTGAGAGAGAGACCAGAGAGAGACCAGAGAGAGACCAGAGACAGGTGCTCCGCTCTGAAAGAGGTCTGTGAACCGTGATCTGTCTGTTCTAGAGGTTCTTTATGAATCAAGACACTTTTAAATCCCGCTCTTAGAATAATCAATGATTCTTCTGGCCCCTGGAAACGCCCTGTTCCAGCTTCTTCCCTCTGACAGATGATATCGTCGGCTGCAAGACATCTGGATATGATCATAGTTACTGCTGTGATCAGTCTGAACAAAGTGCATGAATGATCTTGTTTTGAAACTGTTTCTGTTGATTGGTTTCACAGCGACAATTGCTTCTTGTACTTTTCAGCTTCATTAACTTATGTACTTGTCAGTGTGCCCCAGGGCGGCTGTGGCTACAGTAGTTTATCACCACCGTGTATGGAGTGAATGTGAAGCCTAACCCATGTCTTTGAGTCTCCAAAAAAGCGCGTTACAAAACCATTGCATTATTATTACTATTATTGTTGTTATTATTGTCTGGTGCTCACTGGGGACTTCAGCATGTGTATTCCAATGGGGTTTTACTGCAATTAAAGTGAATGTGCAGCAGACAGAAGGTGGTCACGCCTCGTCCCGTGTGTGCAGGTGGTGTGTGGTGCCCCGTGTCCTCCGGGACGTCTCCTCTGTGGACATGTCTGTGAGCGTCCTGGGACAGCGGCTGAGCTTCCCTGTGTGTGTGGCGTCCACAGCCATGCAGAGGATGGCCCACCCGGACGGGGAGGTGGCCACCGCCCGAGGTACGAGACCGGTCTGGGCTTTTACTGTGGCAGAGACTTTATGGACTCAAGTTTTAGTCGCTATACACTTGTTTATTGTCAAAACAGATGAAGGTGAATGAGGCGCGGAAGCTGCAGAAACTGATGAAAAATTTGTCAAAAATTGCTCAAATTTGGCAAAATGTGTGTCTTTTGTTTGGGCACGTTTTGACTGAGCCTTAAAACAAGATTTTACAACGGGACAAAGAAGAAAAGAATCTTGTTTTAAAAAGACACAAGAAATGTCTCCCTTGGAATGAGAAAATCAATAGTTCTTGAAATAAGTCTAAATGTCTTTGTTTTGTTTGGGAATATTGTTTTAAGACAGAATGTGCTCTGACCGGAGAAATGAAAATAAAAACAACACTCTTGCCTCTCAGCAAGAAGGTTCTGGGTTCGAACCCTGGTCGGAACAGGGTCTTTCTGAGTGGAGTTTGCATGTTCTCCCTGTGCCTACACAGGTGCCTACCACAAAAAAACATGCACACTAGGTAAAATCCTCCAGCTCTGGTCCTGACCAAACCGAGCATCAACATCTGGAGATGGGTTCCTGGCCGCTGTTACTCTGGCGACCACTGCTCCTGACGTAAGCCATAGTGGCATCAGGATGGGTCAAATGTAGAGGATTGAATTGCCGTACGGGGATCAATAAAGTGCACCTTTACCTTTACAAATTCTATCAAATGAAGTCATGTTGTGTCCAGTTAAAGTGGTCTCTGCTGCATCACAACATGAAAACCTGCAACTCTACTCATACTCGGTCACTTTGGCCCAGACCCTCATGCTGCTAATGTGCACATGAATAAATATATAAAAACGTTTCTTGGACTACAATATGTAGTTTGTTACCCTTGTTTGTTATCATGATGAACATCATGATAATATCCATCCATCCATCCATTTTCTTCCCCTTAATCCATTTCTGGGTCGGGGGGGTGGCAGTCAGAGCTGCACCAGCCCCTCACTGATCCTCCTGCAGGTGGTGAGTCCACAGGAGCTGAGATCTTTCAGTTGGGGCTTTGGGCAAAGTAGGGTTAAGTGTCTTGCCCAAGGACACAACGACAGCAGTCATCAGTGGGAGTCGTGAAGTAGGTCTTATGGTGGGCTTGAACCCACGACCTTCAGGCCCAAAGGCCAATGCTCTACCAACTGAGCTACTGTCGCCCTATTTATTATTGCTCCTCGTTCAGACTGTTGTGTATCTTGCGATGCAACACTGAAATGTCCCACTGTGGTGTGTGCAGCCTGCAGGGCGGTGGGCACAGGCATGATGCTGAGCTCCTGGGCCACCTCCACCATCGAGGAGGTGGGGGAGGCTGGGGGGGCTCCAGGGGGGGCTCCCGGGGGGGTCCTGTGGCTGCAGCTGTACATCTACAAGGACCGCGAGCTCAGCCTGTCTCTGGTGCGGCGGGCGGAGCAGGCCGGGTACCAGGCCGTCTTCCTCACCGTGGACACGCCCTACCTGGGCCGCCGCTGGGACGACGTGCGGAACCGCTTCAAACTACCCTCACACCTCAGGTACCAGCAGAGAGAGACCAGAGAGAGACCAGAGAGAGACCAGAGAGAGACCAGAGAGAGACCAGAGAGAGACCAGAGAGAGAGACCAGAGAGAGACCAGAGAGAGACCAGAGAGAGAGACCAGAGAGAGACCAGAGAGAGACCAGAGAGAGAGACCAGAGAGAGACCAGAGAGAGACCAGAAAGAGACCAGAAAGAGACCAGAGAGAGACCAGAGAGAGACCAGAGAGAGACCAGAGAGAGACCAGAGAGAGACCAGAGAGAGACCAGAAAGAGACCAGAGAGAGACCAGAGAGAGAGACCAGAGAGAGACCAGAAAGAGACCAGAAAGAGACCAGAGAGAGACCAGAGAGAGACCAGAGAGAGACCAGAGAGAGACCAGAGAGAGACCAGAGCGAGAGACCAGAGAGAGACCAGAGAGAGACCAGAGAGAGAGACCAGAGAGATACCAGAGAGAGAGACCAGAGAGAGACCAGAGAGAGAGAGAGACCAGAGAGAGAGACCATTTATGGTCCTCAGGTACCAGCAGGTTCCTCTCAGATCAGGGTCTGGTCTTCATAACTTTGTGACTTGTTCTTTTCTGTCTGTAGTTTATTTTTATTTCATTATTTTTATGAAATGACTGTATTTTTGTCAAATTCAAATGTAGATATTTTCGGCCTGTGTGTGTCGTGTGTGTGTTGTATGTATGTGTGTATGTGTGTGTGTGTTTTGCGTGTGCGTGTGTGTGTGTGTGTGTGTTTTGCGTGTGTGTGTGTGTGTGTCTGTGTGTGTGTGTTGTGTGAGTGTGTGTGTGCAGCATGTCCAACTTCTCGGCCCCCTCCATGGCCTTCTCCGAGGGCAGCTACGGCGCCGACAGTGGCCTGGCCGTGTACGTGGCCAAAGCCATCGACCCCACGCTGAGCTGGGAGGACGTCCTGTGGCTCAAGAGGAACACCCGCCTGCCCGTCATCCTCAAGGGGGTCCTCAGCGGTCAGAGCGAACACCCGCACACACCATACATTATCCAATTTATCTATCTACTGAGGACTGAGGCTGTAGACCCAGGACTGAGCCTGTAAACCCAGGACTGAGCCTGTAGACCCAGGACTGAGGCGGTAGATCCAGGACTGAGGCTGTAGAACCAGGACTGAGGCTGTAGATCCAGGACTGAGGCTGTAGACCCAGGACTGAGGCTGTAGACCCAGGACTGAGGCGGTAGATCCAGGACTGAGGCTGTAGAACCAGGACTGAGGCTGTAGATCCAGGACTGAGGCTGTAGAACCAGGACTGAGGCTGTAGACCCAGGACTGAGCCTGTAGACCCAGGACTGAGGCGGTAGATCCAGGACTGAGGCTGTAGAACCAGGACTGAGGCTGTAGATCCAGGACTGAGGCTGTAGACCCAGGACTGAGGCTGTAGACCCAGGACTGAGGCTGTCGACCCAGGACTGAGGCGGTAGATCCAGGACTGAGGCTGTAGACCCAGGACTGAGGCTGTAGACCCAGGACTGAGGCGGTAGACCCAGGACTGAGGCTGTAGACCCAGGACTGAGGCTGTAGACCCAGGACTGAGGCGGTAGATCCAGGACTGAGGCTGTAGAACCAGGACTGAGGCTGTAGACCCAGGACTGAGGCTGTAGACCCAGGACTGAGGCTGTAGATCTAGGACTGAGGCTGTAGACCCAGGACTGAGGCTGTAGACCCAGGACTGAGCCTGTAAACCCAGGACTGAGCCTGTAGACCCAGGACTGAGGCGGTAGATCCAGGACTGAGGCTGTAGAACCAGGACTGAGGCTGTAGATCCAGGACTGAGGCTGTAGACCCAGGACTGAGGCTGTAGACCCAGGACTGAGGCGGTAGATCCAGGACTGAGGCTGTAGACCCAGGACTGAGGCTGTAGACCCAGGACTGAGGCGGTAGATCCAGGACTGAGGCTGTAGAACCAGGACTGAGGCTGTAGAACCAGGACTGAGGCTGTAGACCCAGGACTGAGCCTGTAGACCCAGGACTGAGGCGGTAGATCCAGGACTGAGGCTGTAGAACCAGGACTGAGGCTGTAGACCCAGGACTGAGGCTGTAGACCCAGGACTGAGGCTGTAGACCCAGGACTGAGGCTGTCGACCCAGGACTGAGGCGGTAGATCCAGGACTGAGGCTGTAGACCCAGGACTGAGGCTGTAGACCCAGGACTGAGGCGGTAGATCCAGGACTGAGGCTGTAGACCCAGGACTGAGGCTGTAGACCCAGGACTGAGGCTGTAGACCCAGGACTGAGGCTGTAGAACCAGGACTGAGGCTGTAGACCCAGGACTGAGGCTGTAGACCCAGGACTGAGGCTGTAGATCTAGGACTGAGGCTGTAGACCCAGGACTGAGGCTGTAGACCCAGGACTGAGCCTGTAGACCCAGGACTGAGTCTGTAGACCCAGGACTGAGGCTGTAGACCCAGGACTGAGGCTGTAGACCCAGGACTGAGGCTGTAGATCCAGGACTGAGGCTGTAGATCCAGGACTGAGGCTGTAGATCCAGGACTCAGGCTGTAGACCCAGGACTGAGGCTGTAGACCCAGGACTGAGGCTGTAGACCCAGGACTGAGGCTGTAGATCCAGGACTGAGGCTGTAGATCCAGGACTGAGGCTGTAGACCCAGGACTGAGGCTGTAGACCCAGGACTGTGGCGGTAGATCCAGGACTGAGGCTGTAGAACCAGGACTGAGGCTGTAGACCCAGGACTGAGGCTGTAGACCCAGGACTGAGGCTGTAGATCCAGGACTGAGGCTGTAGATCCAGGACTGAGGCTGTAGACCCAGGACTGAGGCTGTAGACCCAGGACTGAGGCGGTAGATCCAGGACTGAGGCTGTAGAACCAGGACTGAGGCTGTAGACCCAGGACTGAGGCTGTAGACCCAGGACTGAGGCTGTAGACCCAGGACTGAGGCTGTAGACCCAGGACTGAGGCTGTAGATCTAGGACTGAGGCTGTAGACCCAGGACTGAGGCTGTAGAACCAGGACTGAGGCTGTAGACCCAGGACTGAGGCTGTGGACCCAGGACTGAGGCTGTAGACCCAGGACTGAGGCTGTAGACCCAGGACTGAGGCTGTAGACCAAGGACTGAGGCTGTAGATCCAGGACTGAGGCTGTAGACCCAGGACTGAGGCTGTAGATCCAGGACGCAGGCTGTAGACCCAGGACTGAGGCTGTAGACCCAGGACTGAGGCTGTAGATCCAGGACTGAGGCTGTAGATCCAGGACTGAGGCTGTAGATCCAGGACTGAGGCTGTAGACCCAGGACTGAGGCTGTAGACCCAGGACTGAGGCTGTAGAACCAGGACTGAGGCTGTAGATCCAGGACTGAGGCTGTAGATCTAGGACTGAGGCTGTAGATCCAGGACTCAGGCTGTAGACCCAGGACTGAGGCTGTAGACCCAGGACTGAGGCTGTAGACCCAGGACTGAGGCTGTAGATCCAGGACTGAGGCTGTAGATCCAGGACTGAGGCTGTAGACCCAGGACTGAGGCTGTAGACCCAGGACTGAGGCTGTAAACCCATGACTGAGGCTGTAGACCCAGGACTGAGGCGGTAGATCCAGGACTGAGGCTGTAGATCCAGGACTGAGGCTGTAGACCCAGGACTGAGGCTGTAGACCCAGTACTGAGGCGGTAGATCCAGGACTGAGGCTGTAGAACCAGGACTGAGGCTGTAGACCCAGGACTGAGGCTGTAGACCCAGGACTGAGGCTGTAGACCCAGGACTGAGGCTGTAGATCTAGGACTGAGGCTGTAGACCCAGGACTGAGGCTGTAGACCCAGGACTGAGGCTGTAGAACCAGGACTGAGGCTGTAGACCCAGGACTGAGGCTGTGGACCCAGGACTGAGGCTGTAGACCCAGGACTGAGGCTGTGGACCCAGGACTGAGGCTGTGGACCCAGGACTGAGGCTGTAGACCAAGGACTGAGGCTGTAGATCCAGGACTGAGGCTGTAGATCCAGGACTGAGGCTGTAGATCCAGGACTCAGGCTGTAGACCCAGGACTGAGGCTGTAGACCCAGGACTGAGGCTGTAGATCCAGGACTGAGGCTGTAGATCCAGGACTGAGGCTTTAGATCCAGGACTGAGGCTGTAGATCCAGGACTGAGGCTGTAGACCCAGGACTGAGGCTGTAGACCCAGGACTGAGGCTGTAGATCCAGGACTGAGGCTGTAGACCCAGGACTGAGGCTGTAGATCCAGGACTGAGGCTGTAGATCCAGGACTGAGGCTGTAGACCCAGGACTGAGGCTGTAGATCCAGGACTGAGGCTGTAGATCCAGGACTGAGGCTGTAGATCCAGGACTGAGGCTGTAGACCCAGGACTGAGGCTGTAGACCCAGGACTGAGGCTGTAGAACCAGGACTGAGGCTGTAGATCCAGGACTGAGGCTGTAGATCTAGGACTGAGGCTGTAGATCCAGGACTCAGGCTGTAGACCCAGGACTGAGGCTGTAGACCCAGGACTGAGGCTGTAGACCCAGGACTGAGGCTGTAGATCCAGGACTGAGGCTGTAGATCCAGGACTGAGGCTGTAGACCCAGGACTGAGGCTGTAGACCCAGGACTGAGGCTGTAAACCCATGACTGAGGCTGTAGACCCAGGACTGAGGCGGTAGATCCAGGACTGAGGCTGTAGATCCAGGACTGAGGCTGTAGACCCAGGACTGAGGCTGTAGACCCAGTACTGAGGCGGTAGATCCAGGACTGAGGCTGTAGAACCAGGACTGAGGCTGTAGACCCAGGACTGAGGCTGTAGACCCAGGACTGAGGCTGTAGACCCAGGACTGAGGCTGTAGATCTAGGACTGAGGCTGTAGACCCAGGACTGAGGCTGTAGACCCAGGACTGAGGCTGTAGAACCAGGACTGAGGCTGTAGACCCAGGACTGAGGCTGTGGACCCAGGACTGAGGCTGTAGACCCAGGACTGAGGCTGTGGACCCAGGACTGAGGCTGTGGACCCAGGACTGAGGCTGTAGACCAAGGACTGAGGCTGTAGATCCAGGACTGAGGCTGTAGATCCAGGACTGAGGCTGTAGATCCAGGACTCAGGCTGTAGACCCAGGACTGAGGCTGTAGACCCAGGACTGAGGCTGTAGATCCAGGACTGAGGCTGTAGATCCAGGACTGAGGCTTTAGATCCAGGACTGAGGCTGTAGATCCAGGACTGAGGCTGTAGACCCAGGACTGAGGCTGTAGACCCAGGACTGAGGCTGTAGATCCAGGACTGAGGCTGTAGACCCAGGACTGAGGCTGTAGATCCAGGACTGAGGCTGTAGATCCAGGACTGAGGCTGTAGACCCAGGACTGAGGCTGTAGATCCAGGACTGAGGCTGTAGATCCAGGACTGAGGCTGTAGATCCAGGACTGAGGCTGTAGACCCAGGACTGAGGCTGTAGATCCAGGACTGAGGCTGTAGATCCAGGACTGAGGCTGTAGTGATCCAGGACTGAGGCTGTAGATCTAGGACTGAGGCTGTAGACCCAGGACTGAGGCTGTAGACCCAGGACTGAGGCTGTAGATCCAGGACTGAGGCTGTAGACCCAGCCAGGACTGAGGCTGTAGAACCAGGACTGAGGCTGTAGATCCAGGACTGAGGCTGTAGAACCAGGACTGAGGCTGTAGACCCAGGACTGAGGCTGTAGACCCAGGACTGAGGCTGTAGACCCAGGACTGAGGCTGTCGACCCAGGACTGAGGCGGTAGATCCAGGACTGAGGCTGTAGACCCAGGACTGAGGCTGTAGACCCAGGACTGAGGCTGTAAACCCAGGACTGAGGCTGTAGACCCACCTTTTGCAGTTGTGAAATCAGGTACCCGAGCTTTAACCTGAGCGGTGTGTGTTGCAGTGGAGGATGCGTGTCAGGCGGTGGAGTGTGGAGTGGACGGGATCCTGGTGTCTAACCATGGAGCGCGGCAGCTCGATGGTGTACCAGCAACGGTCGGTCCAACACTCACTCTGTCTGCAAAGTACTCACACATCATATCATCGTTTGTTGGGCGTGTTTGTGTATATGTATGTATGTGTGTGAGTGTGTGTATAAGTGTTTGTGTGTGTATGTGTATGTACTGTGTGTGTATGTGTCTGCATATGTTTATATGTGTGCAAGTATATGTATGTGTGTATATATGTCTGTATATGTTTGTGTGTGTGTGTTAAAGGTTAGTGTGTGAGTGTGTGTATGTATGTGTGTCTGTGTGTGTGTCTATGTGTGTGTCTGTGTGTGTGTGTCTGTGTCTCTAGAGTTGTATAGAGATGTGTAGCGTTGTATAGAGTTGTGTACTGTATGTCTGAGTAACCCTGGTTGTGTGGCGGTGGGTCCTGCAGCTGGACGTCCTGGAGGAGGTGGTGCGAGCCGTGGGGGGCCGCTGTGAGGTGTTCCTGGACGGGGGGGTGCGGAGGGGCACAGACGTCCTCAAGGCCCTGGCTCTGGGGGCCAAGGCCGTGTTCCTGGGGCGGGCGGTGCTCTGGGGGCTGGCCTGTCAGGTGATCTCACATGACGACTCCACAGCTCCAGTGACATCACAAACATCAGATCAATCATGTAGAACTTTATTGACAACGCTGCAGACGGTTTGTTTACTGACCTCACAACTGTCACAAACGTCTTTTTAACGCCGTGAAAACTGCAGGAGAAATAAGAATTAAGCACAATTTCTTCTGATACAAAAGTGAAAATATAAAAAATAGCCTGGTGGTCGCCTGTGACTTCAGAATTCTTCAATAAAACATTAAAGCCTTTTTGTGCACAACATGAAATACAATCTAAAAAACTTTACTACACGATACAAAAATAATGTGTGTGTGTGTGTGTGACTGTGTGTGTTTATATGTCTGTGTGTGTCTGTGTGTATAAATGTCTGTGTGTGTGTGTGTGTGTCTGTGTGTATATATGTCTCTGTGTGTGTGTGTGTGTGTGTGTGTGTGTGTCTGTGTGTATATATGTCTCTGTGTGTGTGTGTGTGTGTGTCTGTGTGTATATATGTCTCTGTGTGTGTGTGTGTGTGTGTGTGTGTGTGTGTGTCTGTGTGTATATATGTCTCTGTGTGTGTGTGTGTGTGTGTGTACAGGGGGAGGAGGGCGTTACAGAGGTCCTGAACCTGCTGAGAGAGGAGCTGCGACTGGCCATGGCTCTGGCAGGTGAGGCCCTCATTCTGTCCTCTCTGGTCCTCTCTGGTCCTCACTGGTCCTCACTGGTCCTCTCTGGTCCCTGTGTGTGTTGCAGGCTGCCGTTCGCTCGCAGAGGTCACGAAAGCGCTGCTCAGGCGCAGAGACTTCTCTCGGTTGTGATTCTTCTGTTGAAAGTCAGCAGCGTTCGATCTGTTCAGTATATGTACTTATACTGTACATACTATATACTTTATGTTTATATGTTACAAATCTTTACTTGAATAAACTGACAGAAACTGATGTCTGACCAGTGCAAAGGGCTGGAAGGTTTGCAGTCTGACCTTAAGAGGACTTTACACTGTGATGCAGAAGGGTCTGGAAGCTTCTCTATGCCGCTTCAATCAGACAGAGGCGGGGTCCGGTCGGTTCTGGTCTGGACTGGTGTGGTCTCAGTTTCCACTGAACACCGCACACATCAGTCTCTTCCTTTGGTCCTCCTCGTGCTGGTTCCTGAGTGGTCTCTGTGGACTCTGTGTCTTATTACTACATACAACTTTAGAGTTTCCCTGCTATGGCACCTGGTGTTCCCAGAGGTCTCCCATCTCAGTACAAACCAGGCCCTACCCTACTTAGCTGCAGAGGTCTGACAGGATCTGGCTTTCACCTGCATGAATGGCCACTTAATACAAACTTAGAGAAAGCTGTAGTTTCTCCTTACAGCCCGTGTGGATTGAAGCTGCAGTACCGTGGGTGGCCTCTAGTCCATGTGGAGACAGGTTTAAGCAGAAACACACACATATAGAGCACACATCCAAGAGTTCCTCTGACAGGTTTTTCTCTGTTTTTTGTCTGTATTCGATACACGATGCAGCGACAACAGAGCACATGCTTGAATGAAGAAGAAGAAAGACAGACTCTGGACACATTCTCTTTATTATTTAGGTTATACTGGATAAATATCTGTCACTACCACAGGCCTAAACAACAACACAACACATCAGCCTCTGCTCTCACTCAGTTTCAGTCCCTTCAGTCCTCTGCCCTCTGCCCCTCTGCCTTCAGCTCTCTGCCTTCTGCCTTCAGCCCTCTGCCCTCTTCCCTCTCCCTTTAGCCCACTGCCCTCAGCCCTCTGCCTCAGTCTGTGGTGGATGTGACTGATCCACAGCCGTGCAGCAGGCCACAGGACAGAGACTGGAGGCTCCTCTTCAGGGGAAGGGGAAGTGTATCCATTTGCCTAGAGAGGGGAGGGGGTGGGGCTGGAGAGGGGAGGAGGTGGGGCTAGAGAGGGGAAGGGGTGGGGCTGGAGAGGGGAGGGGGTGGGGCTGGAGAGGGGAAGGGGTGGGGCTGGAGAGGGGAGGGGGTGGGGCTGGAGAGGGGAGGGGGTGGGGCTGGAGAGGGGAGGGGGTGGGGCTGGAGAGGGGAGGGGGTGGGGCTACCCTCTGGACTCCAGGGACCTACAGGAGGAGAAGCTACAGTTCAGATGCTAATGACAGGTAGAATCAGAAAACCATGAAAGGGTTAAGAAACATCACAGCCACTTATATTGTATGTTTTGTGTGCTCCCTGTGTCTCTTACTACTGTCCTGTCTGTGCGCTGCAACACTGAAATTCCCCCACTGTGAGACAAATAAAGGCTTTCTTATCTCATCGTACTGCTTTTAAAATAACACTTTTATTTCATGTTTGACTAAAGTTTGTCTCCATGTGTTTGTTCCGTCTCTAGTGTTAGCATAATTAAATCTCTATCTTTAGCATAACAAAATGTGTAACGTTAGCTAGACTCACGAGTAGCTGGTGGTGTGCTGGCGGCGGCGAGCGCTCCTCATCTTCTCGAAGCGCGCCTCCATCTCCTCCAGGACCCGCGGCGTGTAGCGGACGACCAGCTTCACTGTTCCCTGAGCCGCCTTCAGCAGCTCCACCGCCTTCTCGTGGTGCTCCCCCTCCACACTCTGCACACACACACACACACACACACACACATACAAATAAAGAATAATCAAGAAATAGTCCACTTACTGTGTGAAGGAGGTTCCACAGGTCTTTCCTTCCCACTGCTGTCAGACTGTACAATGAACAATGGGAACTAAAGAACACTGCGGACCGGACCTCACATGTCGTCATCAGTGCAATCATTTAAACAATGCCAAACAAACACACCACTGCCAGGTGTTGCAACGACTACATTTTCTTACTTTTGATCATTTTAGAAAATTCTGTAATTGTAAATTTTTTGTATAAATGTTGTGTGTGTGGACTGGGTCGTCGAGGTCTGTGCCTTCGACTGCCGCCCAATCCTCTCTGCAACGAACCGCCACGGATCCCTGCCCACGTCGCCCCAACCCCAGGCCTGGCTCCAGGGTGGGGCTCCAGGGTGGGGCTCCAGGGTGGGGCTCCGGCTGCGCCATGACGGGCGACGTCACAGGTTTACTGTCGGGCTAGAACACTCCTGAGGCAGCTGTCCAGTACCGGCAGGCCAAGCGTGTCGCGGCCCGGGCTGTTGCAGAGGCAAAAACCCGGGACTGGGAGGAGTTTGGAGAGTCCATGGAGCATGACTATCGGAGCTGCTGACCTCGACTGGGGATATTGTCGGGCGGTGGAAGGAATACTTTGAGGTTCTCCTCAATCCTCCCGTCACGTCCTCTGTTCTGATGGCAGAGGCTGAGGATGTCGGGGCGGATACTTCTATCTCCCTGAGGTCACTAAGGTGACTAAGCAGCCTCCATGGTGGCAAAGCTCCGGGAGAGGATGAGAGGATGAGAGGATGAGAGGATGAGCCTCCTCGGTGAGGTCTACTCCAAGGTACTTCGACTTCGACCGAGCTGTTTTTGTGACGAAACCTTCCCTTAACAGAGGGGGCGGTTTAAGATTTGTTTTGCCTCACATCGATGACGACGTCCTAAAAACAATGCCCTAACAACAGATCAGGTCAGTGGTATGCTAATGAGTTATGATTGTTAGCCCGAGCAGAGCTTTCATTCCCTTGAAAAAGTTCTTTGGATGAAGAACGAAACGTTGAGAAAACCTTCTGAGAAGAACAGCTGATGGGTGAGAAACATTTCTTTGTTTTTATTGTTAGCTAGTCTTAGAACGATCTAGTAATTTCTTTTGTTTGTGTGGATGAGTGAATACAGTATCTACAGTATATATCTATCTATCTAGAAGCACGGCTAACCACACTGAAACACCACTCACAACCGCAATAACCTTTGAAGTCATTATAGAGATATATTTATAGAAAAAGTGGTGGTCGTCCTGTTCCCCGTGGACCAATCACAGCAGAGTATGTTTTGGTGCTCACCACTCCGTTGACAGACAGCAGCTGGTCCCCCCTCTTGAGGCCCCCCTGGCGGTCGGCCACGCCCCCGGGGATCACCCTGGAGATGTAGATGGGGGAGTTCTGCTCTTTGCCCCCCATGATGTTGAAGCCCAGCCCCTCGTCTGTTTTGGGCAGCTCCACCACGCGCGGGTGGGCGTGGCCTTCACTGGCGGCGAACGCTGCTACAGTGGCCTGAGGGCGGATGGAGGGCAGAGGGCGGAGGGAGGGGCAGAGAGCGGAGGGAGGGGCAGAGGGAGGAGGGAGGGGCAGAGAGAGGAGGGAGGGGCAGAGAGCGGAGGGAGGGGCAGAGAGCGGAGGGAGGGAGGGGCAGAGAGCGGAGGAGGAGGGGCAGAGAGCAGAGGGAGAGAGGCAGGAGGGCAGAGAGGGATGGAGGGGCAGAGAGCGGAGGGAGGGGCAGAGAGCGGAGGGAGGGAGGGCAGAGAGCGGAGGGAGGGCAGAGGGAGGGAGGGGAGGGGCAGAGAGCGGAGGGAGGGGCAGAGAGCGGAGGGAGGGAGGGGCAGAGAGCAGAGGGAGGGGCAGAGAGCGGAGGGGAGGGAGGGGCGGAGGGAGGGGCAGAGAGCGGAGGGAGGGAGGGGCAGAGAGCGGAGGGAGGGCAGAGGGAGGAGGGAGGGGCAGAGAGCGGAGGGAGGGGCAGAGAGCGGATTTTGTCTTTTTATTTGATATTATGATTATTTGTAATATCTTTTCTAATAATCTTTCTAATAATCTTTTCTTTGTGTTATAATTGCTGCCTGTTAATGTTTCTGAATCATGACATTCTGACTCAAAAATAAAGAATAAGTACAAGTCTGGAGATTCTTATCCATGCATTTGTCTCCAGTAGGTTAGACTACTGCAATGGCCTGCTCACAGGTCTGTCCAAACAGGCTGTAAAACAGCTGCAGTACATTCAAAATGCAGCAGCTCGAGTCCTGACAAGAACCAGGAAGTACGACCACATTAGTCCAGTTCTCAGGTCTCTGCACTGGCTTCCTGTGGCTCAGAGAATAGACTTTAAAACAGCTCTGCTTGTTACAAGTCTCTCCATGGCCTCGCACCAAAATACTTATCCAACATGCTGGTGCCGTACGAGCCCGCTCGAACTCTGAGGAGCGCGGGGACTGGACTCCTGTTAGTGCCCAGAGTTGGGACTAGACGGGGAGGCAGCGTTCCAGACCTATGCACCTAGAATCTGGAACAGTCTTCCCGAAGGTGTGAGACAGGCTCCTACCAAAGCTATGTTCAAGTCCAGGCTGAAAACGGTTCTTTTCAGCCGTGCCTACGACTGATCATCAGTAAAACTGATCATAATTTTATTATTGATGTATATTTATTCATTTTCTTAAACTGTATTTGTTTTTACAGTGTGTTTTTAAATTGCTTTTAAATGTTGCCGATGTGAAGCACTTTGGGTTGCATTCTGTATGAACTGTGCTCTAGAAATAAACATTGATTGATTGAACGCTAAACAGAGTGTGTGTGAGTGTGTGTTTGTGTGTGTGTGTACCTTGGCCACAGCCTGTGCACGCACATCTGGACCCCCCACGATGTCCAGAGTGTCATAGAGCTGCTCATATACCTGCAGACACACACACACACACAGTTACACTCAGACACACACACACACACAGTTACACACACACACACACACATACACGTTTTTGTTACCTGGTGGGTCCCTTTGACAGGGCCGTTCAGAATGGGACCCATAGACATAATCTTTTTTTACTGGGACTACTTTAAGTAATACAAAACAGTCAATAGAAACCAAACAACTATTTTAAAGGAATTTTATTTTAGATTTTGTTTTCGAATTGCAGTGATTCTATTTTTGACATAGAATTTAATGCCACTCCATGTCCGATGTCTAAGGTCATCTGGTGAGGCATTAATGCAGGCCAGGCAGTGAGACTTCCCAGGGACCTTTCCAGTCTGTATGAAAGGTGTCATGGTCTTCTCCACAGCCTTCACCTCAGATGCAGACCATGGCTTTCTTACACGTTCTAGGGAGAGAAATAAAAATATATTAGCAATATACACTCCCAGGGTTAGGACCAAGCAGCCTGGCTGTAATCCCCCACCTGGTACACTTACCAGAAGGGGCACTGCCACTACCATGGGGTGCATCTGGATGAATGGTTGAAGGTTCTCCGCTTGAAGTTTCTTTTAGCCCGTCCGTTTGTGAGAGGATCTCTACTGCTCTCCCTGTCGCACAGAAAATAAAAATACAAGTGGCCTTTAGGGGAAAAAAATCATACATATTTTAATAATATCAAGAATTACCTTCAGGCTCAATTTGTATCTGGTCGAGGCTCTTTCCTTCGAATTCCGTCACTCTTCCCTGCTCCATGGCCATCAACACTTTGCTGATTTTGGCCAGCTCCAGTGTCCCCTCTGGTAGTCTGTAATATTGCCTGTGGATGCGAATGTCATGGCCGAGGAAGTTGGCAAGTATGTCCATCTCATTCTCTTTCATATTGAGAACTGTAGACATAGTAGCTATGTGCTTTCTAAGTTTGGTTGAGGATAGCATCTCTGGATGCACCGCACCACATTCTTTGGCTACCTGGCGTAGGGAGTCTGATCCCCTGATGTGGGTGTCTGCGCCCGGGCGGGAAAAGAAGTATGGGTTATGGTCAGAGATGGAACAGGCCCTTCTGTTCTCCACCAGCACCTCCATCGAAGCAATCATTTCAGGAGTCAAAAGAACCGGCACTTTCCGACTTCTTTTCCCTTTAATTTCAATGCGTTGAAAATGCTGACACAGCTTTTTCTCAAGTTGGGACAGTCCCAGAGCAATGTCAGAATGGATCCCAGTCTTACTTCTTAAGGTAAAGGCTGTCAGTGGCATCTTTGAAACCTCACCTTCCCTTCTTCGATTGAAAATGATGACCTCACAAAGAGTCAAAACTGCCAGTTTAGACCAATGCTTAGACGTTGGCTCACTTATTAGGGTTTGCACATATTCAGGTCGACATACCTCAATATGTGCATGCATGGCTCTAACGTCCTCAGTCAGAGGGAGCAGGTCCGGAGTGTTCCACTTGGCTTGCCGGAGGGTCTGTAGGGCAGCAGAAGAAACACAGACGTCCCACCTCTTCTCAAAAAGCAGCCGGCTTCGTTGGAGGTTTTTAATAAATAGTTCATCAACACAATGCTCCATTTTTGAGTCACATTCAAGAATATCTGCTAGCTTTCTGAGGCTATGGCCGAGTTTGAGGGCCAAGGATGGAGTCTTGTATTGATTTGTTTCCTCATCATATCCAGCCACAGACCTGACTGCATCAATCACATGGTTAAAGTTGGAAGGAATAAAGAAATCCTTAATTGTTTTCAGTTTCCCTGCGGTTTTTGCTTCGTTAATTAACCTACCGACTTCTCTCATTTTCTGCCTAATGTAATCATGCTTAGTCTTATCATGCCCGTGTTTTAAGTACAGGTGCTCTCCGAGTCTCAGAATCCCCTTTTCTGCTTTGACAACACCCGTGACCTCATCCTGATGCATTGCCCAAATTAAAGACCACAGCTTTTTGCTGATGCCCTCCGGTACAGGCTGGGCTAGGGAGCAGAGGGACTGGACCCTACTTCTACCTGGTTTAGCCTGGGCATCTTTCTGTGAAAGCCGGCACCTGGCCACATGCCTCCACAGCGACTTTCGCTTAAGCAATGCCCCACAGTCTATACAGTGCAAAAACTCACTGGATTTAACTGGGGAATTTGGCTGTTTAGCTGGGACTAAAGTTCCAATGCCGGCCTTTAAAACCTCAAAATTGTGCTCACGGTTTCCACTATTCCTGATCAAATCAAACTGAAGTTTACGTGCTTTAGATTTCACAGGTAGAGCCAATGCTCTGGCTACGTCACTTTCATTTCCATGTTTTCTAGTCAAATGACGGGACATTTTGTGGCAGGACATTGAACAGTAGAGGCAGAAGTGTCTCTTGCTGTATACTCGCCCCCCATTTTTCTTCTTTTGCAGCTGCATGATAACAATCTTATTTGCCTTTGGTTCGTCACTTTCCGAGTCTTGAAGAAAAGTGTTTTTGATTTTTCTTTTTCCATACTTTTTTACAGGTTTCTTCTTGACAGTTAAATCGTCAGAATCTGAGTCGACTTCATCAATTAGGGACTCTTGACTAAGCTGCACAAACAACAAATAATTTGTAATCATTCTATATAACAATTTGAAGTCATGACTTGTAGTCAGCACTTACCAGTGGTTTGTAAGCGTGCGCTTCAGTGTGCTCCTCCATGATTTCTTGCAGCCTAATGAACCACACACTTGCACCTTTTTCTAGCCTGACACCTGATTTCCTCTGTTGTGCTGCTCCATGATTGGCTCCAGCCTGCTGGACTGAAATTGCCCCAGTGTGCCCCTCCTTGATATCCCGCAACCCACCACCAGGGTTCCGACACATAACACACTTTTTTCAGGAAAGTAAACCTCCAGGGGTCCTTTCCATATTTTTACAGAGACTGCATAAGGACCGTTAGAAAAGCATTACCCATTGATTATTTAAGCTTGGACCAGTGGGGTCCGGTGTTCGGGCCCCACCACGTAAAACCAGTCCCCATGACGTGAGTGGAATCTCAGGTTATGGAACCCACCAGGAGTTGAAAACAAGTGCACACACACACACACACACACACACAGTTACACTCAGACACATACGAGAGGAACTCGACTGTTCTCAGACATTTCTTATGGAGAGTGAGAGGAGACGAGAAGAAAATTAATGAATGGATTTGAGAGAGTCACTTCTGTCTCAAACCCGCTTCATCTGATTCAGCTGCGACTCTGTGAATGTGGAGGATTATCATGAGTTGTTTTTGCTGCAGGAGGGTCTAAGGACATGACCCAGACGTTTCTTACTGTAACATTTGTGGTCAGTGCTGTGCACCAATGGCTTCTATGTGTTTGTTATTATTGTAATTCTGTGTATGAACTGTTTCTCTGATCTGTTTTTGAGGAATCAACAACTTTGTATAGTCCCCGAGACGAGTGTACAGCTGTTGTGGTTTAGGGTCGTACATTTTGTGCTACCCTCAGGTCAAATTAACCCGACACAGGGATGAAGAATGCCATACAACTTTTTTTTGTTAGAGTTGAATGTTGTTATTTTTCTGAACTTGACCCGCCCCTGCGACCTTTAGAGCCTTTAGATCCTTGTTTTATAAAAGTATTGGATCATTTGGACCCGAGGGTAGCACAAGAGTTAAGGTCCTGGCGTGGATTGTTGCAGAGCTGTGTGGCACCTCTCGGATGGCGGCGCAGAACTTGCTCTGGAGAACCCGCTGTAGAGCCTGGAGTTTAGGAGGAGGCAGCTCCCCGCTCCTCTGCAGCCGATCCAGGAGCTCCACCACCCTGCACACATCTGCACCAGCGGGACACATTTACACCAGGAACTGTACTCATGCTGTGGGTGGAACATGGTGGAACATGGTGGAACATGGTGGAACATGGTGGAACATGGCGGAACATGGTGGAACATGGTGGAACATGGCGGAACATGGTGGAACATGGCGGAACATGGCGGAACATGATGGTGGAGATGGAGGTGGAGGTCTGTGTGAGACTGACAGGCTCAGCACCATCAGCACCGTCAGCACCACTGAGGGCGTGGCTCTGGAGGAGCTGCAGGTTCTTTACTGTGCTCCGCCTGAGGCCCCTGCAGAACCTGATCTTGTGATGGGATGGATTGTCTCGCCAAAGAAGAAGTTCTCCCTAACCTAGGTGTTATTTTTGATAAGGACATGTCGTTAGTGCTTTTTTCAGCTAAAGGAGAATCTCCAACGTCAGGAAAATGGTTTCACAGAAGGATTTGGAGGTGATTATTCATGCCTTTGTGTCTTCGCGTTTAGACTATTGAAACAGTCTGTTTTCTTGTTTAAACAAGAAAGCACTGTCTCGCCTGCAGTTAGTGCAGAACTCTGCAGAGAGAATCCTGACCCGCACAAGCAGGAGGAGCACATCACCCCTGTCCTGAAAGCTCTTCATTGGCTGCCTGTGTCCTACAGGATACATTTTAAAATTCTGGTTTTAACCTTCAGAGCTTTGCACGGTCAGGCTCCGTCTTACATCAGTGACCTGAGCCAGCCTTACACCCCAGCCAGGGCTCTGAGGTCTGTGGATCAGAACCTCCTGATGGTCCCACGCACTCGCTTCAGGACCAGAGGAGACAGGTCCTTCCTGTTGCTCCTGAGCTCTGGAACGTTCTCCCGCTCTCTCTGCGTTCTATAGAGTCTGTTGAGTCCTTCAAAAGTCAACTTAAAAAATGTATTTATAAAATATTTATTTATAAATCTATTTGTTCAGGCTTTTGCGTAAGTTTGTCTTGCTGTTTTTTACATGGTTGTCTTGGCCTTTAAAAATTTGTATGTCTAATTTATATACCATCTGTTTTTATACCATGTGAAGCGCTTTGTGACTGTGAAGGGCACTATATAAATAAAGTTTACTTACTTACACATGTTTTTCCTTGTGTAGTGTTTGTCCTCTTAAACAAATGAGATTTAGGAAAAAAAACAGAAAAACTCAATCCCAATCCATGGGACGTGTTCACTGACAGTTCTACACAAAGTCATATTTCAGTAACACATCATTCATTATTTTTAATTTAGAAAACACTGCAGGAGCCAATGGGTGGTCTGTGAGGGTTTCCTCCTGACGCTCCGGTGTCCTCTACCGCCCATCACTGGGTCTGATCCAGAGTATGAACATCTGGACATGGCCCTCGGGCGCTGACCTGTGGTGACCACTGCTGACAGAGGGGCCCCTGTCTTTATTGTGTATGATTCACTGTGTCCTCAGTGTGTCGTAAAACTGATGATGATGATGATGATGACAGTGGTGATGTCACTGCTCTGTGACGTGCACTGATGAAACATGAGGGAAACATGTTCTTGTGTTTTTCTGCGGTCAATGCTTTTAGAGGCGGGGGCTGGAGACTTATGCATCAGGGCCGAGTCACCGCAGACAGAGGCGACAGAAGTGCGTGTTTGGAGGCTGAGGCAGAGTCCAGACTGAACGTGTGGAGAGGCGGATGTCAGATCCGCTCTGTGCGCGGCCTGTGGTCAGTGACAGATGTGCACAGATGCAGAAGCACAGATGCAGATGCAGAAGCACAGCTGCAGATGCACAGATGTGATGGATCCAGGAGCAGGACGTACCTCTCTCAAGGCACAGCGGCTCTCTCATGGCGGCGATGTCCGCGTCCTTCCCGCTGTGGTAGTAGGAGATCATGGTGGTGGATCAGTGTGGAGGAGAACTTCACAGCGCGGACATCCTCCACTGCAGCTGCTGAGAGCGGACCGACCCCCTCTGCGCACGCAGGCTCTTAAAGGGCCCGCGTCCTCACTGGAGCGCGGCCCCGGGACGTGAGCGCAGGCACCGCAGGGACACAGGCCGTTCATACTCCCCGTCCCTCCACTTCATCTGTCTTATCTATAAACTCTGACTTAGTAGTAGACACCGAACAACTGGCCCATAAAGCCTCCGACCATCACTGTACATTCACTCACTCGTTTATTCAGATCTATTGTACATGTCTTTAGTGATGGGGGAACTAGAACACCTGGAGGAAGTCTACGCAGACAGGAGAACATGCAAACTCCACAGAGGCTCTGCTGGAGCCGGAGCCGAACACAGGACCTTCCCAAACTAAAGTCATGTTGCAGCTGTAAACTCTGTTCTACCACAGAACCAAGATTTGACAGAGATGAATAATTAAACTCCTGCATGTGTTTGTCAGGACACATTGGGCTGAACCGAGTTAAAAACATTGATTGCAATTTCTTTATTATGATTCTGTACCAAAGTTAGATTCTTATTTTGAGTTATTGTTAATTTATCTAGTGCTGTGTGCTCCTCTTCCCTACTGTTCAGTAAGTGCTGATGCAACACTGACATTTCTCCACTGTAACGGAGCTCTTCATCTAAATGTTGTAATGGTACATCTGTAAATTGTTCAACTTAACTTTGTAGCGTTTCAACTCTCGATGTAGGTTTCAGACATGAACAAAGCCCACATCCTCATCACGATAAGAACAAACCTGATTGTTGTCAGATGCAATGATGAATGAACAGATTGAAGCACAGAGCAGCAGGGTATAATTAAAAGTTTAATTGAGAATGAAAAGGCCCTCCTACAGTCGCACACAGCAGTTCATTTACAGTTTCACAGAGAACTAGAATCATTTGGACAGATGTGTGAAGCTGGAGCCGCCGCACGGTGAGAGCTGTGGACAGAAGCCCAACAGAAGACGGGTCTGACATGCAGAGCACACGACCATTGAACTAAGACTTACACCACACTCTGCCAAAACAAAAGTCACCATTGGACCCCGAGGGGCCTTTGTCCTAATGCAACAGTTGTGACAGTAATTTAAAAAAAGGCAATAAAATGTGCAGTCCAGTTGGAGAGGCTCGGCACAATAGTTCAGTACTCCTCTGGCGCGGCCTCCATCTTGAAGCCGTTCTCTCCGTTGCCGAAGTCTTCAGGGGCCTCTGTGGGGGGCTCCATGCTGTCCTCCTGGGGGTAGTCTTGGGGCTTGAGTGAGGGTCCGATGCCGTTGTTGTCTTCCTCTGGGGGCTGGTCCTGTGGCTCTGCGTGCCGGTCGTCTCTGCGCTCCCGGTCTCTGTCTCGGTCTCGTTTGTGCTCTCTGTCGCGGTCTCGTCGGCGGTCTCTGTCTCTGTGGCTGCGTCTTCGCTCCTTGTCTTTGTCTTTGTCGCCGCGGTCTCGGTCTCGGTCTCGCTCCCTCTCTCTGCGCTGCTCCTCTCCCTCAGGGCCGGGCTCTCCCTCAGGCTGCTCCTCGGGGCCCCTCTCAGCTCCGTCTGGTGGGGGCCCCTCTGTGATGTCTTCTCCGTCAGGCCCTTTGACGCGCTCGCGGTCCCTCTTGCGGTCGCGGCTGCGGCTCCTGCGTTTGCGCTCTCTGTCGCGGCTCCTCTCGCGGCTCTTCTCTCCGTGCGGCTCTCTCTCCCTCTCTCTGCGGCGCACGATGCCGTCCTCTCCCACAGGACGCTCTCGCTCTCTGGAGCGTGTGCGTCTGCGGCGCTCTCGAGAACGTGAGCGCCGCCGCTCGCCCCTGTCACGCTCACGGCTGCGGCCCTCGCCTCGGTCTCTTTCCCTGAGAACATGAGAGCAAACAGTTTAGACACACGATTTATGAAGCCAGTTTAGGACGGTTCAACGATGGTTTAATACTAGTTAAGAACTAATCCAGAACTTTTGGTTGTTTTGAGTTTGCACATTGTTCTTTACTGCATGGCTATATTATTGATGTTGAAAATACAAACTAACTCAATAACTCACCCGCCAATCGGCCGCTCGTCGTAGCGCGAGGAGTCGTCTCGTCCAGAGTGCTTAATGTTCACGTCTGCGCCTCCTCTCCTGGTGCCGCCCAGACCTCCTCCTGCACAAGAGGACGAGACGTGAAGAGACAGTGAGGAAAGCAGTCACTGCGGTCAGATCTACAGCGGCTCTTTGGGTTTTTCCCACTTATTACTACATACAAGTATTAAAATCCGTAATTTAATCAAAAACTTGAGCTCATTGATTCAGCTTTTGCATGAATTCAGGCCGTAAAAAGTGCAGTAGAAACTTTTTCTACTAGCTCTCCAAATCACAGAACGAGGAGCGAACAGGCTGCGTCGTCTAGTCTCTACAGCGCTGGTAAACAAGAGCAGAATGGAGCTGATAGCAGCTATAACTCCTCTGGCTGTAACTGACGACACAGCAAAACAGCCCAAACGACAACAGTGAGGAAGAGAAGAGGGAACTAAAGTGAAAAAATGATCAAAGAAGAAATCAAGCCCTGAACAGAGCTAGCTTACATCGTATCCTTTGGAAAGACTGGTCTATGGGAGAGACCTGCGGGACCGCCTCGGACTATCTACGCTCGGACTATCTATGCTCGGACTTTCTACGCTCGGACTTTTTACGCTCGGACTTTCTACGCTCGGACTACATTTGGATGCAAACTAGTGGTAATCTTTCAGTTATATATTTTGTTAGCAGTGCGTTGGTTTTGTACGATTTCATCAGTGATTGTTGCACAGCTTACAAGAAGTTGCGCTAATGCCAATGTTTGCATATGTATCAGATCGCAAATAAAACTAGATGGCTCTGTGGGAGGAGAACCATCTAGTTTGAGAAGCCTGTGAGCGAGATGGGGGGGCGGTGCTAAACATTCTAAATGAACGTGAAAAGCTCCTTTAAATGTGCTCTACAGCTTTTTATTGTTCATTACCTTTTTGTGCAGACGTGGAAATGTTTAAACTGTAGCCAGTGCTTTTGTAAATGCAAAGTCACAGGTTTTAACACAAAATGGGAGATTCAGGTGTAAAGTACATCTGCCAAACTGTAAATGATCGCCATGCCTCTAAAAATTGAAACAATGAGGGAGAAAGTCCATGAAGTAGGAGTGTCGAGTGAAGCGTACCCAGTCTGCGCGGCCTCCAGCCTTTGACGGTGCGTCCGCGCTCCACATCCACCAGGACTCTGCGGCCGTCGATCTTCTTTCCGTCTGCGTGTTTGTAGGCCGCTGCAGTGAGAAAGAAACACCAATGAACAGGCAGCAAACACAAGCAGCTCTATGTGGGCAAGGAATCAGTGCTTCTGTATACTGACCAGCAGAGGGCCGCTCGCTGGGAAAAAGCCGAGGCACTACGGAGGACCTCCTTCCACCAGACGAGAGCGCAAAACCTTTTACACCTCCAACCAGGGCTTACCAACTATCCAACAGCCAGGAACAACCACTACCCCTGCCCTGAGCTCCTCTACTGCAGCTGCTCCTGGAGAGCAGGGCCTACAGGGCAACTGGCCCATGCCGTTATGGTCTAATGTATTTGATCTGGTAAACCACATGCATTAGACTGACATTAACCTCTGACTAAGGCCTTTACTAGATCACCTTTCCAAGAGCCTCAGAGCCTCCAGATGTTCCCGCTTACCCGGGACCCTCCATCATAACAGCAGGACCTACAGGACCAGTCCTGGGCATATGGGGCCTTACCACACCCATTGTTCAACAAGATCTGTACAAGTCACTGAAGTGGACCTATGTGGGCTGGACACACCCAGGGCCACTCTGCGGTGTGATTGTGGATAGCAGATACACTTACTCCAAAGTGTCAAACACATGTTTGGAAGCTTCCTACGGTGCTCGACTAGTCTCTTGAATGAGTAGGTTAAGATGTAGTTACATTTGAAGGTGACGGGGCCAATCATGGGTAGATTCTGCGATGCATGGTGAGCGGATGTGATGAGTCTGCTGTGTGCGGTGACGGCTACGTGTCTGTCCTGATCGACCACTATGTGTCCATGTGCATGAACCATTACGTTCCAGTGCACGGGAACAGCACGTCCCACTTCAGCTCTAACAAGTATATGAGGGTGGAAAGAAATCTTACCCATCATACAAACCCTTTATACCAACCATAACTGAGCTGTGGTAGTAGAGTAGATGTATCTTAAGCATCATCATCTGCCAGCCAGCTCTGGCCAATAGCCATCACAGATATGGCGGCTGCAGTGGCAATGAGAACAACAAATAGTTAATACAGTCCAGAGGTCCGCGCTCCCTCCCCGCCCCTCATGTCCCTGTCCAGGCACAGCTCCTGCAACTCTGCTCTCAGATCTCCCATCCGAGTGTGAGGGGAGGTGTGAGAGCCGGGCTGAGGACCTGCACTACCACACTCAGCTCCCTGATGAGCGTCACCTTGTGCTTACCATGCGCCTCCACAGCTGAGCTCTGGCCTCAGCAGAGCTCACAGTCGAACACTTATAATAGGTCCTGTGACAGAGGTAACAGCTCAGATACAGCCTACCCCTCAGCAGCACACCACAACACAGCACAGCCTAACACAGGACATGCACAGGGCTAAGGCCTATGGGGACACACCCGCCCACGCCTGGACCATGTGCATCACGGAGGTGGTGCTCTGTGCAGTACTCACAGTGCATGTCCCGCTCGTGCTCGTACTCGATGAAAGCGTATCCGCGAGGCTTCCCTGTCCTTTTGTTGTAAACGATGTAGATCTGGAGGAACAGTATTTCAGCATTATTGTTTGGGTAACTATGGAGTAAACGGTTCCATTACCAGGAGAGAAGCAGGAACGTACCCTTTTGATGGGGCCATAGACTTCAAACTCTCGCCGGAGTTTGGACTCAGTGGTGTCGTAGTTCTGCAGTGGAACAAAGAGTAAGAAACATGCCTGTGCTTCTCCACATGAGTGGTTCAGACGGACTACTCACCACGCGGGCCACAAACAGGGTCTTGAAAGCATCGCCCTGAGCGTTAGGGTCATTGTGTGGATCCCCTGCACAAGAGCAGCAGACAGTGATCATATGTTCAGACAACTTCAACAAGAACTGCAGCTTTTGAGATGTGTTTTGATGAACTCACAGAGTTTGAGCTCAGTCTCTAGCACCGTCTGTCTGCGCTCGATCTTTTCTCTCCTCTGTAAACAACACACACAGGCTTAGTGCACGCACACACACTCTTCATGTTCTTAGGGCAACCGGGAAAAGTCTCAGTGAAAAGACACACAGAATTACACCAGGGAGAATTCGAACCAGCACCAATGGTTTTTAGGGATGAAAATCATAATGATCCAATTACAATTATTCTTTTATTCAGTCATTTGTTTTAATTACTTGGATTTGTTTTTGCATGACACATCTTGAGATAAACAGCGACCGTATGTAAAACGTTAATTTGAAATGTATTCTCCATCTTTTATTCGTCTCCGCACACAAATAGTTGACCTTTGATGATCAAAATTAACTTGAACTTTAAAAGAACATTGTTTTTTAATCTGATTAAACAAAACAGAACTAGCATAAATTTGGGTTGTGTGAAATTCAGCTGTTTGACGGCTACCTCAACAAGTGGACTATGAGCACTGAGAGGCAGCTACATGTGCGTCTAAACACTTCATTTCAAGGGTGATAGTTGATTATGTGATTAGTAAAATAATCAATACCTGCATCGCATGACTCAGACGCTATGAGAGCTTTACACCTGATCTAGAGTCAGCTCTGAGTGTAGTCAGTGTATTAGAGTTGTGTCTGTATCTTTAAACCACACAAAGTCCACCCTGAGCCGTAAACCATAACATTATCTTTTAGTATTTTGATCATACATTTAATAAAAATATAACAATGTAACATTAACAAGATCTCATGAATTATCTATTGTTGGAATATTGAAAACTTTAAATGTTCAGTGTACCAGAAATCCATGTATTTACAAAAACTCTAAACCCTAAAACCTTTTCTATGAATAATATCTCAAATGTAGAGTTTTTGTCTGTGCTCACCTTCCTCTCCAGGCGCTCGTCTCTGGTCTCGGCTCTGGTTGGTGGTGGAGCATCTCTGGGATCCTGAAGGAGAACATCATGAGAAACGCCATAAACAGACGTCACTGCTTCTGTGTCAACTCATTGTTTGGGCACATTTTTTGTTGGTTGCTCAACGGAATAATTTTAGTGGTGCTGAAACATTAAGGCTACTAAATATCTATAAATCTAAGTCCATGTCTGACCAAAACTGAAAGTTACAAATGTGTGCTCAGAAAGCTAGTTTCTGTTGATCTACAGGCAAATACCAACAAACAAACAATCCACTGCTTTTAGGCTGGGATCCACACATAATTAATCTAGTAAAAGGACGCTGCATGGACAAGCTGGATCAGACTAGAGTGTGGAGAGCTGCTGTGCGCACCTCGAAGTGCCGGATGAAGGGGGCGATCCCGCAGTACGGCTGGTTGTGATGCTTCTCATGGGGCAGCTTCTCCAGCTGCGTCAGGAAGGGAATGGGGTCTCGCGGCGCAAAAAGCGCCAGAAGGTTTGGGGGCAAAAACTGGGTCATCTTTTACCTGGAACACAGGAAACAATATCACTGTTGATTTCCATTAAAATATGGGATTCTGTAAAACACTAAACTGCAGATCGAATACAATAATGTTAACAAATCATTCAACAGGACAGAGGTTCTTAAAGGAAATGAGTAGAATATGTGGGCAGCCTCTTCACTTCCTGGTACGTGGGCTAGCACAATCACCGCAGACAAGAAATATGAATATTTATAAAAGGCCCATGAGCTAAAGGAAAATATAAGGTTACAAAACAACTACATGACGCATAGAAGTGTTGCATCGGAAACAGGAACCATGTTTACCAGATAACAAGCTGAGCATGAATGCACATCTAAAAGGCTTGGCGTAATAACTATAACTAACTCGGTGGTAAAAAGCTTTTTGAACGAGCCAAGTTTCAGCAGCCCGGGCCGGGCCCGACTGGAGCACAAAGAACAGACTGCGATTTCTTCTTTCATAAACTACAGGCCACGAAAACACATCTCACGGCTCGAAACTAGCAATAATCCATCATTGATATCTCCGTAGCACCGCGCGGACTCCGAGAGTGTCCTTTTTTGGGGATTAGCATTAGCCTGATGCTAGCAGAGTCCACGGAGAGCACCGTGCACGGTATCGGTGGTTCTACCTGAGCTCCTCCGGTGTACGGGCAAACGTCACACCATGAGACCGAAAGCCGGCTCAGATATCAGGGCCAGCTCCCGAGGCTTCTCTCGTGGTTTCTCCCGGACACAGGCTCTCTCTCGACGGCCGTGTAGAAATGACAAAAGCGGAGCAGACGCTAGCATGAGGAGCAGGAGTGTGCAGTGCACAGGGAAAATGGCGGGCTGCCGTAAAGCGTCGCGAGCAGAGAGCACGCGCACAACTGACGTAAAATCTTGCTCAATGGCTGCGTCCAAATTCAATAAAAAATATCCCAGTTTGAGTGAAATTTATTTAGTAAGGAAGGATAAGCAAGAATATGAAAGTCCGTGTTTTATGAAATTGGATGCAGCCAAATATTTAAGAATAGAAATGATTAAGTTGGTAATATGATGAACATGATTGTTAAATTTAGCTAGACATCTTATATGTAGTTACATCTCACTACAGATAACTGACTTTGCTCCAAGAGAGAATTTACTGTAGTTCAATCCCTAAAACCAAATTTAAGAAGTACTGCAAGAAAGTTTACATAGATTGAATCCATTATGGAGATATAACAATCCCCTTATTAACTATTATCCACTTTCTCATTATTGTCAACAGTTCTAACACAGCCTCTATGTATTTAGTCAATGATTTATGAATATATTATGTTATTATGTGTATTAGTCTTTTATGTAGTGCAATGACTGACGTACCTCAAAAATATTAAAACCGTTTATAAAAACAAGACACAAGTGGCTCCCAGCGACACCTTCAACAGTTTAGGAAGAAAAAGTACAATAGACGTGTGCAACTCACGAAAGATCAGATTTGGGATATATCCAGGACAGTTTCTATACAAAGACCTGGATTCCCACAAATGTTTTCCTACATTTTTTGTATGTTTCACGAATTGGTTGCTTTTGGTGAAGTTTGTTCTCGTCTGTGGCTGGGTTTTCAACCGTATTTTAAGTGTGCATTTCTTTATATGTATATTTATTATTTAGTCTTCATGCTTTTTGGTTGCCTTGGTGTTTTGAGAATTGTATTTTTATATTTTTATGTGTAATTTTTTTATGGATGATGCATGGAAAAAAACACATTGAACCATCATTTTGAAAATGACAATTAAAAAATGACAATTCTTAATAATATGATGAATAAATAATTTTGATGATTAAAACACACATTAACAGGATTGTTCAAATGCAGTTACAACTTGAATCCTGGATTTTGAATAATATTTTTCGAGACTAGACTCTGCGTGTGTCAAGTCTCTCCAAGACCAGACAGAACAAAACATGGGGAGGCAGCAGTTCATATTCATTCAGCTAAAATCTGAAAGTCTTCCCAAAAATGTGGGACAGGCTTCTTCTCTGACAACGTTCAAATCCAGGTTAAAAACAGCTCTGCAACAACTGAGGGATTTTATCTTCACTCTTTTCAATGTTCTGTGATTATGATTTTAAAGTCTTGTGTATCTTGTTTTGTTCTGTACTTTGAGTGTCCTTCTGTATGAACTGTGCAATACAAATAAACATGCATTTATCCACAGATCAGATTATTTTTAAACTCCATGTGAGGTTCGAATCTTCCATCTTCAAACAGCAACTTGACAATTATTTGAGTAACAGTTTAATCACTCTAATAAATGTTTTTATTTTATTTTATTTTTTAAAGTCTAAATATGTCTACATCGATAGTAAGTTTTAGCTCTTTAAATGTAAGTCGTGCACATACAGGAAGTGGAGGCTTGATGCAACCATTTTCTGGGATAAACGTTTTGATTGCCAGACCAGAACTACACACATTTACAAACATTATTTCGAAAAATATGAACAAGCACATCAACATCACGGCCTGATGGAAACCAATGTGACCCATCAGTTTTTAGACATTTCTAGTCATTTACTAGTGGTTCACTCCTAAAGTAGCTCTGAAAGTTTATTTTTCTTGCTGTGAACGTTACTGCAGAGGATTCACGGTTCAAACCAAGCAGATCAGGCATAAATCCACTGTAGGAATGCCATTTCTTTATGCCAACAAAGCATTTAGAATTTCACCCTGAACCAGAGCAGAGACAATGTTCAGAACAACGCAGACTCTGCAGCTCATCACCAGCGACTACACCCCCTTCTGCTGCTATTGTTAGTAACTGTTAGAATTATGTGTTTTTGTTTGTATCAATGTGTTTCTGCTGCTGGAGCCCCGATTTTCTCCCACAAGGATCAATAAAGAATCTGTTTATCTCAGTTCAGATCAATGCATCAACAGAGACTGAAAGCCGAAGTATCGAGATTGTATGGAACCTTGCGTATTCTTTCATGTTGGCAGCCGTATCCATGGCGATAGCATTCGTAAACCCAGTGATCGTTCGATAGCGGACACACAAAGCACACACTGACATACAGTAACCATTCTTTTATAGAGGCGCAATTGGATATTCTATGTAGTGTATCATACAATCACAATGTTGGAAACAGATGAGCTGGACAAACTCAAGTTAACTTTTTTTTTATATAAAAACATGATCAATGTGTGTGAGAAGTAACAGGTTTGCAAAAAGGAAAGTGGAGATTTGGAAAACTCTGAGCCAGACGGAGGGCAGCGGCTCTCTCCCAAACACTAGCTGGACAGGTGCACGTCACAAAGGCCTTTTATTGCACAGTTCTGGTCAGTACACACAGACGTCCATTCAAAGTGTCTGTGTGAAACGTATTTACAGTGAGCGTCACCGGACACACTTCTATAAAGGAAGGATAAAAGCATGGGCCGGTCCGTGGGCCTCAGACGGCGTCGTCCCGGTCGTCCCCGTCCATCTTGCGCCCGTGCTTTCTGAAGTACTTGTACCTCTGCACGTAGAGCTTCACCAGGTTGCTCACTTTGACGGGGTTGATCTCTCCGGTGCGGCTGTGGCAGATCTGGAACAGGGACACAACAGAGAATTACCACAAGCACACGGCAAAATCAAAAACTAGGGAAGAGGATGGGCGTGTCGCTGTCCACTCTGATCACACCTCAGAATATCTTTGAGCAGTCAGGGATTAGACCAAGAACATCATCAGAGACTAGTCTGCTCAGTTCTCTACTGCCAACACAAACTGATGCATTCTGGGAGTGTTGTGCCGAAGTCCATACAACTGCTAAATAACATGAAGTGATTGTGTCAACCTGTTAATGTGTGAATTATCTGTGTTTTATGTTATGTCTGTGTGTGTAGGTGCAACTTAAAATCATAAATAATCACAGTACTATAAAAATATAAAAATATAAAATCCCTCAGTTGTATGCACATCCAAGCAGAATAGTTTTTAACCTGGTTTTAAACATTGTCAGAGAGGAGGCCTGTCTCACAACTTCAGGAAGATTGTTCCAGATTTCAGCAGCATGAATCTGAAAAGCAGCCTCCCCATGTTTAGTTCTGACTCTGGGCACTAACAGGAGTCCAGTCCCTGTGCTTCTCAGAGTCCGGGCTGGTTCATATGGGACTAACATGTCACTAATATATTTTGTTAGTTTTAAAGTCTATTCTCTGAGCCACAGGAAGCCAGTGCAGAGACCTGAGGACCGGACTAATGTGGTCGTACTTCCTGGTTATAGTCAGGACTCGACCTTAGAAACCTGGAAAATGTTACATACATTTTTCACAACTGTTCCAGGTTTTCCACAACTATCTAAACTCTTGCATTAAACGTATTAACTGGATCTTAAAGGTGCAACAATGTGACGCTAATATATCTCGTTCCTGATTCTCGGCTCAGCTTCCAGGCCTCGGATATTCACCTTGTGCACAGCTTTGCGGAGGATGTCCTTGTACTCGTCCTTGTTGATGTCTTTGCGTTGATAGTATGGTTTGATGGCGAGCTTCACCTCCTCCACCGCCCTCTCCTGAGTGTGCAGCTTCTTCAGGTACTGCCCACGGAACACACACACATCAGTCATTCTAATAACACACTTCAGCCGGTATGGCCTCCAATCACAACTTTCAGAATATTAAATAATGAGTCAGTGATTCTCACACTTTTCGTTCTGGGCAGAATGAAACACAGAGGAAGGCTGTGGTAATGTGATAATTTTATCTTATATTAAAACCTGCTTCTGTGTGAAGTCAGACTCATTTTGTGCTTATGCGTGTGTGTGTGTGCATGCGTGTATAGAGTTTGTATGTGTATAGTCTGTGTTTGTGTGCGCGAGCGCGTGTAGAGTCTGTGTGTGTGTGTGTGTGTGTGTGCGTAGAGTCTGCGTGTGTGTGTGCGCGTGTATGTGTAGAGTCTGTGTGTGTTTAGTCTGTGCGTGTGTATAGTCTGTGTGTGTGTGTAGAGTCTGTGCGAGTGTAGTTTGTGTGTAGAATTGGTGTGTGTAGTGTGGTGGTGTGTGTGTGTGTGTGTGTGTGTGTGTGTGTGTGTGTGTGTGTGTGTGTGTGTGTGTGTGTGTGTGTGTGTGTGTGTGTGTGTGTGTGTGTGTGTGTGTGTGTGTGTGTGTGTGTGTGTGTGTGTGTGTGTGTGTGTGTGTGTGTGTGTGTGTGTGTGTGTGTGTGTGTGTGTGTGTGTGTGTGTGTGTGTGTGGTGTGTGTGTGTGTGTGTGTGTGTGTGTGTGTGTGTGTGTGTGTGTGTGTGTGTGTGTGTGTGTGTGTATAGAGTCTCCTACTCCACCATAAAGTAACACATTTGAGCGTCAGGACAGAAGGGGTTTGAGCTGCAGGTCGGTCTCATTCTGCCGCAGACCTGGCTGGGCAGACACAGGCAGACACAGGCAGACACAGGCACACACAGACAGACGCAGGCAGACACAGGCAGACACAGGCAGACACAGGCAGACACAGGCAGACGCAGGCAGACACAGGCAGACGCAGGCAGACACAGGCAGACGCACGCAGACACACGCGGACACACGCAGACGCAGGCAGACACACGCAGACACACGCAGACACAGGCAGACACACGCAGACAGGCAGAGGCAGACACACGCAGACACACGCAGACACAGGCAGACGCAAGCAGACGCAGGCAGACGCAGGCAGACGCACGCAGACGCAGGCAGACACAGGCAGACACACGCAGACACACGCAGACACAGGCAGACACACACACAGACACAGGCAGACGCAGGCAGACGCAGGCAGACGCACGCAGACACAGGCAGACGCAAGCAGACGCAGGCAGACGCAGGCAGACGCAGGCAGACGCAGGCAGACGCACGCAGACGCACGCAGACACAGGCAGACGCAGGCAGACGCGGGCAGACGCGGGCAGACGCAGGCAGACGCAGGCAGACAGACGCAGGCAGACAGACGCAGGCAGACGCAGACAGACGCAGGCAGACGCAGGCAGACACAGGCAGACACAGGCAGACACAGGCAGACACAGGCAGACGCAGGCAGACGCAGGCAGACGCAGGCAGACGCAGGCAGACGCAGGCAGACGCAGGCAGACGCAGGCAGACGCAGGCAGACGCAGGCAGACGCAGGCAGACGCAGGCAGACGCAGGCAGACGCAGGCAGACGCAGGCAGGCAGAGACGCAGGCAGACACAGGCAGACGCAAGCAGACGCAGGCAGACGCAGGCAGACGCAGGCAGACGCAGGCAGACGCAGGCAGACGCAGGCAGACGCACGCAGACACAGGCAGACGCAGGCAGACGCGGGCAGACGCGGGCAGACGCAGGCAGACGCAGGCAGACAGACGCAGGCAGACAGACGCAGGCAGACGCAGACAGACAGACGCAGGCAGACAGACGCAGGCAGACACAGGCAGACACAGGCAGACACAGGCAGACACAGGCAGACGCAGGCAGACGCAGGCAGACGCAGGCAGACGCAGGCAGACGCAGGCAGACGCAGGCAGACGCAGGCAGACGCAGGCAGACGCAGGCAGACGCAGGCAGACGCAGGCAGACGCAGGCAGACGCAGGCAGACGCAGGCAGACGCAGGCAGACGCAGGCAGACGCAGGCAGACGCAGGCAGACGCAGGCAGACGCAGGCAGACGCAGGCAGACGCAGGCAGACGCAGGCAGACACAGGCAGACACAGGCAGACACAGGCAGACACAGGCAGACACACGCAGACACAGGCAGACACAGGCAGACACAGGCAGACACAGGCAGACACAGGCAGACACAGGCAGACACAGGCAGACACAGGCAGACACACGCAGACGCAGGCAGACGCAGGCAGACACAGGCAGACACAGGCAGACACAGGCAGACACAGGCAGACTTACTTTGTCGGGGTCTTTGCTGTCGTTGTCCCAGGCCGAGTCCCCGGAGCTGAGGCCGTAGAGGCTGATGGAGGGCGGGGTCTGGGCGCACGAGTGCATGTGTTTGGAGTTGTGCAGGAAGAGCTGTCCTGGACTGAGGCGAGGAGGAGGGGGGAGCGAGGGCGGGGGTGGAGGGATCTGTGAGGAGGCCGAGGACATGCCCGAGGGCTGGTTCTGACTGCCCTGGGACAGGATCTGGGACACACAAACATGAAGACCAGATGTATAATGGAAATAGGAATAACCATGAAACATGTTCAGATTCAGAATATTTGCCATTTGCAGTAAAACCACATTGGAATAACTGTGCAAGACAGAGTGTGCACCGGACAGAGCAGATTAGAACACACCAGAGCTCGTGCCACTTGCAGATGCAACACTACAACACTATCTCTGAGTCACTACCCAAAATTGTTGAGAAATGCTTATGCATCATTTATACTCTTGCTAGTTGGCACCTATCCACTGAAAGCTGTCTAACCAAGGCGGCAGGTTGAAACTCAATCTTGAAATGGTCCATGGTTTTTGATCAATTTGATCTTAATCAATCAAACAAGGTCTTGTCTCAAAAAAGAAATTCTGAAGCTTGTGGAAACCGACTGAAACTGAGGAAATAAAATAAAAACCGGTTATCTCTACAGAAACAAAGGGACTACACTTTATGCCAATTGTTTTTAGTTTTAAACATACTTTAATTAAAAGGATTCCTTAAAATAGATAAACAACAATAATATATATGTTATAGTAGGATGGCTCTTTTGTCATAGTTATGTGAGAAGATGAAACAACTTTGAAACCACATTTGAAGCAATGAATTGACTTCTACTGTTCAAAAGCTGCGATGATCACATTTCTCCAGTAGATGTCAGTGTTACAAGCTCCAAGCTATCTCAGAGGTTTCGACACAACAGTCTGACAATGAAACCTTGGTCTATTACGAGGCTTCAGTTGCCCATCACGAGAGAATCCGGTCGTTCCACTTGTAAACAATAATAATGATGTAAGACTTGTAGATAGAAAATAAAAGCCTGATGTGTTGGTTGTGTGTATTGTGTGTATTGATGCGAGTGTTTGGAGCGGCCTCACCTGACTCGTGGCTTGGATGAACTCTTGCGCTTTAGCCCGGCTGGCGATGTTGGCCTCCTCCATTTTGAAAAGCAAGGCGGTCACTGAAACACACACACTCATAGTCAGCACCTCGGTGCCACATCTAACATTTACTTTGGTTAGTCTTGGACATTTACTGGAGTTGAGTAGAAAATAAATGAGACTTGGATTTGTCAGTGTTTTTGTAGCCGAAGCATCAGATTTCTGGTTCTTTGCAGAACTGCCCTCTCGCTTTATGGTTTCAGGACAGTCTTGTTGGTTTCTTACAGGCCATTGCAGCGTGAATGTGTGAGATGGACCCCATTGCACTGTTATGCTGTGTTTTAAGGTGTTGCGTTTGTACTATATTTAATAGAGGTCAATAGATAAATGTTTTTTGTGTCTATACATTTATGTAGTTCTGGATTCTCTTTTAAATTCCTTTGTTGATTTGATTTGATATCTATTTATTTGAGCAGGCCATACAAAACCTTTTCTTGCTGTATCTACTTACTGACCACAACAGTAGCTTAAAGGAATAGGCCACCGTGTTTACACACTGACATATGTTCATACCTTAGACTAGTTGATATGTACCTGTGTGATCTTTGTCCGTGCGCTCTGTCATGCAAACGGAGCACAAACGCAGCCTCTTCCACAGACTGTATAGTACCAAATCAGCTCCCGTTAGAAGCTACCAAACTCTTCCACGTTCCGCTCACGCTGCTTCTATTGACGGAAGTGAGCGGGAGAGGAGTCTTTAGGAGTTAGTGCACGGACGTAGCGCTCCTCGTATTACTACGCCTCACAATATAGTACCCCTTTTTATCCGCTGAGAAAATGGACATGTTACATTTCTGTGTTACTATACTTTGTAGAGTAACACGTCACGTAACTGTATTTAAATAGGGAACACGTGGAAGAGTTTGGTAGCTTCTAACGGGAGCTGATTTGGTACTATACAGTCTGTGGAAGAGGCTGTGTTTGTGCTCCGTTTGCATGACAGAGCGCACGGACAAAGATCACACAGGTACATATCAACTAGTCTAAGGTAAGAACATATGTCAGTGTGTAAAAACGGTGGCCTATTCCTTTAATGAGAAAACACAATTCATATTAGGGCTGGGCGATATGGCTGAAAACTATATCACAATATAAATAATTCATATCGGCCGATAACGATATATTGATTATTATTATTTTTTTACTTTAATAAATAAGGTTGTCGTGTCGACTATGTTCACAAGCAGTCTCCCCCATAGTTAGTCCTGGTGAAATCCTGGTTTAGTCCTGGTTCATCTCCTGTTTTGTGTCCCCATGGCGGCTCTGTGTGGCCGCTCTCTGATAGCCGCACGGGGGAAAAAGTTCATCTCTTGCTTTCGCCGCATGCACCAGGTCTCTGTGTCCACTGCCTCTCCCACACCGCACATGCTATGCCTTGCACGGACGTGCATAACCATTGACACAGCATTGAAAAACAATCTTTAGATCCATGGACGCTACGCATGGTGCAGTTGTTGTTTTTGCATTTCCAGAATGTTTTGCGGTTCATATTTGGCTGTGATAGGTCAAGAAGTCTCTGCCTACATCCCCCAGAATGCTTCGCGCTTCTGACTCGGCTTTACTTCCTGTGTTTTCTTCCTGTTTTTTTCTGACGGAGTGAAGTTAAACTATCGAACATGCTATCGACCCCGTTTTCTATTGGTATTGAATACGTGTCTATCGCAATATATATCGTTATCGTTTTATCGCCCAGCCCTAATTAATATACATCACACAAAAAGAGTAGTCTATTAAGACATAATAGAGTAACAAACTTCAGACGTAAACTACCAAAGAAAACTCTGGAAAACGCGAAAGTGAAACAGATAATTAAATCTTGCAATACTCGCAAAATATTGTGATACTGAACAGAATCGATTTTTTCATCCACCACTGAAGTCTATTTTTATCAGCCACACTATCGGCCTTTTTGATGACAGCATTTGCATGAGTGTTGTGCTCCATATACTCACAGGCCAGAACGCCCCCCGCGGTGCAGTCCACTCCGCTCTGCAGGCTCCAGGGCAGGGCAGCTGTGGCGGGCGGCGGCGGTGGGGGCGGGGGCTTGTTGGCAGACGAGGAGGACACAGAAGACGAGGAGGGCGGGTCCAGGGCGGCGGGGGGGCTGCAGGGCTTGGATGGCTCCGTCAGCGGGGACATGGCACAGGGGCTGGGGGCAGGCATGGGGGCAGGGCTGGCCGGGCTGGTCTGGGACGGACACTCCTCGGTCAGGAAGGAGGGCTCGGGGGTCTTGCAGCTGCTGTCCACGGTCTGGGAGTCAGGTGAGGAGTCGTGTCGGGCTGGGGCGGAGGAGGGCGGGGGAGAGGGGGGAGGTGAGGAGGAGGGGGGGAGCACGCTGGTGGTGGAGGAGGAGGTGGAGGAAGAGGAGGAGCAGGGAGCAGCAGCGGCAGCGGGACCAGGGCGCGGGCTGCTTGAAGACTTACACGCCTCCGCTGACGTGGCCGCGGGCTCTGAGAAAGCAGCAAAAACAGACTTTACTTTCACGTTGATTAATTAGGCCGAGCCAATACGAAGTATTGGGGAGGCCTATTGTTATTCACCGGTTTCATATTATAATACTTATTTTTTTCCGCAACTTCAATTCGATTTTTGACCCTGAAGACATGCACGAAAGTCTGCACATGGGGGGTCTAAAACGACCGGTTCGGCGAAACATTTGATAAAATGAACGTTTCCAGATTGTCCGACGCTCGCCGACTCTATAACGCCCCCTAGAAATTTCATTTTTTTTGACCCTCTGGGGATTTTTTTTCAAATTTTGGAGTAGGTACACGAAATTCGGATGAGTGATAGATCTCTATGAGACGAGCATAAAAGCCGTTCTAAGCACATGTCTGGGACCAACAGGAAGTCGGCCATGAGGGGCCGAAGTTTCGCCACTAATTTGACTTTTCATTTATAAATTCGAACTAGTCCCTGGTTTTTCATCACACAGAGTTCTACCACGTCATTTCCCGCTCTGGACGGATTGAAGTTATATAATCATCAAAAAAAAGTTAGAAAATCTTCACCGTTTTTGTCCCTCGCCATGGCGAATAAGGCCTTCGTTTTGGCCATTTTCGCTGAGCCCTGAGGGCCACAGGCTCAGACCTACCGAGCTGAGACTCACATCAGTAATATTAGGTTATGGCCTGAACGCAATGACACTAAAATCATTCGCCCAATTTGAGCTCTTTAGCGCCACCTATCGGAAAGTAATAGGGCACTAGTGCTCGGATCGGCCCGAAAATCGCTGAGTGTATTCTCTGGACCGACACGAGCAAAACATTACATTACGCAAAAGTTGTAAGTCCTACACCTGACCACTGGGGGCGCTGGAAAGTGAATAAATGAGCTTTTTAGGGCAAAATGTTTGTCCGATGAGGCTAAAAATGAATTCAGAAATACAACGTATGACCCTGAACACAACGATATGCAACACACAACTGTGAGTGCAACAGCGCCACCTACAGGCAGTTCAATGTGTTGCATTTTTGGCTTCGTACTAGTCCCTGGATTTTCATCGCACAGACTTCTACCATGTCATTTATCCATCTGGACGGATTGAAGTTATGTAATCATCGCATAAAAGTTAGAATTTTGTTATCGTTTTCATGCGAGGTAGTGGGGAATTTCTCCATGTTTGATGCTCTCCTGACCACAGGCTCAGACCTACAGAGCTGAAACTCACATCGCTAACAGTCGGTAATGGCCTGAGAGTAATGGTGTGAAAACACACACCTAATATGACTCTACAGCGCCACCTATGTAAGGCTTCTGACCTAAACTTTTCCGATCTTCACTAAAGTTGCAAAATCAAATCTTTACATCTGTACGAGCAAAATACTACTCTACGTAGAGGGTGCATGTCCCGGAGGTGACCACTAGGGACGCACTTTATCATATAAATGAGCTTTTATATATGTAATCCTGGTCAGATCGGGCTGCCAATTCGTCTGCGTGACGCTTGTGGGACTGGCGCCCAGGAGGCGGTCGCAAGAGGGGCGAGGCCTTTCATCCCCTCTTGCGTCTTTAATTTAGATTTTTTTTTAATCGAAATCATGACACCTCCAGTATTTGTGTTTGCGGCGCACCGTGATGAGTACGGCGACTCAACACATAAAGCAGAAGATGAAAATCACAACTGCCTCACTCGACGCACGTGCAGCAACCAATCAGCGAGCAGCAAAATGTCAAAGGGATACAAGCCGCTTAGCGACACTCGAAAAAAATCAAGAACTAAACCAGGACTAAACCAGGTCTAAACCAGGTCTAAACCAGGTCTAAAACAGGACAAACCATGGGGACACAGTCTTCACCCCGAGTTGACTACTCGTGGACAAGTTCTGCAGATGAGGAAGTACCGGTTAAGAATCTAAAACATGGTGCAGCTCCGTGAACAGATACTGCTGTAATCTGACGTCTTTGGAGGATCTCGCTGCACTCGTGTTGAAGAACTGCTAGCTTAGACTCGTTAGCATCAAAGCCCGCCACTTCCACCTTGTGTCTTGAGGCAGTACATCAGATTTACTAACGCAACAACGCCACAGCGGTGGTGGGGATGCATCTTAACCCATACGTAACCCGCAGGAGCATAATGTGATCTACTGTGACGGCGTCCCACGCACCTGTGGCTCCCTGAGCGTCCCCCGCGGTGGCGCTCTTCTCGCGGGTCTTCTTGAGCGGGCGGCGGCGGCGCTTTGTCACCAGGGAGGAGGAGGGCGAGGAGGCGGAGGAGGAGGTGGAGGTGATGGAGCCTGGCTGTTTGCTCTTCTGGGAGGGGCTGGCGGTGGAGGAGGGTGGAGGAGGGGGGGCGGCCAGGCTGCTGCGCTTGCCCCCTGCACCGCCCAGCTCCTTCCCACGGCCCCCCAGGGACAGGGGCTCGGAGCAGGGCTTCAGGAACGGAGACCTGCTCTCGTTATCCCGACAGAAGAGTACTGCAATGGAGCCGCCCACAGAACTGCCCGCTCCGCCGCCAAGACCTGGACGCACAAGACACTGTCACAACGCCGCGTTTCCACCAGCAGCACCGTCGATGAGTTTAGATTTAATCTTTTTAACATTCATTCTCAGAAGTCAAAAAAAAGAAAAGGTCCATATGATTTTTGATAAATAAAACATTTTGTATCTCATTCAAAATATCAATATTCATCTAAACATCTTTTTGACCACACCCGTGAAGAAGAGAACATGTTTTCTGTGTTAATCTTTTTGTAAAAGGTGAAATGTCAAACTGATGCAGTTGGAATTTATAATTCAGTCTTCTCTAAAGGTGCACGTCTAACAACATCCCACAGCCATAGTGTATCATTGATAGAATTAGAATTCTAATTAGAATCAAACTATAGAGGAAAATGGGCAGAAAAACAGCCAATTACGATACTGTACCAAAATATATGTTTTCTACTTTTCTTCCACAAAGAGTGAACTCATGGTCTGAATACACCCAGAGTGGACAAGAGGCCTGTATGCACTGCAGTGGGCAGGGCAATATCTCAATACATTATATATATATATATTTTCTCTTCTTTACTTTGCTGGTCTGTATTGAGCTCCTCTGCTCACCCCCACCTCCTCGCTTTTGCTCTGCCTACTCTTATTGTATAGCGCTCAGCTCGGAGGTCTTTAAACTTAGTGCAGAATCACTGTTCGTGGCATTTCCTCTACTGTGGGACATGACACCTATTGCAGTCATTGAACATGGCTCCATACACAGCTAAAAAATACTTGATTTTTGATGCATTACTGCGATACAAGAACTCTTCACTACGCAGAGAGGGCTGTTGCTGAATTTTAAAAGGTTACTTACTATTTATGAAATCATTATGTTGGACAAAGCACTTTGTTCCTATTTGCACTGTCTACCTTGAGTTGAGCCCTAGCTCTGCCCAGTCCCAGCTCTGCCCAGTCCCAGCTCTGCCCAGCCCCAGCTCTGCCCAGCCCCAGCTCTGCCCAGCCCCAGCTCTGCCCTGTATGAATGACAGCATAGGAAGCAGCTACAGTCACGACGATGGCATGCTCACCTCCCCCGGGCCCTCCTGTGCCAAGCAGGTCCATGCCGAGCTTTCCGGAGCCGGTGGTGCTGCTGACGCCTTCCCGCACCAGCACGGACACTTTGGACTGCAGCTTGCCTTTCCTGCTGGTGCCGCCCTCCTTCTTGGACTTCCGACCGGGCTCCTTGCGGCTGCCTTTGTCGCGGGTCTTGTCCTTCACTTTGCGCATTCGCTTGACCGCGGGGAGTCCAGAGGGGGCGGCCGCACACTCCGACGTCGACAGAGTTTTGCCTTTGGCTCGAGAGGACTCAGAGTTCTTCTTTCTCTTGGGTTGACCGGTCTTGGAGGTAGACCTGAGACAGAAGAAAACTATAAAGCCCAACTCCAAACCAAACTACTGAAATCTCTAGTATTGGAAAGGACCAATGGACCCATGACTCCTATGTGTTTCTTATCAGTGCATTTCCAGTGTTCGGACTGTTTGATTCTCTGTTGGCCAATTCATCCTCGCTGTGTGAAGGAGAGGTTTCGCAGGTGCTGCTGCGTATAACGAGAACTGTCTGTACAAGTGTCAATGATAATAATTCACTAGTAACTTTTTCACAAGTAACTTTACCTGTTATTATTACTGCATTATTACATATCCATTCATCTGATATTTCTGTCATTCACTTTACCTCTTGATATTACTGATGTTTAGCAGCGGAGAATATGAGAAGAATAAAGTACAATACACACATTTGTAAATACTCCAAAGTTAATTTTATTTTATTCTATTTTACCATCTTATAATCTCATTTTAATTATATTGTCTATTATCTGAAATAATAGGCCTTGTTTGATAGACTCAGTGTGCGTCTGAGTCTCATCTTCTTTCTCTGCTGTAATGTGCAACGATGACACTGAAATTTCTCCAGAGTGAGACGAATAAAGGATTATCTCATCTTAAATCTACAACACTGTGATTTAGGGCTGTACAAAAATAAATTGAATTGTAGAGTCTAGACTGAGCTCAGACAGTTTGACCATCTGCTCTGACTCAGCCGCTACAGTAGCACAAAATGGTGCAGTCTTGAACGTTTTACGGAAGTCTAAAACAATTATTTCTATTCATATTTTGTCAACGAGATGATATAAGAAACTTTATTGATCTCACAATGGAGAAATTTACAAAACCGAGGTTGCTGCGGAAATGGGAAAAAAGTAGAGAGGCCTTTAATTCTAAGGACCACGTTCTGATATCTCACATTACGCAAAAAAAAAAACAAGAAACAAAAAAGCAATTGTAAAGCGGTTTGTGACTCTGGTCTGCAAAAGGGACTTTATAAATTTAGATTACTTACTTACACTTGTTTAAACACATATTTTGCTCCAAATACTGGCCTGCGTTGACTAACATGGTTCTTGTTTATAAAGCAGGTCCATTGCGCCTGAAAATGATAATTGCAGGTCGAGGGTGATGGACTTACTTAGACGCAGGCTTGGCTTTGGGACTGGGCGAAGGCGGCGGCGGAGGCAGCGGGTTGGGCGGAGGCGTGTCTTCTAAAGAGGGGTAGTCCGAGTCCAGGGCCTCCCCGTCCAGCGAGAGCGTGTCCAGGTCCAGCTTGTCGGAGTAGCGGTCCGACTCGTAGTTGTGGTAGCGCGTGGGCGACAGGGAGCGCGAGCGGCCTCTGGCGTCTGAGCTGGAGTGTCCTTTCCGCTTCCTCTTCCGGTGAGATTTGTCTGTGTCCAGCGGCGACCTGAACGATGGATTATTCATTTTGAGAATGACAAATGAAGGAGAATTTTTGGTTCAAAGACAGCAGGCCAAGGCCGTTGCACACAGACTGAAGGACAGACTGAAGACTTTATACTAGTCTTTAGAGCAATCATTTTGTTGTCAAGATTAGATATTTCAGGAGTATCCAATCAGAAGCAGAGTTTGTCAGTTTGTTGAAGTTAAAACTGCTCCCGTTGTCTCTCAAATCTTATCTGCACCTACAAGAGCAATGACTGGGTTTTATAAGTGCTTTGTGACTTGTGTTTGTCATTTTAACTTTGTTTTAGAGACACCAGGCAGCACTAACTAGTTTATCAGAAATGGTATTAGAATATGCATTTGTGTATAGCAAAGATAATGTTCTTTAATTCTTATATAGTTATAGGGGTTAAAGAGCTCTGAAGAGTAATCTACGTAAACATTCAATAAACTGTGTTCCCAACGTATCTACAATGAGTCTGTTTTCAACAAAATTTTAACTGTTGTAGTTTTAAATAACCTGCGTATTATTAGGCACTAGACTTTAATTGTGAGCAAAGGATTATGGGTAGAAAAACTCATGCGTCTCCAAGTGTGCTTCCGTCTCACCTGCTGGGGGAGGTGGGGGAGAGTCTGGGCGATCCTGGGACCGTGGTGGTGGTGGTGGTGGTTGTGACCGTGATGGTTCTCTTGATGGCGAACAGGTCCGAGCCGTTGAGGTCCTGTATGGACGGGGGGACCACAGGGCGGCCGTCCCGTCTGCGCTCCCTGTCCCCGTCCCGCGCTCTGTGGCGGTCGGCCTCGCTCTTCTCCGCGCTCCTCTTCCTCTCTCTGCTCCTGGAGTCGCGGCCTCTCCTGCGCTCGCCTCTGGAGTCGCTGCGGTGGCGCTCTCTGTCGCGGTCCCGCTGTCTGTCCCAGTATCTCTCTCTGTCGGGTTCACGTTCCCGGTCTCGTTCCCGTTCGCGGGGCCTGTCCCGGCTGCGCTCTTGGTTGCGTTCCTGGTTACGCTCCTGGTTGCGTTCCTGGTTGCGTTCTTGGTTGCGTTCCTGGTTGCGTTCTTGGTTGCGGTCACGGATGCGTTCGGTGTTCCGGGTCCGATCGCGGCTGCGGTCGCTGTCCCTGCCTCTGTCCCGGTCCCCCGGTCGACTCGCGTCCCTCGGCTTGTCCTTGGAGCGCTCCTGGGACAGTCTGGAGGAGTGACGAGATTATGTGAGATCAGAACGATCCAGGTCACAATTTACTGAACAATGATCACTGATAACACTACAGACAAAAAGTCTTATAGAATCCTTTTAACTAGGGCCAGGACGGGATAATAACACTAGCCAAATTATTTAGAGGCTTTGTAATTAAATATTGCATAAACAGAAGCATGATGCCAAATCTGGAGTAGCCATCTTTAATGTAACTACACAATGTCCCTCGAATAAACAAACTTCATTCATTCATTTGGGCCAAATTACATTACCATTACAGAAGCTGAAGAAAATAAGAATGCTGAACACAAATGCCAGATTTATAACGACCTGCACAATAAGTGAAGTGCAAAATTTTTATTCTTGAACATTCAGAACATTATTACAAGACATCGTCAATCTCTGAAGGCGACTCTCGTATGAACGGTGACTTACATATTTCAAATACAATAAACTAGATTCACAAAAATACAGAATTTAGTGTCAGAACAGAATGGATTTTCCCCAGCACTAGTGGTTACCTGGAGGGGCGCTCTGGTGCAGCGGGCTCTGGGCTGGTCCCGTGGCGTCTCTTCTTCCTCTTGGAGCTGTGGCTACGTCTCGAGCCCTTGGTCTTGGGCTCCTTGCTGCTTTTGGCCTCTGGGTCCTGCTTGTCTTTGCTCTTGTGCTGAGCGCGCTTCTCCTTCCTCCTCTTCTTCCTCTTCTCCTCTTTGCTTGTTGCACTCTTGCCGTCTTTGCCCTTTTGCCGGTCGCGCTCGTTGGAGCTCTTGGAGGACTTCCGTGGCTTCTGGGAGTGGGTCAAAACAAAAGATACATTTCAAAAACATAGATGCATTTCCTGCACTCACTGCAAAGATCCCGACATCTCAATCGTCATACGGCCAAACACGGGCAATCTTCAGCACAGCGCCATATCAGCAAACTCAAAACAATGGCTAAAGACAGACTTCACTCCATTACAAAAGGGAAACACACAGTAGCTGTACATCCTGGTCTCGATGAGGATAGATTTGTATTATCATAACTGTACTGCATTAATCGGTTTAATGCAGTACAGTGTTAATAAGATACACTTTTATTGTCCCAAAGGGGAGTTTGCTGCAGGACACAGTGCGACACAGATCTGTATGAAAGAATACAGTAAATAAAACAGGGTTAGGAAAGTGCAGAAGTGCTTTGAAGTCTTTTTGATTAAATTCTGCATCAAATATAAAAATACGTCCTGAATAAAATATAGTAAAATAGTTCATTCAGTTTTAGGAAGTATTCAATATTAATCATTTTATTTCAAAGGGCCACTGAAGATAGGACCAAGAAAAGTTTGAAGCAAATACTTTCAAAGACCAACAAACATATCTCCTCCTGGTGGACAGAGCTAAGATTCTGTTTAACTGCAACAACCGAGAGATTTTATCTTCACTCTTTATAATGAACCGTGATTATTAATGATTATTTATGCCTTGTGTGTTTTGTTATTGTTTTGTTCAGCATTTTCAGTTGCTTCGTGTGTGAACTGTGCAACACAAATAAACTTGCCTTCCCTACTCTACTGAACCCAAACACAAAATTGTAAATCTAACACCTTGCTTACCTCGAGGGTCTTGGCCTCCTCTTCTTTCATTGGGGGCAGTGGCGGTGTGGTGGGGGGGCTGAGCGGGCTGCTCTGGGTGGTCAGGGTGATGGAGGAGCCGGGGAAGCTGATGTACCTCTCCTTGCGCCTGCTGACGAGCTTCCTGCGCAGGTCCTCCACCCCCACCACCACGGGCTCGTCTTCCGGCTCCCGGCTGAGGGCCCAGTCCGGGTCGGCCCGCACCGACACGAAGCCGTCCGCGTCCAGGACTCGCAGGATCCGCTCGGGCTTCACACTGGGGAACGACCAGACCAGGGCATCAGGGTCACAAACCATGGTTAACTCTCTACAGAAACATCATTCAGCACAAACTCTAAGATTCTGCTTCACTTTTATCACTGCACCAATGAAAGATTGGTTGTTGGTTTTGTGACTGAGTGGATTGGTGACATCACAGCCAGAGAAAGGGACCAGAGAGAGACCAGAGGCCAGAGAGAGAGATCAAAGCGAGACCAGAGCAAGACCAGAGAGAGATCAGAGAGAGACCAGAGCGAGACCAGAGCGAGACCAGAGCGAGAGACCAGAGAAGGACCAGAGAGAGAGACCAGAGAGGGACCAGAGAGAGGGACCAGAGAGGGACCAGAGATAGAGACCAGAGAGAGACCAGAGAGAGACCGATAGAAACCAGAGAGAGTGAGACCAGAGAGAGAGATCAAAGCGAGACCAGTGAGTGCCCAGAGAGACACCAGAGAGAGACCAGAGAGAGAGACACCAGAGAGAGACACCAGAGGGAGACCAGAGAGAGACACCAGAGAGAGACACCAGAGAGAGACACCAGAGGGAGACCCGAGAGAGACACCAGAGGGAGAGACCAGAGAGAGGTGCTCCGCTCTGAAAGAGGACTGTGAGCTGTGAGACCAGAGAGAGACCAGAGAGAGAAACCATAGACATGAAGGACATAGGGATATGTTTTTTATGCAATTGTTTCTAAAATAAAAACAAGCTAAATTGTCTTTGTACTTGTCTGGTGCACACTGTGGACTTTTGTACATCTATTCCAATGTGGTTTTACTGAAAATGGCAAATACAATGAATCTGAATCGTTTTTGACAGTGAGGAACAATGACACCTCTTTATCCGCTTTCTCTCAGACATGTCACTTACTTGGAGCTGAAGAAAGTGGAGTTGGGGGAGGTGACTGAGAGGTTTTCCAGGGACGTCCTCTTGAGGGCAGCGCCGCGCTCGGCCAGCCCCACGATCTCCCCCTCCTCGATCTCTGAGTGATCCGAGTCTGTGTGGGGGTCTTTGATGCTGCAGTCCACCGTCCTCCGCAGGCACAGCAGGCCGGGGGAGAGGGACCGGGGGGAGCGGGCCCGGGGGGAACGAGACCTGGGAGAGTGGGTCCTGGGGGAGCGGGCCCGGGGGGAACGAGACCTGGGAGAGTGGGTCCTGGGGGAGCGGGCCCGGGGGGAACGAGACCTGGGAGAGTGGGTCCTGGGGGAGCGGGCCCGGGGGGAACGAGACCTGGGAGAACGGGCCCTAGGAGAGTGGGTCCTGGGGGAGCGGGCCCTGGGGGAGCGGGCCCTGGGAGAGTGGGGCCTGGGAGAGTGAGGTCTAGGGGTGCGGGCCCTGGGGGAGAGGGTACCAGGCGGCTCGGTCTGGGCGTCTGTGGAGTCCGGGCAGTCATCTGACAGCTCCTCTGTTTTGATGTCGTGGTTTGTCTGCGGTGGATCGTCTACATGGTCCTGGACAGAGGGAGAAGTCCATTACAGACTAAATGATATGGAAAAAATACTAAAATCCGCACAGCTATATTGCTCCTGCGTCTCTTTTGTGTAAATTTGCAGTTTTTTAATCATTTTTCATATTGTGTACTTTTAAAAAATCCGGCATGCTTGATCAAACCATCAGGATGTGTGGCCTTACTTGGAACCACGGCAAAATCATAAATAAATAAGTATTGATAAATTGTGGTCAGAATTTTCCTGAATCTTGATTATGAACATGTGCATCAAATGGAAAGATCCTGAGGCTGAAGAGAAGGACTTTCTCCTGAACTCACAGACAGGGTTTATGTTTTGGTTTTTTTGGTTGGAACAGTGCATGTTCAGGAACACACTCTGGACTGTAGCCACGGTCACACACACTCATTCACCCTCAACTGGTGTAATGTTTTTAATGGGAGGGAAACCCGGAGCGCCCGGAGGAAATCTGTGCAGACACAGGTGGGTGGAATGGAACCCAGGACCTTCTTGCTGTGAAGAATGAGCTGCTGTGTAATTTGCTCTTTGCTAAAATTCAGTATTGAATTTTAAAACATACTTTGTAAACACAAAAATATCAGGATGACTCAAAATGACAAAAAACAGTATTTGTTTATGCTCCAGAATGCAAAAGGAGTTGTTTCACAAGAAGAAGGTATTTTGACCAAAGGATTGAGTTGGAGAATCTTTTCTAGTAGATTCTTCTGAACAAAATGAATTGAGTTCTGTTTGTTCACCTTTGGTCCGATTTTAGTTCAATCCGGCTCATTATCGTGGACAGATGTGACCAAAGTTCCATCCATCCATTTTCTACCCTTTAATCCATTTCTGGGTAAGTAAGTAAGTAGTAGTAAGTAAGTTTTATTTATATACCGCCTTTTCACTGCAGATCTGAGTCTCAAAGCGGTTTACAATTGTTAATTTTTGGGCATTTGTCTCTCACTCCACACAGAGATGGGAGCGGGGTCTCCAGTACAGGAGGCGCATGCCAGAACTATTGGACATGTTTTTAGTGGTAGGGGAAACCGGAGTACCCGGAGGAAACCTACGCAGACACGGGGAGAACATGCAAACTCCACTCAGAAAGGCCCTGGTCCGACCGGGATTCGAACCCAGGACCTTCTTGCTGAGAGGCGAGAGTTCTATCCACTCAGCCACCGTGCTGCCCACGGTCAGGGGGGTGGCAGTCAGAGATGCCACCCAAGTCTCATAGCACCAGCCCCTCACTGACCCTCTGCAGGTGGTGAGTCCACAGGAGGACGGCTGCTCTCTGAGTGTGAGCATAGCCTTGATCTTTCAGTGGGGGCTTTGGGCAAAGTGGGGTTAAGTGTCTTGCCCAAGGACACAACGACAGCAGTCATCAGTGGGAGTCGGTGGAGAAGGTGTAGAGGTGGGAAAGTTTTTTGTATCCAAAGTTTTACTGAACTATTATCACTTAAATAAAGTGCAACTAATTACATTTTGTGTTGAATGTTCAGAATGAAATCCTTATGATTGTGTTCTTGAGACAATACATTTAAATAATGTATGACAGCACATTTGTACTTGGATTGGTTCTGACCGCAGCCATACCTCTTCTGTCTTCACCTCCTCCAGCCCGGTGTCCTGGTCAGAGGAGGGGGACGGGGGGGAGCCGGTGGGCTCAAAGGGGTCGTACTTCTCCGCCTCCTCTCCATCGTCTGCCGCTCTCTCCTGTGAAGAGTGACACCAGCCTCTATAAGAACATATCCAATAGATTCTGATTGCAACAGTCATAAAACCTTCAGGTCTGTGCACAATAAAAAAACATCCATTACCGAGTGAAATGATAGTTTCAAAAAATAGATGAACTTGGTACAGCTCTATTAAGATTGCTTTGTAAGTGGTCCTCAAAAACCAGTTAGTTTTATCGACTCAATTAGAGATAATTTAAGTCACAGTGAATTCAACTCATGAACTCAATCCAAATGCACAGATAACTGAATACTTCACTTTGCAAGAAATGACTATAATCTCATGTCAACTTCAGTATCAAGTATCAAGTTTTAAATGCTGTGTGGGGTATCACCCAAATTATTATCATACAGGATTACGGATGTTCTCTGCTGCTGTGACCTAAAGCGCTGTTGCATTTTAATACTATTGATAAATATTTTTTAGAATGATCTATTTCTTTGTTTTGTTTGTGTGGATGGATGTGTCTCTGCTCCTAGTGGACACCTGAAATTCTCCTACGGAGGATGGATAAAATATATATTAGTTTGGACTGTGAAACATGAAGAAGAGCGAAATATGGGACCTTTAAGCAATGATGTTTTTCTTCTGAATAAGTCTAACCCTGAATGACCCTAACAACTAAGTCTAGATGTGCATTAGTTCCAGGGCCAAGCAAACAGAGTGGTCACCTCGGCTCGCACCTCTTTGTCTGCGTCTGTGGGGGAGAAGGGGTCGTACATGTCCCGGGGCGGCTGGCTGAAGTCCACAGGCAGAGGGGACGAAGGGGGAGAGTTGGAGGAGTATTCCACACCGTCCAGGTCACTACCATGCTCGTGTTCCGTGGCGAACGTGGAGTCTGCGGAGGGCTGTGGGCCGGGGGAGAAGGGGCCCTCTGTCTGGGAGCTCCCGTCGGGCTCCTCGGGTGCTTCAGCAGACAGGAAAGGCTTCTGTTTGAAGCCCGATGCTATAGTCAGGTCCATGAGCCCCGAGTGCTCCTACACATCTGCAGGCCAGGACAGAGAGGGGGCAGTCACAGCAGGCACAAACTCCAACCTGACAAGAGAGAACAGCCAAAACATCAGATTGCACATTACAGATCCTCACATATGTGTTCATGGTTTTACACTGATCCAGACCAGAGCAGAGAGGAGTCACGGACCGAACCAAGCAGATAGAGCAGAAATCCACTGAAAAATGTGAACAAAGCATTTAACATTATACTCTGGACTAGAGCAGACAAAATGGTCCGAACCAAGTGGCTACACCACCTCTGCTGCTGTGACGGGTCCTGGGCCATCCAGAGGCTACATACCTACTGTTGTTAGCTACTTTTTGAATGATCTATTTATCAGTTTTGTTTGTATGGATGGATGTGTTTCTGCTGCTAATGGACACCAGCATTTTTCCTACGGGGCTCAATAAAGTATCTTTCTAGGACTGGACAATGGCCGGTGAAAAAGGCAGATGACATTTTTTACCCCTTTATTATTCCATTTCTGGGTCGGGGGGGGGCCACCCAAGTCTCAATGGACCAGTCCCTCGCTGATCCTCCTGCAGGTGGTGAGTCCACGGGATGATGACTTCTCCATGATCGAAGACATGGCCTTGGTCTTTCAGCGAGGGCTTTAGGCAATGTGGGGTTAAGTGTCTTGCCCAGGGACACAACGACTGCAGGTCGTGGTGGGCTTGAACCCACGACCAAAGACCAGTGCTCTACCAACTGAGCTACTGCTGGCCCCACATTTTCAACAGCGTGCCTTAAGTTCCAGTGTAGAGTTCACAGACAGAGCTACATTTTCATAACTGACAAATGTTGAAAGTGATTTAGTTTGTGTAAATGTGCACTTTATTGTACCCATAGGAACATTTTTCCTCTGCATTTGACCCATCCTGATGCCACTAAGGCTTCTGTCAGAAGAGTTATTTTAGAGTTTAAAATACACCATTGAAATCACCAACACAGATCAGAGAATCATCATAGGGAGAGACCAATGTCCAATGACCAACTGAGCAAGATAAATAATTCAATGGATTTATAATGTTTGACGACTCTTTTGTTTACGGGTGAATATTACGACTGAAACGTGGAGTTCTTGCAGTTTATACCAGTAAATCAATTATTTGGTTGTTTAGTTTCACTTACAAATTGAGATCAAGAACGACCTTTGTGTAAAAAAAGAAAGAAATAGTTTGTTAATGCTCCATACGGTGCTGCAAAAAATAATGGCAATTAAAAGGTAAAGATGACGAGGGAAACTGGAGTATTCACAGAAACAGCGTTAATGTGCACAACACATACTGTTGACTGACAGGTTTAGATTTTCTGTTGAATTACGGTTTTTCTGATTAACTTTGACAGAGACGGGATTTGTGTAATTAAACAACTGTTTTAAATATAGAAAAAACCCAATAGGCTTCACGATTTACTAATACGATTCCCTCAACCATTTCCTGTGTTGTTTCTCTGATCTGTTGGTGAACCTCCTTCGAGACGACTGCTGTTGTGATTTAGGGCTGTACACAAATAAATGAAATTAGCTTATTTAACAGAATAAATCATTTGTTGTTCAAAATTTGACATGTTTTTTTCAAGATTTGAGGAGGTATCCAACCTTTTTGTTTCAAAAACAATACATGTTAAATGTTGTGAACAAATTAAGACGCAACATTCTGACTTCAAGACATGTTGTTTTTGTACTTGAAAGAGTCACTATTTGACTCTTTGGGCTGAGAGCTGAGTGAGGGTGGTCCTCTCTCCTTCACTTTTCTGTTGGAAACATCTGATCTAAAGCTGTGACAGAGGCCAAACGCATGTGAGAACTATTGATAGAAGTAAACTAGAGAGCTTGTTGGATGGATTCGAGAACAGATCCCATCAGACCTCTGAAGCTGTGCAGGGCATGGTCTGGTTAGTACTGTGATGGGAGACCTCTGAATGCCAGGTGTCAGTCGGGCGGCTGCAAACTGTTGTTTTTCCCTTAGGGCTACCCATTTCAACCACATCGCCTGGAGTCAGTCTGGTGTGTCTGTGAATTGTTGGAGGTGGGAGGGGCTGATGGCACTGGTTGCCTCGCTTCTGTCAGTGTGCCCCAGGGCAGCTGTAGCTACAGTAGTAGTTCTTAACCACCGTCTTTGAGTGTCCAGACAGCGGTATGTAAAAAATATGCATTATTATTATTATTATTATTATTATTAAATGATCTCTAGTAGAATTTCCCCATGCAAATATGTGCGTGTGTTATTGGAGCTGTTCAGTCCGTACTGGACCCCATGTTCTGTGCTCTTTGTAAACAGTAAACAGAGCAGAGCAGAGGCCCCTGGTGCAGCCTCCCCGGGCACAGGAGCCTCGGCAGCCCGCTGGAGGACAGGCCTGAAGGCGGTGATCATCAGAGCCGTGCGGACAGAAGCACGTCTAAACCCGGGCTCTGAGTGGAAACCGACCCGGAGGTGCAGCACAATCTGTCCCGGGCCCTGGTCTCGCAGCAGCCGCCTCAGAGAGCACTGTCACGGGGAACAATCCTTCTGCAGGAGGCTGTTAGCACGGACGGGCTAGCGCAGCGCGGAGCCCGGACAAGCCGAGCTCAGAGGCCGGTTAGCCCGCAGCGGTGCAGTCCGGAGCGGCCCTGTCTGGCTCTCTGGTCCAGCGCAGCAGCATTCACACACAGACGCGTTAGACAGCGGGAAACTCACGGATTTGAAGCCGACTCAAGCGCACTCCCATCACATCCATCCATCTGCCGCCGCCATCTTGTTCTGATGCGGCTGCGCAGGGGGTTCTGGGAAACTGAGTCCTTCATTCACTGAGCAACAGTCTGCAACGGATTCCCTTTTTTTTGTCTTTGTCCCGTTTCTCCTTTTCTTTTGCCTCTTATGTTATGGTATTATTTAAAGTAACTAAAAAACAATAACGCATCCATTCTGATCAAAGTATCACATCCATAAATCTATAAGTTCCAAAAAGCCAATACATCACGTAAATAATGTAAACGCTGAGCTTTTGCCTTGAGCCTTTCAAGTCAGTGCTGTCACGGCTCTGAGGGCCTTCACTTCCAGGAGCCACCAGTTGCTTTCTTGAAGATGTGTTCTCAGTATTTTAATATCGCTCATCTGCTATATGCCATTTTTGGGATATTTTTGGGATTTATTTTCTAGTCAGTTCTGACTAAATAAAATATATGTTTACTAGTTGTAATATGATTCAAATTTACCATTGGGTATTTGTGTCTCTTGATGCTATATATCAAGTCTAGTATAAAAAGTTTCCAGCTCGTCCCAAATACAGCAGCAAGGATCTTAACAGGCACCAAAAGGAGGGAACACATCACTCCAGTGTTAAAATCACTCCACTGGCTCCCTGTGGAGTATAGACGGCTTCCACAGGCGGTGGAAACTTTAAAAAGGGACTCAAAACCCATCTTTTTATTATGGAGTACAGCTAATTTCTTAGTCTTTTTATTTGATTTTATATGTGTTATGCTTTTATTTTATGCTGCTGACGCTGCAGCACTTTGAGATTTGGTGTCAAATGTAAAGTGCATTAAAAATAAAATGTATTATTATTATTGTCCTTATAGACATATGTTTTTAAATATACAAGGCCATAAATGAAATGGCTCTAACCCGCTGAAAACGCTACCTCCAAGACATGTTACCTACCAAACCCGGCACTACACTCACAAAACGGCAGACTTCTGGTGGTTCCTAAAGAGTCAAAAAAGTGCAGTCGGAGGTAGATCGTTTATCTACCAAGCTCTTTTACGGTGAAATTGGCTTTCCATCCACATCAAGGAAGCAGACAGTCTCTACATTCTAGGCCAGGCTTAAAACAGTCCTCTTGAATTCAGCCAATGGTGAGGCAATACTCAGGCAAGACTTAGAAATAGAATCTTAAGTCTAAATCACAGACTCTCAGTGATGCTGCATATAGAGCCCCCTGCTGGAGGAGTCTGGTAACAGCACTGTTCTCTCTTCTTTACTTTATCCGTCATTATGGCCTCAGCTGTAGTCTGTGCATTACTATTCACCTGCTGTCTCATTGTCTGCTTCATGGCATGATGATGGGGCCCCTGAATCCATCCTCTTTCATCTGCACCTGTGAACAGCTCGCTCCTGGGCTGGACTCCCTCAGTACTGCACCACAGCCCCAGTCCCTTATCTATAGCCTGTCTGTGGGAGCAGATCCCTCTCTCAATGTGAGTTTCTCACTTTTTTCCCCGCATTCTTTGTTGAGTCCTTGCCGATGCAGGAGGGTCTAAGGACAGTGATGATCCGGGAAATATATGAACATTTACGGACAGGGGTCATCACGCTCCCTCTGGACCAATGGCCCCTGTGTGTTTCTGATCTGTTGAGACGACTGCTGTTGTGATCTAGGGCTGTACAAAATGTATTTAGTGGAATTTAAGTGTTTGCCTTTGGAACAAACCTTTGACAAAATACATGTATTGAAAAGATCTGAGTTTAGAAGTCTTGTACTACACATTTAACAGTCTGCCATCCATTGACTTCCCCTTTGGGCTGAGAGCTGGTTGGAGTGGTGGTGGTCCTCTGCTGGTCTTGATGTGACCAAAAACACATTCCTGTGAAAACTAAGATGTATTTTTTTAACATACATTATTTATATAAATACAAAAGAGTGACTTTCATAAATCACAATGATTACAAACTTTGCCCGCGATTCATTTTTAATAGACCTCAATCTAAGTATTGAAAAAAAAACTGAATAAAAAGGTATAAAACCATAGATTGCATTAATACATTAGTTTCACTGCAGAAGCCGCACCGACCGCTCATCGCTCATGCTCCTGAGACACTGCACTCCTCCTGTAACTATCTGTTATTGTTTCTAACATTTGAAATGAACATTTTGGTCGACTGACTTCAAAGCTTTAAGGACGACAACAGAACATGTTGTGGCAGTGGGAATAGAAAACCAGATGAAAGCAACACGATGGATTCAATAACTTTTGATCTTTATTCTTTTACAAAGAAACTGAACGTACAAAGTACAAACCTGAAGATGTACAGTCGATCCTGTAGTATACATTCAAAATAAGTTAAATGGTTCTTTCTCTGAACCCTGCAGTGCAAATCTCAGGGCGCACCACTTCCTCCAGTTTTTTTTTTTTACATTCACCAAATCTACCAAAGCAACAACTGACAAACAAACCAAGGAGCCGTCCCTCCACATCCTGGAGAGTCTGATATTATCAGTTTGTAACACTTTTAACTATTAACATTGCAGTTATTGCAAAACAATCATTTTTAAAGGAACCATGTGAGACCTTATTGACCTGTGGATCCACAGTTATGAACTTCTCAGATCTGTGTCTGATACGGGCTCAGTGCTGAAGAGCTGGGAGCTAGTGTCAGTCTTTGGCCTCCGTTGTCCTCTTTTCTCCAGTGTCTTTGAAATAAATAATGTAACACTGTACAGTATAACAAAGTGTTCACTTTAAATATAAAACAAGAAGAGCTGACACTAGCAGGTGAGCTAATGGAGAGCTTTCCAGCCTTCTCCAGTCCAGAGCTTATTTACTAACATGATGCACAAGTGCTGCTTTTGCTTCAAGGTGATTTTTGGCCTGGGTCGCGGGTTTCGGTCGCGGGTTTCGGTCGCGGGTTTCGGTCGCGGGTTTCAGTCGCGGGTCTGGGTCGCGGGTCTGGGTCGCGGGTCTCAGTCGCGGGTCTCAGTCGCGGGTCTCAGTTTTGAGTGTCAGTTGTGGATCTAATTTCAATGGTGAATCGCAAACCTGAAGGAATCCAAACTGACAAGTTCAGTTGTGAAGCTGAAACAACACGGTTCCCTTGGAGCATTGAGGTAATGGTGAAAACTAAAGATGATCGATGATGATTCAGGCGTTATGTCGTGTGAAGGAAACACTGGCCATGTTTAAACTGAATTGAATTTTGTAACTAAACGTCGCAAGCCACCATGTAAATCCTCCCAAAGACAGGTTTGGACGGAGCAGCGACTCGCACTGGCCGACAGTCGTACAAGGCACATCCGCTCTGACCAAAGGAAAGTCTGCAGAGATGAACCTATGTGTCTGTTCTGAGCCTTTTTTTCTTTCATTGTAACATTTTCACAAACCTGCACAACAATCTCACAAGTACATAAATATAAATAATGACTTTCTGGAGCTCCACCGCAGCCAGACGGCGGTCAGAGCAGCCCAGAGTCTTTGGCCATGTTGTAGAAGAGTCCTCTCTGAGCGATCAGGTTGTTTGGACTGTCGAACTCCGCCATCTCGCCCTTGTCCAGGACCAGGACCCTGCAGGACAGACACACTTCAGCTGCGTTCTTACATCACTTTCTCCAGGGACGGAACATGGGGATATTGGCAAATTGTGGAGACAAACTTGATTTTTGTTACACAGTGAAAAAAATCACACTTGCAAAACATACTGGCTTTTTTCTTACAGCACAGCCAAATCTAATCCAGTTATAAAACCTAATCAAACTGTAATTAAAGGATTTGTTTGTGTGTATACGGGTCAATGACGGATAAGGTTTTTTAAGAGGCCAATTTCAAAATAGACATGAATTTTTACAGCAGTTGGTCAAAGCTTTACAATGTCATGTGTAAATACAAACAGGTTAAAATCGTGAATTCAGATATAAATGAATCAGTCGTTACCCTTAAAAATGTCATGTGGTGCGATCGATAATCACCTTAAAATAAATTCATTTACTCAGCATAACTCAAATGTTTTCCCACAAGTTCTTAGTATATAATGTGTCTAGAAAATTCTTCTGTGGGTCCTTTGCAAATATAGTTTCTGATATAACTAAGTGTCTTTGGGTAGATTTCAAAATAAAAGCTTAAACATTTTTATTTTTTTATAGTCGCACCACATGATATTTCCTCAAATTGACTTTTGTGGACAAAGTTTCCTCGGCTGTTAAGAAGAAAATTTCATTCCAGGATTACTGTAATTTCACATGAGGTAAAAAAACCCTTCAGAAAAAATGCCAAATGGAGAAAAAAAAAAATTTGAGTAGATTTAGATACTTTTTAAGCAAATGTCAGGTCTTTTGCAGACTCCAACAGGTTTTCTTCCAGAATGGTCCTGTATTTGGCTCCATCCATCTTCCCATCAATTTTAGCCATCTTCCCTGTCCCTGCTGAAGAAAAGCAGGCCCAAAGCATGATGCTGCCACCACCATGTTTGACAGTGGGGATGGTGTGTTCAGGGTGATGAGCTGTGTTGCTTTTACGCCAAACATATCGTTTTGCATTGTGGCCAAAAAGTTTGATTTTGGTTTCATCTGACCAGAGCACCTTCTTCCACATGTTTGGTGTGTCTCCCAGGTGGCTTGTGGCAAACTTTAAGAGACTTTTATTGGATATCTTTGCGAAATGGCCACTCTTCCATAAAGGCCAGATTTGTGCAGTGCACGACTGATTGTTGTCCTATGGACAGACTCTCCCACCTCAGCTGTAGTTATCTGCAGTTCATCCAGAGTGATCATGGGCCTCTTGGCTGCATCTCTGATCAGTCTTCTCCTTGTTTGAGATGAAAGTTTGGAGGGACAGCCGGGTCTTGGTAGATTTGCAGTGGTCTGATACTCCTTCCATTTCAATATAATTGCTTGCACAGTGCTCCTTGAGATGTTTAAAGCTTGGGAAATCTTTTTGTATCCAAATCCGGCTTTAAACTTCTCCACAACAGTATCTCGGACCTGCCTGGTGTGTTCCTTTGTCTTCATGGTTCTCTCTGCGCTTTAAACAGAACCCTGAGACTATCAAAGAGCAGGTGCATTTATACAGAGACTTGATTACACACAGGTGCATTCTATTTATCATCATCAGTCATTTAGGACAACATTGGATCATTCAAAGATCCTCTCTGAACTTCTGGACTGAGTTTGCTGCACTGAAAGTAAAGGGGCCGAATAATATTTTTTTTTTTTTTTTTAAAAAGTTTAAATTATCCAATAAATTTCGTTCCACTTCACGATTGTGTCCCACTTGTTGTTGATTCATGACAAAAAATTAAAATTTTATATCTTTATGTTTGAAGTCTGAAATGTGGCGAAATGTTGAAAGGTTCAAGGGGGCCGAATACTTTCGCAAGGCACTGTACATATGGTCTGTTTTGATTTTATAGAATAATATTTTAGATTTAAAAAAATTCAGTCGGACAGTGATTTTGGGCGTCACGTCATTGACCCATATGTGTATGCCCCCACCGTGTGTAGTCCATGATGGTGTTGAGGCGGTGTGCGATGGTCAGCACGGTGCACTCCTCAAACTGGGAGCGGATGGTGGACTGGATCAGGGTGTCGGTCTCCATGTCCACGGCGGCTGTGGCCTCGTCCAGCACCAGGATCTTGGTCTTCCTCAGCAGCGCGCGGGCCAGACACAGGAGCTGTCGTTGCCCCACGCTGGACACACACAGAAGTGCAAGAACTAATGACACAGCACTCACAGAAGGGGAGAAAGTAGTGATATGGTGAAAAAATTTTCTCCATGTGTTGTTTTTAAATTATTTTTCAAACCTCAAACACTTGTCTCATACATCCAATTATTTAAAAAAAACAGTGTTCAGTTCTCAGGTCTCTGCACTGGCTCCTGTGGCTCAGAGAATAGACTCTACATACAGCTCTGTGTGTGACAAGTCTTTCCATGGCCTCGCACCAAAGTACATCTGAGACATATTATAGCCATATGAACCAAGGAGGACTCTGAGGAGCACAGGGACCGGACTCCTGCTGGTGCTCGGAGCCAGAACTAAACATGGGGGAGGCAGCGTTTCAGATTTATGCAGCTAAACTCTCGAACAGTCTTCCTGAAAATGTGAGACAGACTTCTTCTCAGAAACCTTTTGAACCTGGATTTGGACAGAGTCAAATTAGCTGTGATTGTATAGTCACTCTTTTTTATATACTGTCATTATATTGCCTTGTTTTTTTTGTTCAGCACTTTTAGTTTCCTTATGTAGTAACTGTGAAAAGAAATAAACTTGCCCTGCCCATGGTATGTTGTATGTATTTATTTTTGTATTTATTATGTCACAACATCAGAGTTGAGAGTTGTTGCTCAATACACAGCAATATCCTGACCTCCTGACACAAACAGGTTCCCCCCGACCCTTCTGTCTAAAGCTCATAAAAAACGTGCTACACATTGTGAAATGTTGAACTGTTCTGAACTGTGTGGCTGTAAAGTATGAAGCATTTTTATATATGTCGATCTCCCTCTAGTGTTAGAAATAAGGAACTACATGCAAGGCTCATCCTCCATCTTATACACATGTTTATACATATATGTTAACTGAAATTATGTTTGTGTGTTTTGGACCAAATTTGAAAAGGAAAGCATTATATTTGTTTCATTGTAAAGTGGGATTTTACATGTAGAATATTACACCCTCTTTAGGTCACACACTAAATGTCAAGGAAATGCTAAAAGTATCAAATAAATAAACATTATCCAGCTCTAAAATATAAATTTTAAATAATCAACAATCTTGACGATTTTAAGCAAAAACCTGCTAGACCTATGGTGAAATTCCACACCAAATTATATCGCAATATATACCGTTTACCGCCTGTGTCCCAATTTTAGCCCATATAGCCCACCCCTATTTCATTGTAAAGTGGGATTTTACATGTAGAATTGCTGTTCAACATGATGCACATGATTTCAAATTCTGAAACAAAAATCAGTTTGAAAGTCATATTTAAGGGACAGGGAATAATGACTTTCTTCTTTACAGGGTCTTTTCATTAAAAACCACATGAGTTCCTTATCTGGTCCTGGAGAGGTCAAAAAAGTTTCCAAGTGTTTGTCCAAAAACATATCATGCCGTGTGAAATAATGTATGTAGTAATTCCCAGGACAGCAAAAGGCAAATCTCCCACTTTTAAATCTGCCATCGCTGCACTGACCTTGAAGCACAAGTTTTTGTTATTGTGGTTTATATTTGGTACCCGCACAGAACCATCACGTACAGTCCAGCCCCTCGGCCAACTGCTGGCACACACACATAAAAAATGAAAGTGTTTTCCACGGCTCTTCTGTCGGACTCCCTGCGTCAGCTGGAGGCGGTAACAGGAGTCACGGGAATGTGTCGACGAGGCCCGGCAGACTCAGGACAGCTGCTCGCACCACTCTGCACTTCAGAACCGGACTGAACCACCTCACACTGGGCCAGCGCCTTCACTGCACTGGGAATGGGTGTCCAGACTTTTGGGCTCTTGCCATAAACAAATAACTTATTATGCGTTTCTTTTAATATGATCTTTATGGACTTTGGTCTCTGTCCAATGGCTCTATGTGTGTTTGATTCTCTGCTCTGGAAGGTCCTGGGTTCGAATCCCGGTCAGAACTGGGCCTTTCTGTGTGGAGTTTGCATGTTCTCCCCGTGTCTCCAACCCTCCCAGATCACTACTGTTGTGATTTAGGGAGATACAAAAAAGGAATTGTCTTGAATGACTTTGGAATAGTATGGAGTAGGTACGGCTGCGTGAAAAACAGATTTCTCAAATAAAAAATATAAAATGGAGGGCAGACATGTAACAGGGGAATGAAGAGAAGTCCGACTCTGACTTAGTTCTTTCTCTGAAGAATGTTTGTGTAAAGCAGGGGTGTCCAAACATTTTTGTAAGAGGGCCACTTTAGTTCAGACTAGTCCAGGGGCCGACGTCACGGACTAAAAAACTGTCTTGACTGGCATCGGGCTGCTCCGAGCTTTATAATGATCTTTAACAGAGCTGAAGTTGGCTGAATGACACATGTTTACCAACTCACCAGCTACAGCAGCACCATTAACAGAGGTTTGTGACACCATCAAAAACCTTGTCAGTAAAGTATGGACTAGAACGAGGTAAAACAGGTCAATATTGGCTGAGCTGAAGTTGGATGGATGACACAGAGAACTTGTGTTTATGATCTCAAAGACTACTTTGGGTTAGCAAGCTAGAGGGCCATATAAAATGACACTGAGGGCCGGAATTGGCCCCCAGGCACGAGTTTGGACAGTCAGACACTATGGTTTTTATGAGACATTTCAGACTTTTATAATATGTGCGGCTTTTACGTGAGGAAAACAGGAAGTGAGAGTATTTGATTCTCAGGATTCACAGATGGCCATGTTTTTCCGGTGCTGACACAGACGTTCCAGGCAGAAAAAGGAGGCGGTTGTGGCATTACTCCCTCTTCCTCTTTGTGCACACGAGAAAAAGATTGAGCCAAGTTGAGATTGAAACCTTTTGCTTTCTGGCACAGACCCACGTCGTCTGAATGTCAAAAGTAACAAAGATCAGATATAAATAGATGCTAAGCTAGTATGGAAACTCCAGACCTGTACTCAGAAGAATAGATATTAAAAGTATTAGCATTAACACAACCAAATCAGACTTTTCCTGAGTTGTTTGGATCTATATAAAGACCTTGAATCAACCTGTTTAACTTTTGATATATATGAAATAATTCTAAACCATATCAAAGTTGCCTCTCAGAATCAAGGGTATTCATTAGTATTGTCGACTCCAGCTCTACACTGTGCTAACATTTCCAAAGCTATTACTACACGCCCAGTCGACCCATAAATTGACCTGCATGTGAAAGCTAAGCAGGACAGGGCCTGGTTAGTACTTGTGATGGGAGACCTTTGGGAACTACCAGTGTAGCGTCCCGGCTCAAAAATTTCCAAAATGTCGTGCGCTGACATGCTTGCAATACCATCCCGGGCCAGTGGGGGTGGACCCGGTATAAGAATTAGCCAATGCTAATGTATACCCTTTTCTTTCCTCTTCCAAATGTGTGTCAATGCTGAGGGGAGTGTATTTTTTTCGGACCAGACTAGTTTAGTCGCTGTGGAATTTTTTAAGGCACTCGTTATATGAATGGGGCGTGTGCAGCTGATGCATGCGCGAATACGTTTTTTTCCCACATTTTCCAGCCCCAGCGGCCATTTTGAAACTGCCCATAGACGGCAAAAGTTGTGGCACATTAGTTTGAACGGCGGAGATAGACGTTACAACGTCTGTTAATATTTACAGTGTATGGGAACAACAGGTGCCACAGTGGGGAGGCTGCGGCTGTAATGTACCACTCAGTCGTTGTGTCCTTAGGCAATACACTTCACCCACATTAGAATGACTCTGGTGGGAGGGGCACAAACTGGTTGCCTTGCTTCTGTCAATGTGCCCCAGGGCAGCTGTGGCTAAAGTAATAATTTATCACCACAGAGTAGAGAGTGAAAGAAGAAAAGTTCTCATAACAAAGTAATATATATATATATCTGACCAAAACTGCACTCACAAAACTTAAAACAAATATTTGCCTGAAATGATATTAAGATAAAAACGCTTCAAAAATGTTGATCTGGTTTGAATTTCAGTAAATACCAAAATCTTCTGCCAAAACGCCCCATGGTTTCTGACCTTTGCTTTTTTCCCATAGAAATCTTTGTAGATCTAGAAAAAGTCGATTCTCGTAATTTGTGCTTAAATAGGAACAACTAGAGACAGACAGCCCTAGTATAGTAACAACACCAGTATGGAGCATGTCCGGGGAAATGTAGCCTCACATTACAACATGAGGCACAGAAATCTATCCCTGAGATCCACAGGGCGTTTTGGCTCACTGACCGGGCTCTAAAATAGACCGTGTGAGAGTGTGCGTTTACCTGAGGTTCTCCCCTCCTTCACTACACTCGTGCTCCAGTTTTCCCGTGAGCCCCGACACAAAGCTCTTGAGGTGGGAGAAGTCCAGGGCCCTCCACACCTCCTCGTCCGTGTAGCTGCTGAAGGGGTCCAGGTTCATGCGGAGGGAGCCCGAGAACAACACCGGGTCCTGAGGAGAACCAGGAGAAGGCCACTTTTGTTTTAAGACTTGTACATTTGCTTCTGCATCCTGTGTATGTTTTTAGTGTGTTAGAAAACGCAATAATTATCTAAAACAGTGCTCCTCAAACCACTGGGATGGCAGAGTTTCCTCCAGTAATAAATAATATGACAAAAAGGTCTCTTAACACTTGGACTCCTAGAACTTCAAAGCCACCATCTCCAATTCAAACCAATGGAATTCTGAGCAATCCCATCCAAAAAATGTAAATGACATTACTTAAATTAATTACAAACTAATGTTTACGTTTTTTTTCTTTTTTTGCCTATACTCACTTTTAGTAAGTGATAAAACTGGTTAAAACAACTTGAAATACACCAAAAACAGTTTGGTGAAAGGCTAGGGCAAACTGCTCCAAGTAAACAGTCTGTTGCTATGGTAACTAGCACTTTTTATTCAGTGGATAACCAAGCTCAGCTCAGAACCAGGACCAGACCAGAATGTGCAATATGAAACCACATGTGAAGGAGGTGCAGAGTGTGTGTGAAGGAGGTGCAGGGTGTGTGAAGGAAGTGCCGGGCGTGTGTGAAGGAGGTGTAGAGTGTGTGTGAAGGAGGTGCAGGGTGTGTGAAGGAAGTGCCGGGCGTGTGTGAAGGAGGTGTAGAGTGTGTGTGAAGGAGGTGTAGAGTGTGTGTGAAGGATGTGCAGAGTGTGTGTGAAGGATGTGCAGAGTGTGTGTGAAGGAGGTGCAGAGTGTGTGTGAAGGAGGTGCAGAGTGTGTGTGAAGGAGGTGCAGAGTGTGTGTGAAGGAGGTGCAGAGTGTGTGTGAAGGAGGTGCAGAGTGTGTGTGAAGGATGTGCAGAGTGTGTGTGAAGGATGTGCAGAGTGTGTGTGACGGAGGTGCAGAGTGTGTGTGAAGGATGTGCAGAGTGTGTGTGAAGGAGGTGTAGAGTGTGTGTGAAGGAGGTGCAGAGTGTGTGAAGGAGGTGCAGAGTGTGTGTGAAGGAGGTGCAGAGTGTGTGAAGGAGGTGCAGAACGTGTGAAGGATTTGCAGAACGTGTGAAGGAGGTGCAGAGTGTGTGTGAAGGATGTGCAGAGCGTGTGAAGGAGGTGCAGAGCGTGTGAAGGAGGTGCAGAGCGTGTGAAGGAGGTGCAGAACGTGTGAAGGAGGTGCAGAGCGTGTGAAGGAGGTGCAGAACGTGTGAAGGAGGTGCAGAACGTGTGAAGGAGGTGCAGAACGTGTGAAGGAAGTGCAGAACGTGTGAAGGAGGTGCAGAGCGTGTGAAGGAGGTGCAGAACGTGTGAAGGAGGTGCAGAACATGTGAAGGAGGTGCAGAGCGTGTGAAGGAGGTGCAGGGTGTGTGAAGGAAGTGCAGAACGTGTGAAGGAAGTGCCGAGCGTGTGTGAAGGAGGTGCAGAGTGTGTGAAGGAGGTGCAGAGTGAGTGTGAAGGAGGTGCAGAGTGTGTGTGAAGGATGTGCAGAGGGTGTGAAGGAGGTGCAGAGTGTGTGTGAAGGATGTGCAGAGAGTGTGTGAAGGAGGTGCAGAGTGTGTGTGAAGGATGTGCAGAGGGTGTGAAGGAGGTGCAGAGCGTGTGAAGGAAGTGCCGAGCGTTTGTGAAGGAGGTGCAGCGTGTGTGAAGGAAGTGCAGAGCGTGTGAAGGAGGTGCCGAGCGTTTGTGAAGGAAGTGCAGCGTGTGTGAAGGAGGTGCAGAGCGTGTGAAGGAGGTGCAGAGTGTGTGTGAAGGATGTGCAGAGTGTGTGTGAAGGATGTGCAGAGCATGTGAAGGAGGTGCAGAGCGTGTGAAGGAAGTGCAGAGTGTGTGAAGGAGGTGCAGAGCGTGTGAAGGAAGTGCCGAGCGTTTGTGAAGGAGGTGCAGCGTGTGTGAAGGAAGTGCAGAGCGTGTGAAGGAGGTGCCGAGCGTTTGTGAAGGAAGTGCAGCGTGTGTGAAGGAAGTGCAGAGCGTGTGAAGGAGGTGCAGAGCGTGTGAAGGAGGTGCAGAGCGTGTGAAGGAGGTGCAGAACGTGTGAAGGAGGTGCAGAACGTGTGAAGGAGGTGCAGAGCGTGTGAAGGAGGTGCAGAGTGTGTGAAGGAGGTGCCGGGCGTGTGAATGCGGTGCAGAGTGTGTGTGTGAAGGAGGTGCCGGGCGTGTGAAGGAGGTGCAGAGCGTGTGAAGGAGGTGCAAGGCGTATGAAGGAAGTGCAGCCGGGCGTGTGAATGCGGTGCAGAGTGTGTGAAGGAGGTGCCGGGCGTGTGAAGGAGGTGCAGAGCGTGTGAAGGAGGTGCAAGGCGTATGAAGGAAGTGCCAAGCGTGTGTGAAGGAGGTGCAGAGCGTGTGAAGGAAGTGCAGAGTGTGTGAAGGAGGTGCAAGGCGTATGAAGGAAGTGCCAAGCGTGTGTGAAGGAGGTGCAGAGCGTGTGAAGGAGGTGCCGGGCGTGTGAATGCGGTGCAGAGTGTGTGAAGGAGGTGCCGGGCGTGTGAATGCGGTGCAGAGTGTGTGAAGGAGGTGCCGGGCGTGTGAAGGAGGTGCAGAGCGTGTGTGGAGGAGGTGCAGCGTTTGTGAAGGAGGTGCAGAGCGTGTGTGAAGGAGGTGCAGAGCGTGTGAGGGAGGTGCAGAGCATGTGTGAAGGAGGTGCAGAGCGTGTGAGGGAGGTGCAGAGCATGTGTGGAGGAGGACCTGGGGGATGATGGTGATGCGGGAGCGCAGTTGGTGCAGGCCCAGCTCAGAGATGTCCACTCCGTCGATGAGGATCTGTCCCTCTGAGGCCTCTAGGATCCGGAACAGCCCCATGGTCAGGGAGGACTTTCCTGCCCCGGTCCGGCCCACGATGCCCACCTGCACACACCACACCCATAGACTGTAGATATATTTAAACAGATGTAGCCACGCCCATCTCCGCCGCTGAAACTGCCATGGGCTTTTTCAAAATGGCCGCGCGGCAGGAAAAAATTTGTAAAAATGTATTTGCGCGTGCGTTAGCTGCACTAGCTTCATTCATTTAAAGTGATAGTCTGGAACTCTAAATGAATTACACATTTTAAGAATTCGATGCCGTCCACGTTAACCAATCAAGTCATGCCAAGGGCTGTCAATCATTGGCGCTGGTGCTCGTAGCTGCTCATGCTCAGTTTTTTGTTTTCGCGGAGCCTCCGAATCAAGCCTCCATTATATACTGAACCTATATCCATAGTCATTTATATACTGAACCTATATCCATAATCATTTATATACTGACCCTATATCCATAATCATTTATATACTGAACCTATATCCATAATCATTTATATACTGAACCAGCTAAACTAGACTGGTCCAAAAATAACTCTCCTTAGCATTGACAGCATGTTGGTCCATGTATGTTGGACCAAGAGCGACTTTTAGACAATCCTGTGAAGAGGTTTGAGAGGACAGAAGACGCCATACAAAAGCCTTGGGTAATTCTAATTTTACCCAAACCATGGGGGGGCAGTGTTTCAGTGTTTGTCTGCTCTGACGATATTGAAATGTGCATATAGCTGAAGGGTTATGACTTTTTTAATTTAATGTGATTATTTATGATTTTAATGTTTCTTGTCTTGGTTTGTTAAGCGCTCCGAGTTACGCCGTGTATGATCTGTGCTATACAAATAACCTCGCCGTACCTTCTCTCCTGCTGTGATGCTCAGGCTGATGTGGCGGAGGGCCAGGTCCAGATTGTGGCGGTAGCGAAGGCCAAAGTTCTTGATGTCAATGCAGCCTGCAGAGGGCCAGGGGTCCGGCTGGGGTCCTTTGTTCTGCAGGGTCCACTCGGCCTGGGATAGAGAGAGCAAAGTTAGACCTTCACTGAGTGGGACGGACCACAACACACTGCAGACGGCCCGCGCCACAACACACTGCAGACGGCCCGGGCCACAACACACTGCAGACGGCCCGCGCCACAACACACTGCAGACGGCCCGGGCCACAACACACTGCAGACGGCCCGGGCCACAACACACTGCAGACGGCCCGGGCCACAACACACTGCAGACGGCCCGCGCCACAACACACTGCAGACGGCCCGGACCCCAACACACTGCAGACGGCCCGGACCCCAACACACTGCAGACTGCCCGGACCCCAACACACTGCAGACGGCCCGGGCCACAACACACTGCAGACGGCCCGGGCCACAACACACTGCAGACGGCCCGGGCCACTGTCGGACTGTGTCTCTCCCTGGCCTCGCACTAAAGTACATCTGTGACATGTTAGTCCCATATGAACCCGGGCCGGACTTTCAGATTCAGATTCATGCGGCTAAAATCTGGAACAGTCTTCCTGAGAATGTGAGACAGCCGTCAACTCTGGCAGTTTTCAGATCCAGGTTAAAGACAGTTCTGTTCAGCTGTGCTTATAACTTTACTCTTTTTAAGGCACTGTGGCTGTTTATGATTTAAATCCCAGGTGTGATTTTACTGTTTTATGTCAATGAAAGCCAGATCCTGACAAACCTCTGAAGCTAAGCAGGACAGGGCCTGGTTAGTACTGTGATGGGAGACCTTTGGACATAGGTGCTACAGTGGGGCGGCTGCCAAACTGTGGTTGTGTCCTTAGGCAAGACACTTCCCCCACATGCTTAGAAGGAGTCTGGTGTGTGTGAATGGTTGGTGGTGGTGGGAAGGGCTGATGGCACAGGCTGGTTGCCTCGCTCCTGTCAGTGTGCCCCTGGGCAGCTGTGGCTACAGTAGTTGTTTATCACCGCTGTGTATGAAGTGAATGAAAAAGGAAAGCTCTTTAAGTGTCCAGAAAAGCACTACATCAGGAGGATCAGCGATGCACCAGGACTTTTACGCACATTTCTAGATGAAACAATGGCTCCTATGTGTTTGTTATTGTGGTATTTTCTGTTTGAACGGTTTGATTCTCTGACTGTGTTGAATCGACAACTTTGCAAAGTCCTCAGACGACTGCTGTTGGGATTTAGGACTATGCAAAATAAAAATGGAATTGAATTAAAACAGATACATAATTATTACTATATTTATTAAAATAGATGTTTAGGTGGTTGGTATCCTTTAGTTTTTGCATGACCAAACACACAAGGATGCTGTGACAATATAACGTTAGAGACTGGCCAGGCGCTAGAACTCCATCGCTTTCCGTCGTCGTCTGAACACGGTGCACTTTGAATAAGGAGCCTGGTCAATTTTGCCAATTGCTTTGCAGCGTCTCCGGTTAAAAGGATGTGACACAGGAGCGAGTAACAGTCCCTGAAATCTCACTTATACATGTTTTTGCAGATCACGGGGGTGTAATCAAAGGATTTAAATATAATAAACTTGTGAGTGATCAGACCTCTTTCTCCGTGTCGCTGTACTCCCGCACACGCTCCACAGCGACTATGTTGGTCTCCAGGTCTGAGGACATGCGCACCAGCCACGTCAGCGATGTGGTCAGCTGCACAAACACACACAAACACACACACACACACAGATCAATCAATTACACCGATACATTGGAACAGGTCGAGAGCAGATGGCTGAAGTTGAAATGAAAGTACATTATTTATGAGAGTTGCGTTTGTGTTTTTTAGCTATAGCAGTAATGCTATTTTCCTCGTTATCACAAACATTATACATTAGTTTTGCAGCGGACGGTCTGTCTAACCCAAGTCTAAAACAAAAATTAAGGAAAATTCTCATTAATTACCTCCAATGATGTCGTACGATTCCCTATTTCAGGATTCAGCCCGACCACATGACCTCATCGGTCACTGATCCACTGTTGCCTGCGGTTCTTTGTGAAAGTGAAGACTTTTGTAAACCTTTTTAAATTTCATAAATGCCTTTTGAATTGATTGTTTGATGTTATTTTTGTTATTCATCTTTGTGTGGTTTTTTGTCTTATTTATCTTTTAGGGAAAATTAGAATATGGTTCAAAAGTCCATGTACTTTTTTATGTGAAACTAATGTTGATAATTGGCTGACAGCTGTAAAGACCCCAAATTAAACACAAATAATAATATATTAAAAACTAGACTGAAACCACAATCATCAACATTATTGATTTAAAGAAATAGATGAACTTTTGAACAATATTCTACAATGTTCATCTGTATTTAAGCTGCCAGAAAGGATTTTTACCTCTCAAAAACAGCTTAAATGTGTATTTATTACAGCCCGTCTGTTCGTAGGAGCAGATCCCTCCCTCAATGAGGTTTTTCCATTGTTCCCACTGGGTTTTTTGAGTTGTTTTTTAGGATCTAAGGACAGTGGTGATGATCCACTCCTTATGGACCAATGGCTCAGATGAATAAAGTCCTCTGAGATCACTACTGTTGTGATATCGGGCAATACAATTCAAATACATTTCATTATTGTATTCCCCATCGCTGCTGCAGGAGTCTATGGACCACGACCATGAGCTCATGTTGTTTTGTGTCCCTGGGGCTGACCTGCAGGGCGTAGGTGATGGACAGGCCCACGATGCCAGGACTGAGGCTGTCTCGAGCGATCACAGCGAAAAGAGCAGCACACGACACGATACAGTTCCCCACAAACTCCAGGCGAATGGCCAACCACCTGAGGAGGATCGTGACAAAACATGGCTTAGTATTTGACCCTGTTCGGCATTTCAATATATGATTAATGTACGCTCATGATTTGACTTTGATAGTGAAGAGATCTATCACTATCTGTTTGTTACTTACGTGGAAATAAAAATGATTCTGATTCTGATTTGGCACAGTGGCTGTTTATTCAAAAGGTTGATTCAAACCTGGATTAATTGATCCAGGCAGCCATCACAATGCTATTTTACTCAGGACTTGAATAAAATGTGTGGCTCTCATGGAAATACTTTTTATTTTTCTCCCTGAGCTAAAAAGGTTACTGAGCCGTAATCTAGCCCTCCATAGCAGAGGCTGCTGACCTGTTGGCTATGATGCTGGGGAAGTAGGCCTTCTGGTTGTGGTCCACCCTCAGGTCGCTCTCGTGGATAAAGCGTTTCTGCTCTCCGAAGGCCCTGATGACAGAAGCTCCCAGCAGCGTCTCGTTAAAGTGTGTGTAGATGGGGGAGCGGCTCACCGACTCCAGCCGCTTCAGTTGTCGAGACGAGGCCACATAGAAGCGCTGCGGACATCACAGGGTCAGACACTGGAGATCCATCCACATGCAAAGAAACTTTGTTTTTTTTTTTTTTTTTTAAATCTACAAAACAATTTTTTTAAAGACATCGGCCACAGAAAACCCATATGGCTCAAAAGACAAAACCTATTCTGCTACACAACATATGTTTCCATTGTTGCATTATGTGTAATCACTATGGCCTTTAATCAGTCATGATTTGTGGCCAGGTCACAACCTCCTGTCCTGGGTCTTACCCTGCAGGACGTCCTGAACAGATGCCTCCTCTCCATGTGGAGGAGCAGTGTCTCCTCCTGTGAGACTCAGCACCTCTCACCATCTGAGTGAGAGCACAGCAACCAGACGCCGGCCGCAAGTGGTCAGCAGAGGTCAGAGACTTTAGTCCAGAGAGTGCAGTCACTGAAGAACTGTCTCAGGCGTTATAACTGTTGTCAAAGTAAGTTTCAGACCAGCAGCAGATAATAGCACCAGTGCAGCGTGTGGTTGTTGTGTGTACATGTACGTGTGTGTCTGTGTGAATTCACCTGCACAAAGAAGTAGAGCACTCCCAGGAAGGGGATGATGATGGCCACCAGCGGAGTGGCGGACAGGATGATCACACAGGAGCCCAGCACGGTGAACATGGAGCCAGTGAACATCTTGAGGATGCTGGGGATGACCGTGTCAATGGTGTCGATTTCTTTGGAGAAGCGGTTCACCAGGTTTCCACTGGGCGTGCGCTCAAAGAAGGAGATGGGCGAGCGCAGCACGTCGTACAGCATGGACTGGTGCAGAAACCGGGACGCCAGGATTCCCCCGATGGACATGGACAGAGAGTACCCGAACACGACCACTCCTGAAGGGGAACACAGAGACACGATGCATGGATCTGGTCCTGTCAGGCCTGATTTGGAGAAATATCTTAATCTAGAGTAAAACCCCAAAACTTCCATCTAAAACTAGATATTCGTGTTGCTAAGTAATTGATGGATATTAACTGACTATAAACAGTACATGTAATGAAAGGCACTGCATGAGCCCCTTACCCTGAGACAGGCCCAGACCCCCGTACACCCCCAGCCTCATGAGCCTGTGGGGCTGAGTGCCGTTCACCACAGGGTCGTCCGTCCACAGGCTGAGCCAGTAGTTGGAGAAGAGGGAGAGGAAGTGGTGTGTGAAGAAGAGCAGGAGGCTGAACAGGGTCAGGGGCACGCCGATGGCTTTGGCATAGATCAGGAACACGGACAGTTTGACCTGCACAAACACAAGTGCAGTTTGAGGTCCTCTGCAGCAGCAGTGACAGACCAAAGACTGACCTTTCCAGTGTTGGCCTTGTCGGCCTCGGTCAGCTTGCCTGCTGTAGCCTTCGCTGCGTCAGCGCCTTTCTCCTCCTCCTGAGGCTTTGGGGACGATGGTTTCCTACCAAACCCAGGGATAATACACAAACAACATTGGACACTGGTGGTCATGTGATGCTTCCCAAGTACCAATGACTTTAATATACAAAGATCAATGCCAGAGTATTGTTCTGAATGTGGCTAAGTAAACTGATTATTTACATGGTTTTTACCAGTATTTAAAGGAAGCTTGTAATATTCATGTGGCAGCTTGGGCCAGTCCATAAAACTAAATGTTTTTGGTTAAAGTGAATGGGTCCCATAATGATGACCTTACCCAGTCGGGGCTGAGCTGCGGTCTTGCTCTGTGGGGACAGTCTGCTCTGTAAAGGTTCAAAGACAACATATAAAAACACTGGACGATAGCTTTGAACAACACTAAGGAAGCAGTGGGTTTGCCTCACCTTCATTATTGTCCACAGAGGCGTAAGTGCGCAGGAACTCTGCAAAGGCTCCGTCCTTGTCGAGCAGCTGCTGGTAGGTCCCCCTCTCTGAGATTTGGCCCTCGGACATGACCAGGATGAGGTCTGCTTGGGGCAGGTAGCTCAGGCCGTGTGTCACCAGCACACGTGTCTGAAGAGGAGAAGCAGTTATCTCCACAGTCTGTGGTAAAGTGAGAGGTCACGGACCACACACCTTGTCTCGCAGCAGCCCCTGGGGGCCGATGACCCGCTCAAAGATGTGCCTGCCCACATGTGCGTCCACCGCAGACAACGGGTCGTCCAGCAGGTACACGGAGCGGTCGCAGTAGATGGCACGGGCCAGACTGACCCGCTGTTTCTGTCCTCCTGATAGGTTCACCCCCTGCAGCGGCACAGAAGGGGCTTCAGTCACACCCAACAGACCTGGGCGACTCAGGGGCCGCATACGGCCGATTCACGTTTCTATGAGTCCCTCTGACCTTTCTCCATCTGCAAAGTTCATACTGCATCCCCCATTTCAATGAATGAGAAGCCCTACCCAATGAAATGTTCGCCCAGTCATGAAGACAGAGATAAAATCTTTTGTGCAGCATGTAAAGACTGGAAACACAGATCATGCTTCAGATGTGCACACATGTCGCTGTCAATTCAATCCATATTTCTGAGATCAATAACTTTAGTTAATCTTAAACCTAATTTGATGATAATTCATGTAAAAAGACTTTACAATTTAGATATGCTGAGTGTTCACACCTGGTGGACTTTGTGGAGGCGTGAATGCACGAAAGTGTTGTGTTACCTCAAATGCAACCAGAAAATTCTTCAATTTAATTTACAATTCAAGCGCCCAAAAGTGCGTTAGGTACAAGAAGCAGAGTAATGCAAATATGGACCTTCTCCCCGATTTCTGTGGCGTCTCCGGCGGGAAGGATCTCCAGGTCGGGCTCCAGAGCACAGGCCTCCACCACCTGCTGGTACCAGGGCCCGCTCGCCTCCTGCCCAAACACGATGTTTTCCTTCAGGGTCGAGTTCTGGATCCAGGCCTGCTGTGGGACGTAAGCCACTGAGCCCTATACACAGACACACACACACACACACACACACACACAGACACATACACACAGACACACACACACAGTACTTTAACTGCTTTTACTCAAAAAAAATCATTATTATTATGAGAGCAGAATATTTTTCCCACTTCCAAAACACAATAGGACGACACTGTGTTGAGTTTTCAGTTGAGACCGGCTCAGACTTAAGAATGTAGCTTCATGACTGAGGTGAGGCTGTTATTTGGATCATTTGGAAGAAACCAACAGAAATCATTTTATTATTAAAATTGGCTGACTGATTGTTCACGTATTAGTTTTTAAAGATTGGATTCAATTACAGCCCCCATTCAGCCCCCAACTCTGTGAAACTTTAAAATGAGGTATGTGTCTATATCGGCTGAGCTTCAAACCAAACATGAAAGTCCACAGCAACCATTGAGATCAATAACACGTGCATAATTGTTTGTGATATAACTGCAAAGAATAGTGTTTTTTTCTTTAAGGATTCTACTGGACTTGGGTCACAACAAAAAATAAAATAAAACATAATCAAGAGGATAGCACAATATATTTGAGAGTAATGATAATATATGGAAAGATATCCTCTCAGCTGCTGAAAGGCGGGGTTCCAGTTCTTACTTTGACAGAGACCGTTCCTTCCATCTTGTCCATCTCTCCGAGCAGAGCAGACAGCAGCGAGGACTTCCCTGAGCCCACCAGTCCCACCACAGCCACCAGTGCACCCTCAGGGACCTGCAGATTCAGACTGAACACACACGAAACCGTCACCTCCCCAACACGTCCTCAACAAGTCCAAAGAGCAGTGATCACAACAGACCTTTTCAGAGCGGGCTCCTCGGTTCTGGACCAGCTGAATACTCCCTCAGTGATGGAGATACTGTGAGGACCTGCAGAGAGGACGCACACACACGACACAATCAACACAATCAACACAACACCTGAAACCAACCTGGACTGGTCTGGGAAACAGATGTGATTATAACATGCATTAGTCCAGTCCTCAGGCCTCTGCACTGGCTCCTGTGGCTCAGAGAACAGACTAAAGCAGCTTTGTTTGTTACAAGTCTCTCCATTACCTCACGCTAAAGTACATCTGTGACATGTTAGAGGCCTCCTGCTGGGGCTCTGAGCAGCACAGGGACTGGCCTCCTGCTGGGGCTCTGAGGAGCACAGGGACTGGCCTCCTGCTGGGGCTCTGAGGAGCACAGGGACTGGCCTCCTGCTGGGGCTCTGAGGAGCACAGGGACTGGCCTCCTGCTGGGGCTCTGAGGAGCACAGGGACTGGCCTCCTGCTAAAAATGATAGGATAATGGGTTCCAATATTTTTTTGGGTTTTTTTTTTCTTGAATTTAACCAAAACTGGTAAAGGTAAAGAGGACAGATGATTATAAACTGGTTTTGAAATGTGATAAATATTCTTGTCTCACATTTGAATAAATCTCTGCAACTAAAAAAAGAGAACACAGACACAGAAGCCTCTCTGCTTTTAGTTCTTAAACATTAACTTGTGACCTTGTTAACTATATCCTTCACTGATTCAAAACACTTCTCACACTCAAGCTTTCCCTTTACAAATGAAAAACCATGATGTGTGTAAGATGAGCTCACACGCCAGCGGAGCAGAGTGGTCCACGCTGTCCTCCTGGAGCTCCTCGTGGGACAGGAAGGTCCGCAGCCGCTTCAGAGACACGCTGGCCTGGGACAGAGAGCGCAATCTCAGTATACAAACAGACTCAGTATACATGCAGACTCAGTATACATGCAGACCCAGTATACATGCAGACCCAGTATACATGCAGACCCAGTATACATGCAGACCCAGTATACATGCAGACCCAGTATACATGCAGACCCAGTATACATGCAGACCCAGTATACATGCAGACTCAGTATACATGCAGACTCAGTATACATGCAGACTCAGTATACATGCAGACTCAGTATACATGCAGACTCAGTATACATGCAGACTCAGTATACATGCAGACTCAGTATACATGCAGACTCAGTATACATGCAGACTCAGTATACATGCAGACTCAGTATACATGCAGACTCAGTATACATGCAGACTCAGACCTCTCTTGTCTCAGTATACATGCAGACTCAGACCTCTCTGTCTCAGTATACATGCAGACTCAGACCTCTCTTGTCTCAGTATACTTACAGACCCAGACCTCTCTGTCTCAGTATACATGCAGACCCAGACCTCTCCGGTCTCAGTATACATACAGACTCAGACCTCACTTGTCTCAGTATACATGCAGACTCAGACCTCTCTGTCTCAGTATACATGCAGACCCAGACCTCTCCTGTCTCAGTATACATGCAGACTCAGACCTCTCTTGTCTCAGTATACATGCAGACTCAGTCCTCTCTTGTCTCAGTATACATGCAGACTCAGTCCTCTCTTGTCTCAGTATACATGAATATAGTTTGACAGGTACCTGCACCATGCTACTGATGACCATGGGCAGCATGTTGAGGGGGAAGCGCAGGATGTTGAACAGAGCCAGGGACACGAAGGCCTTCTGAGCATCCAGGACGTTGTGCTCGTCAATCAGCACGTACACGCAGAACGTGGACAGCGCCACCTACAGAAGCCACAAAAACCAATCAGCAAACAATCAGTAATAATATTCTCTGCAATCCATCCATGAAGCTCCTAAACATGCACCATGTTTTTGTGCTTTTAAAAAATGACCACAGTATTGATCCAAGTCATTGATGCAAAAATAGTATTATCTCCTTTTGTCTTTCACTTAACGGCTTTAGAGGGTCATAGTCTAAGGCAGGGGTGTCCAAACATTTAAGTAAGAGGGCCACTTTAGTTCACCAGGCAACATTGGGGCCGATATGACCGATTGAAAACCTAAACAGGCTTTAAAATGATCCATACAAATAAAGTCAACAACTGAATTCCAGACTTTCTGGGCTTTAGAACTAGGTCTATATGGCTGAGCTGAAGTTGGATGGATGACACAGTGAACTTGTGTTTATGATCTAAAAGACTACTTTGGGATAGCAAGGGGATGGAAAAATGCTCACTCCCAATTCCACATTCATCTATTTACTTTTGACAGAAATTTCAAAATCAATCTACAAAAAATATTTCTGGACTATATAAAAGGCTACTTTTTTCTAGTTCTTTTGATCCCGCAACTTATATAGCAACATGGCAGCAAACTTCTGGGAATGGAGTTTGCATGTTCTCCTTGTGTCTCCAGGTGCTCCGGTTATATCTGGAGATGGGTTCCCGGGCGCTGTTACTACGGCGACCACTGCTCTGACAGTAGGGGTGTGACGATATATCGCGATACTTTCTCCCGCGATTCGATTATCGATATGCATTTGCCAAGTATCAAAATCGATAAAAAAAAAAAAAAGAATGTTTTTTTTTTTTTTTTTTATAATTTTTTGTTTTTTAAAATTGGTATCAATACTTAATATATTGCTACATTACGCATCTCCATTTCATTCATCATGAAATAAAGTGTAGTTTTTCTTTTATTTATGCCATAAATTGGCATATTGTATATTTCTGAACAATATATCGATAAACGTCATATCGTGATAAAATCGTTATTGTGAGCTTTGTATCGTGTATCGTATCGTATCGTATCGTGAGGTACCCTTAGGTTCCCACCCCTATACAACATGGCGACCACTGCTCCTGACAGAGGCCCTAGTGGCATCAGGGTCAAATGTAGAGGACAAGTTCCCTACGGGGATAATTAAAGTGCACATTTACATTAACGTTTATGGACTTATCATTTTGACTCGTAATTAAATCATGTGTCCAGTTAAAAGTCGTCTCTCTGCTACATTACAACATGAGAACCTGCAGCTTCCATTCAACTGTGGCCTATACGTGGACAAAATGGATTTTCTTTTAAAACGTAGGCGGCGCGGCTTATATACAGGTGCGCCTTATAGTCCAGAAAGTATGCTACACAACTGAGTCTAGTGATCTAGAACTGATTTATTTAACTCGCCCCGAGTTTAAGCCGCAGACAATACAAACCGGGAATGAAACCTAACAACAATGTACTGTGAGAACCATTGCGCCGATGAATGTAGAACTATCTTACTTCTTTGTGCACTTTTATCTGACCAGAAACAACCTTTTTCAATCAGAGAGCTACTTTTATGCAACAAAAGAGGCAGAGAGCTACTCCTTTTTGAAGTAGTAATAAAAAAACTATAATAATCACGACAAAACAGAGAGAATAGATGTAAAAAAAATACTATAATACTGTATAACCCTTTATTTAAACTTATAATAGATATGCAATAACTCAAAATGAATTCATTCAAGATCATTTGTTAAATTCTATATCCTTTGGGGAGCTACCTGAAAGGGGCTGGCGAGCTACTGTTAGCTCCTGAGCCACAGGTTGGAGGCCGCTGCAGTAGTGAGTGATGCAAACTAACAGTAATGACATGTTACAGAACAGAGGAGGAGACTGTGGAGAAAACATCCTGAAAGACCAGTCCATCAACAGCACTTTTAGATTTAATTAAACTGAAATCCCGGCTCCAGTTACAAAACATGAGCGCTGGGAGTGTCCGTGTGTGAGAGCAGATCCCGTTTCACCCTGTTCAGCTCAAACGCTCGTGGACTTTGAGCGGTTTCCGGACACTGAGCAGATGTTTGGTCTCAGTCAGTTTTATCAAAGTTTCACACTCAGAGCAGTTTTTATAAGACAAAGGGACGATTTTTGCCCGACTGAAAGAGGACCTGTTTAACTTGTTTTAGCTCATCATTGAGATTCCATAAGCCAGAATAAGACTAGAGTAAAGACTGATCGCATAAGAGTACAGCACTTACACTGGAAAAAAATCTCTTGGAAAAAGAAAGTAAAAGAAAAAATAAGTAAAATACTGCTTAAAATAAGAAGAAATATCTACCATGGAACAAGGAAATGACGTGACAAGATTTCGGAAAATAAGAATATAATAAAACTCCAAATGACTTCTAGTGTAAAAACATACATAATATTTACTCATTTCTAAAAAAAAAAATTATGTTTTAGCATAACAAACATGTTTTACATAAACAACAAGAAAAGTCGTCAGGAAATCAGAAAAAATACTTCGAACATGAATCAAAAACTCGCTGCTCAGACTTTTTTCTCTAAGATTATGAAGTATTATTATCTTAAAACTAGTAAAATAATCTTAAGCGACAAACTACATTCAAGCTAAAGAACTTGCCATTCAAAAAATAAGCAGAATTTATATTATTTTTTGTAAATAGAGGCAACAGTGGCTCAGTTGGTAGAGCATTGGCCTTTGGGCCTGAAGGTCGTGGGTTGGAGTCCACCGCGAGACCTTCTCCACCGACTCCCACTGATGACTGCTGTCGTTGTGTCCTTGGGCAAGACACTTAACCCACTTGGACTATAAAGGAGCCTGGAAGTGATGTCCGCTGCATGCCTTTATGTGTGTCTGTGTATTCATCAAACTGAAATTTCCCCACTGAGGGACTAATAAAGTAGCCTGGCTCTGCCAGACCCTTGTAGTTCCATCATGCTCCACCAGAGGCGTTTGGCTGAACCACATGGGTCTGGTATCGAGCCCATAGCAAACGCCTTCCCCAGATTATTTTTTAATCGACCAATCAGGATTGCCGGTGTTACGTGGGGTTTGCACTGCTTTCTCAAGCTTCTCTCATGCAGCAGCGAGAGGAATCCAAGATGGCGGACGTAAAGTCCGCAAATCTTTTTAAAAGAGTAAATACGATCGAATTAAGACACGGATGTCACTTTTAATGCCATTTGAGGCGAGATGTTGATGGTTCTATGTTGATATATGTGTGTTTTAAGAGTCAAATGTTCCTGTAAAGTTTGGTTGGATCACTGGTTCAGTGTTCCTGTTTACACACTATGCAGCAGGGTTGCCAGGTTTGGTGGTTCCCGCATATTTTTTTCCAAGAGACTTGTAGGTATTAAATAAACAGAAAGACAATAAACAGAATCATGATAGCCCAAGTTGATTACATTAAATTTTAGCCAAAAAATCCTTCTGAGTGTTTTTTTTTTGTGGGTATTCTCGCGGATTTTGGGTTGGAAAATCTTGCTGGGATTTGGCAACCTATGGGAGCCGTGTGCTTCGATGTGAGTGGTTAAAAGCAGACTTCATTCAAGATAACGGACAAGTGGTCTATCCAATCACATACAAGGATTTTTTTTTACAAGGCCCTGCCTTCTGAAATCCAACCACTATGGCTCAGTACCAGACTCATGTGTGAAGTGCAGCGAACTACATGGGTCTGGCGAGAGTCAGGCTACTAATAAAGGGCCTTCTTCTAAAAAAATAGAAATAAATCTTACCAAGATTTTCCTTGTTTCAGTGGATCTAATGTGCTCAGAATGCACTTGGGGCATCTGGACCAAAGTGGCCCATGTGGTAGATTGAGAATAGTCTGGTGTTTTCCAGTGTGTTCAGTCTCTCACCAGGAAAGGCGCGCACACCCAGGTAAAGGTGGACATGGCTCCCAGGTAAGCAGCCTTCTTTAGCACCTGGAGCTCGCTCTGGCGGATCTCAGACACTTTGTCCTGGAAGGCCAACTCCCAGGCGTAGAGCTTCAGCACTTTGATGCCGTTCAGCATCTCGTTCATCAGCTTGATGCGGTTGTCTTTGCTCTTCATCTGTGCCACCTGCATCACGGAGGGAAATGAGGACAGGTCTGAAGCAAACACCTGTAAGACCATGACAATGCTTTCTTTATCTGTACCTGGTAGGTTTTGGTTTTCATGGCGATAAAGGCATTGATAGGAACCATCAGGAGCATGACAGCCACACCAGCCAGCACGGACGGCCCCAGAGTCTGCAGAGAAAACATCAGCATCAACATCATTACACTTTGTCCAGTTCATTATTTAGCTTTTTATTAGTCTAAAAATACTTGCAATATTTTCTAAACCAAGCTCTTAGAATAATCAATTACTTCTGGCCCCTGGAAAAGCCATGTTCCAGCTTCTTCCCTCTGGCAGAAGTTATCATTTGCTGCTTTTTCCACAGGCTGTAATCAGTGTCTTTGTATTGAAACTGTTAAAGTCGATTGATTTGTGTCAATTGTTTCCAGTTATGTTTGTTTTATTTCAGTATTTTTAACCTTGTTTTATTTATGTACTTGTGTGGTGCACACTGGAGACTTTTGCGGATGTATTCCAGTTTGGTTTTACGGCAAATGACAAAGTGAATGTGTATTGGCAACAATGTTGATATGTATTATTGTGGCGGTGACAGCAGAGGGCTGATAACAGAAGTCGTACCTTCCAGAGGAAGTACAAAGCCAGCACCACCTGCAGAGGAGCAGACCAGATCATGTTGATGTAAGTGATGAGGTCCATGAAGCGCTGGGCGTCCACTGACATCAGGTTGACAATTTCTCCCACTGTCGAGGAGCGGCGCGCAGCATTGCTGATCACCAGGGCCTGTGCACACCATGGTTTAGAGAGATTCAACGTTTAGTGCTGTATCGTGATAATGCATCGGTTTATACAGCGCTTCTTTGGACACGGGAAGTGCTTCACGTGTCACTTTCACTTCGCACACAGTGGGGATTCTAAGTTGAGTAAAGTGTCTAGCCTAAGAAGACAACAACAGTTTGACATTTTAGTCGCCCCACTGTAGCACCTGGTGTTCCTATAGGTCTCACATCACAGTAATAACCAGGCCCTGCCCTGCTTAGCTTCAGAGGCCACAGCACATTAATTCATTGTGTTTTGATATTTATTTTATCCTTTTTCAGAACAAGGACATAATAAAAAACTTAGCTGAGCAACATTGTTCCTCATCAAAAACATTCCTTTGTGTTTCATCTTCAGCTCTAACCGCTCTTTGTCCTCATCTCTCTACACTCTATGGTTTGGAGTGGAGTTACTAAGTGTCTTTTCTACACACTGACTGCATTTCAAGTTGTAAAGTTATGTTAAGAATGTCCTTTACGCAACCCACACAAAAGGCTATGCAAGGGGCTGACTTCAGATACAGGCGCCCTTTCTAGAATCCTGGAGCATGCACCGCACGGAGCAGCAATGAGGCGACAGTTTTCAGTCAAAATACATGGTAAATTGCTGGTTCTAATGGTGGTCTTTCATGACAAGACCACCTCCTCCTGTCCACAACACATGAAACATTAGAAGGAGGGCTGGCAGGTTTGAGATTCTGGACAGTTTTAATTTCCTAAAGTCTCACGTCAGCCCAAAGCAGCCACAGACCATGAGGACAAACACACATCTGGTCCACTACACTTCTCCATCGACTTCTTTGGGGCAAAAGTACCTGTGCCTAAGCACACTGTGAGACAACTGTGTGTGTAGGGACAGAGCGAGGTGGTCCTTACCTTCCTGTAGACTGCCCCAATGATGGTGGTGCGTACGCGCATGCCCGACACGAAGCAGACGTGGAAGTACTGCTGCAGAATGAGTGACTGCACACAGTTGCACACAAACAGCAGAGCAGTGTAGAAGAAGCCGTGCCAGAACGGGCTGTTGGAGTTGTTGATGAAGCTGATCAGGAGCCTGCACAAAACACACACAAGCAAAACATGATTACATCAAGTTTCAGAAGTTATTTATGTTAGACCGGGTTCTAGAGCACTGCAGTACTCATGAGAAAAGTCCTGATGTGAATGGTCCTGGGCTGGTTCAGAGGGTTTGTGGGTTGGTCCCTGTTCTGTGTCTGTGAATTTGGTTCTATTTCATCCTTCCTGACCGCCAGAGGCGGTGCTTTAAGCACTGAATGATCATCTTTGAGCATGCGCAGTTCGAGAATTAAATGACAACAAAGTCACTTGTGACCTCCTCGTGACCCCCGTGAGTCTATATAGGTCACGTGACACGAGAGCCCAGCCTCTTTTCTTCTTCTCGCAGCGCAGGTTTGAGTTGTGCGTGTGTGTTTGAGCGTTTGTGCTACCTACCTACCACATACGTCCTGCTTGCACATCAGCTCCGTGACTCGCGTCGAGGCAGCGGGTGGATCTCGCCCCTCAGGGGCTGTGCAAGCTCCGCCGGCTCACCGGTGAGTTCTGTCCACGTGTGTGCGTGTGATTTTTAGTTTAAGCTTTCCGTTTTCGGAGTGAGCTGACGTTTGATGTCCACGGTTATACTGTTCGTTTTCTGTTCAGTTTGTGTTTATGCTCTGTTTGGCCGGTGTTAATTGAGTCGTGTGTGTGGCGTTGCCTGCCCCGACCACGTTGTGTTTGTGTGTACATTTTCGTCTAGTCTCCTGTTTTCAGTGTGTACTAGCGTTTTGTTTCATCTATCAACAGTTATACTGTTCGTCCTCTGTTCAGTGTGTTACTTTTGCTCTGTTTGGGGAGCCGTGGGTGGTGTCCTCTGCCACACCTGGCTCTTTACTCAGCCCACGTTGGGTGCGTGTGTGCATTATTTCGTCTAGTCTTCTGTTTTCAGTTTGTACTAGCGTATTTTTATATCAGCAGTTATACTGTTCGATTTCTGTTCAGTTTGTTGATATTGCTCTGGTTGTGGAGGCGAGTGTGGCGTTCTCTGCCCCACCGGACTCTTTCGTTGGCCCACATTGTGTGTTTGTACACTTTCGTTGGCTCTTCTGTTTTCAGTTTATGCTAACATTAGTTTTTCTTTACCAACAGTAAGACTGTTCGCCCTCTGTTCGGTTGTTTGGTTTTCTCTCTGTGCTTGAGTCGTCTGTGGCGTTTTCAGCTCGACCCGACTCTGCTTACATTGCTCCACCAGTTCAGGCGCGCTCGTTATGCACGAGTCGCTGGGCTGTCGTGGGTGCATGGCACCGATGCCCCGCGAGGATGGCCATGACCTCTGCCCTGCGTGCCTGGGTATCGGGCATTTGAGACAGGGCCTGACGGTGGACGCCTGCTCCAATTGTGCGGTACTGCCACTCTCTGTACGCGTGGAGCGCCTGGCGGCCCTGGATCCGGATGAGGGCTCTTCGGAGGTGCCGCCCTGCCTGCCACCTGCTGCCCAGCCCTCTGGGTCTAAGCGTGCGGCTGTGTCCACTGCTTCCTCGGCTCCGCAGAGGAAGCGTAGGGTGCCTGCAGGGTTGTCTGCACGGATGGACCACCTTGCGTCCGAGATGGCCCAAATGAAGGCACTTCTGCAGGATGTTCGCCCGGTTTCGGGGGAACATGTGCTGGGCCCTCCTGTGCCGGACCTGGCCCCGTTGTGGGAGGACGATGTGATGTCTGTGGCTGCATCTGACACTCATTTTCGTCTTGACCCTGAGGAGGTTGATTCCAGGGCCTCTGACGCTGGTTCCTTGGCGTCCACGGGGTGCCTGGACGGAGAGGAGAGTGGGGCGTTCTCTGCCGTCCGCTCTGCACTCGCCCACTTGGGGCTTGATGTCCCGCAGGGAACTGTGCCGTCTGGTAGCGCCTTCTTTAAGCGACAGCGGCCCCTTCCCTCTGTCTCTGTGCCTCCTTCGATGGAGTACGTGAAGGAGTTACATGCATGCTGGACGGATACAAAGGCTATGTCCAGACTGACGTCCGATGGCCGGGCTTTGGCTTCAATGCAGGATGCCCCCAAATTTGGCTTGGGCCACATGCCGCCCGTCGAGCCGGCAGTGGCCTCCTTGATTGTTTCGCCGGAGGAGGCCCTCCGGTCTGATCCGAGGTGCCCTAACCCCCAGTGTCGCCTCACAGATGAGCTGCTGTGTTGGGCGTACGATACTGGGGCGCGAATGGGGCGCATGGGGAACTCTCTTTCCCATTTGTTACTGGGCCTTTCGAACGCACTGGAGGTTTCTACAGTCGATGCCCCGACCCAGGGACTGTTGGATGCATCCCTCCACGCTTTTGCCCTTATGTCGCGGGAACTGGGCCGCCTGCTGTCGACCCTGACTCAGACACGTCGGCAGGTGTGGTTGGCACAGTCACCCCTCACTGAGCCCTGTAGGAGGACTCTCCGGAGTGTTCCGGTGCTTCCGGGGGAGCTCTTTGGTGCGGCTGCGCTTCAGGCGCTGGAGCGCACGGCGCAGGCCACCCGGACGCGTGACCAGCTGGTTGGGCTGCACCGGCGGGCCTCTCCACGGGTTGCCCCTCCTGCTGCTACTCCGCGGGTGTATGGTGTTCCACAGCCCTTTCCTAGGGGTTCGCGGCCACCAGGTGTCCCTCCGCCTGACCATAGGGGATTTCGGCCTTCTACCCGGCGGCCTCCCCAGAACGCACGGACTCTCGGGCGCCCCCCCGGGGTCTCCAGGCCACGGGGGGCTCGGAGATGAGGTCAGGCCGCTGACGGTGGGTTCTTTTACCCGGGAGCAGTTGGACTACTGGACCGCTCACACCTCAGACCTCTGGGTGTTGGGCACGCTCTCCCGGGGGTACACTCTCCAGTTCCATCGTCGGCCTGCGGTCCCTGGCCCCGTCAGGTGGACTGTGATCCACGACCGGGCCAGGACACTGGCACTGTCCGTAGAGATTGCCACCTTGCTGGACAAGGAGGCTATAGTGCCTGTGGACCCCCTGCTGGACCCAGGGGGCTTTTATTCGATTTATTTTCTAGTTCCGAAGAAAACTGGCGACTTGCGTCCGGTTTTGGACCTTCGGGGCCTCAATGTGTTCCTCAAGACGATATCGTTTCGGATGTTGAGGACCCCGGAGCTGTTGCAGGCAATATCTCCGGGCGATTGGTTCACATCCATCGACCTGAAGGATGCTTATTTTCACGTGCCGATTGCCCCGCATCACCAGCGGTTTCTGCGTTTTGCTTTCCGGGGGCGGCATTATCAATTTCGGGTGCTCCCCTTCGGGCTGTCCCTGTCCCCCAGGGTCTTTTCCCGGGTCGTTGCGGCGGCCTTGGCCCCTTTTCAGGCAGGGGGGTTGAGGGTCCTGCCTTATCTGGACGACTGGCTCGTGTGCGCCTCCAGTCGTGCCCAGGCCGTTCGGGACACTCAGACTGTCCTCGACCACGTTGGCCGTTTGGGTCTGCGGGTCAATGTTGCCAAGAGCAATTTGGTTCCGGCTCAGGCAACGACTCTCCTGGGGGTGTACCTAGATTCGGTTGCCATGACCGCCCGTCCGTCGGCTCTGCGGGTCGATGGCATTGTGGACATGCTCCACAGATTTCAACGGGGTCGGGCGTTGCCGTTCCTGCTGTACCTCAGCCTCTTGGGGAAGTTGACGGTGGCCTCTGCCGTTGTGCCGCTGGGCCTTCTCTCCCTTCGTCCCATGCAGATGTGGCTGAACGGATTACGTTTAGATCCGTCACGCTTCGTTCACAGGCGACGCAGACTCCTGCTCTCGCCGCAGTGCCTGGAGTCCCTATCCTGTTGGCGGGACAGGTCTTGGATCGAGAGTGGTGTCCCACTGGGCTCTCTTCCGTCTCGGAGGGAGGTGGTGCACACCGATGCGTCCCTCACTGGTTGGGGGGCGACGTGGCAGGGCAGGATGGCACAGGGGACTTGGTCTCCAGAGGTCCGCCGGCTGCATGTGAATGCCCTGGAGCTCATGGCGGTCCGCCTTGCTCTCGCGCACTTCCTCCCACGACTGCGTGGCCGGCATGTCATGGTGCGGTCCGACAACACCACGGTGGTGCATCACGTCAACCACCTGGGGGGTACCCGGTCCGTGACGCTGTTGCGGTTGACCCGGGAGCTACTGCTGTGGGCAGCCCCTCGCTTGGCAAGCTTGAGGGCCTCCTACATTCCGGGGGTGCACAATGTGGTGGCGGACCTTCTGTCCCGCCAACGCCCCCAGCCCGGGGAGTGGCGTCTCCACCCGGAGGTGGTGGCCAGCATTTGGACTATGTTTGGCCGGGCCGAGGTGGACCTGTATGCGTCGGAGGCGTCGACCCACTGCCCGCTGTGGTTTTCCCTGACGGACGTGGCTTGCCCTCTGGGCCTGGATGCGCTGGCGCACGATTGGCCCAGTACGCTGCTCTACGCTTTCCCTCCTCTGCCACTGATTTTCCCAACCCTCCTGAGAGTTCTCCAGGAAGGGCACCACCTTCTCCTGGTAGCTCCGTTCTGGCCGGGCCGGATCTGGTTTCCATTGCTGCACAGGCTCTGCTGCGGCTCTCAGAGACCGCTGCCCCGACGGCGGGATCTCCTGTCCCAGCTGGGGGGGAGGCTCCTGCACCCCAGTCCCGAGCGGCTTCAGCTCTGGGTGTGGCCACTGCGGGGTCCAGTGCAATTGTCCCGAGGTATGGTGAGGGGGTCGCCCACACCATCTCCAATGCCAGGGCGCCTTCCACTCGACGACAGTACGCCAACCGATGGAAGCTGTTTGACAAGTGGTGTCTGACGTGGGGACATGATGCTGTGCGTTGCCCGGTGCCTGCCATTCTGCAGTTCCTCCAGGATCTCATGGACCGGGGGCGCTCTCCCTCTACACTCAAGGTATATGTGGCGGCAATATCTTGTTTTCATGAGGGTGTGGCCGGTTCTACGGTGGGGAGTAACGGGGATGTTTCCCTGTTCCTGAAGGGTGCTCGCCGTCTTCATCCCCCGCGACGGCCCATGGTTCCACCCTGGGACCTGACGTTGGTTCTGGAGGCGTTGCGGGCTCCCCCGTTTGAGCCCCTGGATCGTGTGGACCTGAAGTGGGTCTCCCTTAAGACCGCTTTTCTTCTGGCTATGGCCTCGGGTAAGCGTGTGAGTGAACTGCAGGCTCTGTCGTTTCACGAGTCCTGCTGCCGATGGGATCCCAATGGTCTGGGGGTTACGCTTTGGCCGGATGCTTCCTTCCGCCCAAAGGTGTTCACTGGTGCGGTCCTTCCACTTAGTTTGGCCCGGTTTGGTACTGGGGCCTCTGTAGAACCGCTTTGTCCTGTCAGGGCATTGGAGGTTTACCGAACTGCCACAGCCAGTGTGCGGGGGTCGGATCGCCTCTTCGTGTGCTATGCCGGCCCCAGGAAGGGCCAGGCTCTGTCGTCCCAGCGCCTCTCCAAGTGGGTTGTCGAGGTGATCAGACAGTGCTACCTCTCCCATGGGCGCCAGCTGCCTGCTGGGGTGAGGGGTCATTCGACCAGGGGCGTCTCTGCCTCCTGGGCTGCTATGAGCGGTGTGCCTCTGGACGCCGTCTGTGCGGCCGCCTCCTGGACGTCGCAGTCTACCTTCGCGACGTACTACAGGGTCAATGTGGCGGTCCCTGGTCCGCTGGAGGGGGTGCTGCGGCACCATTCGACGTTATGAGGTGGGTGTGTACCTCTCGTTGACCCCTCGGGACCTTGTTGGTATTTGTCATCCAGTGCTTAAAGCACCGCCTCTGGCGGTCAGGAAGGATGAAATAGAACGAAAGTTACGACTGTAACTACGGTTCTATGAATCCTGGATGACCGCCAGAGCGTCCAGTCCCTCAGGGCCACGGTCTGCTTGCGAGGTGAAAAGGGGCTGGGCTCTCGTGTCACGTGACCTATATAGACTCACGGGGGTCACGAGGAGGTCACAAGTGACTTTGTTGTCATTTAATTCTCGAACTGCGCATGCTCAAAGATGATCATTCAGTGCTTAAAGCACCGCCTCTGGCGGTCATCCAGATTCATAGAACCGTAGTTACAGTCGTAACTTTCGTTTTACATCCTCATTTACTTAGTTTGAGTAAGGGCTAAAAACCGAAAGGAAATTGCTGAACAGAGCACCAGTAACCCAGCGAGGGAAAACCATAGTTCTGATGGTGAGGTTGGCGTCCCATGAGACAGGTGTTCTCAGACTTCTACAGTCATCGTGGTGACATGAGCTGATCCTCAGAGCCCTCTGCAGACTGCAGGTCATGCTGCTGTTTGTACAGAGTCTCCTTTTGCAGCTAATGAAGCACTGTGTGGAACAGCTACAGTTGTGCTCACAACATTTTTAGAGTGAAAATGTTCTCACCAACACTTTGTGGGGCAGGCAGAACCCTTTGGAAACACATTAAAACTAATTGGGGTGTTTCTGTTAGCATTAGGATTGTAAAAGTTGACATACCCTGGTGAGTCAACAAAAACGACTCAGGATAAAAGGTAAACTTACTCCTCTCCAATAAAACGTCACCCACTGACAATGACTGACAATATGAAACCAAACATGCCAGGAATGCCAATGAAGGAGCACTAAAGTACGTGCACTCCTCCAACCGCTCCTTATTCATTTATTTTGTCGTGTGCAAAGAAAGAACTTATTTCTTCATTCTCTTTGAGCCGATAGTCCCCGCCCACCTGCCCCCCTCGCCCCCTCACCCCCTCACGTGGTGCACCCAGAGACCCTTCTCCTGTGATCAAATTCAAACACTGACTTTCCTGGCATGTTTGTACTGCACACAGCAGGAGACAAATCCTCCCTGTGCTATGTGCGTTTGGAAAGGGCTGGAGAGAATAGAGAACAGGCTCATTCTCAGCCCTCATCCTGGAATTTTAACAACGTTTTCCCACAACCCAATAACAAATGTAAATGTACCACTCTGCTCATGGTCCATTCAGAAAGATCCATTTTATGACATAGTTAAGACATAGTTGCAGCGTGAACACAGGGAGCTGGGTGGTACCACTGGGACATAGAAACTGGTAATGGAGACTACTGTAGTTCCAGGTGAAAATGTACCGGAAAACTTGCCCGTAGTAGTGGACTCACGATTATCACACTTCGTAAAGTCCTCCGAGACGACTGCTGTTGTGATTTAGGACGATACAACAATACATTGATTTTAATTTACTATGAACATGTTTAGCTCCTTTCTGGACGCACAGATGGGTCATACATGTGGAAACACAAAGCTTCCATATTTCTGCTAGAGGAGCTGCACAAGATAAGAGGAGCGTGTGTGTCCCTCTGCTCTAGATTAGACGACAGGAGTGAAAGTGGGCCTCCTCACCGCAGGATCTCTGGTCCAACAAACATAAGCACGTCATGAAGGATCTTGTAGAAGCAGGAGATGAGGAAGTACGGGCCGAAGGTGAAGCAGAGCGCCCACAGCAGCGACGGCTCCTTGCCCTGCGGCGGGGGCTTCACGATCAGGATCTCGGCCTCCTCTGTGGCAGACTCTCTTTTGGCTTCGTTCTCTGGAGCTTTCTTTGGAGAGTACGTGTACTTGGTGTGATGATCGGCCTGGGACTCAGGGGAACGCCTGAGAAAAGCAGAACAAATGTATAAGTTAGTAATGCACCATGGCGCAGTGGTGAACACTTGTGCGTCGCAAATACAGTGCCTTGCGAAAGTATTGAACCTTTCAACATTTCGCCACATTTCAGGCTTCAAACATAAAGATATAAAAATTAAATTTTTTGTAAAGAATCAACAACAAGTGGGACACAATCGTGAAGTGGAACGAAATGTATTGGATAATTTAAACTTTGACAAATAAAAAACTGAAAGTGGGGCGTGCAATATTATTCGGCCCCCTTGCGCTAATACTTTGTAGCAAGCAAGCAAGCAAAGCAAGCAAAGTTTATTTATATAGCACCTTTCTCAGACAGAAGGTCACAAAGTGCTTCACATCAAAAACAAGCAATAATTAAAAACACAAGAAAAAATTACACAATCAAACAACAGTGGAGACAGTCATATCAGCCCATAAAACCGTACTTTCAAAACGCTCGACTGAACAAGAACGTCTTTAGTTGGGATTTAAATGTATCAACAGAGTCAAGTGATCGTAGAGAGAGCGGGAGATCGTTCCAGAGTCTAGGTGCGACAGCCTGGAAGGATCGGTCTCCTCTGGTTCGATAACGAGTGCGAGGAACCATCAAGAGATTTTTATCTGCAGACCTCAGAGAACGAGAGGGGACATAGGGCTGAATCAGATCTCTGATGTAAGAAGGCGTCTGACCATATAAGGATCTAAAAGTCAGCACCAAGATTTTAAATTGAAACCGGTAAGACACCGGCAGCCAGTGGAGGGCTTTAAGAATTGGGGTAATATGAGCCCTTCTATTAGTGCAAGTTAAAATCCTCGCTGCAGAGTTTTGAACCATTTGGAGACGAGACAGCTCTTTTTTGTTTAGACACGAAAATAAACTGTTGCAATAGTCTAAACGTGACGACACAAAAGCATGAATAATGAGCTCCAAATCATTACGTGACACAATTTTCCTCAGTTTAGAGATGTTCCTCAACTGAAAGAAACAATTTCTACTAAGCTGTTTAGAGTGGTGATCTAATGACATGTTTTTGTCAAAAATCACACCAAGGTTCCTGAGACTCTGTGCAGCGGACTGACTGAGATCTCCCAAATACTGGTTTATCCCTGGGATAAGGTCATCAGGAGCAATCACAAGGGTTTCTGTTTTATCAGCATTAAGCTGCAGAGAATTTTTACTTAACCATAGTTTTATATTTTTCAAACAGTTGACTAAAGAGTTCAGCCTTCCCATCTCAGAAGGCTTAAAAGAACAGTACAACTGGATATCGTCAGCAAACAGGTGATAAGAAACATCAGCGAACTCCTGAATGACCTTTCCCAATGGAATTATATAAAGTAGAAATAGAACCGGACCCAAAACAGAGCCCTGCGGAACACCACAGAATAATTTAGCTGAATCAGACATGATTTGATTTGCTGCAACACTAAAACTCCGACCAGATAAGTAAGAGGAAAACCAATTTAGAACTGGCCCCGACAGTCCAACCAAGCCACTCAATCTGTTTAGCATTATGTGGTGGTCGACGGTATCAAACGCTGAGGACAGGTCAAGCAGAACAAGAACAGAGCATTTTCCAGAGTCAGCAGACATCATTATGTCACTGGATACTTTCAACAATGCTGTTTCCGTGGAGTGATGTTTTCGGAAACCAGATTGGAAAGTGTCATGAATGTTATGATGATCCAGGTAGCACGACAATTGTTTTGAGACCACCTTCTCTAAGATCTTGGACAGGAAAGGGAGTTTGGAGATAGGTCTGTAATTTTTTGGGTCCGCTTTGTCCAGATTTGTCCTTTTAAGTAATGGCTCTACTATGGCATGTTTAAATGAAACTGGAAACACGCCACTTGAAAGGGAAAGATTTATCATTTTAGTGACCCAAGGGCCAATTACATCAAGTACTTTTATCAAAAGTCTGCAAGGAAGGACATCAGAAAAACAAGAGGATGGTTTCATCTTCGTGATCAATGTTTCAATCTCTGTTTCAGTAACAGGCTTAAAGGAAGTCCAACTGTGTGGTACAGGCTCAGTAGCAACAGAACTGTCACACAAAAGTGGTGGAAATTGGTCTTTTATGACCTTTATCTTGTCAATAAAAACCCTAAGGAATTTATTGCTGTCAGCTTTACAGGAGACCGGTGTAATAGCCGCAGCAGGACACACAATAGAATTTATAGTATCAAACAATGCCTTAGGGGTTTTCTTATTCACAATTATCAGCTGACAAAAATAGTCAGAGCGGGCCTTTTCCATCATTTCATTAAAAGAGGAAATAAGATCCCTGAGATGTAACCTGTGAACTTCAAGATTTGTCGTTTTCCACAAACGTTCCGTTTTGCGACACAATCTCTTTAGATTTTGGATTCTCTCATTTATCCAAGGAAAAGCTTTTTTTTGTGTTGGCGACATTGATTTTATAGGGGCCACCTGATCTAAGATTGGCATGCAGTGACCATTAAAACAATCAATTAAACTGTCCACATCAAGACAATCCATAAACAAGTGAGGATCAAACATATTTGAAAAACTGTCAGCTGTGGTTGCAGCAATAATGCGTCTCTGTGATTTGGTTTCTGAGGTCACAGACTCGGGAGTAATATTACAGTCAAACAGAACACAACTGTGATCACTTATGTGGACATCCTCCACACTCAAGTTTGTAATATCCAGGCCTAGGGAAAAAACTAGGTCTAGAGTGTGTCCCCTCTGATGAGTGGGGACAGACACATGCTTCTCAAAGTTAAAAGTTTCAGTCAATGTTAAAAGATCAATTGCAGGGCAAGATATGCTGTTATCCACATGAATATTAAAATCTCCAAGGATTAAAACATTTTCCAACTTTATTATAGAGGACAGAAAATCACTAAAATCACTTAAAAAGGCAGCTGCTGGGCCAGGGGGGCGATAGACCAAGACACAATAACATGCACTGGATGAACCAACCTTGATCATCAGTGATTCAAAGGAGGAGAATGATTGACACTTGATAGTTTTGCAGGTGTAGCTGTCCCGGTACACCACAGCAAGTCCTCCTCCACGACGACAGGGGCGGGGCATCCCAAAAACGGAGCAGCCAGCTGGGCAGAGTTCATTCAGATGAATGAACTCCTCCTCCCTCTGCCAAGTCTCAGTAAAAAACATTAGATCCAATTTTTGGCAAGTAAAAAGATCATTTAATGCAAAGGACTTGTTGGCGATTGAGCGGACGTTCAACAAGCCGAGCCGAAAAATCGATGACGTCGCGGCCGCAGATTCACCTGAGCCCAGCGTAATTGGTCGAAGGCACGACACGCAGTCACGTGACTTCCAGCTGGACCGTGAGGACAGATGCTGGTCGGCCGATGTAAACACGGAAGTACATGATGGCGATGAAGACCAGCGCTCACATTTCCAGCGCTGTGGAGACTCCAAAACACCAGTACCAAGAGCCTGGGTAAGCGGCAGCATGGAGACGCTGCCGGCATCAAGCAAGGGAATGAGGCGTAAACACCTCGCGCGCTTCCCATGGACGACGAACGACCCCAGACGTGAGGCTTTTCTTCGTTTCACTTGGAGTCCGGAACGACAGCCTCTTTTCTTCGGCCTCCTTCTTTTAGCCGGCGCTCGGCACAGCAACAACAAGTACTCTGGTGAGTCGGGCGTGCAAAGGAAGGGCGGCGGAAAGGTTTGTTTGTACTCCTCCCTATTGCTAAACAGGCCCTCCATGGACTCTCTGATGCGAAACAGAGAGTCACGATCATAGCACTGTACAGCTGAGACACAGTTTTGTGTAAGATGGACTGATATGACTGTGAAAAATGTTGTAATAATCAATAAAATGCGGCATGACAGCAGACGAACAATTGCAGCCACCCTTTGCTGCAATTACAGCTGCAAGTCGCTTGGGGTATGTCTATCAGTGATAGACTGGAATTCTTTCCCATTCTTCCTTGCAAAACAGCTCGAGCTCAGTGAGGTTGGATGGAGAGCGTTTGTGAACAGCAGTCTTCAGCTCTTTCCACAGATTCTCGATTGGATTCAGGTCTGGACTTTGACTTGGCCATTCTAACACCTGGATACGTCTATTTGTGAACCATTCCATTGTAGATTTGGCTTTATGTTTTTGGATCATTGTCCTGTTGGAAGAAATCTCCGTCCCAGTCTCAGGTCTTTTGCAGACTCCAACAGGTTTTCTTCCAGAATGGTCCTGTATTTGGCTCCATCCATCTTCCCATCAATTTTAGCCATCTTCCCTGTCCCTGCTGAAGAAAAGCAGGCCCAAAGCATGATGCTGCCACCACCATGTTTGACAGTGGGGATGGTGTGTTCAGGGTGATGAGCTGTGTTGCTTTTACGCCAAACATATCGTTTTGCATTGTGGCCAAAAAGTTCAATTTTAGTTTCATCTGACCAGAGCACCTTCTTCCACATGTTTGGTGTGTCTCCCAGGTGGCTTGTGGCAAACTTTAAACAAGACTTTTTATGGATATCTTTGAGAAATGGCTTTCTTCTTGCCACTCTTCCATAAAGGCCAGCTTTGTGCAGTGCATGACTGATTGCTGTCCTATGGACAGACTCTCCCACCTCAGCTGTAGTTATCTGCAGTTCATCCAGAGTGATCATGGGCCTCTTGGCTGCATCTCTGATCAGTCTTCTCCTTGTTTGAAATGAAAGTTTGGAGGGACGGCCGGGTCTTGGTAGATTTGCAGTAGGGCTGGGCGATATGGCAAAAAAAAAAAATCTCCGATTTTTTCACACCAAATCCGATTTTCGATTTTAAATCGATTTATTTTTTTCTATTTAAAAACAAACTACAACTGACAAAGAAATAGATTTTCCTTTATGCAGTTTAATCTAAATCCCCATGGAGCATAAGTGTAACAGGAATTAAGCCTTAAAACATGCTTGTAAACGAGATGGCTCTGCCATTGTAAACAGTGAAAATGTAGCTTAACAGTTTTATAATAACTTCACTTACAATGACACTATGCACCTTCAAAATAACTTAAATCACACAAACAAGGCCCATCGCAAATATATCAATCCTATTAAACACATGCATTATTTACATGAAATATCACATTTTTAAAACTGATTACTCAAAATAGAAATGTTGTAACAGACAGTCTTTTCCAAAAGCCTCCTCGGGTTTTCATGCTTGTTCTTTCAACTGTGCCTGAGTAACTGTGCTGTAGTACAACGCTCGGTCCAGCTGGTGACGCTAATACTAACTTCAGTGACTCCCGCATTGTCCGAGCTTCCTGTTTACATTCTGATGCTGTAGCTAACAGCTACTGTAGCAGCTACTGTAGCTAACAGCTACTGTAGCAGCTACTGTAGCTAACAGCTACTGTAGCAGCTACTGTAGCTAACAGCTACTGTAGCAGCTACTGCAGCTAACAGCTACTGTAGCTAACAGCTACTGCAGCTAACAGCTACTGTAGCAGCTACTGCAGCTAACAGCTACTGTAGCTAACAGCTACTGTAGCTAACAGCTACTGTAGCAGCTACTGTAGCTAGCAGCTACTGTAGCTAACAGCTACTGTAGCAGCTACTGTAGCTAACAGCTACTGTAGCAGCTACTGTAGCTAACAGCTACTGTAACAGCTACTGTAGCTAACAGCTACTGTAGCAGCTACTGTAGCTAACAGCTACTGTAGCTAACAGCTACTGTAGCAGCTACTGTAGCTAACAGCTACTGTAGCAGCTACTGTAGCTAACAGACAGCGGGGAACACGTTGTTTGTATCAGAGCAATGAGAGCAATGTGTGAGACGTGTCTTTCCCCAAAGTGCAGCGGCTCAGTGGGACACGAGTGTGTGCGCGCCACGGACACGGGAGTGCGCTTTGGAATAACGAGCGTGAGAGAGCGTGAAAGATGTGGCGTACGAACATGGCGTACGAACATAGCGACCGGAGCCTGCGTGCGTGTGTGTGTGTGTTTTGGCGATTAAATAAAGTCTGATTCTTGAATGTTTGAAGTGTTATTGCAACAGCACCAACTGTGAGAGCGAGCATCAGGCCAGAGGGAGACTGTTAGCATTAGGTTAGCTTCAAAATGACTGCTCAACACCATAGACCCGCGGTTAGCGCGTTAGCGCTGTAGTTCTGCGCTGGAGAAAATAAAAATCGAATTTTTAAAAAAAGAAATCGCCCTAAACGTAAAACTCGAATTAATGATTAAAATCGATTAATCGCCCAGCCCTAATTTGCAGTGGTCTGATACTCCTTCCATTTCAATATAATTGCTTGCACAGTGCTCCTTGAGATGTTTAAAGCTTGGGAAATCTTTTTGTATCCAAATCCGGCTTTAAACTTCTCCACAACAGTATCTCGGACCTGCCTGGTGTGTTCCTTTGTCTTCATGGTTCTCTCTGCGCTTTAAACAGAACCCTGAGACTATCAAAGAGCAGGTGCATTTATACGGAGACTTGATTACACACAGGTGCATTCTATTTATCATCATCAGTCATTTAGGACAACATTGGATCATTCAAAGATCCTCACTGAACTTCTGGAGTGAGTTTGCTGCACTGAAAGTAAGGGGGCCGAATAATATTGCACGCCCCACTTTTCAGTTTTTTATTTGTTAAAAAAGTTTAAATTATCCAATACATTTAGTTCCACTTCACGATTGTGTCCCACTTGTTGTTGATTCATGACAAAAAATTATAATTTTATATCTTTATGTTTGAAGCCTGAAATGTGGAAAAATATTGAAAGGTTCAAGGGTTTGATTTCACATCTAGGACCTTTCTGTGAGTTTCTCAGTCCTCTCCTTCACACAGTGAAGGTGAATAAGTCTGTCACTGAAGCTACTCTCCAGAGCAGATTTCCTGCAGGGGGAGACAGCTGTAGGACACTTGTTTATTATCAGAACAGAAAATCCATGATGTGGGTTGCCAGAACTCACCGCATCAAGCTAATGTCACTGGTAAAGTACCATGTGGCCGCAGAACTAAAAAAGGTCTCGTTGAGAATCATTAATGATTCTCATATCATTAATGACAAAAGAAGGAATAAAACGAGGATTTCTATCTTTGAGAAAAAGGTGAGGATTTTTTGTTGATAAAACTATTCAGCTGTTATGGTCCCAGCTGGATTCGTCTGCATATCTGGCAAGCTGAGTCAGAGAGAGTGGGAGAGGCTGCAGTACCACTTTTGGCAAGAGTTTTACATACTGCTCCTTTAAATCAGTCGTCTCTGCTCCATACAACACTGGTGAACACTGGTTCATTTGTTTTCTCTCCGATCTCACCGAGCTCCCACACAAGTGCCACAGGAGACAGACCCGTCACATTGACTGCTGAGGACTTAAGTGGCCTTTTGAAAAGTCCCTGTTCCACATCACAGCACTGACCTCTGGACCTTCTGCTGCTGCTTGCTCCAGCGCTGAGCCAGACCCGGAACCACACGATGGGAGCAGTTTTCAGAGTTCAGGGACCACAGGTCGCTGTCCATCAGCGGCCGCTTGTACCCGGTCAACATCATTCTGGGTTCAGGATCAAATCATATCATCCAGTGAAAACACGTCAAAAATAAAGATAAATGCACCCACAAGAATATAATACACTGATGTTTTTATTTGAATGCATACACAGATCATACATAGATGATTTTTGCAGCATTATCCATCCTGCTTTTGGGGTGATATATTTTGCAACTTTAAGCCAAAATATATATATATATATATATATATATATATATATATATATATATATATATATATATATATATATAAAAACGTTTTATTAAATAGATCCATTTTTGTATCAATATAGATGGCAAATATTTGTGACATTTGTATATTAAAATGGGACGAGCAATAAATGAGGGGCATAAAGCCTTTATTTTTTACAATGAAAAGTATCAAAATCCTTGAAACTATATTGTATTGAAATGAAAGTTCCCTGTTGTTGTGATGAATTTTGTTTTGAAGTCCTGTTATCATGGACAACCACACTGTTCTAGCCGAGCTGTCTGACCAGAGTGACATGGAGGTGATCTCACAGCTGATATATACAGCAAGAGGGGGGGGGGGGGGGTGGTCGGCTAACTGTGAGGTCTCTGTGCACCATCTCTCTGATGACCGAGTGAAACTACTAAAATGTATTTATCTGCAGTAAAACCCGTCCTGCTCCTCCCAGCGGCTACACCACCTCAGCTGCTGTGAGCTAAAGTCCTGTTGCATTTTAATTATATTGTTAGCTATTTTTAGAATCATCCATTTGTTTGTTTTTTTATGTGGATGAATATGTTTTTGCTGCTACTGGACACCTGAATTTCTCCTACAGGGATCAATAAAGTATCCATCTCTGTCTGTATTCTGTAATTATGTAAATGAGGGGATGACACATAGGCACAGACGAGGACTCACCCACTGATCCACCAGAATGTGATTCTAGAAAGGAAGGAGGCGCCCAGCTCTGGACACGGGTTCTGTGAGAGACGACCAGAGGCATAGATTAGGATTAAGAGATTGGTTCCATCCATCCATCTACCCCTTTTCTGCCCCTTAATCCATTTCTGGGTCAGGGGGGTAGCCAGAGATGCCACCTAGTACACATAGCACCAGCCTCTCACTGATCCTCCTGCAGGTGTTGAGTCCACAGGAGGCCGTAACCTTTCACAGGGGGCTTCAGGCAAAGTGGGGTTAAGTGTCTTGCCCAAGGACACAACGACAGCAGTCATCAGTGGGAGTCGGTGGAGAAGGTCTCATGGTGGGCTCGAACCCATGACCTTCAGGCTCAAAGGCCAATGCTCTACCAACTGAGCTACTGTCGCCCCCGATTGATTGATTGAGATTGGTTCCACAGTGGGGAAATGTCAGTGTTGCATCAACAGTTAACGGCAGTAGGAATGAGGAGCACACAACACAACACAAGATAAATAAATAACTCTATACAAAAAACATCTATAACTCTAGCATAAAAAGAAGCAGTATAAAAACTTTATCTTCAAAAAACGTATTCAGGAGGATTTTCCCTAGCCTGGTCGTACCACACCATAGTACAAATTACATTTCGTACTACGAGCTCCGTGAACAGGTGGGAGGGGCTAACTCCTTTTGCAGATTGAAACCATTGGATCTGAGTTTACCGTGACGTTTGTAATGCGCCCGAGTCTGTTGTCAGCATTTAGCATTTAGCCTAGCCATCTCCTTGCCCGTGGGGAGTAACGCCACAATTTTTTCCAGGATTAAATTTGCTAAACATTCCTCTTGCTCCGGCTTCAATTTCTTGATAGAACCAGACCGGAACACTTTACTATCACATTTTTCGCCATTACTAAACTACGACCTTCCTGTTTGACACAAACTCTTGACGTCACTCACAACTAACTACAACACCCGCCTTCCGCGCTCTGATTGGTCGGTCGAAATTCAACCGCTTGTAATCGCTAACACAGGGACTAGACCCAGACGTTACATGCAGGGAAATGATGATTGAACGGAGTGTACGGATGGATAAGGCCAGGCTAGATTTTCCCTAATGTTCCCACTTTTTGAACAAAACTGTCTGGTCTTATCACCAGAATGATTGACAAATGGGCCAATGGTCTTGATGATCCACCCGGAAGTAGAAAATCCTCCTATATACCTGAATCATAAGGAAAGACGTCTAAAATCTCCAACTTCAGCAAAGAACGAGAAGCAAGTATAAAATAGTACTAGAATATATAAAATATTCTAATATAATAAAATACAAAATATTTTAGTGCAAGTAATATAACAGTTACTATCAGACTGAGCTAGAATACGGTCTCAAAGGAACACGGGTCCAGAGATTTTTAAAAGTGTGAGAATACCCATTGTTACCCAAAACGTTTCAAAGTTTACGATTCGAGAGCAGCGTGATCAAGCGTGTCAGAGTGTGTTCTGAGGTTACCGGGTCTTTCACGGCCTGGGAGAAGAGCGGAGGCTGGTCAGAGAGACAGGACAACACCAGGGCAACCAGCAGAAGAGCGTAGTAGATGAAGAATGTGGTATACCTCCACACACACACCAGAGACGGCTGAAACACACAGGAACACACAAACTGAGTCCATTTCGCTGCCGTCAATACTGTGGGAAAGCACTCGGCTGGGACCATGCTGCTGTGAGCTGCAAATCATTTCCATCTGCAGTTGTGATATTTCATTTGGTGTTAGCCAGGCTAGCAACAAAAAGGGTCTTCATTGAACAACATAGCAGCAAGGAGGGCATTTTCAAGTTAAAAAAACAAAACAAAAACTTAAAAGGTATATTGGAGGATTAGAACCACACTCCACCTTTCAGAACAAAACTCTCTGGTCTTATTGGACGTATCACCAGAATGATTGAAAATTGGGAGGACCAATAGTCTTGAAGATCCACCCGGCAGTAGAAAATCCTCCTTTATACCGTTAGATAAAAAAATTCCACAAGTAGTTAATATTTAAGTTAATGTCAATATTTTCCCATTATGAAAATCCCAAACGTTTGTTCAAAAGCAAATTGACACAGAATATGCAAACAGCTAAATATTTTAGACTGTCCAAGAACTTATGGGGATAAATTCATTATATGAATTTTAAAATGCAATAAAAAAAAATATATATATATATATATATATATATATATATATATATATATATATATATATATATATATATATATATATATATATATATATATATATATATATATATATATATATATATTTATATATATATATATATATATATAATATATGGCTGGTGCTATGAGACTTGGGTGGCATCTCTGACTGCCACCCCCCTGACCCAGAAATGTATTAAAGGGAAGAAAATGGATGGATGGATATATATAAAAATATTCAGAAGATGTGCAACCTTTTTTAACACTGTACTCTTCTGGTTCTACTTGCTCCTTTGGACTTGGATGTTTTGTCTCTACAACCTTTTAACAACGGAAAAAGCCAACATAGAAAATGAGATAAACCACAAGTTTCCAACAGTTCCCCATACTTCTTACAACATGTCTTTGTAAACAGGGCAAGTACCTGGTCCGGAGCCAGCAGGACCCTGGATCTGAAGGACACGGTCGCACACAGCAGCGCCAGCAGCCAGAATATGAGCAGAACTCCAGACGACTGCACGCCCTTCATCCGCTCGTACTGCACCAGCAGACCGCTCAGCAGCTGCACACACTCAGCCTCATCACAACCACACTCTAAAAAGCATTGTTTTTACTTTATTCACAGGATAGGCTTAAAACACTAAAAACATGACTGTAAAACCAACTTAAAATAAATAAAGAGAATCAATTACAAAAAGCTATGATTACAGAAGCATTCACTCAATCTTTGGGGCATTTGTCATCAACTCCTTTCACAAAGTTCAATTGATGTGCATTTAAGGATTACATCTTACATCTTCTTTTTTTTTTTAAGTACTTTGTACAAACCAATAGAATAACAGTGACTAAAGACAGACAGTGACAGAATCTGACCATGCTGATGCCCAGCACTGTGGGGCTAAGGAAGTGTACTGGTGCAGAGACAAGGCCATGACTTCTTTCCCAGAAAGAATAAAAGACATCTGCCCAGCAGACAATCCACAGGAGGAGGGACACAGCCTGCACCAGAGCACACACACGTCATGTTAACTTATTATTTAATGAAAGGAAATACAATGAAATCCATCATGAAAGGGACCGTGAAACTTACAGTTTTGGCTTTATTAAAATGGTTCATGCAGACATAGCCATTGTTGTGGCTGTGGAGGTAGAAAATGTAGAAGGGAGCACATCCCCAGAGGTACAGGCAGGGCAGCCAGGCCAGCACTGTGTTCTGGAAGCACTGGGTCAGTTCGGGGGCATCGGTGTACCACGTTAGGTTCCAGTCCTGTGCACAATAACACATGTTTCAGGATGTTTTTGGAACATGAACTCAAGCCCACGGGCTGAAAACAATCTTTCGGATAAGCAACAGTCCTATACACTTGTGTGTTGTGCAGATCGCTGTTCTGTTTAGTGCATGTATGAACACCTCTGTCATCACCGTAAAACACGGGGTTGTGTCCGGTACCGGCTTCTTATGAAACGCGTCCCGGGTCTTATCCACGGAGGTCTTATCAGGGGAGAACAGTCGCTGACGCTGGTACCTAAAGACTTACAGCAGAATATAGTATATACATGTGCGTAATGACGCCGTCTCACCCATAGTGGATCTGACCCGTCCGGACTGCACAGCCTGTCCATGCCCATGGCTGTCCTCCAGCGGCACAGCAGCAGCACCAAACAACTTTGTTTGGTAATAGCACAAGGCTCCCACTGCGCATGCGTCCGTCTGCCACTTCTTTTACTCAAGGCTCGGTCGGTATCAGACGCAGAGGAGAAATCCTGCCACCTACTGTATTGAATAACGACTTACAGTGCGTATGACAGGTTTTTGTTTTTATGTGAAAAATAAAATAAAATTCATATTTTTTTCCATTTCCCAAAATTAGTACAAAATTAGATTAACTGTGATGAAATTTATAGTTTTTATTAACAAAAATTGTTTTATATTAGAGCTTGTCCCTAAAATAAGATAAGATAAGATATTCCTTTATTTATCTCACAGTGGAGGCATTTCAGTGTCATTGTTGTGCACATTACAGCAGAAAAAGAAGGAAATAAGAGCACTCAGATCGCACACATCAAATAGTCTATTACTCAAGATAATTGACAAAATTAGATAAAATAAAGAAAAAGACAAAATAAGATAAAGAAGAAATAAAATTATTATATATTATTTGTATTTCCTTGATACGGTGTAACGCTTTCTAGAGACTCACGCCACTACCGAGCTGCACTGTCCAGCCCAAAAAAGGAGGCTTGCATATTTTTACTCATGTAGTGACTCAGTGATGGGCTTGGTGGGCTCCCTCCTCAGCAGAAGTGGAGCGCATTTCTTGCGGCTCGGCCTCACTGTTCTCCTACCGCGGTAAAGTGGGCCGGCTTTCCGGAGTCAGCGGTAAAGAGGTCCGCACATTAAAAGCGGGCGGCCGCTTTCTGCTGTTACTTTATGCGGTTCATCCCCGCGGCTTCTCTTTCCAAAGTTACTGTCAGTAAAGGCATAAACCGGCCACCCGCTTTTAATGTGCGGACCTCTTTACCTTTGACTCCGAAAAGCCGGGCCTCTTTAACGCGCTGTTCTACCGCTGTCCTCCCTCCCTCCGCTGTCCTCCCTCCCTCCTCTGCCCTCTCTCCCTCCTCTGCCCTCTCTCCCTCCTCTGCCCTCTCTCCCGCCTCTGCCCTCTCTCCCTCCTTTGCCCTCTCTCCCTCCTCTGCCCTCTCTCCCTCCTTTGCCCTCTCTCCCTCCTCTGCCCTCTCTCCCGCCTCTGCCCTCTCTCCCTCCTTTGCCCTCTCTCCCCTCCTCTGCCCTCTCTCCCTCCTTTGCCCTCTCTGCCTCCTCCTCTGCCCTCTCTCCCTCCCTCTGCCCTCTCTCCCTCCTTTGCCCTCTCTCCCTCCCTCTGCCCTCTCTCCCTCCTTTGCCCTCTCTCCCTCCTCTGCCTCCTCTCTCCCTCCTCTGCCCTCTCTCCCTCCTCTGCCCTCTCTCCCCTCTGCCCTCTCTCCCTCCCTCTCCCCTCTCTCCCTCCTTGCCCTCTCTCCTCCTCTGCCTCTCCTCCTCCCTCTGCCCTCTCTCCCCTCCTTTGCCCTCTCTCCCTCCTCTGCCCTCTCTCCCTCCCTGCCTCCTCCTCCTCCCTCTCCCTCTCTGCCCTCTCTCCCTCCTCTGCCTCTCTCCCTCCTCTCCCTCTCTCCCTCCTCTGCCCTCTCTCCCTCCTCTGCCCCTCTCTCCCTCCTTTGCACTCTCTCCCTCCTCTGCCCTCTCTCCCTCCTCTGCCCTCTCTCCCTCCTTTGCCCTCTCTCCCTCCTCTGCCCTCTCTCCCTCCTCTGCCCTCTCTCCCTCCTCTGCCCTCTCTCCCTCCTCTGCCCTCTCTCCCTCCTTTGCCCTCTCTCCCTCTCTTCGCACCATCAGCCTGACCCCTGATACAAGTGACTTTTCTCCCCCTCCGGGTTTTTCTGTTGTGGATATTAACCACGTTTCATTTTAAAGCAGGTATTATTTATTTGTAGCCTCCAAACACCTTTAGTTTTAGCAAACAACATCAGGACACGCTTTGTCGCTGCGCATGACGTGAGCTGTGTTACGTGATGATTTTGATTGACGCTGCAATGACTGGGACAAAATTACTAACGTTATTAAAATATATTATAGTCTCCAAACACAATTTAACAAGTAGTCCTTTTGAATCAAATCAAATGCTAAATAAATATTTAAGGGCTTTATATTTGCTCAAAAAACAAAATCTTTTTTTTTGTGTGTGTGGAAATCATCTTGCGACCCCCCCAGGGGTTCCCGGGACCCCCACTTTGGGAACCACTGGTCTAAAGTGTTAGCCATATAGCTAACCCAAGTCCAAGAAAAAAGTCAAGGTAAAGTTTCAAAATGTAAGAAAAAAACGTTTTGGCTGTCATTTCCAAACAAGTTACATTTCTTTTGAATTTACCCGCATTGAAAAAAAGAAATTTCAGTTTCAGTAGTTTTATTTTATGCCTAACCCTAACCCATTATAGAGATTAGCAGGCTAGCAAAGCTTGTGATTTAACAGTAAATGTGACATTTCGTCACATTTTATATTGTGATGTAATATAATGATAATAATAATAGTAATAATAGTATTTCATAGCCATAGTAAAACCACTGTCAGAAAGGGATACTAGACATTTAACTACAACACTAGCGTTGCACTAAACAATAGAATATAGATTTTCCAAAAATTAAAGACCCAGATTTGTCCATAGTTGAAGAATCACCCTTATACATGTGTTGGAATTTCCAGAAAGTAGGTTAGGAGGAACTATGATTTGAGATAGACTCAAGTGAACTAATCCTAAAAAAAAAAATCTGACATGTAAGAGGTCATTTGATTTGATTCAGTTTTATTTACTATTTACAGCAAAACCACATTGGAATAATGATGAGCGACTGTCTGGCAGATCATAATCATTCATAGTTGGTAGGTACTATTCATAGTGTTACATAATTCACAGGGGTACAATTACATCATAAAGCGACGTCGCTATGGCTCGCTCGACTGGTCTCACAATAGTCCTGTTTACCTCCTTTAATGTTGCATTCTGCGCTGCCTAAAGTGAAAGAATTGTATAAAAACAGCACAGGTGATGGACTAAACAGTAGTAATAAACAAATAAGAACAGAAAAAGATCAATCCATGTGGTAGATTCTTACAGGTGACCAGTTCAGTCTGGAGCAGATGGGCTACCATTTATTTTTTCAGGTCTTCATATCTTCAGGATTCCCTTCTAATCCTTTAAATTGGCTCAGGGCCATGTGCTTTCCCTGAGTTTGCCTGCCTTATCCAATGTAAAGAGAATCAATTTGACCATTAGAAATAACATAAATCTTCTCACCTCTTCATGGGCATACTCTCGTGCTAAAGTCCAACCTGGCTCTCAGAGCTTAGTTGCAAAGCCAGGCTAGTGCCTTTCACAACTTTCCACAACATGATGGATTGGTATGGACTGATAGGACAATTACATATCTTTTTTTTAATTTAGGCAAGGCAAGGCAAGTTTATTTGTATAGCACAATTCATACACAAGGCAACTCAAAGTGCTGAACAAGATAGCATTAAAATCATAAATAATCACAGAACATTAAAAAGAAAGATAAAAACATAAAGTAGTGTTTAGTAGTGGCTTCAATGTATAGAAAGAAATAAATGATAAGTTTTACATGGTATTTGTTAAATTACCTTCAAACAGATCAATACAATGATCTCTGTATTATCTCAGCTGTATTATAGTATAATAGCCCTGGGTTAAACAAATAGTGAGTGAAGTCAAAAGATCATCTATCCCCAAAAAGGTTCACTCAAATATTACACAATAAAACGTACGTGTCTGATATTTTACTGATTGTAAAAACAGCAATGATGTACTTTGTGTTAAGGGGAGGACTGTGACTCAGAGATCGCTGAACATCCAGATCCTGTTTCCTCGATCAGGGGTTACGTCAACGTATGTATTTCAGTTAAAAGTTCAATCTGTTTGTTTTTTCTGTATCTCAAAAACTTAGTATCAAACTTTGGAAATGGTACAAGGGAGAAATGATTAAATCCCGATTACTGTCTAGATCCAGGATTTTTTTACAGAATTGAGCAGTGGCTCTTGGCAGAGGTCGTTCAACAGCTGCTTTGGTAGTTTACTCTATGTATGTATCATACGTAGAATTTTATTTTTGGGACATTCAAAGATGGTTCACATGAAATAATGAATTCACTCCGTATTGTGGTGGTACGGTACAGCTATAGTCACAAGTGCCCTGGGGCAGACTGATGGAAGCAAGGATACTTGTCTGTTTAATAGCTCAGTTTTAAACTACTAACAGATGATGATGTTATAATAATAAGACAACAAAGGAAAATAGTTCTTTATTTCAAATTGTTGTTTTTCTTAAAAAGGGCATAATATATCTGTAAATACATTATTTTTCTTAGAAGTACATTGTGAAATGATAACAAATATATTACTTTCTTTAAAAAACATTCCATCATTGGTGTAGATACAAATGTTTCTGCTGGCAGAAAAAGTACATATAACAGGAACTATAGGACTGAAGGAAAGCCTCAGTTTTCTTCATCCTCATCATCATCAAATACATCGGCTACAGTCCTGTGGAGAAGCGCATACACAGGTTAAGCTGGTTAACAGTAACATTAGAATGAGAATGTGTTAGAACTTACTTATAGATAGATCCTGTTACCTCATCAAGAAATCCACCTACAAAAGAAAAGAACAAAGGTTTATACTTCAACTTCAGCAAGAATGGAGACTGTTGAATACAGCTATATCGTTATGGCACCTTTGCACCTGTTTGTGACGTGACCGTTTCCATAGTTACAGAGGGGATAACAAATGTTCTTGACAACCACTCCTGACAACTTTATCAAGTTAATAATAGTCCATACATGCGTGAATGCCAGTTGGATATGTCCATAATGTGATATGAATCCAGTTGTGTGTTGTCTTCTGTAGAGAGCTAAGGGCCGTGTAACTATGGTCATGTTGCAAATAGGCGTGTTAAACATAATTGAAATCAGATGGGAAACGTCATTGTATCTGAGATGGATGCTGTAAAGTCTGCATCATGTTAAAGGGATTGTCAAAAAATGTTGGACTTGAAAGTTGCACATAAATGCTCACTCAAGTCAGATAACAAAAATTGGGTCAAAAGGAGCTGACCGACATCAGCACTAATGTGAAGACATCAGACAACTTGACTAAATGCTGCTGTTTAAGACAATATAAGGTTTCTAAAGAAAAAAGGATGGCTGTTATTATGTATGACTACTTATTTTTGCATCAGCGCAAATGTGTGGTTCTATTTTTAGTTTAAGATGATGAAATAAATAAAAACATGTTTTTATTCCATTCCGGGCCAAATCCGGCCCACGGGCCTTGACTTTGACACATGTGCTCTAGGGTGTCCTGGGTCTTCACCACAACTGTCCGTTACAGCGACCGCATCACTGCGTATGCTGCACAGATCCGCCGGTCAATCTCAAGCTCCATCCTTTCCTCACTCGTTGTGCATGTTGGTGGAGGCCAGTCGAGGTCAGAAGCTCTCTGCCCGCACCGTACACGGTAACGGACAATTTGCAAGACTTTTTTTGAGGCCGACCGATAGTCATGCTCCAAGGAGCCCCGGGTTTTTGCCTCAGGAGCCCCACGAAATGGCTCGATAGGACTCCTTCTTCCTTCTCCTCCTTGCGACCACAGCAAAGGCATGGTCCACTCAGACTCAATGTCCCCCTCCTCCCCCGGGACCTGGGAGAAGCTCTGTGAGTTGAAAGTCCGTCTGACAGGGGGCTCAGCTAGACGTTGTCAGCAGACCCTCACTACACACTTGAGTCTGCCAGGTCTGATTGGCTTCTCACTCACGACCAGGCGGTGATCGGTTGACAGCTCCGCCCCTCTCTTCATCGGAATGTCCAAGACATGCGGCCGAAGGTCAGATGATACGACAACAAAGTCGATCATCGACCTCCGGCCTAGGGTGTCCTGGTGCCACGTGCACTGGTGGACACCCTTGTGCTTGAACATGGTGTTTGTGATGGACAAACTGTGACTGGCACAGAAGTCCAACAACTGAACACCCCTCGGGTTCAGATCAGGGGGACCGTTCTTCCCAATCACCCTTCTCCAAGTGTCACTGGCATTTCCCACATGGGCGTTAAGGTCTCCCAGGAGAATGACGGAGTCCCCGGTCAGTGCACCGTCCAGTACCCCTCCCAGGGTAAGAAGGCCGGGTACTCTGCCCGCCACGCAGCATCCCTCTGTGGGTGGTGGGTCCACAGGAGCCCAACCCAGGCCTGGCTCCAGGGTGGGGCCCTGGCTGTGCCATGTTGTAATTCAAAATTAAAACGGTACATACTGTATGGCCATATGTGAAACATGGGGATTTAAGTATGGGATATTCAGAAGTGATGAGTACTTTACTAATAAACCTCATTGCGTTACATGGTACTTTGGGTGCTGTTACCTGGTTTACAAACTGTTTCGCATACAGGACATACATGGCAGAAGCTGCACATCTGTGGAGACAAGAACAAAGAAGAAATCATTATTCAAACCCAGTGTGTATGTGTGTGCGTGTTTGTACGTGTGAGAACCATGGGACAAATAAATAATAATAAATACTTACATCACAATCGTCACAGTGTTCCGACTGGTCTCCTTCTTCGCAGGGACACTTGTCACAGTCGTCACAGTGCTGGAGGACAAAGATAGAACCTTTAACACTGATTGCGAATGGGGTTTGTGATATTAATTATGAGTTAAGGGATCTTGATCACCAACCTCACAGAAGTGACAGAGGCTACAAACAGAGCCTTTGTTATAGTTGTCATCGTCATCATCATCTTCGTCATCGTCGTCATCATCGTTGTCATCATCGTCGTCATCATCGTCGTCATCATCATCTTCGTCATCGTCATCGTCGGCATCATTGTCGTTGTCATCGTCATCATCATCATCATTGTCGTCATCATCGTCATCATCATCATCATCGTCGTCATCATCGTCATCATCATCATCATCGTCGTCATCATCATCGTCGGCATCATTATCATTGTTGTCGTCGTCATCATCTTCATCGTCGTCGTCATCATCATCTTCGTCATCGTCATCGTCGGCATCATTGTCGTCGTCGTCGTCATCGTCGTCATCGTCGTCATCATCGTTGTTGTCATCATCGTTGTCATCGTCTTCTAATAGTAATTAAAGAAACAGAGGATTTAGAATGTGAACCGTGTGAAAGAAAGATGGCGTTTGGAGCCAGGTGTTTGTTGGACTCACCGTCTGAGGCAGATTCAGTCAAAGAACATTCACTGTTTCTGAGCGTCATCTCAGTGTCAGTGTGAAATCACATTTTCAGAATCATCTTTAGAGACATATTGATCATTTGATTTATTTAAAGAATGAAAGTAGGGTTAATTACATAGACAGTGGTAATAGTATTTTCCTTACACAGGTGTTTACAATCATAAAAAGTACAAGAAGATTAAAAGAAGTTATCTCTTAACTCTTCAGTTTTTTCTTAATAGAGATGTTTCTCTCTTTTCCCAAACACTCATCCTATAGCTAGCTGAAAAATTATCAAGAAAAAAATTATCATGACATTTACAAATAAATAAACTCATGCAAGCTTCCCAAATAAGTATTGGATAAATATAGCGCCAGATCATGACTAATGGACAGGACAATGCATACCACTCATGTAGATTTACAGAATTCAAACAACATCAACACAAGGTAGAAAATACCATTAGATTATTCCATAAAAATGTAATATTACATTGTTTAAATGGTAATCATTTATCGATATTAACTTTTTTATAAGTATTTTATTTTCAAAACTGTATACATTCAACACGTTAACACATCTGCACCAAAGCCTAACAGAGAAAGAAAGACATTGAGAGATATGGAAAAAGAGAGAAACAGTGCATCTCATTCTAATATTAGATTAAGTTAATTTAGTTGCCCTCCTCCACCTCTTCATGTGTTTGCTCTCCCACTGTTTAACTGTAGCTGCAGAATCCCTTACCCCCTCCATATCTCTTACTGTCTCTCTTTATTTTCTTTCTTTCTCTGTAAGTTCACAATAGACACAAATACATGTCAGTCTGATCCAAAATCGTACTAGTTGAACCATTCTTTCAAACGAAACACAAATCAAAAGATCTCAGACTAGTGACCCCCATTTCAATCAGGCTTGGTTTGTGTGAAATAGTTTTTGCTCTTTCTCTCCTCTCTGATCTTTGCTTCTGCAGTCCCAAAGTTCAAATCTAGTGAACTGTTCGAAGGACTTCGGACAGTTGAACTTCAGATGGGCCAGCTCAATTTTCCTTGAGTTCTCATAATTCTAGTTGAGCAGGGAAAGAAAACAGTGTCAGAGACAGCAAGGGAAATATGGACAGCTGGAAAGGGGTGAAGGAGGGAACTCTGCGTAAGGAACTAATGTCTACAGTTGATGTGATTGTGATGTCACCAAGAGGGGAGTGGCAAATGTTTTCAAAGCTCCTCCCCTTTCGCACACTGTCCTGTACTTGTTCACTTGAGTCCTATGATGACATCATGCACTGTTGTTATGTGTCAAAATGCATTTATCGGTCATGCTTCCTGACGGTCAACAACATTTACCTTAAAGATAAAGTACACCTAACAAAGAAGGATTGTATCGCAATTTACTTACCCTCGTGATCATCATCATCATCATCATCGTCATCGTCGTCGTCGTCGTCGTCGTCATCATCATCATCATCATCGTTGTCATCATCATCGTCATCATCGTCGTCGTCGTCATCGTCATCATTGTCATCATCATCGTCGTCATCATCGTCATCATCATCGTCGTCATCATCGTCATCGTCGTCGTCATCGTCGTCGTCATCATCATCGTCATCATCATCGTCATCATCATCGTCATCATCATCGTCGTCATCATCGTCGTCATCATCGTCGTCGTCGTCATCGTCGTCGTCATCGTCGTCATCGTCATCATCATCGTCGTCATCGTCGTCATCATCATCGTCGTCATCGTCGTCGTCGTCGTCGTCAGCCATCAGGCCTTCCTCAGATTGGAATGGCAGATCCTGAGCTTTTACAGAGGGAGCGAGTGGAGTATGAAAAGAGCATAGTAGCGCTAGTAAAAGCGCCAAAATAACACTTCTCAACGACGGCATGATTGCAGACAAAACCAGGTCTAATGGGAATCACTGCAGAAGTCCAGCACTGCAGGTTGTTGCTTAGAAATCCTCCACACACACCCAAAGTTACAGCCACTCACACACAATGCTCTGACAAGACCGCGACAGTCGGGAACGGCCAACTATACAGGCATTGATGCAAAAAGACAAGGTCCCGTACAGACGATATTCCAAGGAAAATGTTGGCACTTGTTCCCAACTCCTGGTAGATAATGATCCTCTTGGAAACCAGGTGTCCTCTTGTTATTCCTGAGTCAGGACCACACCAAACCAGGACGTCTTCAGTCCTGTGCAGGGCAAGTGTGTGAGTAAGGACTGCAATAAAAAGCGGAGGGAAGAGCCGACGGTAACTGGTCAATGGTGTAGAGACAGACAGGACTAATATGAGAGCGACAGAAAAAGAGCAAGACCTATGGCGTAAGTTGAGATGAAGGGGGGTATGAATGAGTGACAGGGGCAAATGTTGGTAGGCCTTCAGTCTCTGTGTGCTAGGTTAGCCACTGAGGTGGGAGTGATTAGAGACAAGTTGAAGGGGTAAGCATCTTAAGCAAATATCCAAGTTTAACCTGAATTTCAACAAATAACTACAGTAAAACATATTGCTATAGCATGAGATCATAAGAGTTGTTTTTAGGTTAGTACATTCAATTACATCATTTATGTTAGTTATAAACAAGCCTCTGACCACTTAGAGAATGTAAGTAAGAGTAGAGAACTCTTACTCTTACTTACATGCACTTTTAAGGCTTCCATTTGATATTTTGAGCACACTTTTGAGATGAGCGGTAGTATTGATTTTTGAGTTGTCATCATTCATAGATTTTATAATTATGCAAATTATTAACAATATAAATGTAGTTAAATATAGACTGAGCTGAATGCCTCAGTTAAAGCCTATACCATTGCATACATTGATAATAATACTTCTTAACAGTGTGATATGTTGATATAGTCTAAGATTTAATGCACCAAGCTAAAGACTAATATCTCACTCATCCACTTATCTATCCCTCCCCCAATTCACTGAACCTAAAATAGGTTGATTTGTATGGGGCGGAGTCGACAAGTATACTATTTAAAAATCACACACTGTCAGAGTCAGTGTAATGTGAGAGGCGCTGCCAGGCCTGTGCAGAGCAGTAATCTACACTCATTCTGAATCTTAGACCTAAACATGTATGAAGAAAGAGGTCAATCCCTGTCACCCTCAAACCATCCTTGACCCAAAATTACCCAGACACCTTATTGGCTTATATGAATTTGGTAAGTTATGAATGAATAGTGGTGCCTGGACGGTTTGATAGTGCAGGTTGGTAGCCTCACGTCCATCAGTCAGCCCCAGGGCAGCTGTGAGGTGCTGTGCACGGTGCTTTTGGCATCATCAAAGGCGCTATATATAGAAAGTATTATTATCACATACAAACGTATTGTAGTTTCATTCATCCAAACTGAATATATTCTGTCAGTGGGTTGAACTTGTCAAGTTTATGATCACAAACCTCTATTATTATAATATCTTGGGTGATGATTTTTTATATTTTTAGGGTACAGTAACAGACAACAGACAAGTAAAAGCTAATTGTAAATATCCAGATATTATCTTAAAGAAAGAAAAAAGAAGAAAATGACTTTCATAATGACTGTGTGTCACATCTTTCCCTAATGATCAGATATAGAGCCTCTTTACAACTGTTGTGATGGCCTCAGAGCTATACTCAGAGTGTTTTGGTCACTAAACAGCATCATGACATCCAAGGAACAAGGATAAAGATTCTGCAGGTTTTAGTTCCCACCAAAACCTGCAGCCACACGGGCCCGGGTTTGACTTGCTTTAGGTGCTTCTCACCCAATACACAATACAATTTACACAATACAATACAATTTATTCTTGTATAGCCCTAGGTCACAACAGAAGTAATCTCAGAGGACTTAACAAAACCATTGAAATCACCAACACAGGTCAGAGAATCAACAGTTAAAACACAGAAAGAATATGGAACACATGTTGATAAATGTCATACATGTTGTAGAATGTTAAAGTGTCCTGGATCATCACCACATCCTTTTTGTTGGACACTAACTTCCCAACAGACCCTCCTGCATCGGCAAGGAAAAACTCACAAAAACCCAGGGGGAAAAAAGTGAGAAACCTCGGGGAGACCCACCCAATGTGAAATATGGTGGGGGTCATCAAGCCAAGGCATAGTTTTCTAAAATTGATGGTAAGATCAACAGAGCCATATACAGGGAACGCTTGTTGGAGTCGCAAAATTAAAGAAGGAGATTAAAGGCCAAAATCTAACTACCAGATTCGAGCCAACAGCTTACCTCTCAGAAAAGCAGTGACTCGGCTTTCAGTCACAATACATATACAATAAGTAGGGATGCACCGATGTTTTAACATAACAACTTGGCCGATGTGTTTTCTTTTTGTTATTTATATACAGTGGGGCAAAAAAGTATTTAGTCAGCCACAGATAGTGCAAGTTCTCCCACTTAAAATAATGACAGAGGTCTGTATTTTTCAATAATCCAGGAATTCACATTGTAGGATTTTTAAAGAATTTATTTGTAAATTATGGTGGAAAATAAGTATTTGGTCCCTTGAAACAAGGAAGATCTCTGGCTCTCACAGACCTGTAACTTCTTCTTTAAGAAGCTCTTCTGTCCTCCACTCGTTACCTGTATAAAAGACACCTGTAGTGTCCACAGCCTCAAACAGTCAGACTCCAAACTCCACTATGGCCAAGACCAAAGAGCTGTCGAAGGACACCAGGAAAATAATTGTAGACCTGCACCAGACTGGGAAGAGTGAATCTACAATAGGCAAGCAGCTTGGTGTGAACAAATCAACTGTGGGAGCAATTATCAGAAAATGGAAGACATTCAAGACCACTGTTAATCTCCCTCAATCTGGGGCTCCACGCAAGATCTCATCCCGTGGGGTCAAAATGATCATGAGAACGGTGATAAAAAATCCCAGAACCACACGGGGGGACCTGGTGAATGACCTGCAGAGAGCTGGGACCAAAGTAACAAAGGTTACCATCAGTAACACACTACGACGACAGGGAATCAAATCCTGCAGTGCCAGACGTGTCCCCCTGCTGAAGCCAGTGCATGTCCAGGCCCGTCTGAAGTTTGCCAGAGAGCACATGGATGATACAGCAGAGGATTGGGAGAATGTCATGTGGTCAGATGAAACCAAAGTACAACTGTTTGGTGTAAACTCAACTCGTCGTGTTTGGAGGAAGAAGAATACTGAGTTGCATCCCAAGAACACCATACCTACTGTGAAGCATGGGGGTGGAAACGTCATGCGTTGGGGCTGTTTTTCTGCTAAGGGGACAGGACGGCTGATCCGTGTTAAGGAAAGAATGAATGGGGCCATGTATCGTGAGATTTTGAGCCAAAACCTCCTTCCATCAGTGAGAGCTTTGAAGATGAAACGTGGCTGGGTCTTCCAGCATGACAATGATCCCAAACACACCGCCCGGGCAACGAAGGAGTGGCTCCGTAAGAAGCGTTTGAAAGGCCTGGAGTGGCCTAGCCAGTCTCCAGACCTCAACCCCATTGAAAATCTGTGGAGGGAGTTGAAAGTCTGTGTTCACTGCTCTCGAGAAGATCTGCATGGAGGAATGGGCCAAAATACCAGCTGCTGTGTGTGCAAACCTGGTAAAGACCTATAGTAATCGTTTGACCTCTGTTATTTCCAACAAAGGTTATATTACAAAGTATTGAGTTGAATTTTTGTTATTGACCAAATACTTATTTTCCACCATAATTTACAAATAAATTCTTTAAAAATCCTACAATGTGAATTCCTGGATTTTTTCCCCACATTCTGTCGCTCACCGTTGAAGTGTATCTATGATGAAAATTACAGACATTATTTTAAGTGGGAGAACTTGCACAATCAGTGGCTGACTAAATACTTTTTTGCCCCACTGTATATATATTTGTCGTTGGCTTCAGTTTGTTTTTCTTCAGCTTCATGCAACCGCTGTACACTGCCTCATGCACAGAATCGTTGTGATAAATGATTTTTCTCTTGAAATTTTTCTAAGACTGCTAAATATTGCCACACCACCGCCGCCATCTTCTTTGTTTCTTCTATTGAGGAAAGTACACAGATGCCCTCTTCCGGTATCTCTTTGCACGTGCCACCATCGGCGAATGTCCTTTTTATTTGTCGATAGTCAATGGTAGTTAACAAAGCAAACATCGGCCGATACGGATGTTCACCCTCACCCCACTCTCCCTTCCACCCTCACCCCACTCTCCCTTCCACCCTCACCCCACTCTCCCTTCCACCCTCACCCCACTCTCCGTTACACCCTCACCCCACTCTCCCTTCCACCCTCACCCCACTCTCCGTTACACCCTCACCCCACTCTCCCTTCCCCCCTCACCTACTCACTCTCCCTTCCACCCTCACCCCACTCTCCCTTCCACCCTCACCCAACCCTCACCCCACTCTCCCTTCCACCCTCACCCCACTCTCCCTTCCACTCTCACCCCACTCTCCCTTCCACCCTCACCCCCACTCTCCCTTCCACCCTCACCCCACCCTCACCACACTCTCCCTTCCACCCTCACCCCACCCTCACCACACTCTCCCTTCCACCCTCACCCCACTCTCCCTTCGACCCTCACCCCACTCTCCCTTCCACCCTCACCCCACTCTCCCTTCCACCCTCACCACACTCTCCCTTCGACCCTCACCCCACTCTCCCTTCCACCCTCACCCCACTCTCCCTTCCACCCTCACCACACTCTCCCTTCGACCCTCACCCCACTCTCCCTTCCACCCTCACCCCACTCTCCCTTCCACCCTCACCCAACCCTCACCCCACTCTCCCTTCCACCCTCACCACACTCTCCCTTCGACCCTCACCCAACCCTCACCCCACTCTCCCTTCCACCCTCACCACACTCTCCCTTCGACCCTCACCCCACTCTCCCTTCCACCCTCACCCCACTCTCCCTTCCACCCTCACCCCACTCTCCCTTCCACCCTCACCCCACTCTCCCTTCCACCCTCACCCCACTCTCCCCTCCACACACATCACACAAGCAGTTACAGACCAATCAGAAGACCTGAAAGCTTCATTCGAATTTGTTTGCTGATATTGTCCCAACACGACACAGCGAGTCCCGAACACCTCCAACATGTCAGAACAAACAAAGCCAATTTATACTCTCTCCAACTCTCTCCATCACCTCCAGACCGCTGGATTGGTGTTTCTTCCTTAAATCCTGCATCAGGACGGTGACTTGGATCATCTCCAAAAATGAATTGTTTGTTTCCTGTTTCTTGGAAAATATATAGCCTCCTATAACCTTTTGAGTTGAATTGCTTACTAACAGATAAAAAAACACCAATCATCACTTTGTCTCCTAGGCCAAGGTTTAAAATATATGAATGTGGTGGAAATATAAGGGTTTATATTGCCTACCTACACAATATAAATGCAGCACACAGTATAACTAGAGTCGCTGGGACTTAGGTACAGCACAGAGGGGAGAAGATCCCAATCTAGTTCTGATAATTCTCAGTGTTTGTGATTGTACAGGGCTCTTCAGTAAATAGATAATTGAGCTAAAGTGGGTGTTGTCTAAGAACACAGCAGCATGCATTAAAAACCCATATTTCATTTTCTAATTCTATGATTAGAATTTCATGAAAGACCATAAAAACTTCTCTCACATACCATGCTTTCTAAGAATTCAGAACAAAATATGTTGCATTACAAATGCAGCAATCTCTTTGATACATGGAAGTGAAAATGGGGCTTAGGCTCTTAACTCTTCTAATAAAATCTTTGGATTGCAAGGCATCGTTTACAAACCACAACCAATTATGGAAGACAAGTATATCAAAAACAAGCACAGAATAGGTCCTGATTTATGTTTTTAAAGCTGGCTTATGATTGAGATTTGGCAAACACAACACTGCCGGAGGGCAAGAACAGAGGGGATGCGTTTAGTCAATGGAGCAAAAGATAAAATGAGAGCACAAGGGAGCTCAAGATGGAGACTGCAAAGTAGCTGAAAGTGGAGATGAGCTCAGACATGCCAAAGACATAGCTTCTCTCAGCTTAGACAACTGACTCTGCCCGTTCGCTCTCCTAACCTATTTAAAAAGAACCGGGACATACACCCAGTTTCTTTGGGACCTGTCAGTTCAAAGTCGCAAGAGTATACAGTATATTTAAATATGGGAAAGGTCCTTGTAGTCCAGAAAAATTTTCCAACAAAACGAGATGAGCTTAGGGTATTATGAGGTGAGCGCAAATAGTGCTCGTGCTTGTCCACTGACTTATTCATCAGCTACATATGACATTCCTGCGACAGATTAATTTACCTCCCTGAAAGTGATCCAGCCAAAGCTCTCTCCATTTATGGAAAGTCTAAAGTAGGAAGTCCTCTACAATGATTTAGTTACTGAAGACAACTGGAGCATGTGTGCAAGTAGGAAATACATTAAGAAAACCCTTAAGTCTACCCACCTGTTTCAGATGAGAATATAAAAGTCAATTAATGTTAATTGGGACGTTGATGTAAGTCAGGTCCATACATGCCCTTGGATTTGACCCACATTGTCTTTATTCATTAAGTTTGATGAGAGTCAGTTTTGGAGGTTAAATTAAGTAACTTCCACAACAGAGTAACATTGAAGCCTTGAATGTCTCTGAATATTCATGACCATAAATCAAAAGGTTTTGGGATACTTTAACTCTTGGATTGCTGATAACTCCAGCTTGGGCCGTGGGCAATCATCAGTGAGCAACTACAGAAACAAAGACATGCAGCTATTCGCTCTATTCAACTCTATGTGAAAGATATTGACGCATGAGGCCGACATGGGGTTCTACCATGGATGATACAATAACTACGATAGTGCATGGTGCGACCCTACGTCAATGAGCACAGACCATCCTTAAACCACAAAGCTTGGGTTGCACTTGAAAGGCTGATCATGTTGGACCTCAGAAGCTGGAAAGGACAGGGCCTGGTTGGTACTGTGATGGGAAACCTCTGGGAAACCTCTGGGAACACCAGGTGCCACAATGATTCCTTCCTTAGGCAAGTTACTTGACCCACATTGCCTGGAATGACTCGTGTGTGTGTGTGTGTGTGTGTGTGTGTGTGTGTGTGTGTGTGGTGTGTGGTGTGTGTGTTTAATGTCCAGGCAAAAAACACAAAAACAGAGTAGATATACAAATACCAGGAAACACGACAATTTGGCAACAGAGGCAAGGAGGACACAAACTAAAATACACCAGGACACAGGTGAAGCACGGCAGGGGTGGGACAGTAATCAACAACAGGAAGTACAGTATATCTAGAAAAAGTAAGGGTGATTTCAAAATAAAACTGTTCTGGGTTTTATTTTGAAATCACCCTTACATGTAGTTGTTATGGACATGACAGGTGGTGCCCTACCTCTGTGAATCCAGAATGCATACAGTATTATTTGGCAGTGCTTTTGTTTCACATGTATTTTCCTGCTCATGGTGACATTATAAAGAAATACAGTATAATATACAACAACACAATTATGCTGATACACAGTTGTACTGGTATCTATCTTTCCATTCCATTCCATTCCATCTTCTTCTGCTTCATCCGTTGCCGGGTCGCGGGGGCAGCAGTCTAAGCAGAGACGCCCAGACTTCCCTATCCACACACACTTCCTCCACCTCGTCCGGGGGGACCCCAAGGCGTTCCCAGGCCAGCTGAGAGACATAGTCCCTCCACCGTGTCCTGGGTCTTCCCCAGGGCCTCCTCCCGGTGGGACGTGCCCGGAACACCTCCCCAGGGAGGCGTCCAGGAGGCATCCGGAACAGCTGCCCGAGCCACCTCATAGGGTTCCTCTCGACGTGGAGAAGCAACGGCTCTACTCCGAGCTCCTCCCGTGTGACTGAGCTCCTCACCCTATCTCTAAGGGAGCGCCCAGCCACTCTGCGGAGGAAGCTCATTTCGACCGCTTGTATCCGCGATCTCGTTCTTTCGGTCATTACCCAAAGCTCATGACCATAGGTGAGGGAGGGAACGAAGATTGACTGGTAAATTGAGAGCTTTGCCTTTCGGCTCAGCTCCCTCTTCACCACAACGGTCCGATACAGCGACCGCATCACTGCGCACGCTGCACCGATCCGCCTGTCAATCTCACGCTCCATTTTTCCCTCACTCATGAACAAGACCCCGAGATACTTGAACTCCTCCACTTGAGGAAGGACCTCTCCACCCACCTGCAGAGGGCAAGGCACCTTTTTCCGGTCGAGCACCATGGCCTCGGATTTGGAGGTGTTGAATCTCATCCCAGCCGCTTCACACTCGGCTGCAAACCGCCCCAGTGCATGTTGTAGGTCCTGGTTCGTTGGAGCCAACAGGACAACATCGTCTGCAAACAGCAGAGATGAAATCCTGTGGTCTTCGAACCGGACCCCCTCCGACCCCTGGCTACAGTATATCTAGACCCCTGGTCTATATCTTGATGATCTAAGTCTGAATAAAGCCTTCTTTCAATATATTGACCACATCAGAAACAGGATGAGAGGCAACATCCTAAATAACTAAATTCAGTTCAAACTACATTTTTCATAATTGGACCTACAGTAAATTACTATTAATTTTGAATGCGTTGGAAACGGCAGCAAGTCCTAAGTGTCTCTGATACAGTTGTTGTTTTGAGTTTTACGATTTTTATTTTTATTGCTTTTTTCTGCCTGAGATGTTGCTGTACACTGTACAGTGTTCATGGTTTTAACTGGTTCAGACCGGAGCAGAGGGGATTCATGGTCCGAAACAAGCGGATCAGGCGAAAATCCACTGGAGGACTGAATGACTTTTTGAACAATGCTAATAAAGCATTCAGCATTTTACTTTGGACCAGAGCAGAGAAAATGGTCCGAACCAATGGTTTACTCCACCTTGTCCTGCTCCACCCAGAGGTTACACCATCTCCGCTGCTGTGACCTGACGTGCTGTTGCTTATTGTTAGCTTTTTGAATGATCAATTTGTTTGTTTTGTTTGTGTGGATGGATGTGTTTTTGCTGCTACTGGACACATGAATTTCTCCTACAGGGATCAATAAAGTATCTAACAAACTAACTAAAGAAGAAGTCTTCCCTCTTCTGAGGTCTCCACTGCTCCTAGTTCAGACCCGGAACTGGGTTTAAAATAAACATCCTTATGCTTGTTTATAAAGCCACAGTCTAAATCATAGGTGTCAAAGTCAAGGCCCGGGGGCCAGATCCGGCCCGCCAGACAATTTCCAGTGGCCCCTGAGATGATTTCAAATTATTAAATTAAATAGCAGCATTGATGGTTGTGAATGGCATGTTATCCATTACTAACAACCATAAAACTTAATTCCATAAGAAATGTTAAGCTAAAATGTTATTAGAAGTTAGCATTGTTATGTTTTTTATGAGTCTTCAATTACATTTCTTCTTAAAGATATGAAGGAGGATTTCCCAATTTTCTTAGGAAAGAACCGTCCTCTCCACGTTTTGAACAAAACTGTCTGGTCTTATTTGATGAGCACGAATCACCAGAATGATTGACAGTTGGGAGGACCAATAGTCTTGATGATCCACCCGGAAGTAGAAAATCTTCCCATATACCTTAGATATTTGGTCCAGTTTTGGTTCAGTCCACAGGAACTGAACTAATTCTAATCAGAAAAGAATATCCAATCTAACAAATGTGAAGTCATTTACATAGATACCTTCATATTATAAAAAAGTATAATAAATGAAACCCACTTATTCTTTCGGCCCCTGACCAGCCCTTTCATTTTTTATTCGGCCCTCAACCAAAATAAGTTTGACACCCCTGGTCTAAATCTATGTTGACAAAATAGAAATGGTGCACCAAAATATATACCAATGATTCTTTGCTCTTTTCAGAATCCATGCTCACATTCAACATTATACTCTGGTGTTCTGGAAGTCTCGGACATCGTAGCACCCTCACAAAGATCATAGCAGAGTCCTGAGGAAAGACACAGAGATCTCCATATCTGCATCAGGTTCATTTGTATATTGCTCTAGGTATGGGTTAATCTAAAATATTTTTGACAATATGGTGTTTTTAAAGAGGGATATTCACGCTGGCGCTCTATCAGCAAATCAAGTTGCTTATGGCTAAATTATACTCAACAAAAATATAAACACAAATGCTCCCATTTTCTATGAGATGGACTTAAAGATCTAAAAATATTCCAGATGCACAATATTACCATTTCTCTCAAACATTGTTCACAAATCAATCAGTCCTGTTTCTGCTTTCTGTTATGAAAAGGTTAATTCGGTTTTGAGTTGTTTTTTAAATTTTACTTTATATAATATAAACATTTGTGAAGACATACATATGCGTGGAAACTCAGAAATCAACAAGTTGGCTGGAAATATTCTGTCTTTTATTCCTGTCAAAACAAAGGGCTTACAGTGGCTACTAAGATGGCAATGGGCCATGACATTTGTGGACATCGCTTACTGCAGTTGGAGCTCTCCACAGCTAACACTTTTTAGTGATTTTTTTTATTTCTATGTTTAATTGGATTTTTTTGCAGGTGTGTTTGTATATGTTTTTAACAAATCCCATGACCATCTGAGTGAAATGTGATTGATTCTTTAGGTGGCACTCTCTCTCATTAGAGAGCGCTTCATAAGCAGAACACATAAAAATGTGAATATACAGTAATGCTTTGAGAGACTGCTATTTTCCCAGTTAGAGAGTCCCCTACTTCCCAGTAGAAACCACATCTTTTGATTCAAATGTTGTTGCAAACCTAGAACAAAGAATGTATTTGAAACATGTAAAATACAGCTGAGTGAGATGAAACATGAGCTGAGTGAGATGAGAAGTGTTTCAGTGACTCCATAATGTACAGTCACTATTTGTTCTTATATTCTTTATAACATCTTCATCTATCTTCTTCTTCTGCCAGATTTCTGCACGGTTCAACTCTTCAACGCTTTCATCAATTGTCAAGTGTTACACCAACCTGCCAACGTCATCCTCACGATTCTGATCAGAATGTGAGTCTGAAACTGATCCACTGGGCTGTGACTATGGGCCTTTCCAACCGAACCAGAAGAAACAAATCCTCGTCCAGAGCAACGTGATAAACGCTCCTCATTTCAGTGTAATTTACCTATGATTAAACCATCTTAGGCATATTAGCTGATATGGACTAAACGACTAGTGTGTATTCTGGAAGAATCTCAGTCAGCCTTGGTGTCGTGTGAGAAAATGTTTTGTTGCTGATTATGTTACTGTTGCTCATCGGCCCATCGTTGTATGACGCCCGCCCTGACAGTAGGACTGGTCCGGTCAGGGCCTAAAGTTGGGCTGCACCCAGGCTTGTGTTATTTTTTTTTGGGGAATTTGCCAACACAGATTAGAGAATCAAACAGTTCAAACACATCCATCCATCCATTTTCTTCCGCAAGAAAACACAAGAAATGTAATTATAAAAAACCCACAGAGCCATTGGTCCATAAGGGCAGAGACCAAAGTCCATAAATGTTGAAGTGTCCTGGATCATCACCACTGTCCTTATGTTAGACCCTCCTGCATCAGCAAGGAAAAAATGAGAAACCAAGGAGAGGCCCACATTGAGATGCTGTTCCCATGGACGGACGGGCTTTAGATCCAGGACTCAGGCTACAGAACGAGGCCATGCAATGTAGAGCTGAGGCAGCTCCCAGGCGGGGAGGGGGTCCAGCCCACGAGTCGGGCCAGGGAGGGCAGATCGTAGGTGCCAAAGAAGGAAGCCGGGTTCAGCGGTCCCATCACGCTATGAAACAGAATGGGACCGCAGGTGAATAGCAATGACGTCATAATGAAGACAGATGAAGTAGGAAAGTGCTCAAGTTACTTCTCCAGCAAACTAACTCCATCTGCAGCTTGACAAAAGTGGTTCTGCACTCTCCCTGACTCAGGTTGCCAGATACAAATCCAGCTGGGACCATAATATCTTCACCAGTGAATCTCACTGGTAAAGTTTGACCCGGTGAGTTCTGTAACAAAACAAAAACAAATTTAGGGGCTGTCAAACTAATTTTGAAATCCAAATATCTCTGAACTACGGTTATCAGTTAAATAAGTATTGGAAAATGTTTGTTAATACCTTTTGACAGATTAGGGCCATTTAATGATGCCTTGACATGAAAATCTTACAACCTTGAATATAGCTTGTGTGCTTCTGAGTGGAATGGATATTTTCTTTGAGGATTTAGGTGCCTCCAACAATATTAGTAATATTGGTATTTAGAAAAGTTGCACGGCCTATTGTCATGTTGAAGTCCAGTCCCATAATTATCATTCCCCGCTTCTGTGGTTCCCATAAATTCAGGACATCACTTGATTATCTTTGCCAATGACAAACATAAATCTGCTCCATTTGTCCTTTACACATCGAGCTCAAACGGGATACACTTTGTAGTAATGGGTTCTTCCCTCCTCGCTGTGGTGTAAGCTGATGAAAAAACAAGGCTTCTCTGGGAGCTTGGTTCACCATAATTAAATCATTCTTCATATAAAGTCTATGGGGCCATTACAGCACGAGGACGCCCTCTGCTGGTGCAACACAAAACATACAAGGCCATGCAATGTAGAGTTTACAACTGAGTCTAGACTCAGTTGTAAACGTGATCAGGCTCAATGCGGACTGGTGCATCGCAATTCGATTGTCACAGCACAACAAGGATATTGTGATATTAAATGTATATGCTCCTTATGAATGTAATCAGAATGAAGAGGAGTACCTAAGTAAGCTTGCTTTTATTAGTGCCTTTGTGCAAAATGAAAAGTCCTCCAGTGTTTATGTCATTGGTGATTTAAATGCAAATATCTTAGATAAGAACTCTGTTTTTGTGAGCCACTTAAACATGTTCTGTGCAGATAATCATCTTACACTGTCCAGTAGGGAGCTCCTGCCGGAACAAAGTTACACCTATATAAGTGAAGCCTGGCACACTGTGTCGTGGCTGGACCACTGCATCACTACAGAGGATGCTCATGCTGCTCTGTCAGCCATGAGCATCTTGTATGAAATGTCCAGTGCAGATCATATCCCCAATGGTCATCAGATTTGGCATAATACCCACCATGCAGGAAGTTAAACATATTGAAAGTAAACACCTGGACTGGTCTGCTCTCTCTTCAGAAGAGCTTGCCTGTTTTTGTGCTCACACTGACATGTTGCTAAATAATATTGCGCTGCCAAAAGGAACAGTTATGTGCTCTGATTACAATTGTACAGATGCTGGTCACAGGACATCTATTTCTGTTCTGTACTCCGACATTTCTTCTGCATTAATTGAATCTAGTGCGCCTTTTTGTAAATACAGAAAGAAAGGCCAAATAAGACCTGGTTGGAACTCTCATGTGGCTACTTCCCATGCTGAAGCCCGTGACGCTTGTAAGGCCTGGGCGACTGCAGGAAAACCCAGACAGGGACCTTTGTTTGAGCATAAAAAACGTACAAATGCACAATATAAGTACGCCATTCGATTCCTATGTAAAAATGAGGAAACAATACAGGCTGACTCCATGGCCAATAAGCTTTTAAATAATGACACCAAGGCCTTCTGGAAGCAGGTTAAGGGTATAAATAATAGCAAACCCTGTCTACCTCACACTGTAGATGGAGTCACTGGGTCCCACTCTATTGTAGAACTGTGGAGAAAACATTATTTTAAACTGTTTAACTGTGTCTCAAGTGAACCGTACACTGTCAACAATGTTGACTTTGTGGATTCAATTAAAGTGCATGAGGTACAACAAGCTATTAATATGCTATCAAATAATAAATCCACAGGATTGGATCATATATGTGCTGAGCATCTTAAATATGCCAGTATGAGGCTGGGCCCTCTTCTGGCCATATGCCTCTCTACCTTTGTTGTACATGGTTTTATCCCAGACTCAATGATGTCTGTGTTGTTGGTTCCTGTGATAAAAGACAAAACGGGGAAAGTGGGCAACTCTGATAATTACAGACCAATCGCCCTGGCAAAATATACTGTCAAAAACATTTGAGCAAATCCTTGTGAGCAGGCTCAGTGTTTACATTGGCTCCACGGACAATCAATTTGGCTTCAAAGCCCATCATGGCACTGACATGTGTATTTATGCTTTAAAAGAATTGTTAAGTAAATATAAAAGTAGACAATCCACTGTTTTTATGTGTTTTTTAGATGCCTCCAACGCTTTTGACCGTGTTAACCATGCCAAATTGTTTCACAAACTATGTCAAGCCAATGTTCCTAAATATGTAGTTCGTTGCCTGTCTTACTGGTGTGCCCATCAGACTCTGGAGGTCAAATGGGATAACTGTGTATCTGCACCCTTTCAGGTCAGCAATGGTGTGAGACAAGGGAGTTTGCTGTCTCCAATTTTATTTAATTTTTATATGAATGAATGAAGTGTGTCGCTGGGGATAACATCGTCAACCACTTGATGTATGCTGATGACCTGGTGATCTTCAGTCCGAGTTCAGCTGGTCTCCAGCAGCTGCTTGATGTGTGTTCGGCGTACGGTGAACAAAATATCAAATATGATGAAAGGAAAAGTGTCATAATGACCTGTCGAACCAAAGAGGACCAAGCCCTGGTGTTTCCTGACTTTAAGCTATCTGGAAACATCCTAAAAACTGAAAGCACGGTGAAATATCTTGGTCATATCCTGATGTTGCACGCCCAGGCTAATATTTTGTTGCGTAAATTTGGACACTGTTCTAATGCAGTAAAAGTGGCTTTGTTTCGGGCATACTGCACCCCGCTTTACACCGCTCATCTGTGGGTGAACTATAAAAAAATCCAGCCTACAGAGACTGAAAGAGGCCTACAACGATGCCTTCAGACTGTTGCTAAAAAAGCCCAGATGGAGCAGCGCTTCTGAACTTTTTGTGTCCTGTCAAGTGAACTCACTGCAGGCCAACTTGAGGAACCTAATGTACAAGTTTATGTGTCGCCTGGACAATAGTGCAAATATGATGATTTTAGTGTTGACGAGTAGAGCATACAGTGATGTTCGTTATACCTCTGCACTGTGGAAACACTGGTATAGATGCCTCCTCTAAAGAGATTTGGGGACTTTTAATTGTTTTATGTTGTCTGTTTTTAGTGTGTTGTGTTTTGTCTATTTTTTGTGTTTTGGACTACGAGTCTGTAATAAAAGCTATCTATATCTATCTATAAGATGCATCGACTTTTCTCAGCTCCATCAGCTCAGTGTAAAGCTACAGGATTGATCCAATAGAAAAGCCTACAATAGAGGCCAGGGAGCTAGATCTGGCTCTCACACATTTTAGTAGAATGTTCTATGGATTTGTTTTTTTATACTTAAGAAACGCAAAGAAAGCATTAGTGAAACACTGTAAAGTATGAGACATTTTTAGATCCCAGTTAAAAAGGTGCCCGACCTCTGGCCTAGAGCCTCGTCCTCGCGCAGCTCCATCTCATTTGTACATGACCCTCCAGACCCAACTCACCGGTCTCTTCACTTAGATCTCTGCCCACGTAAAACTGGAAATAAACATCTGTCTCACGTCATGAGGATTATCACAGCACCTGTTGTCTAAGTTTACCGATTTCTCAACCCCCCAAAAAAATAAAATAGCTTGTGCCATATTTATACCTTGTATGCAAATGTATTTATATTTATAGATAGAAAAATGGTATAATGTATAAAATATTGATATATTAATATGCAAATCAAAAATACCCAAATAAGGAATGATTTCTCCTAAATCCCAGAGAATCCCCTTTGGGAAACATGACACTAGTTTCTGACAGGCATTTCTCTAACAAGACCAAAAAAAAAAGTTGACATGATTTTGTTTACCAGACTGCCAACAGAAAACAGACTTAAAGTGGTTCTCACCCCCGCTCCTCAGAGCTTACGTCACTCACATTTCCTGTTCAAATCTTCCTCTAAATGGGCGTAGCCTGGAGGACTAAAGGGGGCGTGAACGAGACTGGGCCATTTACATTGCTCTGGGCGGGGGGCTGCTGACGTCAGGTCCAACTTGCAGACGTCAGGTCCAACTTCTGTGCCAGTGTTGGCGCCAGATTCAAAATTCAAATGTAGTAATACAGGTCGCCAGCAGATGGCGCCTCACAGACGGTTTTAGGCAGAAAGTAACTTTCAACTAATTTGCACCAAAGTGACAAGATTATGACCAGGATATGTAGACAACACTATTGGACACTCATTTAAATCGTTTATCAGCAAAAAAAGTGGATTTGAGGGTGAGTTGTCCTTTGTGATCACTCAAGGTACCACCCAAACTGTCAGTAAAGCCTCACTGGGGTAGAGGAGAGGAATTTAACTGATGCCGGTTCAAAGGACATCGAGTTAAAGCACTAAAACAGTTCTTGGTCAGATAACATACCATTTTTTTTGCATAAAAATTGCTTATTACTTCATACAAGTTGTATTATAACCCGTAATTTAATTGAAAACTTAAGCTCATTGATCCAGCTTCTGCATGAATTCAGTTAAAGTGCCGAGTACGTTCAAACCTTGCAGAAACTGATAGCTCCTTTAAAATGTGACCGACAAACTTCATGGGAAACTACAGCCTTAGGAATCCAGAAGATTGACTTAATTAAAAACACTCAAACATTTCCGGACAAAGTTTTATTATTTAAAAACTGCATAAGAAACAATGGAAATAATAATTTGGGTCAATGTGTGTTTAGGCATTTCTGCAGTAACCAAGAAGGACGCAACATACGATGGCATCAAGCTGCGGTGGGAATGACTTCCGAAAGTGCCAGGAGAGGAACATTCACCAGGCGTCAAACACAATTCTCCTATATCGGCAGGTGAGATTTTACAGTAGACATATTCCGACGCTAAAACTACACGGGCCCCGCCGCAAACGGTTCCAAAATTAAACTCTGCAAACGTGACTTCAAAGACTTGAACGCAGGTCGGGACGCATGCGAAGAGCAGAAACCGAAGAGATACGCATAACGGGGGAGAAAGTTGCCTTTGCGGTCGACTACTGCACGATCAGTCACCACGCCACTGACCACACGGTCCTGGAAATACTGACGACTTAACGAGACAAAAAGAGTCTTAAAATGTTGGCGGCCGGGGAGGATGTGCTCCCGTGCGCTGGATGGACGGGTTCTAACGCATCCTGTACTCTGACGTCTTGGACACCTCGCACAGCTGCCCCTTGAAGTCTATGTCCACGTTGAAGTCCAGGTCTCTCTGCAAAAAGAGAAACAATTTAGCACAGCGTTCAGACAGCGCAACAAAATGAAGAACTCTTGACTTTTGAATTAACACCTTGTATGACTTGGTTCTGCTCACTTCCTTTGATCATTTTCAAAAAACTGGCACAAATTTTATAAATTGCCATATACAAAACAAATTTGAATTCCATTTAGCAAAAGCTTATGTAATCCTACTCCCCATAAAGTAGCTCTGCAGAGAATGGACAAGAATTGTTAAGTTTTGGTCACAGGAGGTATTTACATAATATATTTTAGCAGCTGGGAATACCACTATAACAAAACTATAAGAATGTGATGCAAAATCAATTTGAATTATTGTAATTACCTTTTAAAGAGCAATGATTAAATGTATACGGTGGCACAGTGGCTGAGTGGATAGCACTCTCGCCTCTCAGCAAGAAGGTCCTGGGTTCGAATCCCGGCCGGACCAGGGCCTTTCTGAGTGGAGTTTGCATGTTCTCCCTGTGTCTGCGTAGGTTTCCTCCGGGTACTCCGGTTTCCCCTACCACTAAAAATATGTACAATAGGTCTGGCATGCGCCTCCTGTTCGGCGACCCCGCTCCCATCTCTGTGTGGAGTGAGAGGACAAGTGCCCAAAAAATAACAATTGTAAACCGCTTTGTGACTCTGGTCTGTGAAAGGCGGTATATAAATAAAGCTTACTTACTACTTACTACTATAACTTATGGCCAGCAGCTTTCTCTGAACACACAAACCCAGTGATTGGACAGACCAGCTCACAGCCTGAAACCCCCTGCTCTGAGTTTTACCCTCCCACGGTCCCAGTCTTAAAGGGCAAGAGTGGCTCGTGTGCTTACGTTGTTCTTGCTATTGGGCTTCATGCTGATGGTGCCAAAGATCTCCTCTCCAGTTTTGACAGTCAGGTAGTCATCCAGGTAGAACACAGTCTGCTTCCAGTGAGTGTATGGAGACTCTGGGCCTGGGGAGAAGTGACAGTATTAAATATACCCTTTTATAAAACCGCAGTTTCAGAAAACTAATACTGCACTTCTGAATAGGCAAGATTTGCTGTTGTGAGCCTAAACCTAACATGACACATATTGTAACTATGTACAAATAAGTTTTAGTTGTGATCAGTGGTGGGTTTACAGGCCCTATTTCCAGAGTTTACACCAATACAGCTTAAACTCTTTCATCCGAGACTCACTTGTGGAAAAGCCCGTCCTCTTGTGGCATCGTGTGAACTCAATGTTGAAGTAGGTGACCAGGGCGTGGATGTAGTCGTTCCTCTTCACTTGGAGGCAGAAGGGCGAGGTGAAGCTCAGGTCCTCTGCCTTGACCGTGTAGATGTCCACTTCCTGAAGAGAAAGGCAGAGTGTGAGGAAACTCCACACTTTTCCATTGAAGAGGAGAAGGTGATTAACTCATTGACCGCCATGAACGCATTTGTCTGAGACTGGTTATTTCTGTCAAACTTCCCTCTGTTCGACTGGAGATTACAGGACAACAAAAATAGCCAGAAACAAACTTATTTTTGCTGATGAAAGACAATCCAGTTTCAGAATTTGGTTTCATATTTCATTAGCACATCATATTCTGTGGGTCTTCAGTTAAATCATCAAAAAGGACTGGCAGTCGATGAGTTAATGGTCCTTGTTCAATTTAACGTCAAGAGAGTGACAGAAGCGTGGCCAGTGGCTGTATGCATGTATACTAGGGCTGGGAACAGTAGGAATTCTCAGGTACTTTTTACCATACATGCTTATAGTAATATATTTCAGGAAAACCAATCAACCACCCACCGTTATTTAATCATTGAATCTGTGTCGGAAATGTTTCATTCTATGATCTATGCAAATCGACAGCTTTGTAAAGTCCTGAGACGACTTGTGATTTAGAAAAATGCATTTTGACTAATACATGCGTTTTAGTATTTGAAAACTAATATGAGAATGGGTGTAATAAATCATGGGAACACACCACTTTGGAATTAGCCTGTGGGCCTTAAGACGTTTCTAATGGAAATGTGGAAAAAGCATTATTTTTTCAGTTTCTTGTCAGCATTCAGTCCACTTGTTATGAATGTTCTATTCATTACCATACAATTGCATTTTTACTGTACCAGCCTTTGAGAGTTCCTAATGGTACAGAAAAAATGCAATTGATCAAAAATGTGTTATATTCTGTGTTGAATCATTAAACGTATACAGAGACAAGTGTGGCCTGAGCCTGTTTGAACCAGTGGGGGAAGGTCCCAGCTCAAAAGTGGCCAAAATGACGTGCGCTGACATGCTGCAATACCACCCCGGGCCTGTGGGGGTGGACCCAGAAGTAGAATTAGCCAATGCTAACATATAGCATTGGCAGACCTCTCGAAAACGTCTTTACAGGATGGACCAAAAGTTGGCTCTTGGCCCAAAGCTCCGTTCCACATGTGTGTCAATGCTGAGGAGGGTGTTTTGGTCCACTCTAGTTTACTTGCTGTGAATTTTTGAAGTCTCTCGTTCAAATGAATGGAGTTGCGCCGGCTGACGCATGCGCAGATGCGTTTTTTCACAATTTTCTTGTGGGCGGGACCACTTGCGGCCATTTTGGATTGCTCCAGTAGAGCACATTTTTTGGCCTATTAGGCCAAAACGGAGGAGATAGGCGTGACTCTGTATACAAACGATAGACTGTATATATTAACGGACAGAGTCTGAGGAAAAAGTATTAAGCTAGCTCTCCACATTCTCTGCTCACGGAGAATGTTATCAGTGAGAACAGAGCACTTTAATGATTTGCACTGGTTTTGAAACAGTTTTAGTCGATCGATTTTACAGTGACATTTGTTCACCGTTTTTTGTTATTTCTGTCTTTTAATGTTTTATTCATTTGTCTGTGCACACTGGAGACTTTTTGCTAATGTATTCCAATGTGGTGTTTTTACTGTAAATGGCAAATAAATAAACTGAACTGAGAAGCAGCGACCGCAGCCACCGAGGAAGTTACCTTGATGAGACAAGCGCTGCTGACCAGCTGCTTGGGGTCCACCACGTCCACCAGCGGCTCTTTGATCGCCACTTCCTTGATGCATGACATGTCGAACCCATACACGTTCTCCCACCCTGGCGAGAGGAGCACGAGAAGGTAAATTTAAAAGCGGTGGTAAAAGTCAGGTTAATGGTTGTGTTGTGGGCTTCATACATTACAATGAGGAATTAAACACCATAACTCGCATATAGATTCCAGCTCAAAGGGCTTTCTATTCTAATTTATTCACGAGAAATCTGATTGTGTTCATGATTCATTTATTGCTTATGTTTTAAAATCTAAATAATTTAATAGTGTTCTAATGGGAAAACTCTTGCTACATTTAATTCATACACGTTACTCACAGTGGATTTTGTAGTCCTTGTACTGTCGGTCTTCGATGGCAGTCACATAGAGAGTGGCTCGGTCTGGAAAGATCAGGCCGTCTGGTTTCTGCAAATCACAGATCAGTTTGTACGGGCCCCAATCTCTGACTGGAAGATTCAGTGGCAAGAAACAAATTAAGAACAGTTTTACAAATACTGGCTGCAATGTGTTTTATGGTTGCATTTCCCTTCTTTAAACAGTTTTATACTCAGAGCTGTTCGCGAATCGACAACTAAGTCCTTTCTTGGAGACTGCCGTTGTATTGGGGCAATACACACCGCATCCTCACGGGAAGCAAAACATTTCACCAAACTAGATACGAGCAACATGTGGTTATTAGTGCCACAAGAAACACTGAAGTCTCAAAGAAAAACATACTACGCATTTTGTGGCAGATGTGTACTTTTAGAAGACAGTTAAAAACGAATCATTTAAGTCTAAAGTATTTTAAGTGAACCAAATGCGATATTGTTACACTGACTGCAATCTTAGTTTCCAGCTCAAACAACCCTGGCCTGGAAGCTACGCGAGCCGAGAGTATACGCACCAGCCACTTGTCGCGGGCGTACAGCACCGTGTTGAGCATGGACTCGTAGAAGAGGCAGTAACCCATCCACTCTGAGATGATGATGTCCACCCCGTCCACAGGCAGAGTCACCTCCTCCACCTTCCCTTTGATGATGGTCACCACTGTGGAGCAATGACGGCTTTAGAGACAGTAGACAGATGCTCACAAGTTTTGAGCAGCAACTTTAAAATGAGAAATCATTTTTAAAAACCGACAAGCAGGTTTTGATGCAACAGGGAAGGGACTTAACTCACCATCATCTAGTTTGTTAGCCTTGACGATTTTCACAGCATAGTCAGATATACTGCTGCATTCGATCTGTAAAAACACACATCCTTTCAAACTGTGCCCCAAAGGTCTGCTGTGGTGTTAAATTGAGGCGTCTACAAAGAGTTTGTTCTTAATTTGTGATCAATTCAAAGTCATCCCTTTGTCAGACTATGATGTCACGGACAGCCATTTTGTGCCTTTCAAGTATTGCCTCCAAAAACAAACTTATAAAATGTTGGCTTTGAAGGTCTACTATCAGAGTCACGTGTTGTACCATCTATCAAACAGTCAAATCCATTCTATATGCGCAGATCATGTGATTGAGCGTTTAATGGGGAACAATTTAAGACTCCAGACTCACCCCAATGACTTGCTTGGCCCCCGCCTTTGCAGCAAACATGCAGAGAATGCCTGTACCGCTGCCCACATCCAGCACCACCTTGTCTTTGAACAGATGCTTGTTGTGGAACATGGAGTTGCGGTAGGTAAGAGTGCGGACCTCGTCTTTCAGCATCTCCTACAGAGTGGAGGGGTTAGACACAGATGGACGGTGGCGGCCTCTTTTGTAAAGGTCAGATCGTGATGCAGTACCTCATGGATGCCAAAGTGAGCGTAGGAGTCAAAGTAGTAGTCTTTGGACGTCATGTCTTCGGCCGCAGGCTTGGGCAAGTTCTCCGCCTGTGACACCTGCGAAAGACAAATAAGTCAGGGGAGAGAATCCAATGGATTTGTCACAGGTTGAGCACTTTGCTAGTTGTCTCTTTTGGAGAATCATGAACATTTGACTCGTGTATATTTTATAATACAACCGAGACACCATTGCACCACGCTGGCTCATCGCACCAATTTTGGTTTATTTCTGCATCGGAAGGGAAAAGTATCTGCCAACTTGATCTGACTTCGGCTTTCCTACTACGTACACACGGTGGGACTGAATATGGAAGTGGGCAGACTTATTTTGGGGCATTTTTATTTTTAATCTATACAACAGTAGAATGACATTATGGTAAAGCCACTGAAACACTAGTTTGATTTTATACAAAAATCTAAAATGTCTGCAGTCACTAAACGTCAATCCAACGATTGTAAATTTAAAGTTATTTACTGTTAAAATATCTACATATCCTTCAATGTTCACCATGGTCTTAAGTTAATATCAGAATGCAATATTTATATTTAGTCACCTTTTCTGCACAGTTTTCAGCCTGATCGCAGCTGTCAGCCTGTTGAGTAGAAATCGGTAGTAATTTATAATGAATTTGTTTTTTATGTACCACGATATGAGTCACTGAAAGGGTAATGCCGTTTAAAGTATAGCCCAAGTCATGCTTCTTCGCCCACCACCGTTAAACAAAAACCAAATAATCATAATTTGTGAACAAGTTCAATTAACAGTCATGATTAAATAATAAATTCAATTGGACATAGGAAAGCTCCGCCCACTCTGGAACTTTTAGAACCTGCTGCGTGGTAGATAGAAGTAACCAGATGACAACTCAACATGGAACACTTTTATAATTAAACTTTCGGGGTACTTTGGGGGATTTGGATTTTGCAACCTGGAAGTTCCGCTTAGTTCCCGAGCATTATTCGGTAATACTGCACTTTAGTGTAACAACCTAATATAAAACCTATCACAAAGAAAACGGAATTATACTGTAACAATAACTAGATTCAATCACGAAATCGACATTTGTACATTTTCTCCACACATGGGACCACTCTTGAACTGAGCGCTGCAACACTGGAATTTCTCCATTGTGAGATTTCCAACGCTTATTAGTTATATTGTTCAGAAAGCGGGGGTACGCAGTTTTTACTACGATAAAATGTGTATCGTCTGGTGTAATATATTTAATTGACGTCAGAATGAGAAATTTAAAATCCATACAAAGGAGGCTATATCCAGACAGGACAATGAACGCATGTCTCTGATGCATTCCTTGGCTGAAACAAATCTGTGAGGTATAATCACACATTTTATTTAATGTGATAGAGCTGATAATAAAGAAAGGGCTTTGAGCGAAGTACACCCTTTCGATGCGAAGTTTGAATGAGTCGGCGCCATCATTGAAGGAGACCTAGCACTGGAGCTAACCCATGCGGTGCTCTGCTAGCGGGCAGACCGGCCCAGGCTTCAGCGCCCTCAGCCGGCCTCACATCGGCTCCAACCGCGTCGACACCTCGTCCTCAGACTACACCCAACACCACCTCCCGATCCAACACCCAAACAGCGCCACATCTACTGAAGCGTGATGCGTGCGTAGACAATGGTAATCACCGCAATTCCATATAAAGGCCGACTGACTGACTGTGGCTGGTCCGTGCGTAGATTAACACACAAAAACTAAAAAACACGGAGCACAAGCCTCCTGAAGTGTGTTTGTGAATGGTGCAAGAGTGCGGGAAAGTGGCGAGCCCTCACCTCCATCCTCTCGGTTGGAGCCGCCATTTCGTTGTCCGCGCAGCAGCAGCTTGGCCTCGTGAGATGATGCGGCTCCGCTAATATTCAACACTTCCGGGATCCCGCCTCCTTGGATGAGAGCGCCACGCTGATTGGACAGAAGCCCTGATAGAAACGCCCCTACTTTAAGGGCTCAACTTCAAACAATTACACAAATTCACTGCGTGTAGTCGAAACAACATACTAGAGCATTCATGTAATACTGCATATATATAATTTTACGCTGACATCAATTCAAACATAAAAAACGTGTTTAGATTAATTTTATCAAATTAATTTTATCGAATTAATCTAAATACGTTTTAAAATACATCTGTAGATATCATTTATCTACAGATGTATACTTACAAGTGCCGTATATATTTATCGCATTAGAGTATATAGTATTTTATACCTTGCTTCTTTATTAAGCTAAAGATAGGGATTTTACTTACTATTTTTGAAGCATAGTGAATTGTGCTAAATGCTGTTAATATTCACATATCATATTTCATATAAATAATAACGCATCTGTCTTATAGCTTTTCTGTACATTCGAAGACATTTCACATGTCATTAATCATTCCCTTCTTACACAGTGGTGATTAACTACTTCTGTAGCCACAGCTGCCCTGTGGTACACTGACAGAAGCAAGGCAACCAGTCTGTGTCATTGGCTACTCTGATCATCACCAATATAATTTGAGACAATGTAGGTGAAAGTTCTTGCCTTAGGACACAATAGCAGTTAGGCACTTCACTGTCACAGCTGTCCCACTATGGCATCTGGTGTTCTCAGAGGTCTCCCATTACAATACTTACCAGGCCCTGCCCTGCTCAGCTTCAGAGCTCTGAGGATCAAGCTTTCATGAACAGGCATGGCCACATGTGTGCCCCTCATTCCTACTCCTCTGTAACTTGTAACCCTAAGAACTGCACACACCATTGTGATAAGTAAAAGATAAGAGATCCTTTATTCGTCCCACAGTAAGGACATTTCAATGTTGCAGCGCGTATACAGGACAGTAGTAAAAGCACACAGGGAGTACACAAAAATATACAAAATAAGTAGTAGCTATGTTTCTTAACTAATGCTTGTGAATTTAAACTCTTCTGATGGTTTATGGAAGCTGATATCATAGGCTGTATTTTTTATTCAGATCACTGGCCAACGGTCCTCAACCCGCAAAGAATTGTGTTGCATGAGTATCAAATAGGATTTTGTTTATTGTCAAAAGAGATGTTGATTTTGTTGACCAGCTTTTTAATATTGTCTAATATGGTAATAAACACACCTTTTTCTCTTTGAAATAGCCGTCAAATAATTTACTAATCGATGCATTCTTTTAAAATTGTAAATAGATAATAATAAGGAAATGAAAACTTTTTTCCAAAGCATTTTTTATCAAACAGCCCAACACGTTATGTGTATGAAGAGGTTCTCTAGCGGGTTTGGGCCAAATATATAAAAAATACCATATTCTCTGACCTTTTGGGATTGAAGCAACTAATCGATTAATTGAAAGAATGGAATGATCAGCAATCAACAAGCTTACCCCTAACAGAATAACAGTCCAGAAAAAACAGCTGAGACAACTTGTCCCCCAGAATTCTGCATCAAATGTAATATTTGATAGTGGATATAAGTAGACATTTGCAAAGATACTGACTACAAGAATACAGTAATATAACAACACTGTTTGTGAAGTTTGTGAAGGGGCGACAGTAGCTCAGTTGGTAGAGCATTGGCCTTAAGGCCAGAAGGTCGTGGGTTCAATTCCCACCTCTGCACCTTCTCCATCGACTCCCACTGATGACTGCTGTCGTTGTGTCCTTGGGCAAGACACTTAACCCCACTTTGCCCAAAGCCCCCACTGAAAGATCAAGGCTATGCTCACACTCAGAGAGCAGCCGTCCTCCTGTGGACTCACCACCTGCAGAGGGTCAGTGAGGGGCTGGTGCTATGAGACTTGGGTGGCATCTCTGACTGCCACCCCCCTGACCCAGAAATGGATTAAAGGGTAGAAAATGGATGGATGGATGGATGTTTGTGAAGTATAGCAATTCAGGAATAATTAACAGATGGCAGTGAATTGATTGAAAAACAAATGAGTAAATAGTCTAATTTCAATCATTGCAGGAATAACAGCAACCGATATCATAGCAGTGCATCAGGTGGGGGCAAGAGGGTCCTGAACTAACATGTGGACCATGACTGTCACCCCCTGCTGGACACATGGCTCTGGAGAGCAGATTCAGTGACAGACTCTCCTACACCCTTGCTGTGTGTAGGAGAGGTTCTGCAGATCTTTCCTTCCTGCTTCCGTCAGACCGTACAATGAGAACTGCTGAGTCTGTACATCTCATCTGAAAATAGCAACATTTGGAATACTGCAGTTTCAGAATGTCCACGAATGTCATTTTATCTACACATTATCCTGCCAGATAATAGAACGAACTTATGGAAAAAACCAAGACCCGATCCTAGAACCTTTCCTGATTCTCGGGAATGGGAAGCCCCTATCTGACGCTATGCACCAGTATTCGATACCAGTAAAGACTGGTTCTGGTTCTGGTGGCTTCCTTATAGACCTGTGAGGCTGTAGTTCGTAGTTCTATAGATCGTACTTTTATAGTTCTGTAGTTCGCTGACCCATGCACTGACCCTTGTGCCGAAGCTCGTGCGCACAGGCCAAGCTGAGCTGCGTGCGCGTGCATGTGTGCGTCACGCGCTCGCGCTGCTGGAGCTGCGGTCACGAGCCTGATCCAGTACCGAGCCTGAAGTGGAGGCTGAAGTGGAGGCTGGAGAAACCCAACGCCATCACACCACGCACTGCAGCCATCCCGTGTGTGTGGCCCACACAGAGGCATCACAGAGCGGCCAGAGCGTGTGTACGGCCCGCTCCTGCAGAGTGTTGTGCAGCGGTGATGTATGCCTCCTTTGAAGGGTACTGCTAGGCAGCTAGCTAGCTAGCTGCTAGTCTAGCTTTGCAGTGCGTGACTGGAAGTATTCCTCATAGTTTAGTCTTCATTTGCCGTACCTTTTCTTCTGTAAGCTTAAATAAAGGACGCTAGCAGTGCTAGGACCCGGACCTGGACCTGAGCCGCTCTGCCCGAGCCACAGGAATTGAATGAAATAGCTGCGGTGGTTTAGCGGAAACAGACTGGAGCAGAGCTGAGGCTGACCGTCATTAAGCCTCATTACACTACTTCACCTGTGACACGCACGGGTACGGGTACCCCACCAGGCCTGCCCCAGAGGACTGCTCCTGGAGCCACTGACAGCGGCACACCGACACCTCTACATCAGTCCCCGTTAGCAGCAGAAGGACAGAAGCTGCCAAAATGCCCGCTGTGTCCAAAGGAGATGGAATGCGCGGATTAGCCGTCTTTATCTCAGACATCAGAAACTGTAAGTCATGCCGTCTCTTTCACACACTCCTAGGACCTGGGCTAGTGCCATCTGTCAGTTGTGAATGATGACAGCTTGGGACAACAGACGTAGATGGAGGGACCGAGGGACAGACCTGGAATTTCTTCAGTCTTCACAGACTACTTGTACCTATTCTGACTTCTGGCAGTTGTGCTGATCATGCTCAAAAGTAGCCATTAGCTCAGGGTGGACAGGATCCGTGGTAATTTTGTGTAAGAGGTAATGGGTTGCTGCATCATTTTGTGTGAAAAAGGTACATATTGGGTTCAGCAGCAATTTCACCTCAATGATGCACCATTTCATTCTGTGAGGATGCAAATGCAGCATAGTCAACTGATCTAGAGTCAATACTACAGTTTATACAAATGACGAATCAGTAATGCGTTTATATATTGGGCTATGGTATCTGCAATGTCAGACAATTCTAATTTAATTCTATCCTAATTGGTAAGTAGTTCAATATCAATACCACTTTGTTAACATGTTTGTGTTTCCTGCGTTTCCCCTGCAGGTAAGAGCAAAGAAGCTGAGATCAAAAGGATAAACAAAGAGCTGGCAAACATCCGCTCCAAGTTTAAAGGCGACAAAGCTCTGGACGGATACAGTAAGAAGAAGTATGTGTGCAAGCTGCTCTTCATCTTCCTCCTGGGCCATGACATCGACTTTGGGCACATGGAGGCGGTCAACCTGCTCAGCTCCAACAAGTACACAGAGAAGCAGATCGTGAGTACCTTACTGCCACAGAGTAGTGACAGACTTCAGGAGGACATGTAGCACGCAAAACGTTCATGTTGTTTAAAACATTCCATATATTTTATAGAGCTTGGCCAGCACAATATAAAAATATATATATATTGCTGGCAAATACAGTATTCATTACAACTTGGATGCCAGCAGATGGCAGTGATGTCTAGGCCTGTCATTAATATTTGATGGGCGAAATATTGATACAGATATGTAACACAATAAAGGAACATTTTGGAACGACTGTGTCAATGATGCAATCACAAAACGGCAGGAGAATCCTCGTGAACCAATTTCAATATGTCTTTATTTAAAAGTCATAAGCTGCAACAATCAGACATAAAAGTCGTGTATCCTGCAACACAGGAAGTTACAAAGGAGACACTCACATACTGATGCTGTCATGTTTTACTGATTTCACCTTTGGAAGCATTGAAATAATGCAGACGGCTGTAGTAACAATAAAATAGTGTCATATCATCTAAGCGCTCAAAAGGAAAAACTCTGCATAAGTAATGAGCCATGCATTTGTATATTTTAAATATAATTATAGGATATTTATTTTCTAAATAAACATTCACATATCAAATTGGATTCTTAAAAAGGTATGGAGGTATTTTTAAAAAAGGTTTAGAGCTACTCTTTCCAATTGATCAGGCATTTGCAAAGTCGACCAATCTTGGCCTCCGTGTCACTTTATGTGGCTCTCCACCTTGATAACCCAAAGTTTCATCAAGATCTTACTGTGTCATCCAGCTAACTTCAGCTCCATCAGTCTTTACCTCACTGTATAACTGTGAAAACTCAGAATCCTGTCATTGACTTTGTTGACTATACCGCCATCTATTTGTGATCATGACACAAAATGTATGTGGTGAAAAGGAAGCTACTGAAAATAAAAATGATTAAAATCAGCTTCAGTTTTGTCACAGTCCAACAGGGTTCATTTGGTCTTCTGATCTACAAGATGATTCTATTTTTAAGACCAGAGGAAGAAACTGTTATCACTTTAGTCAAATTATCTCGGAGGACTTCACAAAACCGTTGAATTCGCCAACACAGATCAGAGAATCAAACAGTTCAAACACAAGAAATGAAATGATAGAAAACACATAGGTATTGGTTCATTAGGGGCGGAGACCAATATCCATATAAGTTGTTAAATGTTGAGTGTCCTGGGTCATCAACACTGTCCTTATGTTAGACCCTGCTGCATCGGCAAAAAGAAAAACTCTAAAAACCCGTGGGCAAAGGTGAGAAACCAGAACTCAGGCTGCAGAACGAAGACCAAGGCCTCGGGGTGCAGGCCTCTGGGTGGACTTTCTTATATCTCTCTGGAACTAGCATTAGCTTTGGTACTCAACAGCTGATATGAAAATGAAATGCACACATTGGCCCCATTGCATAGCAGCAGTATATTATCCGTAAAATACGGTAGTCAATTTGCATGTGTATTTTTACCCTTTCCCAAGTCACATCTCGAACGAACAAGTCTGGCGAACTAAAGTAGCCCTATTTCATTAAATATTTTCATGAAGACAAATTGTGTTCTTGGTGCTGTCTGCTCTCCGTCTGATGGCTGGTGTTTCTCCCCAGGGCTATTTGTTCATCTCGGTGCTGGTCAACAGTAACAGCGAGCTCATCCGCCTCATCAACAACGCCATCAAGAACGACCTGTCGAGCCGGAACCCCACCTTCATGTGCCTGGCTCTGCACTGCATTGCCAACGTGGGCAGTCGCGAGATGGCCGAGGCCTTCGCCAGCGAGATCCCGCGCATCCTGGTTGCCGGGTGAGTCATGGGACAGTAGGGGGTGTGTGGGGCTGGGTCAAAAGACGGTGAGGAGTGCGTGGGGGTGAGTCATCCATGTCAAGTATTGCCCTCTGAGAACAATAGTCATTAAAACACCACACTACAGGTGCTGGACTAGGACTACAAAAAGGTCTCAAGCAGGACTGAAGCAGGACTAGAGTGGAGAATGGAGCGGAGAATGGAGCGGAGAATGGAGCGGAGGGACTAGGAGCGGAGAGGCTAGAACCCGCTAGAGACTAGAGGGCGAGAGACTAGAGGGCGAGAGACTAGAGGGCGAGAGACTAGAGGGCGAGAGACTAGAGGGCGAGAGACTAGAGGGCGAGAGACTAAGTGTGTACCATGTCCCGTGCAGAGATACCATGGACAGTGTGAAGCAGTCTGCCGCCCTCTGTCTGCTGCGCCTCTACAAGACGTCCCCAGACCTGGTGCTGATGGGGGAGTGGACCTCACGAGTGGTGCACCTGCTCAACGACCAGCACATGGTAGGAAACACGCTTTCATCCACAGAATAATGTGGCTACATCTATGCACTTGTCCAAGAGGCTCATGTTTCAGTTATTGAGCAGGGCTAACGTTTCAGGTGGAGTGCAAGGGGCCATTAGTTTTGTGTTCTATTCATTCGTACAAGATTGTGCAATATTATGTCCAGCCCCAACGGGCAAAGGCCAGGATCTTCAGCTGTACTGTGGATCTGTAGGAGATTCCTTTCCAGTGCCTTCACATTTGTAGCCTGGTCTTAGCCATACGTGAAATGCATCAATTATAATTTCCTACATGTACGTCTGGGTCTGATCCTAGTGGCAGCAGTTACCTCGGTTGTATCCCCTCTGACCAACCAATGTTGTAGGTAGGTGTCAATGACGTCAAGAGTTTGCACCGATTTGTTGGTTGTAGTTTGGTGGCGAATGCGATAGTAAAGTAATGTGTTCAGGTTCAGCTCCAAATATCAAGAATTTTAAGCTGGAGAAAGAGTAATGTTTAGCAAATGTCATTGCTGCAAAGATGTTGTGGCTCTACTCTCTACCGGCTCCGTTAGTGGCAAAGGAGATGGCTGAAACTAGGCTAAATGCTAAATGCTAGCAACTCACTTAGGCGCATTGCATATGTCTCAGCAAACTCAGATCGTTTCAATCTGCAAAATAAGTTAACCCCTCCCACCTGTTAACGGAGCTCAATGGAGAAAATCCAGTCCTTTGTTTGAAATGAAATTTGTACGATGGCGTCTTAAGACCAGGCTACAACATACGGCTTGGCCCCAGAGAAATAGGTTAAACACTAGTGAGTTTCACAGTTTGAGAAGCCTCCAAAAATTGAAAAGTTATTCGACCTCATGTATTTTGTGTGTGATCAAAATTGTGCAACATTTATGAGAATTGTTAGTTGCAGAAATGAATTTAATTTCCCATTCCAAGTTATTGTACTGTCTCGTTGAGTAGAGATGCAGTCAGGCTTGATCCAAACCCAGGAGAGTTTGGTCTGAACTCAAGTCTGAATCTTCTTCAAGCCCCAACACGGCTATAGCCTTGTTTAATTTTTGTTGTTGTTGTAGTGCATGCGATGCTGTGAGGGCGACAGTGCAGGTGTCTCAGCGCAGAGCAGATGATGAAAAATAGTTCCAATCAGCGAGAGCACACGTTTGCATTTAGGAGCGTCCCTAATGTGTTTTCCCATTTGGCTTGTATCTCTGTGAATGAGTTGAATCTAAACAAAATGCAAAAGCTTACCAAACGCAGAATGTGTCTGTGCTGGAGTCATCAGTGAAACTCTGTCATTTACGCCGTGTGAGGATTTAAAGTGATTGATTTCCTCCAGGTATGTGCTTTGCTTTTTGCCTCTGTGTGTGTCTCCCTTACTCACAGCAGGAGTAGGAACAAGGAGAAGGGAAAGGGGAAAATATCTCTGCTGTTTTACAAGTATCATTAGTTTTAGGCTTATTCTTCTGTAAAAATGTGTTTTCTTTTTGCTTTAGTACGGCCCACCTATATTTCTGTTACCAAGATAATAACAGACAGAATTCAATCTGGAGCCTTATAAATAGACGTTGGCAAGAATGAGAAAACCGAACCCGAGTGATATCATACAGATTAATCTCATCCCGGGTTCAAACCAGTCTGATCCTGACGGTCTAAAATTCAAGAGCCGTTTATTGCTTCAGATTTTTTATTTATATTCACAATAATAAACAAAAAAGCTGGGGTTGGGTTAATACATTTTCCTCATTAACCGCTAAAAAATAGATTCAGGCGTCTAGTCATTCCAGCTCCTCCTACAGCCTGCAGTGTTCCCCTGACGGCTCCTTTTGCACCTCCTACTGAGGACCACTGTCTCCCTGCTGTGTCCCCTGATGCTCCTGCTGTGTCCCCTGATGCCACTGTCGTCTCCCCCTGCAGACATTTCCCTTTTCCGTCTGCTTCCCCTGATGCGCAACGCCCAATCTCCCATTGTTTCCTGCCCAGAAGTGATCGGACACTTTTGGACTTACAGTTTATTCGTTAAGGCGCGTTCAGACCAAAAGCTTCAAAAAGCTTTTGACGCGCTTCAACTGACGCCGGGATAGTTTTGTCATTTTGGTGCTTGAAGCTTTTGACGCGAGTGACGCGCCTGACGCCGGTGGGAGGAGCTTCTCTGTTGCCTGTAGTCAGGACAGCGGTGGATTTTTCAATGAGCAGCGAGCCTTTATTTGTTATATAAAGCAAAATAACGTTGTTGTAGGGCTTCAACAAAACATGTTCTGGGTTCACCACAGACTTGAGAGGCTGCAGTGTTTGCAGAGTTCCGTCATTTACTCCAGGAGCTGCGTACGGAGGAGTTTCGCTTTCAGCGGTACTTCCGCATGTCACTCGCCCAGTCTGAGTTCTCAAACCCCGGAGCTCGCCTCTCCCCGGCTCTCCCTGCCTCTCCGCGGCTCTCGCTCGCCTCTCCGCGGCTCTCGCTCGCCTCTCCCTGCCTCGCTCTCGCCTCTCCCTGCCTCTCCCTGCCTCGCTCTCGCCTCTCCCTGCCTCTCCCTGCCTCTCCCCGCCTCTCCCCGGCTCTCGCTCGCCTCTCCCTGCCTCTCCCCAGCTCTCGCCCGCCCGGAGCTGCCTTGCTCTGAGCCAGACTCATCGTCAGCCTGTTCTTATATTAAATAAACTACGTTTACTACACAGCATGTGTACAATGATTTTTGTTACTCAGAATGTTACTACTCATACAAATAATATTACTAATAACAATAATGACAATAAAACAGCAGCAGCAGATACATGACTTCTCTCCATGACAGAGACAGACCCTCTGCTGCTGCTCCTCGTCTCCTGATTGGTTGAAGCCCGCGTCAAAGCTTCAAAAGCTCAGCTTTGCTCAACTTCGGCGTCAAAGGGATTGTTGTGATACGCGAGCGTTTCGCGCGTCAAAAGCTTCAAGTGAGCGCGTAGTACGCGCGACTCTTGAAGCTTTTGACGCGCGTCAAGTGACGCCGGGGCTCTCGGCTTCACCTGACGCGCTTCACCATTCACTTTCAATGGAAACCTGACGCTTTTGACGCCGAAGTTAAGTCCGGTGTGAACGCCCCTTTAGTCTTGTGCTGATTTAAAGCTTTATTAAGCCAAAATAATGTGATTTTGACAGTAGCCAGAGCAGCTCAGGCACATGTAAAAGTAAAGGCTTTTAAAAAATGCATTTTACTTTCAATTTATTCACATATAGCCCTAAATCACAGTTATCTCAGAGGACTCAGAGAATCAAACAGTTTAAACACAAGAATTGTAATGATAAAAAACGCATAGAGCCATATTGGTCAGGGGCAGAGACCAAGGTCCATAAATGTTGATATTTAAGCCTAATATGACTAATTGAAATGATCTTGGCTCTATTTTTATTGGCAATAAGTCAAATTACATTTTACTCAGATGAATAAAAGCCACAGCAGAAGTCCATGTCCTCACCTTCATCACCTCCAGAGTCTACTGCTGTGAAAGCCTCCACCATGGTCCCCCCCCCCCTCATCTCCAGAACTTTGCCTGATCCTGCTCATCCACACCCACTGCAGAGACCACATCACTCCCGTCCTCAAACAACTCCACTGGCTCCTGGTCCCATTTTTTCCACTGTTTCCCGGCTCTAATAAAGACACACATACCGCATTTTAGTAGATAAACATATTTAGTTTTAGTTGAGAATATGTGGTATGTTTCTTTTGTTGAATTTGATTATTTGCTGGTTTGGCAGTTTATGTTGGATTCTGCTTGGTTTTCTAGCAGATTGTTACAGTCACTTTCTGGTCTCAAGAACAAAAACATCTTTGCTTAGTTTAACCTGAGCTGACTACGAGCTGCTTTTGTCTCGCCTCTTCTCATCTTGCCCTGTGTCAAACCTGTGTCTGCTCCTTGTGTGTCTGCAGGGTGTGGTGACGGCAGCCATCTCTCTGATCACCTGTCTGAGCCAGAAGAACCCAGACGAGTTCAAGACCTGCGTGTCCCTGGCCGTGTCCAGACTCAGCCGGGTGAGTTAGGACCACCACCACTCACTTCCATTCACTGTTGCCAAGGAAACACACCCACACTGTGACATAAGCATTCATTGGATACGCATAGATAACGCATAGATACGCATAGATACGCATAGATAACGCATAGATAACACATAGATAACCATAGATAACGCATAGATACGCATAGATAACGCATAGATACCGCATAGATACCGCATAGATACCGCATAGATACCGCATAGATACCGCATAGATAACCATAGATAACCATAGATAACCATAGATAACCATAGATAACCATAGATAACCATAGATAACCATAGATAACCATAGATAACCATAGATAACCATAGATAACCATAGATAACCATAGATAAGCATAGATAAGCATAGATAAGCATAGATAAGCATAGATAACGCATAGATAACGCATAGATAACGCATAGATAACGCATAGATAACGCATAGATACGCATAGATACCCATAGATAACCATAGATAACCATAGATCAATCAATCAATCAATCTTTATTTATAGGGCGCTTTTCCTGCACAGGGCAACACAAAGCGCCTCACAGTCCACACCACACAATGCACAAATCATCACCATTAAAATACAATTAAAAACACATATGTAATTAAAAAGCATTAAAATCACATAAGTAATTTAAAAACATAAGAATCACACAAGTAATTAAAAACAATAAAATAGTTAAAAACACAAAAAGTTACAACAATAAATAACAAGGTGTGTTAAAACGATAAAATTCTCTAGTTGTATGCACAGGAAAAAAGAAAAGTCTTTAACATGGATTTGAACATTGACAGAGAGGCAGCCAGTCTCACATCCTCAGGAAGACTGTTCCAGACTTTAGCTGCATAAATCTGAAAAGCAGCCTCCCCCTGTCACGTCCTGACTCTGGGCACTAACAGGAGTCCCGTCCCTGCGCTCCTCAGAGTCCGGGCTGGTTCATATGGGACTAGCATATCATGGATGTACTTTGGTGCAAGGCCATGGAGAGACTTGTACACCAGGAGAGCTGCTTTAAAGTCTATCCTCTGGGCCACGGGAAGCCAGTGCAGAGACCTGAGGACCGGACTAATGTGGTCGTACTTCCTGGTTCTAGTCAGGACTCGGGCTGCAGCATTTTGAATATACTGCAGCTGTTTTACTGCATGTTTGGAGATACCTGTGAGCAGGCCATTGCAGTAATCCAGCCTACTGGAAACAAAAGAATGGATAAGAATCTCCAAGTCTGCCCTGGACACAATATTTTTAATTTTGGCAATATTTTTCAGATGATAAAAAGCTGCTGATGTTACCGATCCAATGTGGCTATTGAAGTTTAAGTCAGAGTCCATTATTACTCCCAGATTTCTGACCTTATTTAAAGGCCTTAGGGAGAGAGACTGAAGGTGACAAATGACGGTCTCTCTTTGTTTCTCGGGACCAAAGACAATCATTTCGGTTTTGTCCGCATTTAGCTGGAGAAAATTGCATTGCATCCACTCACTGATCCGCTGGATACAGCGAAGGAGTGAGTCCACCGGTCCATGTTCTCCTGCAGTCAGTGAGACATAGATCTGAGTGTCATCAGCGTAATTGTGGTAGGACACTTTCATACTTTGAATTAACTGACCTAATGGCAGCATGTAAATATTGAACAGGAGAGGTCCCAGAATCGACCCCTGTGGCACTCCACAGGTCAGGGCCATATTATCTGAGACATAGTCTCCAATCTCCACACAATACTTCCTTTCTTCTAGATAGGACCTAAACCAGCTTAGGGCGGTACCAGCAACACCAACCCAGTCCTCCAGTCTCTGCATGAGAATCTCATGGTCAACGGTGTCGAAAGCGGCACTCAGATCTAACATGACTAAAACAGAGACTTTTCCTGCATCAGTGTTAAGCCGAATATCATTTGTTACCTTGACTAGAGCGGTCTCAGTACTGTGGTGTGGTCTAAAGCCAGACTGAAACATGTCAAATGAGTCATTAGATATTAAAAATTCAGTAAGTTGTTGGTAGGCAACTTTTTCAAGAATTTTTCCCATGAAAGGCAGATTTGAGATGGGACGGTAATTTTCAAGTACCGCAGCATCCAAACTGCTCTTTTTTAGGAGGGGCCTGATGACTGCCTTTTTCAGGGCCATTGGAAATGTTCCAGATAAAAAAGACATGTTTACTATTTGTGTCAATGAGGGTAATAGACTACACATAACAGACTTCAGGAATCTAGGAGGTAGTACATCCAGACTGCAGGTAGAGGAACTAAGACCTGTGATTATCTTTTTAACAGTTTCATCATTGACAGGTGCAAATTGAGCTAGCTCACAAAGCCTCACTGGATGTTGCATTGTTACTTGTGTTGTAGAGGTGATGGTGATATGGTGATAGATAACCATAGATAACGCATAGATAACGCATAGATAACGAATAGATAGATAGATATACATAGATACAGATAGACACAGAGGATATACAGATTGATGCAGATACATGATACAACTTTCTATGGTAATTAATGGGAATAAACTGGACATTTTTCGAAATTGAAAGTTGGCTCTTCATAGGGAACTTGAGTATAGTGAGGACATTATTTCCTAACATAGTCTTGACTAAAACAAACGGATGCCAAACTTGTTCTGTTCTACGTACAAACAAATCTATTGAAATATCTGAAAACGATTTGCATGGATGTTTTCTAACAAATTCTGTTTATATTTATGCTTGGATATGATAACATTTGATTACATTACAGTTCATTCCCAGCTATCCATCCATCCATTTTCTTCCCCTTAATCCATTTCTGGGTCGGGGGGTGGCAGTCAGAGCTGCTCCCAGTACACAGAGCACCGGCCCAGCTAGTTTGTAAATATTAATTTGAGAATTATTCAAAAACTGTGATTCTTAATGTATTTCTTTACCTAGTCGTAGTGACCTATCTTTTCTAACTGAAGACATACTGTGACCCAAATATTTTATTATTGAAGAGGTTTAGGCCGATATTTTTAAGCATACCATACCTTATTTTAAAGCCAATTTTTTCAGGAAAACAACCCAATTCATTATTCTTTAAACACTGAACCCCAAACGTATGTAATAATTCACAAATATAAGAAAATCTGTTGTTCAGTCTCCAGACCTCAGCCTTACTTCTGATCCATAACTGACCTGTGTGTGTCTGCAGATCGTGTCGTCTGCTTCCACAGACCTCCAGGACTACACATACTACTTTGTGCCAGCTCCGTGGCTCTCCTGCAAACTGCTACGCCTGCTGCAGTGCTACCCTCCGCCTGAAGACGGAGCCGTGAAGGGCCGCCTGGTGGAGTGTCTGGAGACCATACTCAACAAGGCCCAGGAGCCGCCCAAGTCCAAGAAAGTGCAGCACTCTAATGCCAAGAACGCCATTCTGTTCGAGGCAATATCTCTCATTATCCACTACGACAGGTGAGGCGGGAATGCTAATTTAATCCAACCATTTAAAGCAAGGGAAGAATAAATAACTTGCATTATTTAAAACATTTTTTTTTTTTTAAATGACCGTTTTCTATCCTTTACATCTTGGTTACATGACTTAATAGCACTGAAAAGTATCAACCAAGCTAAAAAAAAAAAAGTAAAAAAGAGCCTGTATTAGGGGTTTAATAGATGAGAGTGTATGATTAAATGTCAAAGCACAATGACTGGAGGAGGGTGGACCGTGCAGGTGTCTCCTGGACTGGAGCACACAGCTCTGAGCTGAGCCCACAGTGAACACTGCCTCTGATCTGCCCAGCAGCAAATCTGCAACACTGCAAATCTGCAGAGCTGCTGAAGTTTAGAAAAGAGGCAAATTCAAAATGAAGAATAAACTTGAAAATAACATTTTACTTTGGGGTGTAAAAGTAGATTAAACAAAGATTTTTCATCGCATGTAGCTAAACAGTCTATCTGAATATTCTGTGAACCTTTGCCCGTTTTTCTTATTCCATCAGCGAGCCCAACCTCCTGGTGCGGGCCTGTAACCAGCTGGGCCAGTTCCTCCAGCACCGAGAGACCAACCTGCGCTACCTGGCCCTGGAGAGCATGTGCACCCTGGCCAGCTCTGAGTTCTCCCATGAGGCTGTCAAGACCCACATCGAGACAGTCATCAACGCACTCAAGGTCTCAAACACTCACACTTAGTCTTTGCACGAGAAATATTCAGTGTGTTATTGTATTGTGTTCAACTTCACCAGAAATATTATTAAACGTTATTATATGACTTGGACCGTACGCACGCTCTGATTGATTACCGGTCTGATATTTTCCCATCTCAGACGTTACCATGACAATTGGTCCGAACAGCGCGTTTCACATTTGATTTCTTTCCTGAGTTTCCTCGGTAAATAAAGAAATAATGGGCGACAACTGGGAGCATTCTCCAGAGAATTCTATTATCTGGACGAGTTTGACAAGCCAGAGGAAGAAATTACAGAAAAAAATGAAGAAAAAATAACTAAGACAAGATGAGATTGACAGCTTTGTTGCAGACCAGAAAGCTAAAAACACAAGTCGGAGATCGATATTTGCATAAGTTAAAAATAGTCATATAATAAAACATTTATTAACCTCGCTTGCTCGTTCTGTACAGAGAAATATCAGACCTTGACCTTTTTGCACAGACCTCGCCACGGCTCGGTCTGTACATTAAAGCCGCTGTCTGATATTTCTCCACACAGTCCGTCTGTGTGCAAGCGAGGTTAATAAGCAGTTATTATTTCAGACTCAAGATAAAATTGGTCCATACAAAAAAAGGGAATACAAAAAAGGACAATGCATTAAATGTATGGAGTCAGTCCCAGCAGGTCTATAGCAGATACAGGAGTACGTCTCTCCAGTGCATTCTCAGAGCAGGCGTGTAGTGACATGAGCTCCTTTTACCGTTGGTCAGAGTCTGAATGATGCTGTTCTCGGACTCCTCCAGACTTTCCTTGAACCGAAAGGTTAGATGCCGTATCAGAGCCTCACAGGTGTGAATGTGAGCGCTCACAAACGGTTCACTGGCCCCGAGCCACCTGGGCACCCGGAGCAGCAGCCTGAAGTCATTGTTGTATGACACTGTGAGTCTGTGGAAGCGGAGTGCTTAATGCTGGAAACAGAGTACATTTAACAGGGTATGAACACATGCTGGACCTCCTCATCAGCGTGTTCGCCTGGGCGTAAAGTTTACTGCACTGTCTTTTAATGTCTCTGTCATCATGCCAGTCGTCTGTGAGAAAGTGTCCCAGATACTTTGTCTCTGTGAAGACAGCAAGAGGCTGACCACAGAGCTGAAAGTCAGGGACGGTCAAATGTTTACCCTCTCTGCTTCTCACAATCATCATGTTGCTTTTTGTTGGATTATACCTTATGTCAAATGTCGCACCATACGCTGACATTACTTGTATCAGTTCCTGCACTGTGAGGGCTTAGGATAACATCATCGTCTGCGGTCATAAGATGGTTGATTACAGTGGTTCCCATGACACACTGCTTTACACATGTTCAATTCTGTGGACAATTCATCAACATATACAATAAATAAAATAGACATGACCACGTTTGAAATGGGAGGAATATGGACGTATAACGCTTAATACAATGCTATTTTGGCGTTTGTAAAGCATTTTCATAAATGACACCCGTTTGTTCCAACAGAAAAACTCTTGTAAAAGAAAATAGTTCATGCAAATCAAACCACAAATTGCAAGAATCGATTAAATGAACTTTGTGAAGATAACGGCGGGAACGCTGTTGTAACTAGCGAATAATTAAATGTGTCCTTCTGTCCTCTTTAAAGTGGCCCTTGTGTGTTTGCGCAGACGGAACGAGACGTGAGCGTACGGCAGCGGGCGGCAGACCTGCTCTACGCCATGTGTGACCGCAGCAACGCCAAGCAGATTGTGGCCGAGATGCTGAGCTACCTGGAGACTGCAGACTACTCTATCAGGGAGGAGATGGTGAGACCAAGGAATACGGTTTACTTAGTTTTAATATAAAGCATTCAGCAGTGTACATTTATGAACAGCATAACCATTTCCTGTCAGATTCAGATCAGGTTCATATTATTTGCCATTTGCAGTAAAACCACATTGGAATAAGCGTGCAAGAGTACCCCACCAGGCAGAGCAGATGTTACACACCAGAGCTCATGCCACGGCAGAGGGACATCAGATGGCAGTTACATACATACACTGTAGTATTTTGTTATGTTCAAATCTGTGCCGCCTGAGAGGTAAAACCAGGACCTTCTTCCTGAGGGTGTTTTGTCTTCCTGTAGGTTTTGGCACATTCTAACTTATTTCTGGTTCAAAACTGACATATGTATTGAGTATGTTTACAAAGCACAGGAATGCACAGTAGGCCAAAGTGGGCTCTATTCAGTGTTGTTTTCAAACTTGTCTGACCACTTCAAGGTGGAATATTTAAAGCCGTGGTCTGTGTTTTCTGGCAGGTGCTGAAAGTGGCCATCTTGGCAGAGAAGTATGCTGTGGACTACTCGTGGTACGTGGACACCATCCTGAACCTGATCCGCATTGCCGGGGACTACGTGAGCGAGGAGGTGTGGTACCGCGTCATCCAGATTGTCATCAACCGGGACGACGTGCAGGGCTACGCCGCCAAGACCGTCTTTGAGGTAATGCTACGCTCAGAGAGCGCTCAGATCTTCTACTAAACAGGAGGGAGTGACTCCTCAGTCTTTGTCAGAGGAGTTGTGTGATGGCGTCTGTCAATCTCGACCTCCTCCTCTCACAGAGAAGAGATAGTAAACCCAAAGATGAAAACCCTCCCCGTTACGTGGATACTTGAACTTCTCCACTTAAGAAAGCACCTCTCCACTATTGTTTTGCCAAAGAACCATGGGTTTGGAGATGTTGATATCAGACTACCTTCTTGGCAAAAGGTGTTACGTTTATCAATTCTATCAGAATATTTCTCACCATTTTATAGAAAGTGTCATGGTTTAGGCGAAATGTATCATTTTGTTCTAATGAAATTTCAGTCTCACTGCATCTCTTGGAATTCAGTATATGAGTCAATCCGTAGAAAGTTGAAGGCTGGTGTATTTACAGCAGGTCATTGCTGTTCTGTAATATTCACTGACCCAGAAACCGTGAGAGATCTCATCTTATGGATAGATCTGGACTGCATGGTCCGGGCCGGGGGCAGTTCACAAGTGCTGATGTGAGCCCTTCTTTGTCCTCCTCAGGCCCTGCAGGCTCCGGCGTGTCATGAGAACATGGTCAAAGTCGGGGGATATATTTTGGGGGAGTTTGGAAACCTCATCGCTGGAGACCCACGCTCCAGGTAACACACGATCACATTATATTCAATCTTTTATCTCTCCTGCAACCCTTTAGTTCTAGATAGTTTTAGCCTTCCTCAACATCAATATTCCAAAACAAGCACATATCAAGTTGATGCTTTCTTATTCTAATAAATACAACTAATTATTTAGAGTTATACAGGCTGCACTGGAATATAAGCCACAAGGTTCTTGTTGTAATGTAGCAGAGAGATGACTGGTTAAGGTGTTGTGAGCAGTTCTATGTTGACCATACACAAGTGTCCTGTCGCTGCTAAAACTTAAATGGAGGCCATAAACTCTGCTTTGACAACAGCCCAACTCTACAACAATGAAAATACACATTAATTTCATCACTATACTAGAAAAAGGTAGCGGGAAATTATAGAGAAATGGTTAAAGATTCTAAGGACGGCACGGTGGCTGAGTGGATAGCACTCTCGCCTCTCAGCAAGAAGGTCCTTGGTTCGAATCCCGGCCGGACAAGGGCCTTTCTGAGTGGAGTTTGCATGTTCTCCCCGTGTCTGCGTAGGTTTCCTCCGGGTACTCCGGTTTCCCCTACCACTAAAAATATGTCCAATAGGTCTGGCATGCGCCTCCTGTACTGGCGACCCCGCTCCCATCTCTGTGTGGAGTGAGAGACAAATGCCCAAAATTAACAATTGTAAACCGCTTTGTGACTCTGGTCTGTGAAAGGCGGTATATAAATAAAGCTTACTTACTTACTTACTTACTAAGCCATGAAATACCAAAGTAAATATTCACAGCATCAAAAAACAGAAACACTTGGTGGAGTGTGGAGTGTCCCTGAGCCTGTTTGTCCCGCAGCCCTCTGGTCCAGTTCAACCTGCTCCACTCCAAGTTCCACCTGTGCTCGGTACCGACCCGCGCCCTGCTGCTGTCCGCCTACATCAAGTTCATCAACCTGTTCCCAGAGACCAAGGCCACGATCCAGGAAGTGCTGCGCTGCGACAGCCAGATCCGCAACTCTGACGTGGAGCTGCAGCAGCGCGCCGTGGAGTACCTCAAGCTGTCCTCCATCGCCAGCACCGACGTCTTGGTGAGGAGGCCTCTCACGCCCCTCCTCTCACCCCTCTCACCCCTCTCACGCCCCCCTCTCACCCCTCTTCTCTCACACCTTTGTAAAGTTCCAAACTGTGGTTGTGTCTTTAGGCAAGACACTTCACCCACATTAGAATGAGTCATGGTCAGTGTGAATGGTCAGAGCCGCTTCTGTCAGTGTGCCCCAGGGCAGCTGTGGCTACAGTAGTTTTTCACCACAGAATGTCTTTGAATGTCCAGAAAAGTGCTATAAAAACCATCTATTATTATTATAAACTGAAGTTACGTTTTGTCTTGAGCGATTAAACTAAAGAGACTGAACTGAAGTAAATATTGAACTGGGCCCTTTTTGTGCTTTCACATCTGCACAAACAATGTATATTTGCTGGATCAAAGTGCGTCAGATTCGGCTTCAACTGAACTGAACCCCTCAGTGTGTGAGTGTTGCTAAAACAATTGAATGGATGGGTAGAAATAAAACATAAAAAGTCTAATTTAAACTTTAAATCATGAATAGTGAAATGTAATGTCATCCTGTGTTAGACATTGTGTGGTGAGGGACAGTGATTCCTAGTCTGTTTGTGTTGACTTCTGTAATGCTGCTGCTCCACAGGCCACAGTGCTGGAGGAGATGCCCCCCTTCCCTGAGAGAGAGTCCTCCATTCTAGCCAAGCTTAAGAAGAAGAAGGGCCCCGGAGCCGTGTCCGTGACAGAGCTGGACGACAGTAAGCGAGAGGGAGGAGAGCTGAACGGAGGAGGAGAGAGGTCCTCGGACTCTGCTGCTATGGCTGCCTCCAATGCAGTACGTACATGGACACACTATGACACTATGAAGTATTGTCCCTGCAGGGGATTTGTCCTCTTCATCTGACCCTTCATACATGCAATTTTTCAGCTGTATAACATACATTTTACAAATAGATTGAGTTTTTATTTATTCAAGATTACAGGGACAGTGTACAATAAACATCGACCTCAAAGGGAAAGATGCATTGTACCAGGTTATAGCTCGAGCTAATTTCCACCCGTAGACCCCGGGGCAGGCTGATGTTATGATATTACATTAAAAATAACAAACTTACATGGATGTACACTTTACATTTGGCCAAAATCAATTAAATAGGGGGTTAGAAGAGTCACTGAGCTATTCCAGCAAACTCAAAACTATGAGCCTGAGTCAAAAGGAAGCAGCTTTCTTACATCTCACTGTAGACCTAATGTTAAAGATACGATAGACTGGTGTGGCAGTGAGTGGGTCCTTTGTATATACTGTATCTCAGGTGACTGCTGTCCTGTGGCTCAGCACTGTCACTGTCCACGCGGAGTCACTTTTGAGATATTGTTGCATAAGTTCTGTCAGAAAATCCTGTTTCTAACCTGCCACAATAATTTCCAATACATCCTCCACCTGCCTTCAGTGAGACTGTGCTGAATGACCTGCTTGTGTTCCAGTCCACCCCGTCACCCTCAGCCGACCTGCTGGGTATCCGCTCTTCCGCGCCCATGGGTGCCGCCCCGTCCGCTCCTGGCAGCTTGTTGGTGGATGTGTTTTCTGAGGCGGGCCCTGCTGCGCCTGCTGCTGCTGTAAATAATGACGGCTTCATGAGGTGAGGGCGTGTCCTGGGACGTGTGACTGTGGCTGTCTGTGTGTGTATTCATACTGCTGTGCTTTCACTGTACTGTCTTTATCTGTCTGATGTGGACCTGCCACCATGGGCCGCTGCAAAGAGACAAGAACGGATCCATCCATAATATCTACACATTTATGCTGCTCCCTCCAAGCTAAGCTCCCAGTGCGCATCACATGTATAAGTCCCACAAAAACAAAAAAATAATCCAAGGTTATAAAGGTCAGAAAGGTCCGTCTCAGTCCCCTTCCCTCTGAGAGAACGAAGCCGTGATTCCACCTTCTCTACTTGGCTCTAGTCTAGTTTAATCTACTTTACTATACACGGTTGCGTTTCCAGTATGCTTTAGTGTCTGGTACTGTATCTAAATCTGTATCCAGGGAAACTCTTCGGTAACCATGGTTTCCAGCAGCACTCTGGCCAATCACTTTTGCACCAGCTCGGCCTGGATAGAACCAGTGCCGAGGAGGTACTAAAAAAAGTATCTAGTACCGGTTAAACAGGGCCAGGGGAAACTCTCAATCCGGGTCAAGTTGACAATAGAATACAAACAATAGATTCAAGAATTTATTTGCCATTTGAAGTAAAACCCCATTGGAAATACACATTACATACAGGACATTTAACAAACCTTTACTCTCGTCTGGACCTCAGTGATTTCTTAGTTTCAATGTGCATCAAATATTAATTATCAAATGTCACTACACAGAATATTCTAGCAAATTATTCATATACCTTTACTTCACCACAATATTGTACATTATTCAAACTCAAAAAGGAGTGAAAGGACAAATTTTATAAATTCCCACCGCTGTGAAAAGCATATTTATATTTGTGTGTTTGGAGCCAGTGGCAAAGCAATGTACAAGAGCACAATGGCAACCAGCAGCACAATCGCCCCGACCAATCCCCATGCAGCAGGGACCAGGGCAGCAGGGACCAGGGCAGCAGGGACCAGGGCAGCAGGGACCAGGGCAGCAGGGACCAGGGCAGCAGGGACCAGGGCAGCAGGGACCAGGGCAGCAACAAACCAGCGACGCACCGAAGCCCAGAGCCATATTTGCATAGACTGTACCTTACCTCGAGTTCAGCTCCTCACTCAGCTTTAGAACAGGACTGTTTGAGTCTGTTTTTACTCAAGCGAGGCACATGGCCCTGGATTGTAGCTGCTTATATTCTGCGTTTAGATCATAGATCAGGGGTTAAAGCAAAAAAAAAAGATTTGACTGAAAATTTTTGCATGGAAATTTATCACATGTAAATCACAGTAATATGCAGGACCAAGTTATATTTGTAATTACAATATATTATTGTATAATAGATTGTATATTGAATACAGCTCAAATTAATTCTTCAAAGATATACAGTGTATTTTGATATGAAATATAAGTGGATCAAGCAACGAGTAAACTTTTTGACAGAATATTAGTGAGAGTAGCTTTACTTGAGGCGATATGGAGCGTCAACACTTTGGCTCTGTCCTCGTCAAAATATTGCAAAAGGACGATAAAATTCTGTCCACATTTGTTTGTGGACACGTCAATATTTAAGAAAAAGGTTTCCCTATCAAGTTTGAGTGCACAGTGCACTTCGATCAACTGCAAATGATTTAAATAAATCTACCAGCGGTAGTGATATTCTGAACGTTATTTTCTGCGATAAAGCCACAGACACGGTCTGCCAGAGCAAGCCTAGTGTCAGTTGTTGCTGATGCACCAGGTAAAGATGAAGTGTGGGAAAGTGCACAACCAGCTGCCTTGTGCGCAGTTTTGAGCTGGTGGCGAATCAAAACTTTTTTCTCATTACTCCCATATATGCAATTTTTTATGGCAAAGTACGCACAAGCACCGGCCACTTTCATCTTTTCGCACCATGACTCATTGATTGGCTCTTTTACATCACGCTGAGTTTTGCAAGAAGATCGCAAACAAGACAATATCAAAAGCTCACCAAGACATGTTTGTCCCCATTCCCAGTTGCAGCAAAGTCCGTTTTGTACATTCCGTTAAGTAAAATAGCATTGCGTTTGGTAAACGTTAATTACCTTTCCTCTATTACGCGCCCAGCTTACCAGTCCGCGGATCTGCTGCTGTTATTGCTCCGTTCGAGATTCAATTTTCCTCCTCTTCTCCTTTTCAAAAGCTCCGTGCAGTTTCCAGAAACTTTCACCTCCGTGTTACCAATGCTAACTTCATCGCGTCTTCATTTGCGCGTGAGCTCAGCTACGTCCCATTGCCTTGATTCATTTGCGGAGCGCTCATGTGGCCACGGCACGTTCAAGGCCCCCTCGTGATTATATTACTTATTATTTCTATATACATATAAATACAATTATATTCAAATTATTATTATACATTGATATATATATATATATATATATATCAAACAGATTCACACGTATATGTATTACTATATATTATTTTTATAATCAATCATTTCATTGTGTGTATTATTATCATTATATATATATTTTTTTCCAGACCAATTTCATTTGACGGAAATCCGTCACCTAGACGGAACTCTTTAATCCCTGTCATAGATGGATAGATGGATACTTTATTGATCCCGCGTTGGAGAAATTCAAGTGTTCAGTTGCAGCAGAAACACATCCTTTCATACACACAAACCAAATAAATGCAGAATTTTCTCCTCTATGATCTTTAAAGTTTATCTTATCCTAATTCTAAAAGTAGCTAACAATAGTAATAAAATGCAGCAGTGGTCGATCAGCTTCAGAGATCTTGTCTTGGAGGTGATCTTTCGCAGCAATAATAATAATAATGAGCGGAGTTTCTGATTAGCTTTGTGCACAATACAGACCTATTATTAGAATATTGAACTGAACAGATTTATGTGAATACTTTCCCTTCAGCAGAGCTCTGTGTTGGCAGGTCTGCTCCAACTGAATCTTTGCTCTCTATGTGACCGTCTTCCATGTTTTTCTTCTCTTCTTCCTCTTCTTCCTGTCTCTTTGTGTGTGTGTGTGTGTGTGTGTGTGTGTGCGTGCGTGTGTGTGTGTGTGTGTGTGCGCGTGCGTCTCTTCTGATTGGACGCTTGGCAGGGAGCTGGAACAGCCCACTGACACCTCTGACTCCCTATTGGTGGAGGGCTCTGGTGATGCAGAGTAAGGGCAAAGTAGTGCATTGTAGACCTTAGGAAACAAACATTTCACATATGTCCCTTAGATGTTTGTTCTCGGACTGTAGCTTCTGGTACATGCATAGAAAGTCCTTTTAGTCTGTCGGTAAGATTCACAATCAAATAGATTTTTAATGATTGACCCTTTGCACGATGTCACCTGGTTATTGAGTAGGGACTTCTTCTATTTCTTCAATCCCTATACGTTCAGTTTAATTGTCAGGCGGAATAATTATTATAAATCACTCTATAAAACTATGAGCCAAGAGTAAAGGTTCGATTCCACCTCCAGACCACTAAAAACATGTGCAATAGTTCAGGGCGAGTGTATTTGGTTTTTGCCATGAGTGAGTTAGTGATGATGTTATTGCCTTGACATGTTTCGACGTCTTCGCCGTCTTCTGCCTGGAGGAAGGACTTTATTTCACAGTATTTTATATACTATGTGATTGAGTGTGTTTGAGTGCGTCTGTGGAACAACGGATGGAAATGAGCTCAAGGCCACAATCTGCTGTTGAATAAGTGAGTAAGTTATATTTATTTATATAGTGCCTTTTGCAGACTAGCGTCACAAAGTACTTTACAATTATTTGAAACCGGAGCACCTGAAGGAAAGATGCGCCGACACAGGGAGAACATGCAAACTCCACACAGAAAGGCTCTGTCTGGAGGTGGAATGGAACCCAAGACCTTCTCTCTGTGAAGCACAAGTGCACTTTGGTTTACAAGTGCATTTATATGATCCATCACGATTAACACAACTCCTTCTCATGATCAAGCGCTCCATATTCTTTGTCATTAAAGCTCCTAAAAAGTGTCTTGTTTTCTGCGCTACATTCAGTATCAATGCCAGGTTTACAGCGCGAGGTGCAAAGGGTCAATATTAAGATCAAATGACTTCCCAGAATTGAATATGTTTAACCAGTTTTTACAACTCAATTTGAACTGTCAGCTGTGTAGCCATGTGTGGGGTCGAGCATGCTTTACAGCAAAAGTTTCCTCTGGATTTGGGCTCTGTTTAACTAACATCCTAGCGGTGCTCCAGGCTAATGCATGAGCCTTTTTAAAGTGGGTAAAAACATGTGCACTATACTTGCAATACTGAGGCTTTTTACTGTTTTGACTTTCAGTGATTCCAACTTAAAGGGACATATTGTACTTCACTGTGACTTTTGGACGCCTTTGACATTAACGATTTGTCAAATACAACATCAAACCATTAACTGAGTAAAATACTTTAGTTTAAACATATCTTATTAGTGTTGATGCTTCTTCTAAGGCTATTCTTAAGGCTTCAGTATCACGTCATCAATAATGCTACAATACATTTAGAGGACAATAGGCCCTGAATATGAGCTCAGCCAAATATATAAATGCTCATGCTTAAATGATTGAGTGCCGCACACGTGTTATAACCAGCTGTGGCAAATGTAAGGTAGATACCGTTATACTTTGGCTGATTTTCATGAAATTATTGCATAAGACGTATACATAACGTACACACATCACTGAGTCCAAAAGTCCCATGAGATGCAAAGCTTGTGTTCTTTGTAAGTTGTGCGCTCTTGTACTCACCCATGTTCTATGTTGTGTAACCCTGGCTGCTCTCAGCTCTGCTCCTCCCTCTGAGGATCCCGCTGACCCTCTGCCTGAGGCTGACGAGCTCCTCAACAAGTAAGAGTCCGGCCGACGCTTGCTATAGCTCCTCCTTTCATCTGGGTCATTGCTAATGTGTGTGGGACGGGAGTCTTACAGGGATTCTTTGCAATCTTGAAACCACTCTCACAAATTCCAATGATATACAACGAGAATATTAATGTGAAAATGTCAAATCCATCATTTAGCATTGGTCACACTGTCTGTTTTCATAGCGGGTGTTTTCACTCAATAATTCAGTTGGACTAACAATGCAGGAGACGTAATTCACCATGATTTTAAATGCATGACCATACGGATAAAACAGATATTTTCTTTTAAATTTTTGGTGATAAAAATGACAATTCCTTGTATTATATTATTTGTGACTTATATTGTGCTCTCTTGTCCCGGTGTCTTTAAATCCATAAACCTCACATCTGTGTGAGTTTTGCAGCGGGTCATAAGCACAAGACCATTTGGACCGCTGGGCATCGGTGTGGACACTCGGAGCGCAGGGCGGACCATCAGGCCGTGTTTTAGGCACTCTTAAACCAGGTTAATCCAGTTCACAGATGAATGGGAAAACAGGATCTAAATCTTAATGCATCGTGGTGGATTGTGGAACACTGCATTGTTTCATACCTCAGGTTCATCAATAGATAATGTTCAGTTTGATAGAGCCACATTACAGGATGCAAAGGTGATTTTTAACAGAAGAAGACATACTTTTGACCACCTGCTCCTGTAGTCTGGTCTAAAAGTCCATGTGTTTGGCAACAGAAGTTAAGGGAGGATTTCAGGAAGCGTCCCTTGATTTAGCGGCTGTTTAATATATAGAATAATGAAAGCGTAAACTAATAAAACTGAAAAGGGTTCCTACTGTGTGAAAACAGCTGCTATGTTCCCAAATGTAAAACAATCACCTTTTGTAATTGTGCATGAGCTGAAATGCACGTGTCCCGCTTCCTCTGTAATCGTATCTTTTGGTCACTTTTGTTCTCTGCTCTCGTCTCCAGATTTGTGTGCAAAAACAATGGGGTTTTGTTTGAGAATCAGCTGTTGCAGATCGGAATCAAGTCAGAGTATCGTCAGAACCTGGGCAAGTATCTCCTCCACGTCGACACTAACTGTTAAGACATTAACTACACACACTTTGTTAGTATTGGATAGAACTGTATTGAACTGTATGATTGTCACGTTTTTGGGGCTCCTATAAGCTTCTCAAAGTAGTTGTCAGGAATTCTGGCCCATTCCTCCCAACATAACTGGTGTAACTCAAGTCTGGTTTGTAGGTCACCCTGCTTTCACACGCCTTGTGAGATCTGCCCACGCATTTTCCATGGAATTGAGATTGAGGCTTTTCGACAGCCTCTTTAAAGCCATTTTGTTGTTGTTATTGTTTCTCTCGCGACCTGCTTTGTATAAATATATTGTTGGTTTTCTCATGTCACTCAAAAGAAATACTGTCAAAATCCACAAAATTATTATCAAATTTTTTTTCCCCCCATTGACATTTATTTAACCTGAAAAGTCCCATGGAGATTTCAAAATCTCTTTTTCAGAAGAGTCATGGCCCCAGACAGAGGGAGTGGGATCGGTGAGCTCCTTACGGGGGAATGTTGTACTATGAGTATTGTAATTTTTTTAGCGGTAGGAAAAACCGGAGCACCTGGAAGAAACCTACACAAAAACAGGGATAACATGCAAACCCAAGTCCCCACAGTCTCATACATGCACACACAGCTGAGGAGTCATCTGAGGAGCTGTCTGCACCCCAAGGAGCTTCTCCATACTGACTCTTGTGTGTTTTTCAGGGAGGATGTACTTATTCTACGGGAACAAGACGTCAGTGCAGTTTGCCAGTTTCAGCACCACCGTGAGCTGTCCAGGAGAGCTGCAGTCTCATATCCTTTCACCTCACTTCATCCATCTCGCTGGAAATGAGTTCCTTCTCTGAGCTCTGACTCTCTCCCGCCTACATACAAGTGATACAAACAGTACAGTTGTTTTCTTTAGTTGTTGGCTCGTCGACTAATCGCAAAAGACAATTTTTGACTAGTTTATTACTGAAATAATCGTTGGTGAGAGTCGGAAGAAGCAAATGCTTATGATTCCAACCCCCCATCTTGCTTTGGGGTTTGTGTAAGACGTCTGCAGCTTAATTTTTGTCTTCAATGGGAAAAGTATGTGTTGCCATAAATCCTTCCCAGCCCGAACCCCAAAACAGAGCCAATAGTTTGAGGCAAGAAAGAGTTTGAAATGACATGCTCAAAACGTCATCAATCATCAGATAAAACCAGATTAATGGCCCCGCACCAAACTACCTCTGTGACATGTTAGTGCCATATGAACCAACTCTGACTCTGAGGAGCACAGGGACTGGCCTCCTGCTGGTCCGGGAGTTGGGACTAAATATGATGAGGCAGCGTTTCAGATTTATGCAACTAAAATCTGGAACAGTCTTCCTGAAAATGTGACACAGACTTCTACTTTGACAATGTTCAAATCCAGGGTCAAAACAGTTCTGTTTAGCTGCAAACACCTGAGGGATTATTCACTCTTTTAATGTACTGTGAATATTTATGATTTTAAGGCGTGGTCTGATTGTTTCTGTCTTGTTTTGTTCATCACTTTGAGTTGCTTTGCGTATGAACTGTGCTATATAGATAAACTTGCCTCACCTAAAACTAAACTAGTGAAACTCCTGAAAACAAAATCCTGACTTCAAGGCATTTATGACCGCATGAATTACTGTCTCCGTCATGATATTTACGTTGTGATATCTGCGTCGTGATATTTGTCATGATATTTTTGTCTTGATAATTGCGTCCTTAACGGCGCGCCACAGCTGAACGTGCAGTCCAAGCCGGTGGAGCCCCTGGTGGAGGGCGGTGCTCAGATCCAGCAGGTCCTCAACATCGAGTGTCTGACGGACTTCTGCGAGGCGCCGCTGCTCAACATTAAGTTCAGGTGAGTGTTAGTGTCTTATTTGTGCTGCTTGTGATTCACTACTGTCCAGTTTCACCGTAGCTTTGCTCTCCTGCAGGTACGGAGGGGCTCTGCAGAATCTGACCCTCAAGCTTCCGGTCACCATCAACAAGTTCTTTCAGCCAACGGAGATGAACTCGCAAGACTTCTTCCAGCGCTGGAAACAGCTCAGCCAGTGAGTCAGGGGAGGGAGGGAGGGAGGGAGGCCAAGAAAGAGCAGTCTCTAACCTGTGTGTGTGTGTGTGTGTGTGTGTGTGTGTGTCAGGGCTCAGCAGGAGGCCCAGAAGATCTTCAAGGCCAGCCACGGCATGGACACTGAGGTCATCAAGGCCAAGGTACGCTCTTACTCCTTTAAACTGTCAGGACTCTCCCCTGGGAATGTTGGTGATTACAAATATTAACTGAATAGGGAGGAATTAATATATTTTATGAAGGAACCGCATAAAAGTTCTAGAGCCAAACTTGGAAACAAGTTCAATAAAATTTGTGAAACTATTGATGGAAATGATCTGATAACCTGAAATTATCTTAAATCATTTCAGGTTAAAGAAAATTCAACTCAGAGTTCTCCATCAGCTCATGTGGATCTCAAACTGAGAGTGAACTTTGTAAACCAGGTCGTTCCAGTTTCATGTGTTTTCACAAATTCTTGAAAGATACATATTTTTTCTCAATGTCAAAAAGTAAACTAACTTTGTTAGGGCAGCTGTGGCTACAGTAATTTTTTGGTGACTGTATATGAATGGCACATGAAGCAAGTGTCCAAAAAGCGCTCATATAACATGGCACTGAACCAATGGACTTAATAAATGTTAAAGTATATGATGTAAAACAGGTCAAAGCTCTTTGTAAATATGAAAATGTTCAGTTCCTCCTGTAGGTTCAGGTAAAGTACAGTTCCCCTTTTTTGTGTGCAGCTGCTGGGGTTGGGTTCCGCTCTGCTGGACGACGTGGATCCAAACCCAGAGAACTATGTGTGCGCTGGAGTCATCCAGACCAAAGGCCAGCAAGTGGGCTGCCTGCTGAGACTGGAGCCCAACGCACAGGCACAGGTACCGCTGCTCTGTACCGCTGCTCTGTACCGCTGCTCTGTACCTAAATACCTCCCAAAAAGAATACATCTGCTTTGATGAACTCTGAGACTAACTATTCAAATGATTACATGAAGATATAACACGTTACATTTAAACATAAAAAATGAAAAGGCAGTTTCAGTCAAGGACGTGATGACGGCGCGAGAAGGTTTAAAGGAGCAATATGTAAAAATGTGGCCAAAAGTGGTACTGCAGCCTCTTCCACTCTTCCTGACTCAGGTTGCCAGATATGCAGACGAATCCAGCTGGGACCATAACAGATGAATAGACAAGAGTTTTGTCAACAACAAATCTATAACCAACACCTTTTTCACAAAGATAGAAATCCTTTGTTTTACTGCTTGTCTTGTCCTTAACTCATTGACCGCCATTGACGTGTTAACACGTCAGTTGCGTGTCCCGCTATTTTCACGTTCCCAGATGTCTATTGTATCTAATATGTATGGGGATTGGCTTGAAGCAATATTTTATCAAGCCAGCAGATGGAAGCATTTCTCTCTGAATGGTTTGAAAACAGCTAGATGCACATGTGCCTCTTTTTTCTCAGCTTTCTGGTGATTTCAGTAAAACTTCCCTCTATTCGACGGAGGATTACAGGGGAACGAAACAAGCTAGAAACAAAATTATTTTTGCTGATGAAAGTACACAGTCCATTCTTTCAGAATATGGTTTTGGATTTCAGATAGTCATAGTACACAATATTCTGTGGGTCTTGAAAAATCAATAAAAATCATCAGAAACGGCTGGCAATATGAGAGTACATGTTCTGAAATAGGCTGGCAGGCAATGAGTTAATGATTTGAGAATAATTACAAGACCTTTTTTAGTTCTGCGGCCACATGGTACTTTACCAGTGAGATTAGCTCCACGTGGTGAGTTCTGGCGCCCGGATCACAGACTTTCTGATTGGTGAAACGGTGGAGGGCGGGACATCAAAATAAAAACAATAACAAAGATTTAGGGGCTGGAAAAGGAATTTTGAAACCAAAATATCTCTGAACTACTGTTATCGGTTGAAGAAGGTTTGGAGAAGAACATGTTTTATGAATGCCTTTCGACAGATTAGGGCCCTTTAATGATGACTTTACATGAACATTTTACATACTGCTACTTGGAAGTTTAAGCTACACTTTGTTTATGTTCCTGAGGTGTTGGTTTTCATGATTGTACTGTGACCTAAACCGTGCTGTGTCTGTTTCCAGATGTACCGTCTGACCCTGCGCTCCAGCAAAGAGTCGGTGTCTAAGCGGCTGTGTGACCTCATGTCCCAGCAGTTCTGAAGCCCCGCCCTCTCCCCCTCAGAGTCTATAAGTAAAGAATTATGTACACCACATAAGGGAAAGGCGGCGGCCATATAACTCATTGCTGTCCCACTGTTTTTTTTGTTTTTGTTTTTTGGATTTAAATTCTTTCTGTATGAATATTGGACATTTTGTTTTCATTGGTGTTTACTGGTGTGTGTTTGTGCGCGTGCGTGCGTGTATGTGTGTGTGCGAGTGTGTGTTTGTGCATGAATGTGGAACCTCCCCTGCCCCCCCTCCCAATCTTCACTGCAAGAAAAAATAATCAAAGGGTAAAACGGCTTGAATAGAGTAATTATGAATAAAAGTATTGCTAACTTTTCCATGTTGTCAGTTCAAGGCTCAATGATCACGGCCATAGAGTGATTTGTTATGATTTTATTTTTTTTGCAAGATTTCAAGTGCAATTTACAAGAAATGGTAAGAAATGCACTCTTTGGTCGATCATTTTGTCTTGGATTTAGCGTTGAACAATGAGACAAACCAGTCAAAACTACTCAAAAGAAGATAAATATTTCCAATTAAAGCCACTTTGATTCCTTTATGTACAATTGGTGGCAGTGTTATTTGATTCCGATGAAACATTCCTCGTCTAAAGCAAATGGGGCTCGTCTCTTACGCACACGCGCACTTATATCAGAATATACCGGATCGGGTTTTTTTCTGTTTCTTTTTTTCTAAGTGGATCAAATAGTGTACTTCTGTGCCAGTGAAGGACTTTCTCACATTCCCATTATGTTGTTAATTGTGTTATTTTGCGCGAGGACAGCAGGGTTTCCAAAGATATACGAGAAAAATAGAAAAAAAATGAAGGATCTTTTTGCAGTCCATTCCTCTTTTTATTTAAAAAACGGCACAAGTTCAGAAGCACGATGGCCCCGTTTCCACCAACCCCACTTGGCCCGACTCTACTCTACTCTACTCTACCTGGTCGCGTCTCCAATATGCTTTTGTATCTGCTACCGTATCCAACCAACCTAGCCACAACAAAACAGCACCTGGGGAAATTCCTTGGTAACCATGGCTTCCAGCAGAACTCGAGCGGAAACGAGTCGAGTTGAGCCAGTTGGGGCCGGTGGAAACGGGGCTAAACGACCAGGACCACAGCGCGAAAAAGTAAAACTACAATTTCATATAACGGATGCACGCCATCTTGGTTTGAGTGTAATGAACTTTTTCACTGGTTTGAAACTAAATGATTTAGTTTTGCTAAAAGTTGATTAAATATTTGAACAGATTTGAAGTTTGAAGAAATGAAATTGCCGAATAAACAAGCATTATTCCACTTAAGATAACGATTCTTGAACCTAAGAAATCTTACCGCACTTGAAATGATGTTTTTTTGGCAAATTTCATCGAAAATCTATCAAATATTTACTCAAATCCTTATTTTTGTCTTATTTTTTACAATCATTATTAGTCTTTGTCCAGGATCAAATTAAATTGTTCCATATATATATAAAAAAACCCAAATGAATACAATAAAAAACAGGGTAATAAAATGTATACTGTCCGTCCAAGCAGATCTGTAAGAATTGACATATTTCTCGGATTCTTTCAAAATATCAGTTTTTATCATGAAATTAACTAATGGATTTTTTCAATCAAACATTCACTCAAAAATTATGAATTTGGTTTCATTTAAATATTTCCCATTAGAAAGTCTAACCTGAATTATTACTCTTTTGAATAGTTTAAAAATTATTTATTATTCATTTAATATAATAAACACATTTTCCATTGCGATCGCTGTAGGAACAAAGCGTTATTCCACTAATCTAATTCTAATCACTTTAATTTATTGCAACACTGACTTGATTTTTTTTTTTGTTAATTCTTGATCCTCTGCATCCAAAGAAGTAAATTTCTCTCAAATCAAGATTTTCTAATTGGGTTTCGCCATTTCAACTCGGGCCTGGTTCCTCGGCGTTCCACACATTTCCTCCCTCTGTTCCTTGGCTGTGTGTGCGTGCGGGTGGGAGAGGCTGATGACCCGGCGAGGCTGCAGAGCAATCATAGGACGTGTAAAGCGCTAGTGTAACATGTAGTCTCCCCGTGTTGTGCGAGTGCCTCCGTGAGTTTGTGTCTATGCAGTATAGCGACCGCAGCCTCCCGTATCGGTGTAAAACCTGTCCAATACATGTGTTTAGAATTAAGATTTACTCTGTCATGGAAAATGTGAAGTAAAATTCTGCCATATAGTCACACGGCTGCTGTCTGCTGCTTTCTCCTTCTTTACATAAACCAGGGGGGGGGGTCCCGACTGAGAGGGAGACTTGTCCAGGGGCTGACACGGACTGTAAAAAGTTGTAGAGCAGCACATACAGCAGAAATAAAGACTGAAAAGTTGTAGGCTAAAGTTAATTCTAATTTTGCCCTTTTTACAAGTGTCTCTGTATCAGTGAATGTAAACAGTAGAATTTGCATAAACAACTGTGTACAACATCAAAACTCTGACTTCATGTAGCCGTTCAAAATGGTTTTAAACTAAGTGGAAAAGTGAAAGACATCTGTTTATCTGTTACAGAGATTGACGCCTCTAACAGATAAACAGCATTTCATTACATTAGTTCTACATTTTTGGGTTATGAACACATCTATTCCTCCTTCTGAACGATGAAGCGGTTGTGGTTGACTGCAGTGCATAATCAAACACAAAGTGCTACACAACATTAATATCAAAAACATTCAAAACATACTTTTTTCACCCTTATTATGTCACTATTGCCCCCTTATTTTTTTACAGGCACAGTGTATGACAAAGATTAGCCAAAAGCAGAGAGGCCTTGTACCAGGTCACAGCAGGAGGGAGACTTCAGATTATGTTATGTCATTTTCATCCCCTTTATTAGTCCACTTCTGTGTCGGGAGGCTGTCAAAGTCTTCAGGCAAAGTGGGGTTATGTGTCTTGCCCAGGGACACCACAACAGCAGCATCAGTGGGAGTAGATTGTTATAATAGATCCATGAGTCGTGGATGGCGACTTATCCTGGTCCTGGATCCTGGTCTGTGAAAGGCGGTATATAAATAAATACTTACTTACTTACTTATGGATCGAACCCACGACCACCAGGTCCACAGAGACCAATGCTCTACCAACTGAGCCACTGTCGCTCCAAAATCATCAAGTTTTCAGTATAATTATTCAAATACAGATCATATTACTTCCCCCTGCCCCTTCTGCCCTAATGCTCAGTTTTCAAACGTGTTACATGGTGATGAATGAATCCTCAGACTTGAATGGAGATGAAAAAAATCCTCCTTACAGATAAAAAATGACGACCTTGGCTTTTTGGCTTGTTTTTTAATCATGTGTTTTGCATTGTCCCCTTAGAAAAAAACTAAACTGAAATAGAGCTGCCCTTTAAACTAAAGTGTTCCATCTAAACTGGTTTGGGACTTCCTCCATTGTTCCTTGCTTCACATAATGGGGAATGTGGGATACATTTCTCAAAAGGGTGCGATTTGGCCTGTGAGAAGATGCTGAGTCTTGCACATTGTAATTTCCTGTTTCTACCTCTAGACGAGATGCTCTTTCTAATCATCTCTTATTATTCCATTGTCCTTTCTCTTCGATGTCGCTGTTTACAGTATTTGGAGGTGGCTAGATGTATATACACTTACAGTAGTCTTTCCTGGAGCAGATTCATGGAGACTTTTGCTTAATTTCTTCAGAGAGAAAAGGATGGAGAGACAAGCAGCCAATCAACAGCTGTGGATGGAGGGGGCGGGGTTTTTAGTGGAATTAAACCAATCGTGTGCTAAAAACCTCTTTACAGATGGTTTTATTGACCTGTTCATGCTTAGATCTGCTTAAGGATATTTGGATAACACATGTGACCTTGTTTATTTCTAAGTGCATAGTCAAAGCAAGTTTTCAGTACAAAAATAAAACAACACAAGTCTCTTCGGTGTTTTATTGCTGCTAAGTTTGTGAACATTATTTTTTATATGATATGGATCAAAGACAAAACAATCTGATGTGAAATGCTGCCAGTCTCAGCATCAGCAAGTTGTTTACACAGAGCTCAGCAGGCTCCAATCTGCAGTGCGCATGTGTGAGGAGCGGCGCACTGATTGGCTGCCGATGACATCACCTTAACAAAATCTATTGTTAGTAAGAGGATGAGCTCATAGTTTGGAGAGACTTGTGACAGGAGCGCACTGGACTTCAGGAGGAGCAGGATCAACACAAGAGCAACGCAGGACCACATCAGGACCAGCTCAGGACCACATCAGGACCACTGCAGGACCAGCTGCACAGGACTTCCAGAGGCACTGACTCTGCTCTGTGCCCGTGCATTGGACCTCTCTTCCCGGGGACTCTGCTGCCGCAAGTTGCACAGATGGTGTGGTTTGGGGGAGCAGAGCTGGAGAAGCCGCCTCTGTCAGCGATCATGCCGCGGCTCTACCTGGGAGAGCAGGGCGACGTCACCCAGGTCAGTGGTCCTCACTCTCCTCACCCCACTCCCCTCTCGGGCTTCTGCAGGAGTACCCTATGAACTGCACAGTGCACATGCAGTGCTGCTGCTGCTACTGCACGGTGCATGGTGCATGGTCAGATGTAGCAGAGGATGCACCTGTTTACATGCAGCACTAAGATTAAAATAATATTTTGTATTCAAGAAAAGAAGGCGTCAATATTTAATTGCTTCTAATTTATAATCTACATTTTGTTTCCGTCGTTTTCTTTGTCTTTAACTTAATCAATAAATCACATCTTTCAATCGAGTTTATCTGCGCAGTGCACGCAAGTCACTGCAGGAGCGCTGCAGTGACTGTGTCTGACCGCAGGGGGGCGCACAGTGACCCAGTGAAGTGCAGATGTGCACAGGAGTGATACAAACACACACGTAGACTCCCAGCTCCTGCAGAGGGCTCTGATTGCATGAAGGGCTCTCCCCTCTCTCTCTCCCCCGCTCTCCTTTCTCTTTCCTCTCTCTTTCCTCTCTCCTCCCTCTCCTCCCTCTCCTGTGATGTCTGAGCTGTCAGTCTCTGCCCTCGCGCCTCATTTGTCCTGTAATTCCAGATTATGAAAACTGGTGCAGTGTAATTTTTTATAAAACTGTACATATTTCCCCTCCTCTGACTCTCAGCTGCAGCCCTCAGAGCCCGCTGCAGGTGACGAGGCTTTAACCATTCCCTGCTACTCTCACTTTATGCTTCTGTCACTTTAACTACACTGATACATGTCTATCGTGTACTTGGTGCACTTGTGTATAGTAGTAATTATAAGAAATATTAAGCTCGTTTGCACCGTGAGCCAAAGCAAATTCCTAGTTTGTGACTTCCTGGTACTTACAATAAAAAATAATTTGGATTCTTGTGTGTGTGGTCAGGAGCGGCTGGCGGCTCTGGACATCTCCCACGTCCTGAGCGTGTCTCGCTGCAGTCCTCAGCCGTCCTTTCTTCCCGCGTCACGCTTCCTCCGTGTTCCCATTGACGACTCTCTGAGCGCAGAGCTGCTGCCGTGGATCCCCCAGGCCCTGGCCTTCATCGGTACGGACCCCCCACACACACACTGACCCCTGCCTCCCCTCACTCTGACCCCTCACCTCTCTCAGTAGTCTGTGTGAGACCCATGGGCTGACTGGTCTTTCTGTGATCTGTGTCCAGACTCGGCGCTGGCCTCCGGGGGCTCGGTCCTGGTGCACTGTGCTGCAGGGATCTCTCGCTCACCAGCACTCACCGTGGCCTACGTCATGCACCGGATGCAACTGGACCTGGACCAGGCCTACAGGTGAGACCAGAGAGACCAGAGACTATAAATACTGTACTACAGGTGAGACCAGAGAGACCAGAGACTATAAATACTGTACTACAGGTGAGACCAGAGAGACCAGAGACTATAAATACTGTACTACAGGTGAGACCAGAGAGACCAGGGACTATAAATACTGTACTACAGGTGAGACCAGAGAGACCAGGGACTATAAATACTGTACTACAGGTGAGACCAGAGAGACCAGGGACTATAAATACTGTACTACAGGTGAGACCAGAGACTATAAATACTGTACTGCAGGTTAGACCAGTGAGACCAGGAACTATAAATACTGTACTACAGGTGAGACCAGGGACTATATTTTGTTCTTTGCGGTGTCCGAGTGTAACCCACATTAGATTAGGCCTGCAGTGATAAACAGTAGAATGAGGTCAGGATTGGTGCATGTGAGAGTTCAGCGCCCTCTGCTGGCAGCACTCTGTCACTGCATAAACAAGGGATTAAATCTGCGGTGTCACATCTGTACCGAGTTCCCGTGCGGCCCACATATGTTCATAGATTGATAGATTAGATTGTGTTGTGAACTTGCTTAGGAAAGGTTTATTCAGTGTCTGTGTCCTCCCGGTGGTGTCTGTGTCCTCCCGGTGTCCTCCCGGTGTCCAGGCTTTTACCGGATCAGTTTATTATGAAAAAACGACTTGATCAACTCTCAGGAAAGAATCTCGTTTTGAATACGTGCCACATGGTCAGACGTTCCCTGGATACTGTTTTACATATTCAAATCATGTAGACTTCCATCTGTTTTACAATTCCCCAAACGAACAAACAATACGTTTGTTTAAAAGGTTCTTGTTTTTGTGCCTTACCGAGCTAAAAACATTTTCTGCATAATTCCTAAAAATGTTTTTTTTACTTCCACAGATTTGTCAAAGAGCGCAGACCGTCCATCTCTCCTAACCTCAACTTCCTGGGTCAGCTGCAGCACTTCCAGACCTCTTTGAAGCTAGGGACCCCTCTGCATGTGCTCCCCGAAGAGACAAGTCAGGCCCCCCCAGACCCGGCCCCCACGGAAAAGAACTCCCCCGTCCAGAGACTGCCACCAGCACCACACGGATTTAACGAGAACTTATTTCAAAACTCCAAAAACCCCAGAGCCCCGTGCTCATCTCTACGAGACAAGCGTAAAAGTCTGACTCTCTGCCTGACCCCGCAGGACCAGGGCCCTCCCAGGGTGAGCCCGGGCCCCCCTCCCTCCAACGCCGCCCCTGTCGCCCAGTCTCCCAGCTGTCCCAGAGCAGAGGCCAAAGAGGCGCTGCTGTCACCCCTCAGCCTCACCCTGAACAGACTGCTGTCGTGGGGGGAGAGGGTTCTACTGGCGGCCCCTGTGCGCATGGGACAGCCCGCGCTCCCGTACCGCTGCTAGTCCCAGTACCAGACGTATCGTTGCTAGTCCCAGTACCAGACGTATCGTTGCTAGTCCCAGTACCAGACGTATCGTTGCTAGTCCCAGTACCAGACGTATCGTTGCTAGTCCCAGTACCAGACGTATTGTTGCTAGTCCCAGTACCAGACGAACCACTGCTAGTCCCAGTACCAGACGAACCACTGCTAGTCCCAGTACCAGACGTACCGTTGCTAGTCCCAGTACCAGACAAACCACTGCTAGTCCCAGTACCAGACGTACTGTTGCTAGTCCCAGTACCAGACGTACCGTTGCTAGTCCCAGTACCAGACGTACCGCTGCTAGTCCCAGGCCCAGGGTTTAGAGACACCATCGATCTGGCTATGAATGATCCTCTTCAGATGATTGACTTTGGCAAAATACTTCTACAGTAATTTATATCAGAGAAAGATCTTTTTTCTATATTTAAATATAATGATTAGTCTCACTCTGGTCTCTCTCTCTCTAATTTCTCTCTGGTCTCTCTCTCTGGTCTCTCTCTGGTCTCTCTCTGGTCTCTCTAGTCTCTCTCTGGTCTCTCTAGTCTCTCTCTCTGATTTCTCTCTCTGGTCTTATTTTCTGGTCTCTCTCTGGTCTCTCTAGTCTCTCTCTGGTCTCTCTAGTCTCTCTCTCTGATTTCTCTCTCTGGTCTTATTTTCTGGTCTCTCTCTGGTCTCTTTCTCTGGTCTCTCTCTCTGGTCTCTCTCTCTGGTCTCTCTCTGGTCTCTGTCTGGTCTCTCTCTCTGGTCTCTCTTTCTGGTCTCTCTCTCTGGTCTCTCTCTGGTCTCTCTCTCTGGTCTCTCTCTCTGGTCTCTCTCTCTGGTCTCTCTCTCTGGTCTCTGTCTCTGGTCTCTGTCTCTGGTCTCTCTCTCTGGTCTCTCTCTCTGGTCTCTTACTGGACTCTCTCTGGACTCTCTCTGGTCGGTCTCTGGTCTCTCTCTGGTCTCTCTCTCTGGTCTCTCTCTCTGGTCTCTCTCTCTGGTCTCTCTCTCTGGTCTCTCTCTCTGGTCTCTCTCTCTGGTATCTCTCTGGTCTCTCTCTGGTCTCTCTCTCTGGTCTCTCTGGTCTCTCTGGTCTCTCTCTGGTCTCTCTCTGGTCTATCTCTCTGGTCTATCTCTCTGGTCTATCTCTCTGGTCTATCTCTCTGGTCTATCTCTCTGGTCTATCTCTCTGGTCTATCTCTCTGGTCTATCTCTCTCTGGTCTATCTCTCTCTGGTCTCTCTCTCTCTGGTCTCTCTCTCTGGTCTCTCTCTCTCTGGTCTCTCTCTCTCTGGTCTCTCTCTCTGATCAGTTTCATGTTTTACAGAGATTTAGATGCTATTCATTTTATTCTTGTGTTTTATATTTGAATTTTAATATTTCAAAGATCATAGTTTGTGTTTGTGTGAAATGTGTTTTGGATTTATGATCATGTGGTTAGAATCTTTTCCTCTGACCGTGATAGTTCCTCTGGTTCCTGTAAATTCCTGGGCTGCCTTGCACAAACTGCACTTTTGAGATGTCCCCAGAGCGGCTCAATGAGGTTCATTTGAAAATGTCACAGTTAATCTCGACGGCAACTGTATGTTACCATGGTAATGGCGGCAAACTCTGCTCTTTCCTTGCCCATATTTGGAGCTCAGCACCATTAAGTCACGGACAATTTATGGTGTGTCTTTAGAGGAAAAAAAGGATTGATGTGATGAAGTGACTCAGCCCTACTCGGCTCTACTCTACCTGGTTGGGTTTCCATTACTAGTATAGCATCTGGTATCGTATCCTAGCAACCTACCCACAACAAAATTCTTTGGTAAGCATGTCTCCCAGCAGCACTCTGAGAAGCTAATTTAAAGGGAGTCCTGGACAAGAGGCAGCAAAAAGTATTCACAATTACATAAAATTACAGATTATAAAAACAGTTATTATCTTAAAATAACAGATTATTCTAAAGAAGGACCTGGTGCCAGTTCAACAGGACCAGTAGAAACTCTCTCAAGCGAGTCAGAGCAGAGCCGAGTGGAAACAGGCGTTTGAGAGATGATGGTATCGCTGAGATCTGATCTCAGATCAGTTTGAAACAAATATATAGAAATAAATAGTTTTCTAATGGATCCCTGTCATCCACAAGTGTTGTTCTGGACAGATCTGTGTGGAGCCGCAGGATGTGCACGAGTCATGTCCGTGCAGAGTCCCGACAGAGTCCCGACAGAGTCCCGACAGAGTCCCGACAGAGTCCCGACAGAGTCCCGACAGAGTCCCGACAGAGTCCCGACAGAGTCCCGACAGAGTCTGTGCAGATGCTGTTTGCATTATTTATTTATGTACGTGGCAGACGTGTTGTCACTAAATAAATTCCAAAGTCTTGTAAAATGTCTCACTGATTTCTCTGTCGCTGAAGCAGATCAAATATGAGGTAATAATTGCTAACATCCAGTGGTTTTTATCTTGAACTGAGAACATTCTGAAATTCTCCAATGGTCCAAAGACAGTCTTATTTCAAGAACTGTTGTGTTTCTCATTCCCCGGGGAAGACCCAGGACACAGGGACTTTGTCTCTCAGGTATTCGTCCCGGAAACCGGATTTGTCCGGAAGTTCAGTCTGATCCAATGAGCATACGCAGCAGTAGATTACGTCACAGAATCTGGACGGAAGCGGAAGTAAATATAAAAAACTACCTATTCATGCCTAAACTTAACCAGCTGTTCCCATAAAATAACCCCAACCCAGCCTTAACCCTAACCTTAACCATCTTAATCAGACGCCTAAACTTAACCAGTCATCACTTAAGGACATATTAAACTTTTTGACATGCGCAAACTGAACTTCCGGACGAATACGGGAGTGACAAGGAAATCAGGGCCTTTCACTCAACCCACTCCATGCAGTTAGCATGAAGGCAGCTGAGCCAGGGGTGGTGAATATAGCACATGAACTGTCTATAGTACTGTCCTTTACTTTCAGTGCAGCAAACTCACTCCAGAAGTTCAGTGAGGATCTTTGAATGATCCAATGTTGTCCTAAATGACTGATAAATAGAATGCACCTGTGTGTAATCAAGTCTCCGTATAAATGCACCTGCTCTTTGATAGTCTCAGGGTTCTGTTTAAAGCGCAGAGAGAACCATGAAGACAAAGGAACACACCAGGCAGGTCCGAGATACTGTTGTGGAGAAGTTTAAAGCCGGATTTGGATACAAAAAGATTTCCCAAGCTTTAAACATCTCAAGGAGCACTGTGCAAGCAATTATATTGAAATGGAAGGAGTATCAGACCACTGCAAATCTACCAAGACCCGGCCGTCCCTCCAAACTTTCATCTCAAACAAGGAGAAGACTGATCAGAGATGCAGCCAAGAGGCCCATGATCACTCTGGATGAACTGCAGATAACTACAGCTGAGGTGGGAGAGTCTGTCCATAGGACAACAATCAGTCGTGCACTGCACAAATCTGGCCTTTATGGAAGAGTGGCAAGAAGAAAGCTATTTCTCAAAGATATCCATAAAAAGTCTCGCTTAAAGTTTGCCACAAGCCACCTGGGAGACACACCAAACATGTGGAAGAAGGTGCTCTGGTCAGATGAAACCAAAATCGAACTTTTTGGCCACAATGCAAAACGATATGTTTGGCGTAAAAGCAACACAGCTCATCACCCTGAACACACCATCCCCACTGTCAAACATGGTGGTGGCAGCATCATGCTTTGGGCCTGCTTTTCTTCAGCAGGGACAGGAAGATGGCTAAAATTGATGGGAAGATGGATGGAGCCAAATACAGGACCATTCTGGAAGAAAACCTGTTGGAGTCTGCAAAAGACCTGAGACTGGGACAGAGATTTATCTTCCAACAGGACAATGATCCAAAACATAAAGCCAAATCTACAATAGAATGGTTCACAAATAGACGTATCCAGGTGTTAGAATGGCCAAGTCAAAGTCCAGACCTGAATCCAATCAAGAATCTGTGGAAAGAGCTGAAGACTGCTGTTCACAAACGCTCTCCATCCAACCTCACTGAGCTCGAGCTGTTTTGCAAGGAAGAATGGGAAAGAATTCCAGTCTCTCGATGTGCAAAACTGATAGAGACATACCCCAAGCGACTTGCAGCTGTAATTGCAGAAAAAGGTGGCGCTACAAAGTATTAGCGCAAGGGGGCCGAATAATATTGCATGCCCCACTTTTCAGTTTTTTATTTGTTAAAAAAGTTTAAATTATCCAATAAATTTCGTTCCACTTCACGATTGTGTCCCACTTGTTGTTGATTCTTGACAAAAAAATTAATTGTTATATATTTATGTTTGAAGCCTGAAATGTGGCGAAATGTTGAAAGGTTCAAGGGGGCCGAATACTTTCGCAAGGCACTGTAAATGTTTCTGTGACTGTTCTTAAATATTCTTGTTACAGTGAATCCAAACACAGCACTTCAAACCGGCCACTGTTTTATCCCATAACTGTGTATTTATATATTGGGCTAAAATAACTTGTACGGGCTATTGACCAGATGCATCAACGTCATCCAGTCACGTGATTGTGAATGAGCTTACGGCGGAAGTATTGTAAACTAGCATTGCTGCGAGAGCAAAACGGACACAACTCTTAAAAACGGAGCTTCCTCTCCTAAATCGAGAAGTGGCTGCTTCAAGCACATGTTCGATTACGTTATAGGTGGAAGTAGGACATCAAGTCAGGGCTCACAAAGAGTGGTATTTGGAGAAGTTAAGGATTGCCTAACTGGATGTTGACCCGTACCTTCTCCCCCCAGTATCGATTAAATTAAATGTCTAATTTTGTCCGAATTCACCCCACATGATATTTATCATTATGTCGTTAACAATGCATCCCCTTTCACTGGAGCAGATTTAAAAGTACATTTAGCTGGTAGCATTAGCGCATTAGCAATAGTCCACTTTTCTGTCCACAGCCAAACCTGGGAAATAGTGAAAAACGCAACTGACTCTTTTTCACTATGTCTAATAAGATCTATCATCTTATTAGACATAAGATG